TGTGGTTGTATTTCCAACATAGATTAGCTTAGCATGTAGCATAACTAAGTAGAGGAGAGTTTTGGGTCAGTTAGTGAAAGTCTGTAAATAAGCAGTCAGTTATTCTAGTACAGTGTACAGTTAATATAGTTTACAGTTTAATGAAGACGAGTGTAGATATAAAAGTTGTAAATGTTGTTATTGTAAATAACTTCCTGTTTTTTGTACAGTTTTAATATTTAAGATGGAAAATGTTCTCAAGAGATTGTTTTTATTTTCTGTTAAAGCCTCCAAAACTGATGCTGTTGTTTTTGTTGTGATTTATAATCAATATTAATTGTATGATTATATATTTCAATGGATTATTGCTGCAGACATTTTTAAAAATGCTCAATTTCCTGTTTTAAGGTGATTATTTTTATAAGCTATTTTTGATGCTATAAAGACAAATTTTCTGGTCCTTTATCTTCTGTGACGACACAAAATCAACATTGTTTAAACAAGAAACATCATTCATTGTGACATAAAGAGGGTTTTTATTGTGTTAAAATATAATAGTGTACCTATAGCTCACCTGTTAGAGCCTCCTGCAGCGACCCGGGTTCGACTCCGACCGCTTCAGCTGCCACTGTCGGTTTATAAAATCTAAACTTTAATCAATTTTATTCCAAGAACAACAGCCTGGGTATAAATAATAAATAATATAAATTAACAGAGCTACTTCCTGATGGTAGAACGTTGAATATTTACTCTCCATTACTAATATTTGCTTCCTAACAAAGAATTATATAAAATCATTCACAGATATTCTTCCATAAACTCCACGATTATAATAATATATTCCCAGCTCGATACAGAAGACGAGTTGTCTTCCAGGGAGGATCTGATTGAAACATTAAACTAAAGCCCAGAACCTCTGTTTAACACCTGTATAACATCTGTTGTATAACCTAATGTTATCTTTAACACGTCCACATAAAGTGTGTTTCAATGAAGGCAGCAACGGCTCAGTTTAAGACAAAAAATAAAGTTTTGGTCAATAAAAGAAAATATATAGAGAATATAATATGTCTAAGGCTCATTTGAGCTCCAGAGAGAGAAATATGTTATTAGGGGTTTTTGTTGTTATTCTGTGATGTGTTTGTTCACACTGGGGTTGTGTGTGTGTGTTCATTATACAGACAGGAGGTGATTCTTACTTTACAGCAACTCACTTTTTATAAGATTAATATTCAGCTGCAGAACCGAAGAGCTTGGTGTCAGTTTGACAAATTCATTTTAAAAATAACGTTAAACAAAACAGAAATCGAATTATTTAAAAGGCCTTGTGTAAAAGAAATAAAAGATATAAATAAAGTATATAAATAAAATAAAAAGTTAATGAGTTTCTTTACGTCCCTCGACTGTGGATCCTCTTTGGCTCCGTCCTCCCTCCCTGCCCCACAATCCCTCACTGCTGCACCACGTCTGGAAACGACCAGAAACAACCAGAACGGTTGGACCTCTGTTCCTTACACTGGGCTCTGTCGCCCCCTCTGGTGGTTCTGGTGCTGGCATGTCGAGGTGGAGGATCCTGGAGAACGACGAGTCGAACTGCTGGAGGATAAAACCCCTGTTCTATAAACCAGTGAGGTTCCCAGGCTCCCATTTATAATTAAATTTGAAATTTATTATAAAAACAATCGATTTACATAGTGATTACAGCTCAACACACATACATAGAAACATACATGTGTGTTTGTATGTATGTGTGTGTGAAACATACAAACGTAGTTTATTTCCCACATCAGAAGAACTTAATGTACATAAATGTGTAGCATACATATTAAACACAGATGAGAGTGTATTTAAGATTAAAGTTAAATAAAAGGCTTTTAATAGGACAACTATGTGTCACTATCACTCGAATGTTTGCAATGCTCGCTGTCGCCGCTACCGCTGCTTAGTTACAACCCGTTAAATGCATGAGACCACATATTCAAATGTTCGGTAACAAATACAAACAATAAGTGATACTCAAACACGAACCTATAAGTCGTGTTCAGCTTCATGTAAAGCTGCTATGAAACCAATTTTGGTAAAGATTAGATGAAATATGTGCAAAAAGAAAGCAAAGAAAAAGAAGCAAGAAATATCCCAAAATCCAAAATGTCCGAATGTTTTTAATGGTGTGAATGGGCGTGGTTTATATCAGTACAATCGGCATCTTCCAAGAAACCGACTGTACAAAAATTATTCTAATGTGTCTGCTTGTGTTCATGAATTCTGAAATAAAAAGTTAATTTACGTGTCACAATTTTCTGAATCAACAGTTTTGATCTGAACCACAGAGATAAAACAAACTGAGGCTGTGACTGAATATTCTTATAGTTTAATCAATATTTTGCACATTCCTCCCTCGTATTGCATCACTATTCAGCTCCTCATTTTTCACATTTTAACACAAGACAAACTTCCTTCTATGTGAAGACTTGATGCTAATCACACGCTGCACGTATGAACTGTTGAGTATTTTAATCTGTAGTCGAGCCCATTGATTCCATTTTATTCGTACAGTGAATCATAATCATAAGAGAAGTAATCTCAGGCACTTTTCAAATAGAGCAGGTCTATACGGTGCTCCTTATAAATGATAATAATGGCAGCTGATAGTGAGTTTTTAGAGCTGGAATGAAAATTGACATTTTCTGTGGGGATTGTGCACCGATGATTCTACAAAGATCCTCAAAAGGCGTCTTTCTTAAACTAATAACTTTATTCAAGTTTATGTAAACCTACAGTCTGTAATTTCTGCCACTAGGGGGCGCTCACATCCAAACAATAACAAACTATGAAGTTTGATGAGGAGGTGAAGCAGCGTGGGATCATGGGAGTTGTTATCTTCACCACCATTGGCGTCATTGCAGTCAGCTTCTCCCGGTTAGGATTCCTTCAGTGTTCATGGTTCAGGAGGTTTCTACCGGGAGCCCAATGATCCACAGAGGTCTCCTCCTCTCCAACACAAACAGACCCGCTGATTAAAACCACTAAACACACTGAATAAAGCAGTTCCACCTTAAACACACTGAATAAAGCAGTTCCACCTTAACAATCACTGCTTCTCCCACGCTGTTGGACAGACAAAGGACGTCCCGGAGGGGCTGCGAGCCGAGCTGCTGCTAACGTTAGCTCAGCTTGTTTCTCTGATAACTTAAGATCCAGACGTCCGATGACTAAAATCCTTCATCCGGTTCAAATCTAGAGTTAAAAAGCACCAAGATCTAAACAGTGGATGGTAACAATGTGGCTTCAAAACTGGATAAACAGTCAATGTATTATTGATTGAATCAGCAACATATAGAACGTAGCTCTAGAGTTTATACACTGTTTGAGGAAATGTTACAGATTATAGATTTAATCTGAATTCTTGTTCAGCTGGAGTATCTCTCACTTGTTCATTCCCTGGACTTCATCTTCTCTCCATCCAAGTACACAACTCAACTACATATAGACCACAGCTCTATTATTTATAGATTAATAAGGAACTGTTACAGATTATAGATTTAAGTTCAATATTCTTTTACATGTTAAACATTGTCAACCAATTCTAGTCGACACTGCCTTTGTAGGGTAGCGTAGTTCTTTACCAATGTGTTGTGATACTGTGGATAAATATAGTGGAGAAGAAGTTTAAAGTAACATTAAACAGAAATACTCAAGTACCTCCAAACTATGCTCGAGTACAGTAATAAGTTCGAACATGAGAGCAGAAAGCAGAGACACAATAAACAGGAAACAATGTGTGTATAGTGCTGAAATCATGCTTTATTAAATCAGTAATGCATCAAACTCAGGGAGGATGAAATATAGTTCTAATCAACGATCAATAATTCAAAGTTCAGGGTTCAACTTCTCTCTCACAGGAGATGGAGTCGCTGTGCAGAGCCCCCGACTAACCAACAAGGTGAAACGACTAAAAACTACAAACACTCAAACACACAAACACTAGCTATCCTCCAAGAGACAGCGCTGCTCCTGCACAGCAGAGCCGGCGTGGACTTCCTGTTTGTTTAAGGCCAGGAGATGTTACGTTTTTAAGAAGCCGGTCCGGCCGTCCTGTGCCAAAAGCAGCGCTTTTTATTAAAATGATCTAAATGCTCAGAGTGCAGGCCGCTCGCACTCACAGCCGGTCATCAAATCACGGTGGTGTGACGAAGTCAGTCTGAGCACAAGGCCGTTCACGCTGCTTACATGAGGGTGATGCAAACAGCGCTCAGGGTCTTACGCTCACGGTACAACTCATAGGAAACTGTAATATCTCACGCACAGACGCGTGTCCAAAACAATAACTTTGTCTTTCTGTTTGTGGTTCATAACATCAGCGGGGAGCCTCTCTACCCGCTGAGGCAATCTTAAAGACTTCAACTTATCGTTGAGGCACAGAGTTTAGTTTCTCAGTTTAACAGGGTATTCGTTCCAGTGAAACTTTCTCCTGTGAAAACATTTGTTCTTTTGTTTCTGTTAATATTATTGTCATAAATAACAATGCATACATTTCCCATAACCGTTAAATTCGGCTATATACATTATGTACATGTCACAGAAAAGTGGTTCAAAAATCCTAAGTCATATTGTCCAATATGGCACATTTTATAACAACTTTAGACTTTAGTCTAGTTTGGCATAAATTAATGTCAAGTTTGGTACAAAAATAGTTCATATTTACAAGAACAGAAATCCAGATCTTTATCAAGTATTGTTGCTAATTCACTAAATAAAAAGGTTCTGGATGAGGGAACAGGGGGTATAAATTAACTTTTTTTTTTTTTTTTTACATGGACCGAATGTGAATGTTGACGGTTGCCACATCTGAGCCGAGCTCGTTGGACAGTCGGAGGGTGTACGCTCCGGCGTCGCTCTCCTTCACCGCAGAGATCATGAGGGTGGAGAGGTCAGCGCTGTTCTCCACATGGAACCGCTCGTCCCCGTTGGGGAGGGTCCTACCCGAGCGGACCCACTGAACGGAGGGCACGGGGTCTCCAGAGAACAGCCCCGCCACAGTCAGGGACTTGCCGGGCTCGGCGCTGACGTTCTCCGGAAGAGCTTCGATCTTTGGTGGAGTGCCTGTTAGGGAAGAGAAGAACGAGGTCAGTAACGACATCGGTGGAATGATGATTGGGATCTGATAACGTTAACGTTTCAGAAATAAGCCACAATGTTCAGACGGACATAAAATACGGTGGTTTTGACATTTTTTGCTATTTTTCACAGTTTTTTTAAACCGATAAGGGGACGAGCAACGGAGGATATCGAAGTGATGGTGTTTAAAGAATCCTACATCAGAGCGCAGAAAAAACTTCTCTTAGCTCAACCTCCCCTGGGTCAGAACCTCAGTCAACTTCTTCCTTTCCTGTATGTAGATATGCTATGTGCTAGGCTGATCTATGTTGGAAAGACAACCACATTTCGAACATGGTTCATTCCAGCTTTTATTATCGGCTCAGCTCAAGAGTCGAGTCGTACCGGACAGTGGAAATGAGGTATAATGACCAACGAGTTAATTCTGCTGAGACGTATTTAAACAATCAACGTCCGTCTGACTGCAGACCACGCTGCGTCCTTCATGAACCAGTTTCTCCTCTAGAAGAGAGCGGTGACACAAGATTTGATAGTGTTACGCGGCTAATACGATATCTTGTGTAGTTTTTTTACTCTCCGGGTCTCAACAGGATGACTAGCAACTGAAGAAAAGCGTAACTCTGCATGAACAAATACACTCATCTCCATCGTAATGTATTTATCTTAGATTAGAGTGCCCTTCACGTCTCATCAAGCAAAAGGAATTAAATAATCTACTTTACTGACTGTGTTTCTTTTCCCCGTTTTACATCCATTTGTGGCTTATTTTCATGACTGGAAAGTAATCATCAATGCAAAAGTCTCAAATATGAACTGATGATTGCATGAGAGCAACAGAGTGTCGTCTTTAATCTCACATCACATTTATTCAAACAGGTGCTCAGATCCTTCAAGGTGCACTTCCAGACAGGCAACTTGTAAAATGCATCTCACCTCTTTTAACCCCAGTGGTAAGGGCCCTCAGCGAGGAGGAGGACGAGGAGGACGAGGACTCGACATGCGAGTGAGCAGACATTTCCATCATTTGGCTGCTGGAGCTCATAGAAACCATTGACTCAGCCATCATGGCAGACATGCTAGTTGCAGACGTGCTCTCAAACGAATACTGGGCTGCGGCAGCAGCAGAGCAGGAGCTGCTGCTGAAACTGCCGGCCTCCATAAGAACTGATGAGGCAGATAAAGTTTTCAGCATGCTGGCAGCAGCGTCAGTAGAAGCTCTTTGCTCCACAATAATCATTTTTGTTGGTTCTTCAACAAGAGCTGCGAGAATGCAAATGACAAGCACATGGCTCATATGACAATGTGCACAGGGACAAACATTGTATGCATACACTGAATGGAAGCCTTGATTTCCATTTAAGGGTTTGAATGTTAAATTAGTTTGTTTTGGTGCAATCAGAGTCTCATTTTAACACACAGTGAGGTGTGTTTAATTGTGTTTAGTTAAAAAACAGTTAGTGGAACTTACTGAGGACGTTGAGTGAGGATGTTGCAGAGCACTGTCCAAACTTGTTTTTGGCTTTTATTGTGTATTTCCCGCTGTCTGCAACGGTGGCTTCACATATCTCGAGAGTGAACATATTCCTAGAGTGGCTCAGTCTGATGTTTGATGTGGCAGATATCTGCAAGAGACACAGTTTATGTAATTTACCTCCACAGTAGTTTGTAGATAACTCACATTCTGTCTTTATTAAGGAGAAAATTACTCACAGTGATGTTGTCTTTCAACCACTCCACTTCAGGGGACGACTCTCCCGCAATTTCACATGTGAATTTGACATTTTCTCCCTCATTCACATTCTGGGACCTGGGCTGCACCAGGAAGTGGGGTGCATCTGAGCCCTTGGCCCGCTGAGACTGGCCCTCAGTCATGGACATCTGGCTGTGGGAGGACTTGACCTCGATCACAGAGGACTGGACCTCCATCACAGAGGACTGGACCTCCGCAGAGATTAGAGCTTTTGTTTTGGAGCCTAAAACAGAGGAATTAAAGAGTTTTTTGCAAGAAACTGTTTGAATGTTTGTAGCTGCTGATTAATGAAGGACTACAGACCCTTTCTAAGTCCCGCTCCTTTTTGTTCTGTAGCTACCTCTGTCAGAGCCTCTGTGAACTTCCCCCTTTCCTGTACTAAGATATGCTTTATGCTAGGCTAATCTATGTTGAAAAGACAACCACATTTGAAAGATGGTTAAAAGATTAAAGAGACATACATATACATAGAGTGAGCTAATGTTAGCAAAATGCTAGCTAACTAGCTAGCTAATATACATCAATCCTTACTTAGCTAGTTAGGTAGCATTTTGCAAATATTAACTAACTTAAGATGTTTTCTGTTGCCTTTTCAACATAGATTAGCCTAGCACATAAAATATCTAAGTGTAGGAAATGAGGAAGTTGACTGAGGTTCTGACTGAGGCCTGCTCAACTTTTACAGAACAAAAAGTGGTGGGGCTTAGGAAAGGTAAGTTGCTTCCACATGCAGGTATTATCTTACCTTGCACAGCAAGCAAGTCACTTGGAGAAGTCACTCGCTGCTTCTCAGATGGAGTTGGGGATTTGGGAGTAGGTGACTTTGGTGTTGGGGATTTTGGGGTTGGGGATTTTGGTGTTGGGGATTTTGGTGAGACTGGAGACTTCACTCTCTGAGGTGACTTGACTGGCTCAGGGGATTTCACTCTCTGGGGAGATTTGACTGGTTCAGGGGACTTAGCAAGAGGGGACTTAGCTTCTGGAGAGGTGATTCTGGGAGGGGCAACTACTTTCTCCTTGGACTCAGACTTGCGGATTGTCAGAGTGAAATGGGCCTCTTGTTTGCCTCCAGCATTTTCCACCAGCACAGAGTAGCTGCCTTCATCCGACATCTCAACAGCAGAGATCTCAAAGTGGGAGTTAAACTGAGTAGAGATGATGTGGTGACGGGCAGTGGAACCAATAACTGATCCTTCGTGCAGCCAGGTGATAGAAGGTGCTGGCTCGCCATCCACCTCACACTCAAATCTGACAAGATCTCCCTCCTCAACGCTAAGGGACAGTGGCTTGGTCAGGAACTTAGCAGGAACACCAGGCTTCTCCCTTGGCTTCTCAACAATAACAGTAGTACTGGACTCTGTCACAGTTTCCTTCACTGTTGTTTTAGAGGAGGAGGAGACATGATACTCCTCTGTTCTGGTCATATCTGGCAGATGGGAGGATGGAGGCTCCTCATCTTTGCGGAATGAAGAGAAGGCAGCATATTCTTCTCCTGCTACATCCAATGTAGCATAGTCAGATGTCTCTCCCTTGGTGTTCCTGCAGACAACACGGTAAGTGCCGGAGTCCTCAGTCACACATTTGATGATCTGGAGAGTCAGAACCCCGCTGATGTTGGTGATGTAGTATTTGTTACTCTGATGAATCTCTTCTCCATTATGGAACCACTTGACCTCCGGCTCTGGTTTGGACTGGACATTTAGGGTGAACTTTGTGCTAGAGCCGTAGGGTACGCGATGAGATCGCATCCTGATGGTAATACGTGGTGCGTGGTCAAGGCTGAAGGGAGCTTGTGTCACCACCTCAACCTTCCTCTCCACCGATTTTCTCTCTGATCTCAGAGCCTGCTTTCTCTCCTCATACCTGGATGCAAAGTCAAATTTTGGGAGGGTCACATCTGTCTTGACAGCTTTTGCTGGGGTCTTCACAGGTTCAGGCATTGACACTTTCTTGATTGGTTTAGCAATATATTCTGAGGTGAAAGCTGTCAGGTGCTCAGATTCAACGGCCTCAGAGACTTTAGCAAAACTGACAGTTGTTTCCTTCTTTGTGGTTCGAGTCTTCTCCTCAAACTCAATGCGTTTGAGTTCACTCTTGTAAGAGGAGATTCTCTGAACAGTTTTGTGTGGACGCAACAGCTCCTGATCTTCTCTGTCCTCGTACACCCTCTGCTTCTGTCTTGGAGCTCTGTATGTGGCTTTGTCGTGACGCTGGCGGAGGTCAACGAAACTTGGGCCAGCCTCGTATTTAGATGGAACTTTGTAGGAGTCATATCTGTGGATTTCTTCTCCCTCTTCATCATCGCTGTAGACTCTTCTAGGAGATGAGGGACGCAGGGCAGACAGCTCAAAGCGGACTGGGCTGAGGCTAGGTGGAGAAGCAGAGTAGCCAAGCTCCAGCTCTTCCTCCAGACGGAGCCTCTCCTCCTCAGTTCTCTTCATGGACAGGTACTCATTCACCGGCAGCAACAGCTCTTCATCTGACAGGTCACCCAAGGACCTCCTCCTGATCCTGTGGTAGGCTTCCATCTCAGGAGAAGGAGTGCGGTGCCTTGCAGGCCTCACAGTCTCTAAGTCATCCTGAGTCATGGATGAGATTCGCCACTTAGGCTTATACTGGTCCTTGATCCTGATAGGCACCTCATAGAACTGCTCCCACCTGGAGAGGCGAATGCGCTTCATCCTCTTCTGCTTGATTTTCTCCATAGGCTCAGGGAACTCATACTGATCCCGCAGCTTCTTGTACCATTTCATGTCAGAGAGTGGCTTGAAATGTTTTATTTCCACATCCTCCTCAAGAACAGCTGGGTTAATGACACGAGGAGTAGGGACGTCATAGGGCATACGCAACCTCTTCTCATCTGCCCGCTTCTTCTTTTCCTCTTTTTCTTTCTGTATCTCAGCCTCAGTCTTCTCACCCTTCTTAGTTGTCACAGCAGGTTTGAACATGGTGGCTGCTTCCCTGACAGCTTGTACTGCTGCAGGTGGTAGAGGTGTAACAACAGTGCCAGTCATAATCTGATAGAGCCTCAACTTTTTGTCTAATTTCTCCTGTCCAGCTAACTTTTGTTTCTCCTTTTCGCTGGGCTCATATTCCTTCTTTACATGGGTGACGCGTTCTACTTTGAGTGTGGCCTGACAACTGGCAGATCCAGCAGAGTTGGTTGCAGTAACTCTGTACACGCCAGAGTCCTCAGGGAGAGTGTCTCTCACATGAAGGATGAAGTAATCCAGACCTTCATGGACAACCTCAATAGATGGTCCAAAGGCTAATGGCGTGCCGTCCTTCTCCCACTTCAGTGTGGGATGGCCGGATACTCTAATCTCAAAGCGCACATTCTGGCCCTCTCTGCACTCTACGTTTGCGAGTAGACGTTTGAACATGGGCCTCAGGGTGAGGTCTGCTGGTTTAGGTCGAGGAACAATGGTAAGACGAGCCTTGCAGCTGTCATCGCCGTACCTGTTGCGGGCCACAACACTGTACTCAGCATCATCTTCCTTATCAAGGCTGTGGATAATCAGCTGGTACAGGCCCTTGTCACTGATGAAAGTGTATTTCTTATCATCCTGTCCAGGGATGAGCTTCTGTCCAGACTTGTGCCAGATGACACGAGGCTCAGGATGAACAGTGATGGTGACACCAAAGCGCACATCCTCACCAATGTAGGCTGTATGGTTGACCAGAGGAAGGGTGAACTCTGGTGGCTTCTGAAGCATTCTGGCAGTGTCAACTCTGCGCTTTGTTTTCTTGACCACACGGGTGGTGAAGAAGTCGCGGTAACATCTTACACCATGGATAAACAGTTCTGCGTAGGCACTGTCCTCACCATACTCATTCACAATCTTGCATCTGTAAGTGCCATCATCTGCTCTTGTGACCTTGTTGATGGTGATTACAGCCAGGCCATCCTCGTATTCAATTTCATATTTATCACCAACTTCAAGTTGTCTGACGCCACAGTACCATGTCACTTCAGTAGTGCTATCATAGTTTTCAATGTTGCAGGTGAATTTCACACTGTCTCCCTCATTCACCACAGCATGGCCAATCTGTCCTCCAACAGGACCGTTTTCAAATGGAGCAATCTTCACCTTAGCCACAAAGACACCACGCTGGGACCTGATGGAGCCACCACTGGCCACACGGGCTGCAGAGACGACAGTGTTCCACTCTTTCTTCACCATTGTTTGGTAGTATCTCTTGTGCCTGCCGGATGGGATCGCTCTTGTGCTGATCTCCTCTGCAGGCTTGGTCAGCCAAGGATGTGCCAGAGCCTCAGCAGCAGTCATACGGTGCTTGCGTTCCTTTGTCATTAGGCGGTCTGTGAAGTCTAATGCCTCAACGCTGACCTGCTTAAAGGACTCATCATCGTAGCTGTAGGCCGCATTGGAGATGTTGTCAATCATCTGTTGGTTGGTTTCTGCTGTGAATGGATTAAGTCCACTGAGGAGAACATAGGCAAGAACACCAACCGACCACATGTCAGTGACAGAGCTAACCATGTCACACTGGTGGATCTCAGGGGCAGCGTACTCGGCAGTGGTGTACTGAATCTTGATCTGTTCTCCAGGAGTCAGGTGTCTGGACTGGCCCAACTCAATAATCTTTACATTAGAGCTGGTTCTAGTTGTGTACACAATGTTCTCAGGTCTGATATCAAAGTGTCCATAGCTCTGTTCGTGCATGAACTCAATAGCTGAGCAGATCTGCCGGATGAAGTTGACAATCTCACACTCATTAAGTTCAAACTCAGCTGTGTTGAGGCGCTCGAAGATGTCAGCACCAGAGATGAAGTCATAGATCATCACCAACTCCTCAGGACTCTCGAAAGACTCGTGGAGGAGGAGGTAGTTAGTGTGTTTGGCCAGATTCAGTGTTGCGATTTCCTTCTTAACTATTGCTTGATCAGCACCCCTCACTTTGATGAATTTAGCCATGTAAGTCTTCTCAGAGCTGATGTCCATACAGCGGTGGACAATGCCAAATTGACCTCTACCCAATTCCTCTGCAATGGCATATTTGTTGTGCAGATTCTTGGCATCGGAGTGTTGAGCCTTGCCCCTGGGTACACGTCCAGTATCGTCAACCTCCCTATCATAGAGCAGAACTCTCGATTTGTCCTCCTTGGTCATGACAGGTCCGCTAGTCTCAGACGGAGCACTCTGTCCGAACTTGTTTTCAGCGATGACTCTGAACTGATAGCTGGTACCTCCAAACAGATTGGTAACGGTGTAACGGGTGTCACGGGACTGGGCAACACGCTGCCATCTCTCAGCAGTGGTGGGACACTTCTCAATGATATAGCTGATGACCCTGCTGCCGCCGTCATTTGCTGGGGCCACCCAGTTCAGTGTAACTGAGTCTCTGGAGACGTCACTGGCTTTGATTCCACGTGGAGGATCAGGCACGTCAGCAACATCCAGCTCAACTGTCTGCTGGTCAATTCCAAATCTGTTCTTGGCACAGACAATGTAGAACCCAGCATCCTTCTTCTCCACTCCATTGGGGAAAACTAAAGAAGTGAATGATCTGGTGACGATGACCTGGTAATGGCCATTGCTGTCGAGGAGATCTTGTCCCTTCTGCCATGTGATGACAGGATCTGGTTTGCCTCCGAAAGGAATCTTGATATTGACCACTTCTCCACGCAGGGCAGGGATGGCTTCCTTGTCCTTCAGGTTCTTTGGCAGGTGGATCTTGGCAGGGACTAGAAATGAGAGAAAAAGTTTAAGTAAATTGTCATTTTTTTATTTGAATTTAAAAATTACAAATAGTACACATTATTTTGTCAGTGCTAGAAAACAGTGGTCTATTTGTAAAAAAGTGGGTATTTGTAAACTTACTTTCAACATCCAGAGAGATTGTAGCACAGATGGAGCCTCCCTGGTTGGTGGCCCTGATCTGGTACACAGTGGAGTCTTCCTCATCAGCCTCGGTGATGACCAGCTGGTGGTAACCTCCCTTGAACTCCTGGATCTTGATCTTCTTTCCATCAGACTGGATTTCCTTTCCTCGTCTGAACCATTTTATCACAGGCTTGGGTTGTCCTGTGATCTTACAGACAAGGGTAGCATTGCTCTTGTACTTGACGCTCATGTTCCTCAGCTCTTCCTTGAAGGCAGGAGCACGGACATCAACGGCAGTGGCTGGAATAATGGATGCAGTCTCCTCACTGTAGTCGCTCTGTCCTCCAAGGTTCTCGCACTTCACACGGAAGATGTACTCGACACCCTCGGTCAGACGCTTGACGGAGAAAACTGTCTGTTTGATCTCGTCTGTGGTCACTGGAGTCCAATCGGTCCATTCCTTCTTGTCCTTCTTATTTTTCTTCTCAAGGCAATAGCTCTTGATCTTGGAGCCGCCATCGCTGAGTGGAGGCCTCCAGGAAACCACGCAGGAGTCCTTGGTAATTCCAGAAACAGCTGGGGACAGAGGTGGTGATGGTTTCTCTGTGGAAAAGAATATATAAATCAGAAACCGCTTTTGGTCCTTTTTCCCAGTGTACCTGGGTATTGATATGGCGTATTACAATTCTATGCTTTTACTGTTAGACATGAATTAATGAAGTACTTTAAACATCAATTGGTATTGGTTAATTTACCGAGTTGGCTCTTGATAAGGATAGGTGAAGCGAGCTCCAGTGGTTCACTGTTGCCATAGCGATTCTGGGCGTACACACGGAAGAAGTATCCGGCACTGTCGATGAGGTTGGGTACACGGCAAGATGTGCCATTGATGGATGACGACACCAGTTCCCAGTCAGTGCCTTCCTTGTCCTCACGCTTCTCTATGATGTAGTTGGTGATCATGCAGCCTCCGTCATCCTTGGGAGGCTTCCAGCTGATGATAACAGAGTTCTTCAGGAGGGCATCCAGTACAATGGGACCCTGAGGCATGTCAGGTTTGTCTGTAAACAGAGGTATTAGATATTAATTATAAATATAATATCACCCTTAAACATGTATGCTTTGTTGCACTCACTGCGGTACATTTACATTAACATACCATAAATTTCAACATTGAATGCAGTGTCAGCCCTGCCGAAGTGGTTGTGCAGTCTGATCCTGTATTTGCCTCCATGGACTCTGCGTTGCACATTCTTGATGATCAGGTGTGTGTAGTGCTCAGTGGTCTCAATGCTAATGTCCTCTGTGTTCTCCAGGGTCTTTGCTCCATGCAGCCAAATGATCTTTGGCTCAGGACGGCCGATGTAGACAGCATGGATACGCAGAGTGGTTCCCATGCCAGCATAGTATGTGTTTTTCAGTGGGTAGTCGGGGTGGAAGGATGCAGCAGCCTCCAACACCAAGACGCCTGTGGTCTCAGCTTCTCCGGCGTCGTTAATGGCCTTGCAGGTATACTCTCCCTCATCCTCCTGCTGGTCAGTCATGATGGACAGGGAGTGGTTGCGGCCGTCAGAGCTCATCTCGTACTTGCGGGACTCAACAACCTCTCTACCAGCATGATACCACTTGATGTCAGGGACAGGTCTACCAATAATCTGGCACTTCATGACAGCAGGCTGACCAAGCTTAGCAGTGACTTCATCCATTTCCTTTCTCAGGCTTGGTTTAGTTTCAACTGTATGTACAAAACAAGGAGGTATATTTAGGAAACATGTATTACATTTAGTAATGTCTCTTGGTGAAGTCACTCTGGGCAAGCAAGTTGGGTAAATGCCTACAATTCATTTTCAAACAGTATATTTCAATGTACTCACCACTCAGTTTGGTCTTGATGCACGTGGTAGTCCTACGAGGTCTACTCATTCCTGTCTCATTCTCAGCAAACACTCTAAACTCATACTCTGCGGCCTCAGACAGTCCACGCATGGTTAACTCCTTTTCCTTCAGCCTTTGCTTGTTGCACTTCTTCCAGGTGCTCTCGATGGACTTCCTGTACTCCACCCAGTAGCCCAGGACCTCCTTTCCACCATCACACTCTGGAGCTTGCCAGCGGATGGTGATGAAGTTGTTTGACACGTTCACTGTGTCAATCTCACCTGGTTGGCTTGGCTTGTCTGGAAACAAACAAACAAACAAGTTACCTTAATTAACAGTTGCTTGTGTGACTTACTGAGGCTAAAAATGCACCTCTGCATGGCTTTTCTTATTCTGGTCTGTAAAAATGTGATCGATTGATGAGATTTTAAATTGCTCCGTGTCCATCAAAAACCCCTATAATAATTACGGTGCTATTGATTATCGGTAATTACATTTTATCTCAGACTCACCGAATGGATCCTTGCATGTGACTGGGTCAGACGCAGGACCAGCCTCGCTCTCGCCGATGCTGTTGACAGCAACAATGCGGAACTGGTAGTCTGCATCGGGGGTGAGCCCAGGCAAAGTAAACATGGTGGAGGTGATCTTGGTTTCGTGGCGGGACCATGTCTCTGCGGACACCAGCTTGTACTCAACAAAGTAGCCAGTGATGGCAGAACCACCGTCGTCCTTTGGTCTGGACCAGGCCAATGCCACAGAGCTCTTTGTGACGTCCATGATCTCTGGTGGGGTGCTTGAAGGTTCAGGAGGACCTGGTTTGAAAAACACAAATTAATTTTTTAGTCATTACTGAATGGTCTCATACCATTCAAAGACACTTAAGACTGAAGAAGAGGAATACTTACAGATAGGAGTCGTGGGAACCAGTGGTTGCTCTGATTTCAGAGAGGAGCTGACACCGAAGGAGTTTTCAGCCGTGACCTTGAAGTGGTACTCTGTTCCCTCCTTCAGGCCCTTGACAACCAGTGTAGTGTCAGTCACTCTTGAGTCCACGGTGTACCAGGCATTTCTGGCTGCCTCGCGTCTTTCTACGATGTAACCCAGGATCTCTGAGCCACCATCGTCTGTGGGCGTCTTCCAGGACACCTTGACAGAGTTAGCCTGGATTTCCTCAAAGACCAATGGTCCCTCAGGAGCGCTTGGGCGGCCAATGACGTTCACCTTGATTTGGGCCTTTTTCTTGCCAACCCTGTTCTCCAGCAAAAGGTCATACACGCCAGAGTCGCTCCTCTCGGCTCCCTTGATCACCAGCTCGCTGGCATCCTCGGTGGAGGCAATCATAGCCTTGGTGGAGATTGCACCAGTATCCTTCGACCACTTGCAGGTTGGTTGAGGTTTACCCTTGATGGGTACAGAGAGTCTAACCACTCCTCCCTGGCGAACCACATACACCGCTTTGTATTTGAGCTCCAGGTCATAGTCAGGAGATTCTGGAGAACAATGATAGTTACAAAAGTCATTTTCTAGCTTATTTCTATTCTATTCTAGTTTTAAACATGCAAATGATGGTGTAGTTAATGTAATTTATCAGTCCTTACCAAGCATCTCAGTCACGGTAACAGTTCCAGGTACTTCAGCAGGCTCTCCAGAACCACCGGCATTGCAGGCCATCACACGGAATTTGAACTCCTCTCCTTGTGGCATGCTGGTCAGTGTGTACTCGCAGATTAGAGATGGTGTGGTGTTGCACTTGATCCAGGCCATGGTGCCCACCTTCTGCATCTCAATCAGATAACCGTCCACCCTTGCGTCTCCCTCATCGTCGGGAGGACTCCAAGCCAGCGACACAGAGGATTTAGTTGTATCTGTGATTCTCGGGTTCTGAGGACAGCCAGGTGGATCTGAGAGGGGAAGAGATGATATAATGAGTCTATGCTTGCTCTTGTAAGGCTTTCAGTGCCAACCATTGTAACTATGAGTTTTTTTTTTAAATATATAAAACAAAGCTTTTTTATCCAACTGTCTCTTACCAATGGGATCTGTTGCCACTGCTGGTTTAGATGGCAGACTTGGTTTGCTCAGTCCTCTGGCATTGATGGCAGTAATTCTGTGTTCATACTCCAGGCCCTCAATCAGCTCAGTTGATCTGTATCTGGTCATAGTGATGGGGTTCTTGTTGGCACGCACCCATCTGTCAGATCTGACTTCTTTGCGCTCGATAATGTATCCAGAAACCTCAAGGCCACCGTCTTCATCTGGTGGGTTCCAGGCCACGGTCATGCCATCACGAGAAACATCAAAGATGGTTGGACGGCCAGGAGGTCCAGGCACATCTGTGGGGGAGGGGAAACATGTTAGGATACTTCTGTTGACACATTGGCTAAATGTGTAACCTTAATTAAAAGCCCGAAGTCTTACCATTCAAGCTTTTGCAGGTGACGATCTCAGACTGCAAGAAGTCTCCGGTGCCGTAGCGATTGATGGCAGCTGCACGGAAGACATACTCATCTCTCTCAATCAGGTTCTCAAACTTGAAAGTTGGTCGGCTAACAGATTCGCAGACTGGCACCCAGCCGGGTCTGTGAGCATCACGCTGCTCCACCACGTAGCCACTGATGGGAGCTCCGCCATCTCTGACTGGAGGATCCCAGCTGCAGGTGACGGTGGTGGCATCAATCTCATCAAACCTGATGGGTCCCTTTGGTTCATCAGGTTTAGCTGGTACAAGGGGATTAACAAAATGAATGGTTACAGCAGTATTGTCAATTTAGAAATAACTCAATGCAGCAATAAATAACAAAACAAAAATAACAAATGAGGGATGGTTTCTTACAGAGGATGACGACCTTGACGATCTCACTGATAACACCAACGACATTCTTCACCTCCAGGGTGTAGTCACCAGTGTCGTCGATGGTGGTGTCAGAGATGGTCAGTTTGGAGAATTTGCCAGTGCTCTTGATCTTGACACGGTCTGTGATTTTCAGCTTGTTATCACTGAAGTACCAGGAGCAGACGGGAGGAGGCCTGCCGACTATGGGCAGGTCAAGCTCCAGAGTCTTGCCGGCCAGAACGTTGACAACCTTCTGAGGAATACTGGAGAAGTCCACCACGGGCATTACTGGAAGGTAAAGAGAAAGATACAATTCAATTCAGATACAATCAGTTGTTTACATCAGCAGTTGAGGAATAGATTGTGTACTGAGCTAAATGTTACTGTTGGGCAGATTACCAACTTTCATTTCAGAAAAGCAACCTAATTTCTTTTGTGAAAACCATGTACTTGAAAACAATTTCCATGATTTTGCCTAAAATAATTTAAAGACATGTATGTTCGACTGCAGGAAAAACTTTTTTATTTTACCTCTCTGTTCCTGTACAGTGACGGCTGCTACAAGCTCTTTGGGCTCGCTGGCTCCTCTACTGTTGATTGCTTTGATTCTGAACAGGTACTGCTCCTTCTCATTCAGCTTCTCGATGGTGTGCTCGAAGTCTGTCATCTTCAGTGTAGCCACCTTCATCCACTTGTCCGTGCCGAACCTGCAGGCTTCGATGACGTAGCCCGTCAGCCTGCTGCCACCATCATGCTCTGGCTTCTCCCAGCCCAGGATGACAGTGCTCTTGGTGACATCGATCACTTCTAGCTTGTGCGGCGGCAAAGGTACGTCGCAGACCAGGATGACGTCGGGAGTCTCGCAGGGCTCACCAATACCATAAATGTTCTCAGGGAGGACCCGGAAGTAGTACAGCATACCCTCCATCAGGCCGTCAATCTTGTACGATGTCTTGCTGCATTTAGAGGTGACGGTCTTGTAAGCTCTCATGGAGGCCTCACGCCTCTCAATGATGTAGTTGTTGACAGGAGCACCTCCATCCACAGTTGGGGCATCCCAAGAGATGGTAACAGACTCCTTGGTCAGCTCTTTGATCTTTATGGGTCCAGTTGGTCCAGGAGTATCTAATATTGGAAATACATTAAAACAATAAATGGTAAAATAAGTGTAAAATGTGTCACTTTAAAAAAAATATTAGTTTTGTCCTGTGTAATGCCCTGTGACATTCTCATCAACTTACCATAGACCTTGACCAGAATGTTGACTTCCTGTTTCCCAGCAGAGTTCTCAGCTACCAGTGTGTATTTGCCAGCATCATAGCGATGGACCTTATCGATGATGAGCGTGGTGGATGTGTTGCTGACTTCAATGAATCCTCTGTTGTGGAGGTCAACACCTGGCTTACTCCAAGAGAGGGCGGGAGTGGGACGACCGCTGATTTTTACGAACAGGCGGAGTGAGCCACCAGCACGTAAACAAATGGTCTTCTTCAGGTCATCGTGGAGCTCAAAGTCGGGAGTTTCTATGTGAGCAAAGGGGAGGATTATCGCTTGAAATGTTGGGAATTTAAACTTAAAGACTTACTATTTACTTAACTGACTTACAAGTGAAACCAAATTTGAACCTGCTGTGAATGTTACATATGTTATATTTTTAAGTTTTTTTATGTTGTGTTTTTTAATCACTGTATCAATGTATGTTTGTTGCTGTATATGTTCTAATATCTCATCTCTTTCTCTAATAAATGAACTGAAACTCAGTTGCTCAGAATTTGCAATCACTTAATGCTTTTTCAGATGACTTACCAATTCTCTCCACTGGCTCAGTCTCAGCACACGGTTCACTGAAGTCTCCTGTACCATTGATGTTGATGCCAGCCACTCTGAAGCAGTACTTCTTGCCTGCAGAAAGTCCCGTCACAATATATTCCGTACCACGCAGGGTCTTTTCATGGGCCTTCTTCCATTCCTCTGCTCCAGCTTCCTGCATCTCCAGGATGTAGCCCATCACATCAGCTCCTCCGTCCTCCACAGGGCGGGACCAGGCCAGGCTGATGCTGTCAGCGTGGGTGTCAGTGATACGCGGGATAGAAGGAGGAGCAGGGGTGCCTGAGAGGAGAGGATACAGGAAAGACAATCAATAGATCTAATGTGTTTATGGACATAATCGCCCCCTAATCATGTTACAAAAGACAAATCTAAAAAGATCAGATGTTTGAGATCTTCAGTTGCATTTAGGTATTTTGAGTTTAAAAAAACAGACTTACATGTTGGCACTCTGCAGACAACATACAGAGAAACCTCACTGGCTTCACTCTCTCCGGCCTTGTTGATGGCCGTCACTCTGAACTGGTAGATGTTGCCTTCAGTCAGACCGCACACCTTCAGCGTGGTGTCCAGATGAGCTCCGTCTCTGTTCACCTTCACCCAGCGAGCACTCTTTCTCTCATGCCTCTCCACCAGGTAGTGGATCAATGGGCTACCGCCATCGCTCTCTGGCTTCAGCCACTCAATAGTGGCAAAGTCCTTTCCTGACACCAGGATCTCTGGAGCACCAGGAGGAGTTGGCACCGCTGGAGGAAAGTAAAGATAATTCAGGGTCAGAGATTATTAGGATTCTATTTGTTGTTGCTCTGAAGGAAGATTTGCCTCAGAGATATTTGGCATATTATACTTTTAAAGCAGTGTTTAAATGAGCTGACTGTTTCACTTACTGAAAGTGTTTCTGGCAACCATGGGCTCTGACTGGAGGCAGACTCCAGGTCCGTACTTGTTCACTCCACGGACTCTGAACAGGTACTCGGTATTCTTGAACAGCCTAGTGATGTTGCAGGTCAGCTCCTTGCACTCTGCGTCCATGATGACCCAGTTTAGTCTGTTGGTGTCACGCCTCTCTACAATGTAGTGGGAGATCTCATCACCGCCATCCTCAAGAGGAGGCTTCCAGCCCAGTGTGCATGACTCTTCTGTGATCTTGCTAATCTCAATGACGCCTTCACATACTCCGGGGGTATCTGGAAAAAACAGATATATTCATTGTACTCTACTTTGCGTAACCAAGACAAATTAATACTTCAAGTATAAAATTGCCTGAAATGCTTGAAAAACAGAGCACTCTCACATACCAAGCACTTTGACGTTGACCTCAGCAGTCTTGGTTCCACTTACATTCCTGACTGTCAGGATGTACTTTCCTGTATCATCTCTGTCACAGAACTTTATAATAGCCATGGCCCTGGTGGGGGTGTACTGCAGGTGGTACTTTTCACACAACTCCAGCTCCCTGTTGCCCTTGGACCAGGAAGCCTTGGGGTCAGGCCTGCCTCCCACTGCAGCATCCAGAACCAGATCTGAACCAGCTCTGACCATCACAGTTTCGGACAACAGTTTACTATCCAGCTGTGCCTTTGGAGGCTCTGTTGGGTGGAAAAAAGGACATGGTTACAAAAAAATAAATAATGATAGAACTCCTTTGCTCAAAAGTCAAAAGTGTGCTGTATTGGTGGTACTGTATCACGATTACAGAGGCAGATCTTACCAAAGTCGGTCTTGCACTGCACAGAGCCGGTAGACTCTGAGGGCTTGCTGAAGACCTGGTTAGCATTCTTGGCGATGACTCTGAACTCATAGGGCTCTCCCTCTCCCAAGGCGGTAACAGTGTAGAAAGTGTCTGTCACATTGGTGTAGTTGCACTTGAGCCAGCGGCCCTCACCGGTCAGAGTGTACGGCTTACGCTCAATAATGTAGCCCACAATGGGACTGCCACCGTCGTTCAGTGGAGATGACCATTTGAGGGACACTGTGGTTCTTGTGACATTTGTGACTTCTGGCTTACTTGGTGGATCTACAAAAGCACAAAGATTTTGTCAGACAGGTTGGAGCAATGGAGTGTTAAGTAAAAAGCCACTGGATAGTGTGATCCTAAACTGTGTTAAAACTCACCAACTGGGTTTTGAGCAACTGCTCCCTTGGAGGCCTCACTGGCTTTGCTCAGTCCAGCACTGTTCATGGCATAAACCCTGAACTGGTATTCCAGGCCTTCAACCAGACCCTCCACCTTGTTGTAGCACTCAAAGCAGGGGATCTTGTTCTCTCTCACCCACAGGATGTTGTTCCTCTCCTTCTTCTCAATCCAGTAGCCAGTCACCTTGCTTCCACCATCATGGTAGGGCTCTTCCCATTTCAGGGTCATTGTGTTAGCAGAGACATTGAAGACTGTAGGCCTTGTTGGTGGGCCAGGAGGTGCTGTTATTAAAAAAGATATTTTGTTGTTGAGTGCATTCCACTACATTCTAGCCTGAATCAGTAGAACACATTTAACAGTCTAAGAAATGCAAAACTGTTATTTATCATTCATAAGTTAAAAGGCTGTAGTACTTACTGAAAGGATGCTCTGCAACAATCGTCTCAGACTCAGTGTGCTTGCTGACACCAAATCTATTCTCTGCAGAGACTCTGAATGTGTACTGCATGTACTTGGTCAGATGACTGACGTTGAGAGATGTGCGCTTTACGCTGGAGTTGATCAGCTGCCAGGCAGTGGAGCCAGACTCACGCTTCTCCACAATATAGTTGGTGATGTCCGTGCCACCGTCATCCTCTGGTGGTTGCCAGTCAATGACGCAGGACTCAGAGGTGATGGATGAGACTTCGATGGGTCCGGTTGGAGGACTAGGTCTACCTGTGACATTGACATCAATAGCAAAGGTCCTGGTTCCTGCCACGTTCTCCAGGGTCAGATAGTATTTACCACCATCTCCTCTCATGGCCTCCTTAACTGAGATACTGGTTCTGTTCTTAGTTACTTTGATAGTGACTCTGTCTGTGTTCTTCAACCTCATCTCCTCCAGCTTCCAAGTGACCTTAGGAGCAGGTCTACCACTAAAAGGAACGTCGATAGTGAAGGTACTGCCTGACTTGCTTGTGATTAGCTGGTTGGGGATCTCGCTGAGGTCAGCAGCAGGTTCAATGTGAGGCTCTTTAACTAACGCAGCAACCAGAGTTTCCCTGGGCTTGCTGTAACCGGATTCATTCTTAGCCTTTACACGGAAGTCATACTCATCACCTTTGTTGAGCTTTTCAACCATATAGGTGAGATTGGTGGTGTTTCCAACCACAAACCATTTGTCTGTACCCTTCGGCTTAGCCTCAAGGACATAACACTGGATGCGGCTACCGCCATCATGCTCTGGTTTCAGCCAGCCCAGTAGCACAGAGTTGTCTGTGGTGTCCAGGATGTCCATTCTCTTTGGAGATGCTGGCTCTGCAGTGGCAATGACAGGCTCAGTCAGCTCAAACGCCTCACCAATACCGTGATGGTTCTCGGCTGAGACTCTGAAGAAGTATGGCACTCCTTCCAGCAGGTCCTGGATCTTTAGGACATGCTGGGTGCAGTTGCCACCAGACTGCTGCCAAGTGCGGCGGCTAGCCTCACGTCTCTCAACAATGTAATGATGGATCCGGGCTCCACCGTCATTTAGAGGAGTTTCCCAGGCAAGTGTGACTGTGCCTCTGGACACCTCCTTGAAGACAACAGCCTGAGGAGGTCCAGGAGTGTCCATCACCTTTACAGTGAATGTAATGGCCTTGCTGCCACTACTGTTCTCCAGATTAACAGTGTATTTGCCTGAATCGTTTCTTGAGCAGTTTTCAATGCTTAGAGAGCTGTAGCCATCTGTAGTTGTGATCTCTGACATGACACCCAGCTGTCCTTCTTCCTTCACCCAGGTGGCAGTCGGGATCGGCTTTCCTCTGAAGCAGATGCCCAGACACACTGAACCTCCAGCCTTGACGATGTGTGTCTGCTTGAAGGTGGCGTCAATATCCACCAGTGGTGGTGTTAGCCTGTCTACAGCCTCAGTAGGCTCTGGAGTCTCCTTTTCCTCACCTCTACCCACGTGATTGACAGCTGCAACACGGAACTTGTACTCAGCTCCTGTCTGTAGACCTGTTACCATGTAATTTGTTTCTTCCACCAGCTGCTCATTCATTCTCTTCCATTCTGTCTCTTCTCCCTTTACCATCTCAATAATGTAGCCCAGGATCTCCATGCCTCCGTCATCTGCAGGCCTGGTCCATTCCAGGCTAATGGAGTTGTTGGTGGAGTCTGACACACAGATCACAGATGGAGCACAAGGAATATCCTTTGGCTCGGCAGCTTTGATAGGAATAGAGATGTTGCTAGGAGCTCCAACACCAGCATCATTCACAGCCATCACACGGAATTCGTATTCCATATCTTCTGTCAGGTGGAGCACTTTGTGAGCGCATTCAACAATAGGCTTCTTGGTTATCACCTTGTAGAACCGCAGAGTCTTCTTTTCGCGTTTTTCCAGGATGTAATACTGAATTGGGTTTCCGCCGTCAGATGTTGGAGGAGTCCAGGACAGGGTGATGCTCTCTCCTGTCACTTCAGTAGCGTCAGGAGTGCCTGGAGCCTCAGGAGTAGCTGAAGAAAACAATTTTAATAGGTGAGTGCATTGTCTGCATTTACTTAATTAATAACATATATAAATCAAAACTTTCTGTCTGAAATATTCAATAACACACTTCTTTTTACAACTCTCCACTTACTGTATTGCATCTGGGCAATGATGGGGCTGGATTCTAAAGGTCTGCCAACTCCAAACTTGTTAACAGCAGAGACCCTGAACTGGTACTCATTGGTCTTGATGAGCTTGGTTGCATTGAAAGTACACTCCGTACATTCATCTGACACCAAGGCCCAGGAGATCTTGGAGGTCTCGCGCTTCTCAATGATGAAATGTGAAATCTCAGAGCAGCCATCGTTCTCTGGTGGGTTCCAAGACAGAGTGCACTTGCCTTCTGAGATGTCGCTGAAAGTGATGGGTCCTACTGGCTCTCCAGGTGTGTCTGCATCACATAGGCGAACGAGATTGAAGTTAGACCATGAATAAATAAATACAATTGATAGTGTAAACAACTGCACTGTAATATATAGTTAAAAAACATCAAAGCTGCATACCTTGCACTTGAACAAGGATGTTCTCCTTTCTGCTTCCAGATCCATTGGTAGCCTCCACAGTGTAGAGGCCACTGTGTGTGCGATCAGCATCCCTGACAAACAGGGTGCTGGATCCAGCTACGTTGATAATATCCAACATCTTTTTGGTAATCTCCACACCATCTCTGTGCCACACGACCTTGGGAACAGGGCGTCCAGTGATGGTCACCTTCAGCCGTATGTTGTCTCCAGCCTTGACTGTTAAACCCTCAAAGTATTCTGGGCCAAACTCAATATTTGGACAAGCTGGTTTTGAGGAATAGGAGAAGCAATAGTTTACAGTTAGTATATTTACTGGGATTTAAAGATTTCATTTTACTTATGGTTTACAGAGCCTTTCACTTGTAGCCAGTTAGCAGTTACTAAAGGAAAACAAAAGCTGTGCTCACCAGCTGCAATTTTTAGTCATTATTCCTGAGATTCATTATTACAACCCTCTAGGCTCATTACTCACCATTCTCACTTCTGACTACAATCAAGCCAGAAGAATTGGAGGGAGGACTGGTGACACCGATGGCATTTCTGGCAATCACTCTGAACTCGTAGCGTTCATTTGTTGCCAGTCCAGTGACAGTGTACATGCAGTCATGAACATCAGTCAAATTGGCTTTGAACCAGCGGCCATGTCCTTGGCGTTTCTCCACATTGTAGCCGGTAATCTTGCTACCACCATCACGTTTGGGTGCATCCCATTTCAGTGTCACTGAGTCGCTAGTCACATCAGTGTAGTCGGGTTGGCCAGGAGGATCTGAAAGACGTACAAATTTTAACTTATTTTTGACTGAACCTTTGTGGTTTCTAACTACACATTATTCAGGCTTTAGAGAAATAATGATTTTGTTAAAATTATTTTAGTTCCAATGTAAATGTAAAAAAACAGCACTCACCAACAGGACTGACAGCCATGGTTGGCTTGCTCTCATCACTAATTCGGCTGAAGCCAGAATCATTCTGGGCATAGACCCTGAAGGAGTACTCCAGGCCTTCAATGAGTCCCAAGATCCTGTATTCTGTTTCTTTGATCAACATAGTGTTCACCTTTTGCCACATGATGCTGTTCTTTTCTTTCTTCTCCACATGGAAGCCCTGGATGGGGGTACCACCATCATAGATGGGTTGTTCCCACTGGATGGTCATTCCATCATTGGTGACATTGTAAACAAAAGGCTTGCCTGGTGGGCCTGGTGGCCTGAACTGGTGCTTGGCAATGACCATCTGTGAGACCAGAGGCTCACTGACACCATATCTGTTCTCAGCACACACTCTGAACTGGTACTGCACATTCTTGATCAGGTTGAGGACCTTGAACTCAGTATCCTGTACACTGGAGCAGGCCATCTTCCAGTCAGACTGGGAGGTGTCACGCTTTTCCACAGAGTAGCAGCTGATGTCTCCACCACCATCATCGTTAGGTTCATCCCAGGAGATTCTGATGCTCTCAGCTCTCACTTCATCCAGGCGGATGGGTCCAACAGGTTTTGATGGTGGTCCAAGTGTGATGACATGGATGTGGAAGGATCTCCTGTTGACCTTATTGTCAAGGGTCAGGGTGTATTTACCCTCATTCTCCTTCTTCACATTCTTAATCATTAGAGTGGCTTTGTTTTCTGTCTTCTTGAAGCGGACTTGGTCACTCTCCTTCAGTGGCAGGTTGTCCTTCAGCCACAGAATAGAAGGTTTGGGTTTGCCTTTGTATGGCAGCTCAATGTGCACATTGTGACCCAGGCGGACATTTAATCTGCCACCTGGGTACTCTGCAAGGCTTGCCTCAGGTGTTATAATGTAGTCAATGACCTTGATAGGCCCAATCTCTACAAAGTCACCCTGCCCCTTCTCATTTCTGGCGGCAACTCTAAAGAACACTTCTGAGTGCTCCTTGAGTTTCTTGACCTCAAACTCACACTGTCTGCTGGTTCCTCCCAATGACCATTCCTCATCCTTCAGTTTCTTCTCAATTACGTAGTCAGAGATGATGCTGCCACCATCATAACTAGGCTTCAGCCACTGCAGAGTGACGGAAGTCTTGGATGAATCCTTCATAGAGATCTCCTTGACTGGTCCGGGAGTCTCTGTAGCCTTCACAGGCTCACGTGTTTCACATGGATCACCAGCACCATTCTCATTCTCGGCTAACACACGGAAGAAGAAGGATGTCTTCTCAGAGAGATCTTCAATGGTGTATGTTGTTTCTGTGCATTTGCTTGTCACTGCAGAGTAGGATCTCTTGGAGGAGTCCCTCTTCTCAACAATGTAGTTTGTTATCTCAGCACCACCGTCATTGAGTGGAGGCTCCCAGCAGAGAGTAACCTTTCCACGGGTCACGTCCTTCAGGACCAGATTCCCGCACTGAGCTGGACTATCCTGGACCTTCACTGACAAGGTCACGGTCTTGGGCTCTCCCACACCATTCTCTATCTTTACTGTGTACTTTCCAGTGTCAAGTCTGGTGACCTCGCGCATAACAAGGACTGTGGTAGTGTCTGAGTGGTGGAACTCATATTTGGGGTCACAATCAATGCATTCTTCTCCCTTGCTCCAGGAAGCAGTGGGAGCAGGTCTGCCCTTCAGAGGAACTGACAGCTCCACATCTTTGCCAGCCTTCACAATGTAGTGAGTTCTCATGGCTACATCTGAGTCAATCTGGGCCTCCTCTGTGAAAATCATGAAAAATAATCATGGTCAAGCAGGGACTTCTATATGTGAGCAGCGTAAGAACAAAACAAGACATACATGTCAACTGAACACACTGCATTTTTAGTATCAGTGAATAATTTACCAAGGATATCCTTAGCCTGCACAGGCTCAGTCATCTCCAGAGGTTCTCCACGGCCAGCACAGTTGACAGCAGAGACTCTGAAGAAGTAATTGACATCTGGTTTTAAGTCGTGAACTGTGTACTCTGTTGTCTTGACCTCTCCCTTGGAGGTAATCATAGCCCATTCTTCCTCTCCTTCAACAAGCTTCTCCACCATGTAGCTGGTGACCTCACTGCCTCCATCCCATTCTGGCTTGGACCAGCCCAAGGTGATGGATGTCTTGGTGGAGTCCACCACCTTCAGCTTGCAAGGCTCATCTGGTGGATCTGCAAGGAAAATGTATTTGTTAGGTGGGGGCTGTTTCATTTTCGTACATGTACATTTTGGCACAAACTCAAACCCTGGGTGCTGTGATAAGGACTCAGATGACACATGGTATGAGCTCTACCAGTGAGGTACCTTGGTACCCATTAACTTTGTTTTTGTTGGATTGTTTTGGGATTGTTAGACAACTTACCAACTGGATCAGCAGCCTTGTAGTAGTCTGATGCACCAGAGAACGGTCCCTCTCCAGCCTTGTTAATGGCACAGACGCGATATTGGTACTCATTTCCTTCTGTCAGATGGTAGACGGTCTGTTTGACGTCAGTTACAGGATCTTTGTAAACCCTGATCCAACGCGAGCTCTTCTTGTCTCGTCTCTCCAGGTAGTAGCCTGTCACTGTGCTACCTCCATCTACACCGGGTTTGTCCCATTCTACAACCATGGTGGACTTAGTGATGATATTCACCTCAGGAGTCTGAGGTTGCCCAGGAGTTACTGTAGAATTATACAACAAACAAGTTAAGAAAATGTAAATGACAACATAAGTAGCAATTTTGATGCATGCAAGAATTTTGAGATGATGAGGGATAATTACTGCAAGTTAGTGCAATTAATGTTACATAAACAGAAAAACTCAAACATTTGTAACTATAGAAGCTCAATAATAAAATCGGGAATTACTTATTTAAATTGACTATCATATTCAAAGCACTCTACAGCCAAAAAACATACCAAAGGCGTTCTTAGCGATGACAGGCTCAGACTCCAGTGGCTCTCCAGCTCCGTACTTATTAACAGCCATTACACGGAACACATACTCGTTTCCACGCAACAGCTTGCTGACGGTGACATGTGTCTTCTCATGCCTGTCTGAAACTGTCGACCATACCACTCGGCTGGTTTCTCGTCTCTCAACAATGTAGTGGGTCACCTTGGAACCTCCCTGGTCAGACTCGGGCACAGGTTCCCAGCTAAAGACGATCCTGTCTGCTGTAACGGAGTTGAAGTTAATGAGGCCGGCTGGGGGTCCAGGTTTGTCTAAAGGGAGGTAAAAAACATTGAATAGAAACATTAAATACAAAGATGATGGAAACAAATGAGAGTAGCTCAATTAAAATTGATTTCATTCAGATTGATGGAAATATGAAGAGGTGAGGCATATATATAAGTTCAACATACCAAGAATTTCAATCCTGATGGTTGCAGATGCAGAACCCAGAACATTCTTGATCTTGACCTCATATGAGCCTGTGTGAATGCGAGCTGCATCCTTGATCAGAACAGCAGAAGAGTCAGTTGTGCTTTCAACAGACATGCAAGAGGTTGCTACCAGCTCTTTTCCATCCTTGAGCCACTCAATAGTTGGCAGAGGCTTGGCGATGATTCCAACTTTAAGCTTAACTGAAGCTCCAGCCTTGAACTGAACCACATCCAGATACTCTGGAGGAAGGTCAATGGCTGGGGCACCTGTGGGACATGAGATATTAATATCAGTAAGCTTTAATCAATAAAAGTAAACAAAAAATATTTAAACAATTTAAACAAAGATATAAATTAAAACTCACCACATGCATCAACACAAGTGACTGGGCCAGCATTGAGAGATGGGTTGCTGACAGACCCAACAGCATTCTTGGCATACACTCTGAACTCATAAGACTCATCCTGGTTCAGTCCAGACACAGTGAAGCCCAGCTCAATGATGTTTGTGAAGTTGGCCTTCACCCATCTGCCATTGGGAGCGTCCCTCCTCTCCACACTGTAGCCAGTTATCTTGCTGCCACCATCATATGGAGGTCTCTGCCAGGCCAGGCTGACTGAGTTCTTGGTGACTTCAGTGATACGGACATTTGCTGGGGGCTCTGGAACATTCAAATGAGAAAGATGCAATTTTAATTAAGCACAGTAAAGAGTGTTTTCGTGTAAGCCCACTGTTTTTTAAGGCTGTGGGTCCCTTTAAAACTGAAGATAACCGGAGGTAGAAATACTTACCGCAGGCATCAATAGCAAGCACCTCTTCAGAGGTCTTGCTCATCTTTCCAATGCCGGCTGCATTTTCAGCTGCCACCTTGAATTCATAGATGAGGCCAGGGCAGATGTTTGTGACTCGCCACTGGTTTCCTGCAATTGCTGTCTTATTGACCTTCTGCCAGAGGATGCTGCTTCTCTCCTTCATTTGGAGATGGTATCCAATAACAGGGTTTCCACCATCATTGACCGGTTCATTCCAGCAAACTGTCAGGCTTTCTCTAGATACAAAGCCGAACCATGGTGTGGATGGAGGTCCAGGGATGGCTGTAATGGACAACAGTCATGTTAGTGTTCAGAAGGATTCATAATCCATAATACAAAAGTTGTTCTAGAACAGGAATATTATTTTTCCTTCACGTACTATATCAGTTGTTATCAACAAAAAAAGTAGTCAAAGCTACGCTTATTCTTTCCAACTTGTATTCAAGTGTATTGACTTACTGTATGGAAGCTTTATCATGACTGGCTTGCTGTCAATGTGGTCGCTGACACCGTAGCGATTCTCAGCCTTGATTCTGAACTGATACTCCTCTCCCTTGGTCAGCTTTGTCACCTTGATCGCGCTTCTGGCAATGCTAGTTGACACCTCTGCCCAGGAAGGAGTGCTGGTTTCACGTTTCAGAACAATGTAGTTGGTAACGGGACTGCCACCGTCATACTCAGGAGGAGCCCATTTCAGACATACTGTGGTCTCTCCCACCTCCCCAATCTCTACTGGACCAACAGGATGTCCTGGTCTGTCCAGCACAACAAAAATAATGAAGATCTTGGTGGTACCTCCCACATTTGAGGCAGTGACTTCATACTTGCCAGCGTCACTTGAAATACTTTCATTTAGGGTGATGATTAAACTGTCTGGAGTAACTTCTGTTAGCAGCCTCTTGGATCCCTTGATGACAACATTGTTCTTGGACATAGTCACCTTAGGCATAGGCCTGCCAGTGAGAGGAATCTCAAAGGTTAGGTTGGATCCTGCTCTTACATAAACTTTATTCTTGGGGTAATTCTTCAGGTCAAACTCTGGAGCCACTGTTGAAAAAACAAGACAGGAATGGGATAAGTAATGTCACTTTAAAACGAATAACCCCATCACATTGCATTTTCCACAAGTTGCATGTCTTTTCAAAAGATAGTAGCAAAGCTAGAGATAATACCATGTATTTCCTTGACAATAACTGGTACGATCATCTCCTTTGGTTCACTGAGTCCGGCATGGTTCTCAGCACGGACTCTGAAGAAGTACTCAGCACACTCCCTCAGGCTCTTGATGGTGTGGGTCATGGTCTTCACGGTGGCACACTTCACCCACTTTGTCTGTCCCTTCTCCAGGGCATCAATAAGGTAACCAGTGACTCTGCTACCTCCATCGTATTCTGGTCTTGTCCAGGCAATTGTAATACTGTCCTTGGTAACATTTGCAACTCCAAGTTTCATGGGTGGACTTGGTACCTCTGTAACAGAAAGGTGAGACATTTTATTATTGACATTTTGTCAAAATAATAACAGTTGTATAAAATAAACTTAACAGCTACTACCTTTAAAACTGTAAGTTCATATGTTACCTGTAATCTTTGTTCCAGCCTTGGCTTCTTGAGGGACACCCACTCCATGTTCATTTTCTCCAATAATTCTGAAGTAATACATGGCTCCCTCCTGCAAGTCTTCCACCTTGTAAGTCATTGCATGGCAGTTGCTGGTCACAGACACCCAGGCCTTCTTACTGGCCTCACGTTTTTCAACATGGTAGGCCTTCACTGCATCACCACCATCATTCTCTGGAGCTTCCCAAGTGAGGGTTGCAGAATCCCTGGTCACTGCTGAAACTTTAACATTGACAGGGGGTCCAGGAGAGTCAAGCACCTTGACAACCATGGGCAATGTTGCTTTTCCCAATGGTGATTCAATTGTGACAGAGTATTCCCCAGAGTCATTTCTAGTTGCCTTCTCAATTGTCAATGAAGTGCTGGATTCTGTTGATTCAATAGTTCCTCTGACATTGAGATCAACACCCTCCTTGGCCCATACCACTGATGGCGCAGGTTTGCCCTTGAATGGTACATTGAGAGTAAATGCTGTGCCATGCTTAACACTTTGTACTTTACGCATCTCAATGTCAACATCAAATGATGGCTCTGAAGTTCTGTCCATTGCTGCAGCTCCATCTGAATATGGGCTACGTGCACTGCTGCCAATTTTGTTTATTGCCTTGACACAGAATTCATATTCTGCATCTGTCTTTAGTCCAGTGACTGTAAACTCCAAGCTCTTGGTAAGAGGGATAGCCTCAACCCATCTTGCTAGCTCTTCGGGTGATTCAGGTTCCTCTTCTTCCTCCTCCTCATATTCATATTCATCCTCATCTCCCTCAACCTCTGGCTCTGGTTTATGGATATAGTCTCTGTATTCTACACTGTATCCAAGGATGGGGGCACCACCATCATTTGTTGGTGGTTTCCAGACAATGGACACACTGTCTTTCGTTGAACTGACAATCTTTGGTTTGGTTGGGCGAGAAGCAACAACCAGAGGATCTGCTGTTCTGAATGATGCAGATGGTTCACTTGGAGGACTTAGACCAGCAGAGTTTTCAGCATAGACTCTGAAGTCATACTCACAACCCTTACGCAGTTTGGTTGCTACTGCGGTGCATTCCACAACTGGATCTCTGTTCACACGGACCCAGCGCATACCTGTCTTCTCACGGCGCTCAATCACATATCCAGTGATGGGGCTGCCTCCATCACTGGCTGGTTTGCACCAGGTAAGGGTCATTGAATCTCCAGTTATGGTAGTGACATCAACACTAGCTGGAGCAGTGGCAAAAGTGTATGGATCTGTAATCTTTACAGCATCACTCTCCAGAGCCTCACCAAGTCCATGCTTGTTGACCGCCAAAACCCTGAAGATATATTCATTGCCCTTTAGCAATCCTGTGACTTTGAAGTGTGTTTTTGTGATGTCTCCCTTCACCAATGTCCATGCCAAGCGGCTGGTCTCACGCTTCTCAACAACGTAATGTGTGATCTCAGCACCACCGATCTCCTGAGGAGGACCCCATGACAGAGTGCACGCCTCAGCTGTGAGACCTGTGATCTGCAGAGGTCCTGCTGAAGGTCCTGGCTTATCTAAAATCACACAGTTTATTGGCATGGTAACTGTTCCGCCAATATTCTGTAGAGTCAGTGCATACTGTCCAGAATCTCTTCTGATACAATCCTTCACAATAACAGAAGTGCTGGTGTCTGTTGAAACGATCTGGATTCTGGCTCTCAGCTCAATATCTTTCCCATCCTTGGTCCAGGAAATAACAGGGGCAGGACGTCCAGCAAAGTCAGCATTTATTTTCAAAGTTTCTCCCGCTTTCACAAACACTGTTTCTCTGAACTTGACATCCATCATGATACGTGGTGGATCCACATCATCCTTGACAGTGATGGGGCCAGTGTTCCAAGATGGATGACTGAACAATCCAGCTGCATTCTTAGCAATGACACGGAAGTCATACTGGCTGTTTTCTGTAAGACCTGTAACATCATAGTGGGTCTCTGGCACGTTGGTGAAGTTGCACCTTGTCCAGCGTCCTTCAGGGAGGTCTCTGCGCTCAACGACATAGCCAGAAACCTTGGCTCCACCATCATACTCTGGTTTATCCCAAGACAAGGAAACAGATGTTCTGGTAATAGCAGTAACCACAGGTGTGCCTGGAGGGTCACATGGATCTCTGGCTGCTACGCCTTCACAGGCCTTGCTACATTTACCGATACCAGCAATATTTTCTGCATAGACACGGTATTCATACACCATGCCCTCTTCAATTCCATTGACTTTGTATTCTGTATCTTTGATCATTCCTCTGTTCATCTTTGTCCAAAGAATGCTAGTACGCTCCTTCCTCTCCAGATGGTAGCCCAAAACAGGACTACCACCATCACTGACTGGCTCATTCCAAGTTACCAACATGTAAGACTTTGTAGCCAACTTCACAATAGGTGTGGAAGGAGGTCCAGGTTGTTTGAAGTTATACTTAGCAGTAATTCCAGGTGAATCTAGAGATGTACTCTTTCCATAACGGTTGACTGCATAGATGCGGAATTGGTACTCTGAGCAATGTGTTAGGCGGCCAGCCTTGAAAGATGTTCTGGCAACATTACTTGCTGCCATCTGCCACTCCTGTGTGTTTGTGTCTCTTTTCTCCACAATATAGTTACTGATGGAGCAACCACCAGTATAATCTGGTGGGGACCAGGACAGTGTGATGCTGTCTGAGGTCACAGCATCCACCTTGATACCTTTAGGTGGACCTGGTTTATCAAGGACAACAACTCCAATATCTGCTGTGACAGTTCCTCCTGCGTTAGCCAGAGTGATCTCATACTTGCCAACATGTTCTCTGCTAGCCTCTTTGATCATAATTTTGGATGATGTTGCAGTGTTTAAGATGGTGACTGATGATGTTTGCTTCAAAGGAAGGCCATCCTTCTTCCAGGATACAACAGGTTTTGGCCTACCTCTTACTGGAACCTCAAGAGTGAGGTCATCTCCAGCCTTCACACTGTATGTGGTAAACAGTAAGTTGGTAGATGGTTCAATTGAAACATCCTTTGCAACCACAGGCAAACCAAGATCCTTTGGCTCACTCTTTCCCTTCTCGTTGATTGCAACAACTCTGAATAAATAGGCTTCGTTAGGGGTCAGATTAGGAATAGTTGCTTCAGGCACCTTGACTGTGCATGCTGTGCCCCATTTATCTCCACTTTTAGGCTTAAACTCTACATTGTAGCACATTATCTTGCTTCCACCATCATGAGCAGGTTTTTCCCATGCCAATGACACACTGGTCTTCGTCAAATCTACAAGTGTTACCTTGCTTGGTGGCAGAGGTACGTCAGACACTTTGATTTCTTTGGTTTCAACCATCTGTCCTTGGCCATATTCATTAACAGCACAAACTCTGAAGTAGAAAATGCCACCCTCAGGCAGCTCTTCAATCTTGAATGAGTTGGCTGTGCAGTTGCTAGTGACAGTAGTATAGGCCTTCCGGACAGACTCTCTCTTCTCTACAATGTAGTTTGTTATTTTAGAACCACCATCAGTGAGTGGAGTATCCCAGCCAAGAGTCACTGAATCCTTCTTGAGCTCCTTTACAGCAAAGTTTTGTGGCGCACTAGGTGTATCCAAAATTCTCACTGCAACAGTAGCAGATTTTGCACCACTACTATTCTCCAGTGTTAGTGAATATTTGCCACTGTCAAAGCGATTAACATTGTCAATAACAAGCATGGTGTATGAACTGGTGGTGTCAATTGCAGCATTATCTGTGAGAGTACCGTCTACCTTCTCCCATTTCACAGTAGGTTCAGGCCTTCCTCTGATGGTAACAAACAGACGCAAAGTTCCACCGGCACGAACAGATACCACCTTTCTGAGCTCAGCATCCAACTCAATCTCTGGTGTTTCTACCCTGTCAGATGTGACCACAGTGCTGTGAACATTAGCAGCCTCCCCCACTCCCTCAGAATTGATAGCACAGACACGGAACTGGTACTCTCCACCCTCTTTCAGGTCTGTGATAGTGAGTTTAGTGGCTTGAATGCCAGTAGGTGGAGTGCACATGGTCCATTCTTTTTCAACTGGTGCCTCTACTGTTGGTGCTACTTCTAACTCCTCTGTCACTTCAGGCACTGGTGTATACTCCCTCATTTCAACAATGTAGCCCTTGATGTAGGCACCACCATCAAAGTCAGGTTTTCCCCAGGACAGAGACACAGAGGACTTTGTGTAGTCTGTCACCTTAGGATGGTGTGGAGGTCCAGGTGGTGTTGTGGTATCACATGCTCTATAGAATAGGGACAGTTCACTTAGGTCTCCCATTCCAGCCTCATTCTCAGCAGAAACACGGAACTCATAGAAGTGGTCTGTCATCAGACCTGTGACCTTGAAGTGAGTGTCCGTCAGTTTCTGTCTGTTGCATTTTGTCCACCTTACACTATCTTTGTCACGTTTTTCAAGGTGGTAGCTGTCAATGTCTGCTCCACCAGTTTGTTCTGGAGCAGTCCATGAAAGAACCATAGAGTCCTTGGTGATCTGACTTGCTTCTGGGGTTCCAGGAGGACTAGGGGGCTTATAAGGATTGCGTGCAATGATGGGTTCACTCTCAAGATAATCACCAACACCATATTTGCTGACTGCCCTGACTCTGAAAATGTATTCATTTCCAGGGAGCAGATTTTTTAGTTTATAGAACAGACCCTTGATATTTGGTGCAGCCACAGTCCAGGACAATCTGCTGGTCTCTCTCTTCTGTAAGACATAGTGAGTGATACTAGCTCCACCATCCAGAGTTGGCTCAGACCAGGAAAGGATGCACCTGTCAGCCATGATCCCTGTCACCTTCATGGGTCCAGTGGGTGGACCTGGTTTATCAAGGACTTTGACAGTGATAGGGAAGGTTTTTGTACCACCCAGATTTTTTAGGACAAGGTCATAGTGGCCACTGTCAACTTTGGTTACATCCTTGATGGTTATGGCTGCACGTTTCTCTGTAGTTTTCACTTCAATTCGCAGGGCTTTGTCCATTTCCTTGCCCTCTTTTAGCCAGACAACATCAGGAATTGGTTTTCCATAAATGTCTGCATAGAGAAGTAAGCTTTCCCCAGCATTGACAACAATGACATCCTTGTATTTGGGATCCATTGAGGCCCTCGGTGGTTCAATTTCATCAGTAGCAGTTATAGGTCCAGAGCTGTCAGATGGCCCACTGAAAACTCCAGCTGCGTTTCTCGCAATAACTCTGAATTCATATTGCTCATTCTCTGTCAGACCAGTTACATTATACTCAGTTTCAATTATATTAGTGAAGTTAGCTCTTACCCAGCGCCCTTCAGGGGAGGAAAGATCTTTCCTTTCCACAATATATCCATTCACTTTGCTGCCACCGTCATACTGAGGTTTTGTCCACTGAATCTTGATAAGGTTCTTAGAAATAGATACAGCTTCAGGAGTACCAGGAGGGTCACATGGATCACGAGCAACAAAGGACTCAGACACTTTACTGCATCTGCCAATGCCGACAATATTTTCAGCATAGACTCGGAATTCATATCCAATACCCTCCTCAAGATTGGCAATCTTGAATTGAGTATCAGTAATGAGAGTCTTGTTCAGTTTGTTCCACATGATGCTGCTTCTCTCCTTGCTTTCCAGATGGTAACCAATAACTGTACTTCCACCATCATTGACTGGCTCATTCCATTCAATGATCATCATTTCCTTTGTAGCATATTTTACATATGGAGTTCCTGGAGGCCCTGGTGGTTTGTATGGATATTGCACAACAATGGCCTTGGAGTCCAGAGGCACACCCTTTCCATACCTGTTTTCAGCTATGATTCTGAACTGGTATTCAGCACCAGTCTTCAGCTTAGTGACCTTGAAAGCTGTTCTAGCAAGCTGTGTGGTGACTGACTGCCATGTTTGGGTGGTGGTGTCTCTCTTTTCCACGATATAGTTCTTTATCTGGCATCCACCTGTGTACTCTGGAGGCTCCCAGGAGAGATGGACAAATGTGTTGCTCACTTCAACAACCTTGATTGGGCCTGTTGATGGACCAGGCTTGTCAAGGATAATGACAGCCACGTCCTCTGTAATTGTGCCGGCAGTATTGGTTGCTGTTACGGAATATTTACCCAAATCTTCCTTGCATGCCTCAGTAATTAGAATTCCAGTTGTTGACGGAGTGTTTACAACATTGACTCTGGATGTCACCTTAAAAGACTGACCATCCTTGGTCCAAGTGACTTTAGGTTTGGGCCTGCCAAGCACAGGGAACTCCAACTTGAGATCTTTTCCAGCTAATACACTGTACGTGTTAAATTGCATCTTAATACTTGGCTCTATGGTCATGTCACTGGCAACGACAGGTGCAGCAAGTGCCTTAGGTTCACTCTTGCCCTTCTCATTGTAAGCAATAATACGGAATAGGTATTCTGTCCCAGCTGTGAGGCCTGTGACAGTGCCCTCACATGTCTTTGTATTTGTTGCAACTCCCCACTTATCTGTACCCTTTGGCTGCATCTCTATTAGGTAACCACCAATTCTACTGCCTCCATCATGCTGAGGTTTTTCCCAGGCCAGTGAGGCACTGGCTTTGGTGACATCAGTGAGGGAGACTTTTCCAACAGGGAGTGGTACCTCAGAAGCCTTTGAAGCTGTCTTTGTTTCAACAGCCTGGCCTATTCCATAGTCATTCTCAGCCATGACTCTGAAGTAGTACATAGCACCTTCAATCAAGTTCTCAACTTTGAATGTTGTCTTGGTGCATTTTGTGGACACATTTGCATAAGCCTTTCTGGTTGATTCACGTTTGTCAATGACATAGTTCTTGATTTTGGAACCTCCATCAATTAGTGGGGCATCCCATACAAGAGTGACAGAATCCTTTTTGACTTCTTTAACCACGAGGTTCTGTGGGGATGCAGGTGTATCCAGAATTTTAACAGCAACAAACTCAGACACAGAGCCACTGCTGTTTGTCAGGCTTAGGGTATATTTTCCTGAGTCACTCCTGTCACATGAGTCAATGGACAGCTGAGTGAAGTTGAGAGCTTTTTCAACCACCACCTTTTCAGTCAGATCTCCCTCATCCTTAGTCCACTTAATCTCAGGTGTTGGCCTACCCTTGAATGGAATATGGATTCTAACAGATCCACCAGCTTTCACAATGATGCCCTTTCTCAACTCAGAGTCAAGGTGGATCTGTGGTGGATCCACCCTTTCCTCAGGCTTAGCTGTACCAGAGAGAGTTGCTGGTTCACCAACTCCTAGTTTGTTCAGAGCACACACCTGGATCTTATACTCCGTACCCTCAGAAAGTTTGGTAATTTCATATTTGTTGACACGCAGTCCAGTGGGGGGAGTAACCATGGTCCATTCCTCCTCTTCAGCCTTGCAGATTTCAACAATGTATCCTTGAATGGCAGTGCCACCATCTGACAGAGGCTTACCCCATGACACTGTAATAGAACCTTTTGTGGAGTCAATCACATTCACATATGCTGGGGCACCAGGTTTGTACTTGGGATCACAGGCCTTGTAGAATGAACTTGGAAGGCTTGGCTCTCCCACTCCAACTACGTTCTCAGCAGCCACTCTGAACTCATATTCATGGTCAGTTGTTAGGCCTGTAACTCTAAAGGAGAGGTCAGTGACTTTCTGTCTGTTGCATCTGGTCCATTTGATTCCATTTCTGTCCTTCTTTTCAATGCTGTAATTGGTAATCTCACTGCCACCATCACTCTCAGGGGCTGACCAAGTGATTGTCATGCCATCATGAGCAATGTTGGATACATCATCAATATGAGGTGGACCAGGAGGAACAAATGGAGTCTTCATGATAACTCCGTGAGACTCCAGTGGCTCACTGATACCGTAACTGTTAACTGCCATGACACGGAACATATACTCATTGCCTTCCAGTAATTTGGTGACTTTGTAACGTGTGGTGTCACAGCTGTTAGAAACAACAGTCCAAGCAAGACGGCTGGTCTCTCTTCTCTCAATCACATAGTGCTTAATAGGACTGCCTCCATCATGTAGAGGGGCACGCCATACCAGTATGCATCTATCTTCAGCTACTCCAGTGATGTGGAGGGGTCCTTCACATTGGCTGGGCCTGTCCAAGACCACAACTTTGAATGGAACAGTTTCACTGCCAGCCTCATTTGTCAGCTGGAGTGTGTAAATTCCACCATCAATTCTAACGGAGTCCTTAATGACAATCATTGCCTGGTGTTCTGAGTTTTTAATCTCTAGTCTGAGTGTATTCTCGATTGGTTTTTCATCCTTGAACCACGTGATTGTAGGCAGTGGCTTGCCACGGACATCGGCATCTAGCTTGAATGTCTCTCCAGCATTGATGATAATGGTCTTGGTGAATGCAGGGTCAATGGAGAATTTGGGTGCCTCCACCTCATCACTTGCAGTGATTGGTCCACTGTTGTAGGATGGCTTACTGATGGTGCCAACAGCATTTTTAGCAATGACTCTAAAGTCATACTGTGCATTTTCAGTCAGACCAGTGACCGTGAACTGGGTCTCAATCACATTAGTGAAGTTTGCCCTTACCCACCTGCCCTCTGGCAGATCACGCTTCTCCACAGTATAGCCAGTTATATTACTGCCGCCATCATATTCTGGTTTAGTCCACTGAATGACAATGGTATCTTTGGTCACATGTATGGCCTCTGGTGTACCCGGAGAATCACATGGGTCACGGGCAACACAGCCCTCTGAGATCTTACTGCATCTGCCAATGCCAACAATATTTTCAGCGTAAACCCTGTATTCATACTCAATACCCTCATCCAAGGGGTAACTCTTGAAAGTAGTTTCGTGAATAAGTGTTTTGTTGATTTTGACCCAGAGAATACTATTCCTCTCTTTCCTTTCAAGATGGTAGCCAAGAACAGTGCTGCCTCCATCAGAGACAGGCTCGTGCCACTCAACAATCTGGTGGTCCCTAGAGAGAGAGGGGATGAAAGGCGTGCCTGGTGGGCCTGGCTCTCTGTATGGGTATTGAGCGACCACGGCAGATGAATCCAGACCATGACTCTTGCCATAGCGGTTCTGAGCAATGATCTTGAACTGGTACTCAGCTCCAGTCTTCAGTCTTGGCACTTTGATTGTGGTTCTGGCACAGTTGATACTGACATTTTCCCATGTTGTTGAAGTAGTATCTCTCTTCTGCACAATGTAGTTTGAAATCTGGCAGCCACCATTGTGTTTTGGTGGGTCCCATGAAATAGTGATACTCTGTGTTGTGATTTCATCAAACCTCACAGGGCCGGATGGAGGGCCAGGCTTGTCAAGTACAATGATTTCAACAGTTGTATCTTTCTTTCCAGCTGAGTTAGCAACGTGTATACTGTACATACCACCATCATCACCTGCTGCCTCCTTAATGCTCAGTGTTGTCTGTGTTGGTGTGTTGAGGATGTTAACTCTGGTAGTGAACTTCAGAGAAGCTCCATCTTTAGTCCATGAAACTGTTGGTTTAGGACGTCCAAAGATGGGAATGTGAATATTCAGGTCCTTACCCACATGGACACTGTAGTTGCTGAATGCTGGTCGAACATCTGGCTCAAAGACTAAGTCCTTGGTCATCACTGGACCAGAAAGGACTTTGGGGTCACTCTTTCCCTTATCATTGATTGCTGTAACTCTAAACAGATACTCTTCTCCTGGGTTCAAATTGGAAACAGTAGCCTCCATTGTCTTAAATGTGTTAACACCAGACCACTTATCCTGACCCTTGAGCTGCACCTCCAGCAGGTACTGCATGACTCTGCTACCACCATCATACTCAGGCCTCTCCCAAGCCAAAGAGATGCTTGTTTTAGTTTGGTCTGTAACAGTCAGGTTCTTTGGAGACTGGGGTACCTCTGAGACCTTCAGAGGGTCAACAGTTGCTGCAGGCATGCCAACACCATGTGCATTCTCAGCAAGCACCCGGAAGTAGTAACTGCAGCCTTCCTGGAGTGGTTCAATCTTCCATGAAAGAGCATGACAATTTGTTACAACAGCTGCATATGTTTTGCGTGTGCTTTCTCTCTTTTCAACAACGTAGTTCTTGATCTTGGACGCTCCATCCAACAGAGGTGGTTCCCATGCCAGTGTCACTGATTGGTTTGTAATTTCTTTGACTTTGAGGTTAACAGGAGCACTAGGTGTGTCAAGGACACGGACAACAACAAATGCAGATTTGGTTCCACTAGAATTCTCTGCAGTGACAGTGTATTTTCCACTGTCATTCCTGCCCATCTTGTCAATTACAAGGGATGTGTAACTACTGGTCACTTCAACCTGAGCAGTCTCTTTAAGTGCAGCCTCATCTTTGTCCCACTTGATGGTAGGACTAGGCTTTCCTTTGATGGGAATAAAGAGTCTAAGGGATGCTCCAGCTTTAATGGTTACAATCTTTCTCAATTCTGGATCAATGTCAAGGTCTGGCTCTTCTGCCTTGTCCTGGGCAACAACAGCTCCAGAGACATCAGCATGCTCTCCAACTCCCACTTTGTTCACAGCACATACTCTAAACTTGTATGCCTGGTTTTCCTTCAAGTTTGGAACTTCAAACTTGGTCTTTTTGATCCCTGTTGGTGGCGTGCACATGATCCATTCTTCAGCAGGTGCATCTGTGGCAGCTGCTTCAGCAGGGGCTTCAGCAGGGGCCTCAGCAGGGGCTTCAGCTGGCGCTGCTGGTTCTGTGGTAGTGCAACACTCAACAATGTATCCCTGAATCTCACAGCCTCCATCACAGACAGGTTTGCCCCATGACAGGAATACAGATGTTTTAGTTGTGTCAGTAACTCTAGGATTGTGTGGTGGGCCAGGCCTGAAGATGGGATCAAGAGCTTTGTAGAATACAGTTGGGGAGCTTGGCTCACCAACACCGACAGCATTCTCAGCTGCAACTCTGAATTCGTAGATATGGCTGTCCAGGAGGCCAGTGACCTTGAAAGTCAAGTCAGTAACTGCTTGCCTATTGCTTCTGATCCATCTTACGCCCTCTTTGTCATGTCTCTCAATTATGTAGCCAGTAATAGGACTTCCTCCATCTTCAGAAGGAGCCTCCCAGGTGAGTACCATTGAATCCTTTTTGATATCTGAAACTTCCAAGCTCTTGGGTGTTCCAGGGGGCAAATATGGATCTTTGATTACTGCAGCAGCAGACTCAAGTCCTGGACCCACTCCAAATTGGTTGACAGCATGGACTTTGAAAATATACTCATTTCCTTCTAATAGCTTACTAATCTTTAAACAAGTATTTACGACTTTCGGGTCAACAACAGTCCAGACTAGTCTGCTTGTCTCTCTCCTCTCCACGATGTAGTGAGAGATCTTGCTGCCACCATCCTGTAGTGGTGGTTTCCATGCAAGGCAGCATCGGTCTTTGGTTATTCCTGTAACAACAAGAGGTCCCTGTGGTTCTCCAGGTTTATCTAGAACAACCACATTGACCTGTACAGCCTTTTCTCCTCCTGGATTTTTCAACAGCAGAGTGTATTGGCCTCCATCGGAAAGCTTAGCTTCCTTGACAAATATGCAGGCTTTTGTGGGTGTGTTCTTAATCTCTCTATGAATAGTGTTGCCCAGTTCCTGCTCTCCCATCATCCAGTGGATAGTGGGCAATGGTTTGCCATGGACATCTCCGTCTATCTTGAAGTTGTCTCCAGCATTAACCACAATAGTCTGTGTGTACTCTGGGTCAATGCTGATGCGTGGTGGTTCAATCTCATCCTTGGCAGTGATAGGACCAGTGCTGTAAGATGGGAGACTGAAAACACCTGCTGCATTTCTGGCAATGACACGGAACTCATACTGATTGTCCTGAACAAGTCCAGTTGCAACATATTCTGTCTCAATGACGTTAGTGAAGTTAGCCTTCAGCCAACGACCTTCAGGAAGCTCCTTCTTTTCCACAATGTAGCCTGTAACCTTTGCTCCACCATCATACTCTGGCTTGGTCCAAACAATGGTCACAGAGTCCTTAGCAATCTTTGTTGCCTCTGGGGTGCCAGGAGGATCACAAGGATCTCTAGCAACATGTCCCTCAGACACTTTGCTCACTTTGCCTATTCCAACAATGTTTTCAGCATAAACTCTGTATTCATACTCCATTCCTGGTTCAAGACTAGTGGTCTTGAAGGTTTGGTCAGTAATAAGAGATTTGTTAAGTTTAACCCAAAGGATGCTGTTTCTCTCTTTGCGTTCAAGATGGTAGCCCAAGACAGTGCTTCCACCATCATTCACAGGTTCATTCCAGGCAATAACCATGCTATCCTTGGTGCAGGCTGCAATGGATGGGGTTCCTGGGGGTCCTGGGAGCTTGTATGGGTATTGAGCCACAATACACTCTGATTGAAGAGCTGGGCCTTTTCCATATCTGTTTTCTGCTGTGATTCTAAACTGATACTCCGAGCCAGTCTTCAACCTGCCTGCCTTGATTTTGGTCCTTGCAAGGTTCGGAGATACAATCATCCAGTTAGTTGTGGATGTGTCTCTCTTTTCCACAATGTAGTGTTTGATGGTGCACCCTCCATCATATTCTGGTCGGTTCCAGGAAATGGTTACACTGTCAGAAGTGACCTCCTCCACCTTAACTGGACCATCCGGCTGGCCAGGTTTGTCAAGAACAACGATGCCAATGTCTGCTGTTGTCTCTCCTGCTGTGTTGGTAAGAGTTATGTGGTACTGTCCAACATCATCTTTAGTAGCCTCTTTTATGTTGAGGGTCAGCATTTTGTCTGTTGCAGAAAAGTTTACTCTGGTAGTTCTCTTCAGGGGCTGACCATCTTTTTTCCAGGAGACAGCTGCTTTGGGACGTGCAACATATGGAACCTCCACTGTCAGGTCTTCTCCTGCCAACACGCTGAATGTGTTAAACAAAAGTTTGGCAACAGGTGCAATCACTAGATCTTTAACAATCACAGGCACACCGATTTGACGTGGGTCGCTTGTTCCCTTCTCATTTCTTGCTGCAACACGGAACATGTATTCTTCACCTGCATTGAGTCCACTAATAGTAGCTTCTGTTTCCTTGACAATCACAGCCTGTGACCACTTATCAACACCCTTAGGCTGAATCTCAACAACATAACAGCCCACTCTGCTGCCACCATCATGCTCTGGCTTCTCCCAGGAGAGGGTGACACTGTTCTTAGTAACATCCTTAAGAGTGATTTTGCCAGGTGGCTGTGGTTTCATAGACACTTTAACTGATTCACCAGTCTCAATGGGCAGGCCAATGCCATATTCATTCTCAGCCAAAACTCTGAAGTAATAGTTGCATCCTTCCAGGAGCTGGTCGACTGTGAAAGTGGTGTGATGGCAGTTAGCTTTTACCGTGGCATATGCTTTCCTTGTGGACTCCCGTTTTTCAACAATATAGTTCTTAACCTTCACTCCTCCATCATTCACTGGTGGATCCCAAGTCAGAGTGACAGCTTCATTTGTTACAGCAGTAATCTTCAGATTCTGTGGGGCACTTGGTGTATCAAGTACCTTGACTTGGACTGTAACTGTCTTGGAGCCAGAGCTGTTTTCAACTGTAAGATTATACTTTCCACTGTCAAATCTGTTGACATTCTCAATTACAAGTGATGTGTATGATGTTGTGCTGTCAATGGTTGCCCTTTCAATTGGCTCACCATCTCCCTTGGTCCATTTAGCCTGAGGAGCTGGTCTGCCTCTTATAGGCACAAACAGCCTAAGTGAGCAGCAAGCCCTTAGACTGACAACCTTGCGGAGTTCAGCATCCAAATCCATCTCAGGTGGGAGGAGCCTGTCCTCTGCCTTGGGATTGCCAGGTACCAATGCAGCCTCTCCAACTCCTTCACTGTTGACAGCAGAGATGTTAATCTTGTACTCCTGGTTCTCCTTCAGGTTAATAATGGTGAATAAGGTGGCAAGGAGTCCTTCTTTGGGTGTCACAATGGTCCATTCCTCATCTTCCTCCTTTTCAGATGGGATGCAGGTCTCAACAATGTAGCCAGTGATGTCAGAGCCACCATCATATACAGGTTTGTTCCAGGCTACAGTAATTGAGGACTTTGTTGTATCCAAAATTCTTGGGTTGCATGGAGCCCCTGGCTTGTACAGTCCATCAGTAGCCCTGTAGAATGGACTTGCGACACTTGGTGCACTTACTCCAGCAGCATTCTCAGCAATTATTCTGAATTCATATTCATGTCCGACAAGAAGCCCTGTTGCCTTGAATTGTAGATCTTTGACCTTCCTCTTATTGCATTTGACCCAGCGGAGGCCTATTCTGTCTTTCCTTTCAATATTGTAGTTGGTGATGGGAGTTCCACCATCACTCTTAGGTGCTTGCCACATAAGAACCATTGAATCTTTGCTGATAGCTGTCACCTCAGGATTCTCTGGAGGATCTGGAACCACATATGGATTGTCTGCAATAGTGGGCTCAGAATCAAGAGCTTCGCCAAGTCCATATTTGTTTACTGCCATTACTCTGAAGATGTATTCATTTCCTTTGAGCAGCTTGGTCACCTTGTATTGTGTAACTTGCAGGTCTGAAACCACATTGGTCCAAACCAGTCTGCTTGACTCGCGCTTCTCAATCACATATCCTTCAATCTTGGCACCACCATCATCTGCAGGTGGAGCCCAGGTGAGTACACAGTTTTCAGCTGTGACGTTAGAGACCTCAAGAGGTCCAACTGGTGGTCCAGGTCTGTCAAGCACTTTAACATTAAAGACGTGCTTAGCAAATCCACCAACATTAGTGGCAGTCAAAATAAATTCTCCTCCATCTGATCTGATAGAGTCCTTGTTGATAAGAGTTGTTGTCAATTCTGTGAACCTAACCTCCAGTTTCATTGTGTTCTCAACCTCCTTTCCATTCTTGGTCCAAACCATAGATGGGGTTGGTTGACCAGCAATGTCAGCATCAAGTTTGAAGGACTCTCCTGCCTTCAGTAGAACAACATCCTTGAAGATGGCATCAACCATAATACGTGGCTCGATAATGTCATCTTTGCAGATAATTGGGTCTGAGGGCTCAGAGGGTATGCTCACTGCACCTGCTGAGTTTCTGGCTATGACACGGAACTCATATGAGGCATCTTGAGTCAGTCCACTGACAGTGAATGTTGTCTCAATGATGTTGGTGAAGTTGGCTCTCATCCATCGGCCAGTAGGCAGTTCTCTCTTCTCCACAGTGTAGCCAGTGATTTTGAAACCACCGTCGTACTCAGGCTTGGTCCACTGAATAGTGATGACATTCTTGTTGACAAATATTGGTTCAGGCTGACCTGGTGGATCTACAGGGTCCAAGGCCAGTATTGCTTCTGAGGCCTTGCTGGGCTTACCAACTCCAGCCATGTTTTCAGCTGAGACACGGAACTCATAGGCAACTCCATCTTCAAGACCACTTGATTTATAGATATTTCCTTTCACAATACCCTTGCTGATCTTATACCACATGATGCTGCTTCTTTCTTTCCTCTCAACATGATAACCAATTACTTCATTTCCACCATCAGACACAGGCTCATTCCAGCCAATTGTTATTGAGTCCTTGGTAAATGCAACAACACCAGGAGTACCAGGAGGTCCAGGGACTTTAAATGGATAGGCAGCTACCACTGACTCTGATGTGATAGGTGGTCCAACACCATATCTGTTCTTAGCTTTTACTCTGAACTGGTATTCAGACCCAGTGGTTAAACGAATGGCTTTGAACATGGTACGAATAACAGTGGAGGATAGCTCTGTCCATGTTTGGGAAGTGGTGTCTCTAATCTCAACCACATAATTGTTGATTGGAACACCTCCGTCATTCTCAGGAGTGTCCCATGCAAAGATGCAATAGGTACGAGAAATCTCCACAATCTTGACTGGTCCCTTGGGTGGCCCAGGTACATCATGTACTTTGACAATAATGTTGTCTGTCACAGATCCAACAATGTTCTTAGCTGTCATGGTGTATACACCACTGTCGCCTCTGGTACATTCATTGATGCTCAGGATAACAGTAGCAGAAGTAGTTTCCACATTGGTTCTCTGTGTGAGCTTCAGAGCTGCGGCATCCTTTTGCCAAGAGACAGTTGGTCTAGGACGTCCCATAACTGGAATTTCAACCTTGATGTCATCTCCTGCCTTGGCAATAACAGTCTTCTTACACACACCACGGAGGTCAAACTCAGGCAGGGAAGTAGAATCCTTGACAACAATGGGTTTGCTCTCACGTGGAGCGCTTCTACCTGAGTGGTTGACAGCCATTACACGGAAAATGTATTCCTCATTCTCATTGAGATTTTTCACTGTGAAATCCATGCTCTTGACTGTTGTTACATGTGCCCACTGGTCAGTTCCCTTCTTCTGGGCTTCAAGAACATATCCTGTAACTCTGCTCCCACCATCATGCTTGGGTTTGGTCCAAGCCAGGCTCACAGAGTTCTTGGTTATGTCAGTAGGAATAATACTCTCTGGAGGAGTTGGTGCCTGGGATGCACGAATTGGATCAGCAGTTTCAACCGCCTCACCAATTCCATACTCGTTCTCGGCAGACACTCTGAAGTAGTACTCACAGCCTTCACCCAGCTCACCGATCCTGACTGAAGTGGTCATGCATTTTGTAATAGCAGTAGCAAAAGCTTTGCGTGTTGATTCTCTCTTCTCAATGATGTAGTTTGTGATTTTGGCTCCACCATCGATGAGAGGCATCTCCCACTGAAGAGTAATGCTTTCCTTGTCAATCTTGACTGGTTTGAGGTTAAGAGGAGGCCCAGGTGAATCCAAAACTTTGACATTTATAGGGGCACTCTTCTTTCCAGCAGAGTTTTCAAGGGTAAGCTCATACTTGCCCGCATCAATCCTAGAACTCTCAGGGATGATCAGCATTGTAAATGACTCAGTGCTGTCAATGACTGCACGTGGGACAGGTCCACCCTCCTTTGTCCAGGTGACTGTAGGTGTAGGACGTCCCTTGATCGGCACAAAGAGGCGAATGGAGCAGCCAGCCCTAACAACAAGGGTTCTTCTCAGCTCAACATCCAGCTCCAAATCAGGTTCAGCTGCTCTTTCCACAATCTCAACCAGCTCCTGAGTTTCAGCAGGTTCACCTGCTCCCTTAGCATTAACCGCACTAATTCTGAAATGGTATTTTGCACCCGTTTCCAGCTTGGGAACAACAAACTCTGTGATCCTGAGTGGCGATGAAGGAGTGTCCTTAACCCATTCTTCTGTTCCTTCTTTCTTGTGCTCAATCACATATCCAGTAACTTCAAGCCCACCATTATCAAGAGGTTTTCCCCAGTTTAGAGTGGCAGTGGTCTTAGTTGTGTCTGTGACTCTTGGATTTACTGGAGGTCCAGGCACATCTGTCAGACATAAAATAAATGGTTAGTGTAATGCAAATATAACATTCTGTGTCTTAACACAAGAAATAATGTAATACTTCTTTCTTCTTTTTACTTACAGGCAACAACTATTGTTCTGACAGGCATAGATGGTTCACTTGGATCTCCAAATCCAGCTCTGTTCTCAGCAAGAACACGGAATTCATACTCGATGCCCTCTGTGAGACCGGTAACTTCAAAGCTGAGCTCAGCAATGGATTTCTTGGAAGCCCTTATCCATCTCATACCCTTTTTCTCCTTCTTCTCAACACAGTAACCTGTGATGTCACTTCCTCCATCCTCAGCTGGTCTCCTCCAGGTCACAGTGGCTGAATGTCCATCGACTTTCTCAACCTCTGGTTTAGATGGTGGACCAGGAGGACCTGTACAAATAGACAGAAGAAACACATTCATGAATCTGAATAGTCTGTATTCTCTGTTCAGAGTAATTTGCAAAAATGTAGGATGTAAGATGCATTGAGGAACATAAACTAACTGCACATACCAAATCTATCAACCATCTTGACTGCCTCAGACTGAGATGGCTCACTGGCACCGTACTGGTTAACAGCAGAGACTCTGAAGAAGTACTCATTGCCCTGGATGAGCTTGTTGGCCACATAGTGACAGTTGATGACCTTCTCTTCCAGGATAGTCCAGAGCAGGCGGCTGGTCTCTCTCTTCTCTAGGGTGTAATACTTGATAGGAGAGCCTCCATCCTCAGTAGGAGCTGTCCAGGTAAGATTGACCTTTTCAGAGGAGACACCACTGCATTCAATGGGTCCAGGAGCACTAGGAACATCCAAAACTGTGACCTTGACAGTTTCCTCCTTCACGCCAAAGGGGTTGCTGGCAGTGATGACATACTCGCCACTGTCCTTCCTACCAGCATACTTGATGGACAGGGTGGAGGAAGTTGTAGTGGTCTCAATTTGAACTAGATCAGAGGGTTTAAAATACTTCCCTCCCTTTGACCAGCATGAAGTTGGTGTAGGTTTGCCTAAAATGCTTGTAGCAGTGATGACAATAGTATCACCAGCTCGGACGGTCAGTCCCTCCTTCACCTGAGTATCGATAATAATGGTCGGTGCAGCTGTTGAATAAAACAGGAAAAATGTATTATGCCAGGATGATCACAGAAAGTATACTGCAACATGAGTGAGACAATATATTATTGTCGGTTTTTACCATATTCATCTCTGCAGATAATGGTATCTGTCTGCTCCGAGGGCGGGCTGAGAGCGCCAGCAGCATTCTTTGCCCTGATTCTGAATTCGTATTTGCAGCCCTCCTGAAGATCATTTACAGTGAATGCAGGCTCCACAACATTCACATTGTTGGCTTTTACCCAGATCTTAGAAGGCAGATCACGCTTCTCAACAATGTAGCCAGTCAGTCTGTGGCCACCATCAAACTGTGGCTCAGTCCACTGGAGGGTCACAGTGCTTCTGGTAATGCTGATGACATCAGGTTTACCAGGGGCATCTAATGATATGGATTTAACAAAAATAAATGCATTGTTTCATACTTTATTTCATATTGTACTTTTTCGTACTCATTGCTAAATTTTGTACACTCACCAATGGGATCCAGTGCCACCTGTGGATCAGTGGGAGCGCTCGGCCTGCCGATGCCAGCCAGGTTGATTGCCATGACTCTGAACTCATACTCCAGACCTTCAGTCAGCCCAGTTACCTTGTGCTCCCTCATCCTCAAGGCAGCCGGGCTCGTCCTCTTCCACAACATACTGTTCCTCTCCTTGAACTCAACATGGTAGCCTGAATGTAGTACCAAACAGGATAAACAAAATCCACATTGAGCTCACATGCACACCATATAGATAAAGAGCTAAAAGCAGCAAAGAAAAAAAATATGTCAAGTAATATAAGCCAAAATAACATTGCTGTTTGTCAGTAAGCAGGCCAAGTATCAAAGCTAATGGTACCTGTGATGGGAGATCCTCCAGTTTTCCTGGGGTCAGACCAGGCCAGGTAAGCGGAGTCGTGGCGCATGCTCATGATCTGAGGTGGAGGAGGAGCATCGGGAACATCTGAAGAAAAATAGTGATATTGTACAGTGAGGAGAAGCTTCATTTTTAAGTTAAACACTTGACATTCAGCCTTTAAAATATATGAGATAGAGTCCCTTACTGAATGGATGTTTAGCAACGATGGGCTCAGACTTGAGTCCCTCTCCAACGCCGTACTTGTTCTCAGCGCAAACTCTGAAGATATACTCTGTGCCCTCATGGAGACCAGTTACCCTCATGGTGTTGTCCTCCACAGTTGAGGAAACTGTCACCCACATGTTGGTGATGGAGTCCCTCTTTTCCAGGATGTAATTTGTGATCTCTGAGCCGCCATCATCCTTAGGAGCACCCCACTTCAGTGTAGCACCATCGGCAGCAACATCTTTGAACTTAATGGGTCCAACAGGGATGCCGGGTTTACCCACCACCCTGAAAGGAGACGGTTCAATTGTCACTTATTTAAACATAGCATGCATGGATATGATTAGTACTACTAGTATACTAGTACTAGTTTAGCATGACCCATTGTGAGGAAAATATTATCTTCATGGTGTATTACTATTATTGAAAACCCTGGTAAAGCTTGATTCTCACCTGATGAAAATGGTGGACTCCTTTGTTCCAGCACTGTTCCTTAGGGTGATGGTGTATTTGGAAGCATCACTCCTCTGGCAGTCCCTAATAAAGAGCGTAGTGTTGACTGAAGAGGACTCTGCACACACTCTGCCGGTGTCTGTCAGGTCTTCGTCATCTCCCTTTTTCCAGGAGACCTTGGGAATAGGTTTGCCGATGATCGGAATCTTCAGACGGACAGTGCTGCCCTCCTTGGCGATGTAGCACATGTTGGGCAGCTCCCTCAAGTCACAGCTAGGATGAACTACAGAGAGAAAGAATGAGAATTTCAAAATTTTACTTTCAATACTTTACCAACTTCCTTAAATAGTTTTTTGTTGATAAGTTTTTTAAATATGGACAGTCGCTTACTGATCTGGTCCTTGGCGACCACTGCGAGTTCCTTGACAGCGCCCTCTCCTGAGTCATTTACAGCCTTGACTCTGTAGTTGTACTCTTTGCCCACCACCAGATCCTTGGCGCTGTATTGCATGTTTTTAGACCTCATTAGCTCCTTGTACTTGTCATCACCATTGAGAACCTCCAGCACATAGCAGATGATACGGCTGCCACCATCAGTGAGGGGTTTCTTCCAGCTTAGAGTGCAAGAGTCCTTGGTAACCAGCAGGGTCTTGAAGTCCATGACAGGCCCTGGCTCCTCTGGAAAAGTAAAAATGAGGATGGTGAGTATGATATTTGCAAAAAAAACAAACAAAAGAAGCACAAAATCTGTCATCAAACCTACCAGATGCTCTGACTGAGTCGGCTGTCTCACAACATTCTCCAACACCAAGCTGGTTGACTGCTGACACTCTGAAGCAGTAGGACCGTCCAGCATCCAGGTCTGGCACCTTGAATGACGTCTTGTTGCAGTTGTTGGAGACGACGGACCAGGCTTTCCTCTCAGTGTCACGCTTCTCCACAATGTAGTGTGTGACTTCATAGCCACCGTCAATAAGTGGGGCATCCCAGTACATGGAAGCACTGTCCTTGGATGTTTCCTTCACCATCAGGTTGACTGGTGGTCCGGGAGTATCTGGAGAGTTACAACAACACTTATAATGGTGTCTGCAGAGTACAACCAATGCAAACAGTTAATATTTATTCGCTGAGCAAATGCATTAATCTCAGTCCTTCACTCACCAAAAACCTTGACAATGATGGTGTACATCTTCATGCCAGCCAAGCTCTCCAGGCTCAGAATGTATTTGCCAGCGTCATATCTGTTGACATGCTCCACCACCACCATGGTGTCAGTGTTGGTGGATTTAATGACAATGCCCTGGCGGTCTTTGATGTTGGTGTTCATCTTTGCCCAGGTGATCCTGGGAATGGGACGGCCCTTGATGGTGGCCTGCAGCCTCATGGTGGTTCCGGCCTGCAACTCCAGGACCTGCTTCAGCTCCGCACTCAGCTCTGCTTCGGGAGCAACTGAATGAACACACACAGAGGAAAGTTTTATGAGTGTGTGGAAAGACTTAGTAGTGAAATGGCAATACACAAGGGCCCTTTTATTCAAACACAACTTAAGTGAAATGGTAAAATTATGTTCACCAGCTGTCATAATTCAGCTAATTCAATAGACTGCACTTTTACAGGTTTGAGCCAGTTTTAAATAACTAAAACAAATTATGTTATATCTTTTATACCTTTTTATGTCAGTGGTACTTTGTTTTACTTGCACTCCCTGTCAAAATAGTGTTGAATGAAATCAAAACAATACTTACCGATGATGTCCTTGGCAACATGCTTGCCAGGTACTTCAACAGGCTCGCTGAAGCCAACCTTGTTGACAGCACTGACACGGCACTGGTACTCGGACTTGTCAATAAGGTTCTGTATGACGTAGTTGGTCTCCTGCAGGTTCCTGGGGACATTGCAGCGGATCCAGTCTGTGGTGTCAGTCCTCTTGCACTCCACCAAGTATCCAATAATAGGGCATCCACCATCATTGGCGGGAGCAGTCCAGGTGAGGCTGATGGTGCTGTGGGTGGTGTCCTTCACACTGGGGTTCACAACGGGGCCAGGAGGAGCTGGGGAACAGCACATTGACGCAGGTTAGATTAAATACTGACAATACACATATTATTTAATTAAGAAAGAACTATGCATAGTTTTTAGAGGTCATAGAACTCACTGATGGGATTCTGTGCGGTGGTGCCAGCGGAGGGCTCGCTGGGTTTGCCAAGTCCTGCCACGTTGACAGCAATGACTCTGAATTCGTACTCGATTCCCTCTGTGAGGCCTGTTACTTCGAGAGTCCTCTCCATCATGGGCTTCCTGTTCACCTTGGTCCAGTTCATCTCCTTGGTCTCTTTCTTTTCGAGCATGTAACCCAGGATGGTGGACTTTCCATCATCAGCAGGCTCCTTCCAGCTCACAGTCATATGATCTTTGGTCACGTTGGTAATCACTGGGGCCTCACAAGGGCCAGGCACAGCTAGAAGTGACACCAGAGTTTTTGTAGTTTAGGTATTAAAGTAGAGTTTTAAATAAGCAAACAAATGAAAGCACATTGTGATAAGAAGCTTTAATTGTTGACAGAATATGCAATGTCACAGTAGGCTGGTTTGATGTAGATGCTGCTTGCCGTATGTGAAAGTTTTTGAATAGAGTATTTTAAATTGTAGTACTGACTGCTAAAGTTCTTCTCTACCATTAATGCTATTTGTGTGTATGAACCCAGAGGAAACGCTGGCGATGACTTACTGAATGGGTTCTTGGCAAAGACAGGGTTGGTGATGAGGGCATCTCCAACTCCCCAAGTGTTCTCAGCACGGATTCGGAACTGGTACTCATGACCCTCGATTAGCTTCTCCACGTTGAGCTCAAGGACCTCACCCTTGATCTTGGCAGAGACCTGGGCCCAGTTGGCTCTGCTGGTCTCACGCTTGTCCACAATGTAGTTGCTGACGGTGGCTCCGCCGTCCTTCAGAGGTGGCTCCCAGGACATCTTGATACTGGTGGCAAACACCTCTATGTATTTGGCACTAGCAGGAGGGCCAGGCACATCTGAGATGACACAAAACAATAAAATATCAGTCAGTTGTGCACAGCATGTTGCTTGCTGAAGCTCTGTACATATTATGCAGAATTTAAGGTCCAGTGTGTAACATTTAGGAGGATCTATTGTCAGACATTGAATATAATATTCAGGTTTTCATTAGTATATAATCACCTGACAATAAGAATCGTGTTTTTGTTACCTTCAAATTAGCTGTTTTATCTACAGAGGAAGCTAATCCTCTTCTACAGATTCCACCATGTTTCTACAGTAGCCCAAAATAGGCAAACCAAACAATGGATCTTGAAAGGGGTGTTCGCATTTTTCGCAAGTTGCACAGCCATTGTAGTTTCTCCTACAAACTTGCAAGGCTAACAGTATTCAGTTGGTCAAAATTTGCAACTTCACCTCTTGATACCACTAAATCCTACAAACCGGTCCTTTAATGTGAATACAGCTTTTAGATTGTGACACCCCTAAAAGAAGAGACTAAAGTACTCACCCAGGACGTTGACCTGGATTTCAGCGGTCTTGGAACCACTGGCATTCTCAGCAGATATGGTGTAGGTTCCTGTATGCTCCTTGGTGACTGCCGTCATCTCCAGCTGGAAGTGATTCCTTGACTGGGTAATGACCTGGCCTTCACCTGACTTTAGGCTATCGTCGCCTCTCTTCCAGGTCACTCTGGGCATAGGCTTACCAAACACCTCAGCCTCTAGGAGGATTGTGGATCCCGCCTTCACCTTCAAACCCTTCTGCATCCTGGCATTAAGCTCCACCCTTGGAGGGACTGTGTTTGTAAAGGTGAGATAAAGCAGTGTTACTGTCAGTGAGAGTCAGAGACTGCAGTTGCTTTGTTATTATAGTGACTGGTTTATCAGCCTGGTCATAAGTGTGTTAAATCAAAACCTCTCACCATTCTCGGCACAGACCAGGACAGGGTCTGTGGGCTCAGAAGGTTTGCTCAAGTTGACAGCAGTTTTGGCAATGACTCTGAACTGGTACTGCAGGTCTCTCTCCAGGCCAGTCACTGTATACTCCTCCCTTGGGACGTTCTGGCTGCTAGTGTTGCAGCGGATCCAGATGTCTCCAGGCACCCGCATGGACTCAACGTAGTAGCCAATGATCTTGCTGCCACCGTCGTTCTTGGGACGAGTCCAAACCAAAGTGACAGAGTTCTTGGTTACGTCCAGGACCTCAGGTTTACCTGGAGTGTCTGTGAAACAAAGGTAAGGAAACAAGATTAAATTAATAGAAAAAAGATTTTTGTGTAGATGTTATTTCCGAGGTGGCAAACCTACCAATAGGTGTTCTGGCAGTGACAAAGTCAGTCTTCTTGCTTGGTTTGCCCTGGCCAGCACGGTTAATGGCGGACACTCTGAAAGTGTATTCCAGGCCCTCAATGAGGCCGGCACATGGGTACTCAGTGGTGCGGACAACGGTGTCATTGGCCTTCACCCACAGCAGGCTGTTCCTCTCCTTACGCTCAATATAGTAACCTGTGATAGGACTGCCACCATCACTTTCAGGCTTATCCCAGGCCACGAACATACAGTCTTTGTTCGTCTTGTTGATGCGGCAGTTAAGGGGTTCACTAGGAACATCTGGTGACCAAAAAAAAACAAAATTTAAATTGCCTGTAATGATAAAACCAACTTAAATCTAAAGCTAATGAAAAACTGCCCAGGGAAATATTTCAGTTATCTTACCGAAGGGGAACTTGGCAACCATCCTGTCAGACTGAATGGGGTCTGACACGCCATAACGGTTCTCAGCACGGATACGGAACACATACTCTTTTCCGGGGATGAGCTTCCCAAGCCTGCAACTTGTCTTCAGACCAGAAGAGACCGCCATCACCCAGTCGCCTCTACTCACATCGCATTTTTCCACCACATAGTTGGTGATATTACTGCCTCCGTCCTCCAGTGGTTTGTTCCAGGACAAGGAACAGGCATCAGAGTCAATATCACTGATCACCACAGGGCCCTCGGGAGGACCGGGGATGTCTGAAACACGTAGAATAAATAGCTATAAACATATCCATCACACCAGGTAAATCTGTCCGTCCCAAAATCTTCAAATCCTTTTAATTTCTTCAAATTATCTTATGGTGGGTAATACTGACCTCTAATGATGATCTTCAGAGTCTCCACCACCTTTGCAGAGCTGTTCTCAGCCACCAGGCTGTACTCTCCACTATCAGTCCTTGACACGTCTTTGATGATCAAGACACACATGTTGCCGGACTTGTGCACGGCCAGACGGCTGGACGAGACAACTGCATTCTCACCACGCATCCACTTGCAGGTTGGGGCAGGTTTTCCAGAAACCAGTGCTTCCACTCTGAGCTTGGCTCCAGCTCTGGCGCTTGTTGTCTCTGGCATGACAATCTTTGGCTCCACTGCAGGTGAGAACATGAGAATTTGATTTGATTATCCAGGAAGCTAAAAAGCAGCCTTGAGATAAAAAATGGTGGTCTAATTCAGTGTTATCTGTAGATCTTACTTTACTATATTACCATCACCAATATTTCTTATTTCAAACTATGTCCTAATCAAGAGATATTTGAACATAAGACAATTTCACTGTTGCCCTATTACTGAATAAATGATAAACATTTTTTTAATAATCTCTTAATAATCTGATGTAACAACTTACACATCTGTTCCTTGATCTCGACTGGCTGCCTAGTCTCGGTGAACGAGCTCATGCCCATGATGTTCTTGGCAGCCACTCTGAACTTGTATCTCTTGCCCTCCTTCAGGCCGCTGATGCTGATCATCAAACCTTTCACTGTAGTGTAGGCATTCCAGACTTCCTTTTCAGGTTCCTCTTCTTCCTCTACCACTGGAGGTGGCGGAGGTGGGGGTGGAGCTTCCTGTCCCTCTGGAACCTGTGGCAAATTGAGGTGTGTAGATTAGCACATAATTTGATTTACTACAATCTTATGGTGAAATCCATGGATCAAAGCAGTCAGAGAAGAATCATTGATCACATGACAAACCTCCACAGGTGCTGGAGGCTCTGGAGGAGGTTTGACCTCAATGTATTCAATTACGTAACCATCTATCTTGGCACCACCGTCCCTTGAAGGCTTCACCCAGCCAACTGTGGCACTGTTCTTAGTGATCTCCAGAACCTCAATCTTCTCACAAGGATCGGGCTTGCCTGTAGAAGGAAATCAGAAAGGTATGTTCAGATGTTCCTAATCATTGAGAAAAGAGAACCGAGCACAGTGGGTGGTTGTGAGCTGTGTGTGAGTTTTTAGTTCTGCTGTCACATTGTGTGACTAAGAGACAATACGTACTGACAGGATCAGAGGCCAGGTAGGAAGTGGGTGACACTTTGGGAACTCCAGACCCATACTCATTGACAGCTGTGACTCTGAAGTAGTACTCAGTGCCAGGAATCAGGCCGCTGACTTTGAAGGGAATCTTATCCGTCTCAACTTCGCCCTTGACAGTTGCCCACGTCTTGCGGTCGATCGCGCGCTTCTCAACAATGTAGTGAGTGACCTCACTGCCACCATCAATTTCTGGAGGAGTCCAGGACAGCTTTGCTGATGTCTGTTTGATGTCAGTAGCTTCCAGATTCAGCACAGGTCCCGGAGTGTCTGTCATTAAAGATATTAGAATATTATATTGTTTTTTTTCTTGATGTGAGCAACTTTTTGTGATTGTCAAATGCAACAACTTGTGTGTAGTATTAAAAGAAAACCATAACTTACCCAGAACCTTAACATTGACAAACACAGCCTTCTCTCCGGCAGGACTCTGTACCGTCAGACAGTATTTGCCAGAGTCGTTACGGGTGCTATCAGGGATAACCAGGAAGGTCATGGTGTCAATGATGTCGACTTTTCCCTTCCTGACCACGTTGTCAATGCCCATCCTCCTCCAAGTGACTTTAGGAGGTGGTCTACCTCTGATGGTAGCATATAGTCTGATGGGACAGCCGGCTCTCACTGTCAGTCCCTGCTTCAGGCTGGCGTCCAGGTCAATCTCTGGTGCCTCTGTCAAAAGGAACAGTGCAGGTATCAGCTTGGTGTTGCAAGTATGGATCACAGTTTGCACATTCTAGTTACGCCCCCATGGTATCATGTGAAACTGATATTAGGCTAGTTAACATAAAAGCAACAAAAATGTAACTAAGTCCTCACCTAGAATCTCCCTGGGGATCACAGCACCTTCCAGGTCGCATGGCAGGCTCATGCCCACTTGGTTCTGAGCAGACACTCTAAATTCATACACAAGTGTCTCGTCCAGACTTGAGACTGTGAACTCACATACGACCAGCTGAGCTGCCACATTGCACCTCTTCCAACTATCGTCTCCTTTCTTGGCGCTTCCCTGTGCCCTCATCTCCACAACATAGCCAATGAGAGGAGCTCCACCATCAGATACAGGCTTGGTCCAGCCCAGGGTGACAGTGGACTTGGTGCTGTCCAGGACCTTCAAGTTGGTAGGTGGTGCTGGAGGCTCTGTACAAAGACATAGGGGTGTGTGAAAATGTTGTCTATAGTAATCCCAACACAAGGTACATTTTTTAGCAAATAGATATTAAACACAATGAAAACATTATTACTGGTTACATACCAACTGTGTCCTTGGCAGTGATGGCACGTGAAGGCTTGCTTGGGTTGCCAATGCCAACTTCATTGACAGCCTTTACTCTGTACTGGTAGTCATGGAGGGGTAGTAGTCCAGTGACTGTGAAACGAGTTCCAGGCAATGGATCCTTGTTGACAGGAGACCACCTAACAGCATGCTCCTCCCTCTTCTCCAACAGATAACCTGTGATTGGCTTTCCGCCATCTTTCTCTGGCTCTGACCACTCCACAGTCATCTCTTCTTTGGCAATCTTGGTGACCTCTGGTGCCTCAGGAGCGCCAGGCACACTGAACTGGGTGCCAGCGACAATGGCCTCACTCTGCACTGCAGGGCCAGGACCCATCTTATTCTCAGCACGAACTCTGAAGATATACTCGTTGCCCTCAATCAGACGGGTGACCTTAGCTTTATTGGTGATGACAGCATTGGAGTGGACGGACCAGACTCCCCTTTTTGTCTCACATTTCTCAATAATGTAGTTGTAAATATCACAGCCACCATCATCCTCTGGGACTTCCCAGGCCAGATTACACCTGTCAATGGTGATACCAGACACTTTGAGTTCCCTGATGGGGCCAGGTCTATCCAGGACATTGACCTTTGCATGAGCAGAGCAGGTTCCTGCACTGTTGGAGGCAGAAACAACATATTTCCCACTGTCAGTGCGCCTGGCGCCAGTAAGCAGCAGCTTTGAGAAGTCAGTGCCAGTTTCAATCTGAAGCCTGGGGCTCTTCTTTATCTCCTCTGTGCTTTCATCCTTGGTCCATTTGATATCAGGCTGAGGTTTACCCTTTACTGTTGCCTCAATAGGAATTGAGTCTCCTGCCTTGACCACGAGTGTTCCATCCAGTTTAATCTTGATTTCTGGTTCCACAAGCTGTTCCTTAACCAGGACTTCAGCTGTGGTCACCCAGTTGCTCTCACCTCCCTCATTCTTTGTCTGAACTCTGAACTGGTAGATCTGGTTTTCAATGCACCTGTCAGCCATGAAGTAAGTCTCCTTGATGGCACCCTTGTGAAGCCTCTCCCACTCCTCAGCCTCTTTTGGCTTCTTCTCAACATGATAAGCGATGTTACGGCTACCGCCATCATAGTCTGGCTTCTTCCACTTGAGGAAGCAGAAGGTCTTGCCGATTTCAGCGATGTGGAAGTCAATGGGTTCACCAGGCTTCTCAATGGGATCAACTGCCAGAACAGGTGTCTTGGTCTCAGTGCATGGGCCAGCGCCAATCTTGTTCTCTGCGCTGACACGGAAGAAGTACTCGCAGCCCTCAGTAAGAGGGGCCTTTATCAGGCGCTTGGTGCAGTCATTGGAGACCATGGTCCATCCTCTCTGGCTGGGCTGACGGCACTCAATAATGTACTGAGTGATCTCAGTGCCTCCATTATCCTCAGGGTTTTCCCAGGACACCATGCAGGAGTTCTTGGTTATGTACGCTACTTTCAGGTTTTGGCAAGCTCCTGGTGTGTCAAGAACATTGACAATAATGGTGGCCTGTGCCTGTCCACTGCTGTTCTTGGCGACAATGGCATATTTACCATAGTCTGACCTGACTGCATCATTGATGACCAGTTCACACAGAGGGTAGTTGTTGTTCATCTCAGTGCGCTTGTCCCGAGACAAGGCTCTGGCATCTTTGGTCCATGTGATCTCGGGGTCTGGTCTGCCCTTCACCCTGGTAATCAAACTTATGATCTGACCTGCCCTGACTGTCAGAGAGTCACGGCAGGACACATCAACAACAACCTCTGGGGGCACAAGGATGTCCTTTGCTAGGACAGTTTCAGTAAGTTCCCTGGGTTCACTGTCTCCAACCTTGTTGGTGGCTCTGATGCGGAATCTGTACTCCATTCCTTCAATGAGACCTGGTACTCTGTAGGCACACATCTTGATAAGGTCCTTGTTGATTCTATCCCACTGGGCAGTACCTGACTTCTGAGCCTCAACCAAATAGCCCAGGATGGGACTGCCTCCGTCTCTTGTAGGCTTGGTCCAGCAGATGTCAGCATATGACTTGCTCCAGTCTTTCAGTTTAGGATTGCCTGGAGGTCCTGGTTTGGTGATGGCACGCGTGGCTTTCATGGGGTCAGAGGTGGGAGAAGGCTCGCTGATACCAGCAATGTTCTCAGCGAATACTCTGAACTCATAGCTATTACCTTCAAACAGGCCTGAGACTCTGTATCTGAGGTCCAGCACAGGAGTTTTGTTGACACGGATCCACTTTCCTGTCATTTCTCTGCGTTCAATTACATAGCCACTAATAGGGCTTCCTCCATCATAGTCAGGCAGGGTCCATTCCACTGTCACAGCATTCTCTGTGATATCAGAGCACATAGGCAGGCCTGGTGGTCCAGGAGGGTTGAACATGTGCTTGGCAATAGTGGGAGGACTCTCAAGTCCTGCACCAATGCCAATCTTGTTCTCTGCACGGACACGGACAATGTACTCACGGCCCTTCTCCAGCCTGGGCACTTTGGCCTTGGTGCTGGTGCCGCTGGAGCTAACTACAGACCAGGGCTCCCATGGCTTCTTTACATCCTTCTTTTCCACCACATAGTTGGTGATGGGCGTGCCACCATCATCCTTAGGCGCCCTCCATTGGATCATCATGTAATCAGGGGTGACCTCCAAGATGTTAATGGGTCCAGTGGGTGCACCTGGGAGAGCCAACACGGTGACATGCAGGGCAACGGTCTTGCTACCTGCAGGATTAGCCACAGTGAGGATGTACTCTCCAGTGTCTCCTCTCTGGCACTCCGGGATAGTGAGGATAGTGGAGGATCCAGCAGACTCAATGTTATAGCGGCCCTCAGATACAATATCTTTGCCATCAGTCATCCATTTGGCGGTGGGAATAGGGATTCCTGTCATCTTGGCTGGAAGGACAATAGTACTGCCAGCTTTGACAACAAGACCCTCAATAAGCTTCACATCAACTTCAATAGTTGGTGGCACTGAAAGAGAACAAAACAGCAATAATATTAGGATGATTTTCAAGCTCAGAACATAATTCCCATAAAGGAAAACAAGTCCATAACAATCATGTATCTTACATGTCTTCTCCTGGCAGGTGATGGGAATGCTGGTGTCAGGACTGCTAATACCGATGGCATTCTGAGACTTGACCCTGAAGCGGTAAGTCTTCCCCTCCACCAGACCAGTGACATGAGCATGGTTGTTGCTGACTGTCTTGAAGGTTACCCAGTCAGTCTGGCCCTCTTCCTGGTGCTCCACAATGAAGCCGGTGATTTCACTTCCACCGGTACGGTCAGGCCACTCCCATTCCAACCAAACTTCTGTCTTGTCTGCATCAGTGTGGTGCAGGTTCTTCGGTGGGCCAGGAGGATCTGAAAGATGTCCAGGAAGGAACAATTAATTGCTAATTATTGGTAGATTTTAATTTATTACTTAAATTTGCTGATGATTTGATGAGATGGTATTCTCATAAGGATCGGGCTTGCACTGCTGCCATAATTCTGTTGTTTTATGGCATATTGATTTACAAAGATTATGACAAATCAATTATTTTAATTGTAAAATTTTGACTTTTACTCACAGAGAGGGTCGAGAGCCTTGATGGGTGTCTTGGTCATCACGTAGTCGCTCCTGCCGAACTGGTTCTCGGCAGCCACTCTGAACATGTACTGGATTCCTTCCATCAAGTACATGGCCATCAGACTCGGCTTCTTATTGGCTGCAGAGACGGGCACCCACTGCTCAGCAGCCACATCCTTCTTCTCCACAACGTAGTGGGAGATGACAGCGCCGCCATTGTCCTCAGGAGCCTTCCACGTCAGGTAGGCAGACTCGCTGGTCACCTCAGAAACCACGAGATCTCTGGGAGGAGTGGGTTTGTCTGGTGGAAACCAGGGTAAAATAAATGAACATATATTGTTTTTCTTCATGGCATGACAAAGAATCAATTATCAAATGAATTATTTTGTTCAAGAATGTTTCACTTACTCAACACAAGCACAGCAACGGTTGCTGATTTCTTTCCAGCAGCATTCTCCGCAGTGATGGTGTAGTTGCCGGAGTCTGCACGGACCGACTTGGGGATGAAGACTTTGCTGCCTGTGGCGGTGACAGCAACAGTGATGTGAGCGGGAACGTCACCATCGTTCTTCTTCCAGCTGACGGTGGGTGTCGGTACGCCTTTAATGGTGGCGCTCAGGGTAATGTCAGTGCCCAGCATGGCCAGGTGGTCACGTGCCATGTTGGCGTCAAGCAGCAACTCTGGCTCCTCTGTGGAGGGAAATGGGAATATATTACTTGAATTTTTAGAAAATGTATAGCTAAGGCCAAAATAAACTCAAACACAAGATTGTTGTCTACCTGCTAATTCATTGCTGACAGACTGAAACTATATTAGATGACGTCATATTCACAAACAGTAGTAATGCAATAATGTGCATGTAGTAATGTACATGTAGTAAACGTGGTATAGTTAATGTTAGTTATCACTTTTAAGGATGTTTGGGATTTTTGGATAGAAGAAGAGTTATAAATGAGTCACTTACCCAGTCTGTCGTGGACTTTGATGGGCTGTTTAACCAAGGCAGGGTCAGATTTGCCGGCTGCATTAACAGTGAAGATCCTGAAGATGTACTCCTGTCCATCGGTCAGGCCTGTCACCACATAGTGGAGGTCGGGGCACTGCTCTGGAGTCTCATTGGCTGGGGTCCACTCCACGGCACCAGGCCTTTGGTACTCGACAAGGTAACCGAAGATCCGGCCTTTTCCATCATGGCGGGGCATCTTCCACTTCAGGCTAACTGAGTCCTTGGTCTTATCGTAGGCCTCGGGGGTCACTGGAGGGCTGGGACGCACTGTGACGACAAAATGTCAAAGAAGATTGTAAACTATGATCCTGTATTAACCCTGGTAAAAAAAATAAAATTTGTTTTCTTTATAGTGATATAGATGTTAAAAATAGATAATTTGTAAATACTACATAGAATTTAAGATAAAATAAATACGAATATAGAATATAATATTCAGAGATAATAGAAATATGGATAATATGTACATCTATAAGAACGTTTTCCATGAGTTTGTGTTGCACTAACCGATGGGATCTTTGGCAAGGATGGGTTTGGAGGGTTCACTGGGGTCTCCAGTTCCCAGCTCGTTCTCGGCCATCACCCTGAACTCATACTCGCAGCCCTCCACCAGGTCCTGCACTTGGTACTGAGTTGCCGGGTACAGTGGCTCTCTGGTGGCTCTGGACCACCTCTTAGCTGTGGGCTCCTTCTTTTCTAGGATGTAATTGGTGATGGGTTTTCCGCCGTCGCGAGGACGGTTCCACAGCACCAGAGCATTGGTGGCGTACACCTCTCTGACCGTTGGCATATCAGGGGCCTCGGGGACTCCTGCGGGGAGGAGGGGGGAGCAGAAGAAAAACTAGGCTATCAAAGCTCTTTTTAGGATCCATTACCATTGCAGAAAGAACATTTATAGGATGGTGTAGTTTTTCCACACCTTTATTTTATATGGGCAAAATAAATTTTATTCTGTAGTTCAGGGGTTCAAGTTCTGTCCAATGTGATGTTCCTTATTGATTAAAACTGTATATCACTAGCTTCTGCTCATTCATAATTATCTCAGGAATTTGTTGTTATCCATTGAGTGCTGCAATGTTACAATAACACATGAAAATATGGTAAAAACAGAAAATATGTAAAAAGAAATAGCTGAAAATGGTTTAAAAAGGGGATATAAGTTACTGAGCAAACATGCTCCAACATTTTCCTTTTAGCAGTAATTATTTAATACTACAAATAGTATCCATGACTTATAAAAAGAAAGTGATATAACTCAGTATTTTGTGGGAGTTTGAGTGCAACACTATCAGGGGAATTTTGCAACTGAAAAAAAAAAAAAAAAAACAGACAAATTCTAAAATAAAATGATTTCCTCTTGTGAAGACGACTGAATGCTTGGGGCTTCATTTAGATTTTAGCTACTTTCATATTTTCAACGGAGTTTTGGTACCATCAAAAAATGTATTTCCTTAAATAAATTTAGTAAAACTGAAATGTGAAAACAGTAAATGTATGTCGGCAGGGTTTTAGCAGAACGTACTGAAGAGATCTTTGGCTCTCATCTCCTCGGACTCCAGAGGGTCACTGATGCCGTACATGTTCTCAGCAGAGATCCTCATGATGTATTCCCTGCCCTCAGTTAGCTTAGGGATCTGAGAGAAGAAAAGAACCACCAACGTATAACAACCTCCTCCACTGGCACATTGCAATTATTAAAATGATAGCTGACAGAATTTTAGTTAACAGCCCATTTGGACCCACCTTGCATGTAGTCTTGGTGGTGGCGGACGTCACTGTGGTCCACATGTCTCTGTTGGTGTCTCTCTTCTCAATGATGTAATTAGAGACATCAACGCCGCCGCTGTCCAGAGGAGGTTTCCAGGAGATTACCATGTACTCTCTGTGAACCTCATCAAACACCACTGGGCCAACAGGAGGGGTCGGGCGGTCTACAGGGAGGAAAGAAACAACGGTCTTGGGTGGCGCAATTACTTCTGGTGTCCCATAGGGTTCTATTCTTAGACCCTTTCTAATTTTCATTTAAATCAATCATTTTGTTACTTTATCTTTATATCTACTGCTGTTTCCTGATACTGGTTTATTTCACATAAAAACCTTTTTTATGTATGTTTTATTTAGTTAGGTCTAGATTTTTCAGTGGAAGGTATCAAAAAAGTATAATTCCGGCAGAGATACTGAAATTGAGCTGTTTAAACTGGTATCTAAACATAAATCAGTTGAAAGCTTTGACTAGGAGGACCCCTTTAAATCTAAATCAAGAATTTAGTTGCTGCATTATCTATATCATCTTCATCTATATTTCCAGCACTTTTTGTTGATGATACTAGCTTATGTCATACTCAGTTTCTCTACATGAGTTTTGCACACTTACCGACAACCGTGATGTTGCAGACTCCCTTCCTAGATCCGGTACTGTTCTCAACCACTACCACATATCTGCCGCTGTGCTCGCGCTGCGCCTTCATTAGGCCAAGCGACATGGTGGTCAGCGTGTTCTTGAACATAATGTGTTTGTCGGCCTTCAGCTCATCATCATCTCGGTACCACGCAATGGATGGAGAAGGTTTACCGGTGTAGCGGCCCTGCAGCAGGCAGCTCTCACCCACACGAATTATTATCTTATCACGGAAGTCCAGCTCGATGGTTGGCGGCTCTGTAAAAGATTAAACAAAGTCAGATGAAGTGATACGCTGATAATCTATTATTCCCTTTCTATTCCTTATTTAAAGCTGTGATTTGTTTGTTGCATTTTTATCTACAACAAAAACAGTATATATTTCTCAGCCAAATTCTGAATTCTAAATGTTGAATAGCAATTTTCAAGTCTGTAAAAAATAAATTTTTATAGATAGATTACCCTAAAAACAAACACTGAAACCAATTCAATTCACAATATGCCAATCGAGGGTCTAGGGAAAGAGGGTGTTGTACAGATTGTATAATCACTTGAGGTAAATTGTGAATTTTTTGGGCTATATAAATACAATTTTACTTCAACTGACTATATACACACAGCGGACATTTTCCCCAAATGTTGTTATTAAAAATTGAATGTGAACTAATGTGAATCTGACAAATCGTTATCATTTCACCATTACCCAAGTGTTGAAAACTGAAAAGACAATGGATAGTGAAAATCCAGAGGGACATCGGGCCATTTTTCAAGGTGACTTATTTGATAACTCTTTAACTACCTTTAGATAACAGCTGTTCAATAGCCCTACACAATATGATAGAAAAGGCTTGATTAGGAAATATTAATGCACATTTGAGCTTTCCGCCCTGAGCACAATGTAAGAAATGGCAACTGTGTGATTATGGCGAATTAGTGCCAATATTACAAAAGCCAGATTAAAACATACAAAACAGCTGGTCCTGTTAATAATAAGTCCTCACCCAGTTCGTCCTTGCAGGTGATGGGTTTGGTGCTGAATGATGGCTTGCTAGGGCCGACCTCGTTGACAGCCATGACCCTGAACTCATAGGTGTCACCCTCCCTCAGGCCATCATAGGTATACTTCCTTTCCATCAGCTTCTCCTTTGTCAGTCTGGTGTACTTGTCTTTGCCGATCATACGCGCCTCCAGGATGTACATGGTGATCTCTGAACCACCGTCAAACTTTGGTGCCTTCCAGGTGACGCTGATCAAATCCTTGGTTACCTTGGTGACTTCAAGCTCCTCTGGGCGGTCGGGCACACCTGAGGGGAGCACATACACATTTGGTTGGTTCTTTATATATGAAGATGGGAACTCATTTATGGGTTTGTGTTGTTTTTGGTTCAGTTTTGTTTATTTTTTAATGTTTACATTTAGAGACAAGGAGAGACAATGATTCTAAACTCACTGATTGGTTCCTTGATGATAATCTCGGCTGCGGTCTGCATGAAGGGTCCAATGCCGATGGCGTTCTCTGCAGCCACTCTGAAGAAGTAGGACTTTCCGGTGGTGAGCCCTTGAGCCACGGCGTTCTGTCTGCTGGCGGTGAAGGACAGTGAGGTCCAGGCCTTACGCTCAGCCTCACGCTTCTCGATGATGTAGTTACTGATGGGAGAACCACCGTCGTTCTCTGGGAAGTACCAGTTGAGCTTGCAGGATTCGCTGCTCAGGTTCTCGGCGGTGAAGGGGATGCCAACGGGTCCAGGAACGTCTGAGGTAGGACACAACCGGGGTTTAATTAAAAAGATAAATATACTGAAGGGTCAAAGGATGTCTAATTTTTACAAGAAAATAGTATTTTACCCAGAACTTCAACAGTGATGTTCTTTGTTTTCTCCCCGCCAGCATTCTTGGCGGTCAGTGTGTAGACGCCGAGGTGTCTCCTGGTGCAGGGTTTGATCACCAGTGATGAGCTGATCGCTGTTGTCTCCACTTTAGCCTCAGGAGGCAGTGCAGCTCCATCTCTGCTCCAGGTGATGTCAGGGGACGGCTGGCCTGACACGTAGGCAATGATACGGATCACGCCACCAGCATGGACCACCATCCTCTCCTTTACCGAGGCGTCCAGGTCGACCTCAGGAGCAACTGGGGGAAAAAAACTCAATGTTACTCTGCTTTTTACAACCAAACTGGATAAATACTGTACTACCTTAGAGGTAATATTGTTGAGGGAACCATGGTTTGAAATGTGTAACCCTCTCAGACTTTCAGATGGACTCACTGGTTCTGTCGTTGACCTCGAGCACCTCTGGGACTTCTCCTGGCTCGCCGTTACCAGCAACATTGAAGGCAATCACCCTGAACTTGTACTTACCACCAGTCTTCAGACCGGTGATAACAAGTCGGGTGCCGCGGATTTCGGTCTCCTTGGCCTGTAAAACAAAAAAAGAGTCAAAGGTTGATTTTCAACTCAGCTCTATCTCTAAAACCAGGTCCTTGATCAGTGGTGTTATAAAAATGTGGTGACTGATTCCCTCTCACCTTAACCCAGGCCTCAGTGCCCTCCTCCTTATACTCCACCCAGTATCCGATGATCTTGGAGCCTCCATCCTTCAGAGGAGGAATCCACACCAGATCCACTGTGGACTTTGTCCAATCAGAAATCTTTGGGGTTGGAGGAGAGGGCGGGGCTACAGGGAGACATAGAAAGTTAACACCCTGTGTGTATTTAAATTAGAAACTTGTGCGATGTAAGTGTCTGACTCTTACAGATGGGGTCTCTGGCAAAGATAGGGTCTGTGGGAGGACTGGCGAGTCCCAGTCCTGCGGTGTTAATGGCGGACACTCTGAAGAGGTACTGGGAGCCCTCAATGAGTCCGCTCACGACGAACGACTCGCCCATTCCCATGGGACGGATGGGGTCGCGCGTGACGCGTGTCCAGCGCTTGCCTGTTGTCTCTTTACGCTCCAGCCAGTAGCCGGTGATCGGGGTGCCACCGTCATCCTCCGGCTCCTCCCAATTGACGGTCATGGAGTCCATGGTGACGTTGGTGACCGTTGGCTTCTCACACTGACCGGGAACAGCTGCAGTAGGAAGTATTTAACTTATATTAGTGACCAATCTAGTATTTCTGCATCAATGAGACAGTTACAGACTGTTTGAAGTATATGTTGTTCTAGTCTAAAAATGAAAATCTTTTTCAAACTCTGACTCACAGAAGAGGTTTCGCGCGACCTCTGGCTCGCTGTCCAGTGGCTCTCCAACTCCGTACTTGTTCTGGGCCATGATGCGGAACACATATTCGTGTCCCGCCATCAGGTTCTCCACTGTCCAGATCCGTTCTTTGGGCTCATTGGTGACGGGCACCCAGGTCTTCCTGTTGGCCACGCGCCTCCAGATGACATAGTTTGTGACTTTAGAGCCACCGTCATCCTTTGGCGGCAACCAGGAGAGTGTTATCCTCTCGGCTCCGATCTCCTCAAACTTAATGGGAGCGGAGGGAGGACCGGGCCGGCCTGAAAAATAACAAAAAACTGGTTCAGACAACAGAAATCATCAAGGTGAATCACACCTGCAGTTCACTGCAATCAAGGGTTTTTTGTTCATGTTTTCAGAATTGTTTATTATTCTTTAGTTCAGATTTTGACTATATTCGTATTGATGTAAGTCTCTAAATCATTGTTGACTCTTATTATTGCTTGTTATTGATGCTTTGATGATCTAGGACTTCATTGAGGCTTCCAGTGTGAAAAAACATAAAAAATAAAACTAATAGTGTAACAAAAATAAGTGTAACATGTTTGTACCGAGCACGTTGAGCCTCATCTCCTTGGCGGCCTTGCCAAGGCTGTTGGAGGCCACCAGTGTGTACAGGCCGGTGTCGAGACGTTTGCCCTGCTGGATGAGCAGCGTGCAGCTCTCATCGGACACAATCTTGTTGATGTGCTCGTCGTACTGGACTTCCACCTTGTCGTCAGACTTGTGGGGCGGAGCCTTATACCAGGTGAGCGTGGGGAATGGACAGCCACGGATCTTGGCTACAATGCTGATGTCGGAGCCCTGCTCGACCTCCATGAACTCCTTCAACTCGATGGATGGAGCGCCTGCAGCAGAAAATTAGATAATGACACATTTTAAATTTGTTTCTCCTTTTGAAGACTTTTCTGTGTTTTTCTACAAAACCAAGGTTGAATTAACTACAGCTTAAATCCCCATAAGTCTTGGTCTTACAGGTCTGGTCCTGGATGACAATGGGTCCGGCTGTGGATGAAGGTCGGCTTGCTCCAGCCTGGTTGTACGCCACCACTCTGAACTCATACTCGTCTCCCTCGGTCAGGTCCTCCACCTCGAACCTGGTGGTGTCCACGTCTCTCCTATTACACCTGAAGGTCACAGCATAGCCAGACGTTCAGTGAGAAAGTTTTTTAAATTTTTTTTAATTAAAACTATACATCAGAAGGACCACATTTTTGAGTGTAAACCACAGATTGTATATGCTTTTTTTCACAGAAGAAATTCTTCAAAAAGAATGAATAAAGTACAAATTGAATAGCAGGAAAACATTGAAAAATGATATATATAAATATATATAATATAAATATTAAGAATTGTCAACAAACATCAAAATGTCATTGCCATGATTGATTGAGAAAAAATTTTGACCAATCAGTGACTAGTAATCAATCACCTGGGTAACTAAGAGGTGACAGGTGAAGTAGAACTTTAGGGACCTGAGGCCTAGGTCCAAAACTAGTCAGTTCCCAGGTTGGGTCTTAATTAGTAGGAACCAAGTGGACCCTTTGGGTGATGATTTACCTCCTCCACGACTCCTTCTGGGTGCCGCTGGCTTCCCAGCACAGCAGATCAACGCTGTAGTGTGTGACAGGTGAACCGCCGTCATTCTTTGGAGCCTTCCAGGTCAAAGTCACCGTGCCCTTCCTCACGCTCTGGATCTTCAACCTTGTTGGAGGATCAGGAGGATCTGCAACAGAAAGATCACATTCTGGTGAGTACTGAGACAAAGCAAGGTCATTATTTTAAAAAAAATTAGAGACATTAAATGTATTTCCTGGGTTTTTTGTGGTGGAGGAAATATTCAGATGATCCTTTACCTAACTAAGAGTAGCAAGAGCACTGTGGTAAAATACTATTAAGTAAAAGTACAGAAGTGTTAAATTGTATAAATTAGTTCAAGTAGCATTAATGGAAATACTTGTACAAGTACCTAAAACCTGTACCTAATTGAAGAACTAATTTAAATATACATCTTTTTTCTCTCTAAGCAGAAAACAGGTAAGGAAAGAGAGTAGACATACGGATTGGATCTCTGGCTTTGGTTCCCTCAACAGTCTCGGTGTACGGGCCGAAGCCGAAGCGATTCTCAGCGCGGATACGGAACAGGTACTCCTGACCATTGATCAGGTCTGGAACCACCAGAGACTGAGCAGCACAGGCCGGGTTCACCTTGAAGAACAAGATCAGAGTTGTGTTATTTTTTAATATCCGCACTGATAGTGCATTATCCTGCTGCAGGTTCGGGGTCCTACCTTAGTCCAGGCTTTTCCATCCACTGTCTTCTTTTCGATGAAATAGCTCTTTACTCTTTCTCCTCCATCGCTCTCTGGAGCTTTCCAGGTGAGTCTACAGGTTCCCCTTGTCACGTCGCTGACCTTCAGGTCTCTTGGAGGTCCAGGCAGGTCTGCGGATCAACAAACCAATAAATTAAAATCTAAAAGTTTCACCCAAGTGATACTGTAAGGTTAACGCAACCTTATATTTTACTGTACATGTTAAATGAGAATATGATAAATAAAATCCTTGAATCTTTACATACCTAGCACATTGACTCTGACTTTGACCACCTTGTGTCCAGCGGGGCTCTCTGCATTGATGATGTATCGGCCACTGTGGCTCAGTTTGCTCTCCGGGATCGTGACCACTGAGGTTGTGTCAGTGGAGTGGATCTGAAACGAAACCAAGTCACAATTGTATGTATTTCCAGTGGTCTTAAAGTTGATGTCTTAAAAGCTCAATGTTTGGTGATGACTCAATTGAAGCTTAATTTTGTTTGGTTCAACAAAAACGGACTGAACCGGTGATCCCGTCACAAGATGGTCTGCGGTTGGCTATATTTCAGTAGAACCACTTGTTTGGTCATATGTGGATCAGTTGGGATATTTTAACAATAATTAAAATATTTTACTCTGAGTGGTCTAACCTCTGAGTCAACGGGTAGTGTGTGGAGTTCGTTCTTCTTCTCGGACTCTGCAGTTCCATCGAAGGTCCAGGTGACTTTGGGAACAGGGCGTCCTGTGATAGTGGCGGGAATCCTGATGGGTGTTCCGGCTCTGCAGTTCAGCAGGTCGGGAGCACTCACATCCAGAGTCACCGTCGGCTCGACTGGAAAACAAACAGACAAAAACAAACAGCTTATTTATTTGTATTCAGGTAAACAATCCATGTAAAATTTTCTTGAGATCAACATCTGTTTTACAAGAGAAAATGTTAATGTTGAGCTTTTAAGCAATATTTAATGTGAAATTGTAAAGGAACTCTGCTAACTATCTTATTATACTGTGCTGAATCTTAATTAAGAGTATGGATCTGATTAGGAACAGGAAGTGTGTCACTCTTACTCAGGATGTCCTGAACCAGGATATCGGCTGTCTTGGCGGGCTCTGAGTTTCCAGCAGCGTTCACGGCGTAGATCCTGAACTTGCACTTCTTGCCCTCTTTCAGGTCGGGGACAGTGATTTCCGTGGATGGGTGGAGCTTGTCGGCAGGATTCACCCTCCTCCAATCGGGAGAGCCCTCCTCGTGGACCTCAATGATGTAACCCTTGATGGGGCTGCCACCGTCTTTGTCCGGTGGGCTCCACTTGAGCGTGATGCTGCTCTTGGTTTTGTCTTTAACCTCGGGGGAAGCAGGTGGGCTGGGACAGTCTGGGAGAGGAGCAGAGAGTTGGTGAAAGGTCAATGTTTATTATCAGTCTTTATGGTGCAAAATAACTAGCTGTGACTTTTAGCATTAAGGCTCTGTGTACTCTGGTTTTTATCCTAATACTCTAACCCTATTTTAGGTTGTCAGAGGGTTAACACTCACTGCATGGATCCACAGCAAAGCGGCATTCAGAGGCCTCGCTGGGTGGCCCGACTCCCGCAGCGTTGGAGGCTGCAATCCTGAACTGGTACTCAGTTCCTTCGATGAGCCTGAGTACGGTGTACTGCAGACCCTTTACTGCGGGTTTGGTGACTGGAGCTCGGTTGACGCGACCCCAGTATACGGCGCCGCGCTCTCTCTTCTCCAGCCAGTATCCCTGGATGGTGGAGCCGCCGTTGTCGAGGGGAGGATCCCAGGTCAGGGTCATGGTGGTTGCTGTGGCGGCAATTATTTTAGGATTACGTGGAGGTCCGGGGAGGCCGAATGGATCCCTGAGTTGGACTTTCTCTGAATCGCAGCCGTCGCTGACGCCATACTTGTTCTCAGCTTTGATCCTAAACTGGTAGGTACCGTTCAAGTTCAGTTTGTAGACCTGAAGGAGCAGAACAGGAACATTAATCAATAATTTATTTAATGTTCTCCCATTCTTTCATTATCAAATTCAGAAAGTATTTAAATGAAGCAGTCTATTAGGTTTTGAATGTAAGTTAAATTGTTATGGAGTAAGGACAAAAAGATAATCACCTATTTTTAATTAACACCAATGGATCAAAACATCCCAGTTTACTTTTCACTTCAGCCAGGACTCACCCCAAATCTCCTGTCGATGAGGTTGATAGTCAGAACCTCAAAGTCGGACTTCTTCTTGCTGGCGTCCCTACGCTCCACAATGTAGTTGGTGATCTCACTGCCTCCATTGTCATCTGGGGCGTCCCAGGTCAGGTAGCACGAGTCTGCCTTGATGTCTGAGACCACAACGTTCCTTGGAGGAAGAGGGCGGTCTGAAAACACAGGGTTTGGTTAACATAAGGTTCATTGTGGTAAACCTGACATGGAAAATGATACGTGTAAGATTCCTTTTTTGGAGACATTATCTTACCGAGGATCTCGACTCGGATGACATGCTGTGCTTTGCCGTAGCAGTTTTCAGCCACCAGCTTGTAGTTGCCCTTGTCCTGTCTGATTGTGACTGGGATGGCAATCTTAGTCTTCAGAGTCGTCCGGTCCACCTGAAGATGAGAATGAAAATTATGTATGAAGCACAATATCATACACAAGGCAGTTTTAATATGCTTTATAAATATTGAAACATCCACTGGTGCTGGGCGTGATAGTCACGGTGCGTCTTCACACCGGCGCTGCCGGGCAAAGCGAGAACACCCAAGCACAAACACACGACCCTTTGCCCAACATAGGTGGGAGTACTACACAAACTCTTCAGCAGGGGAGCTAATGGATGTGGTAGAAGTAGCGGGGGTGGTGAGAATAGCGCTGGGACCAGCGTTAGTGTTCACTCTTTCTACCGCGCCAGTCACAGTGCGTCCATGCGTGGCAGTGGCGCAGCCGTCCGATGCGTCAGTGGTGTGCCTGTCCATTTGTTAGGCTATGTGGTGGGGTCTCAATATTGTTCATAGTGTCTCTGTACTGTGCCTTGCATTGAGAGGTTCCACACTCTACAAATACTACAAACTTTTATCTGGATAGATGGGCACAGATTAGACCTCTGCAGCTAAAAGACGCCTACTGTTATTATTATTATTATCATATTCAATTCAATTAAATTAAATTCAATTCAATTCAATTCAATTTTATTTGTATAGCGCCAATTCATAACAGAAGTTATCTCAGGACACTTTTCAAATAGAGCAGGTCTAGACCGAACTCTTTAACATTAATTACAGAGACCCAACAGTACCACCATGAGCATGCACTTGGCGACAAGGGCAAGGAAAAACTGCCTGTTAAAAGGCAGGAACCTAGGACAGATCCTCCGGCTCTAGGTGGGTGGTCGTCTGTCTCGACCATATTGTAATGATAATAATAATAATAATAATAATAATAATGAAGAAGAGAATAAAAAAGAAAAGAAAAAGTGTCCTCCAATAGGGGTGGTGGTGGTGGGTAAAAAATCATAAAAAACGCCTACTGTTTACATGAGTTTTGTGGTAGTAATAGTTCTAGTTTACGACTGTTGGCTTACAATTTACTTTTACCTGTTCATTTGATATATGGACAACATAACAAATGGATGGAGGGGGGTGAATCTGATGAAATAAGTTCAACTCTCTTTCAAAATATCAGGTATTTCATGGAAATTACATAATCCAATATGGCCGTCGCCATTATGACGTCATAATATGCAAATTAGATGGGGAAATTTACTCCCTAGATAAACTTTAGGTCATTCTCAATATTTGTCTCATTTACACTTTGTCTCTATCTCAAACCACTTTCAAGCCAGAGCCTCATGAAATTTAGATGTCAAAATCTAGTATTTTTAAAAATAAAACCCGGCACCTAAAGGGTAAAGAGGTTAAAGGATTTAATAATTATGAGCTTTAAGTGTTCATTCTCAGATCTTGAATGCAGCTAACATAAGAAACTGAGCAAAAATTAATATCAGTGATGATTTAGCTCTTCTTAGAGTCAAAAAGTTCTTGAAGAAAAGTCATGGTATATGACTGTAGTTGTGTAGCCTGTAGTTTCTAAGATATTATTCTCCCAATTGCTGATGCACAGTTTGAGTGAAATCCATGAACATATATGAGTTTTTACCTCCTCAGTCTCCATCGTCATCTTCTCTTCATCAGGCTTCTCGATCACCACGTCGTCCTTCATCCATTGGAGCGTTGGCAGAGGAAGTCCCTTCACCTCTGCTGGGATGTCGATGGCCGAGCCTTTTTTCACAATGATGGCGTTGCTCTTGAAGAACTTCAGGATGGTGATAACTGGTGCGACTGTGGACATAAATATTTGTAAATTTCATGCTGTTGCTTACATCAGCCTAAACAGCCTGACAAAATCAAGTATCTTTTAAAGATTTTAAAAGTGAATTTCTTACTTTCATCATCCTGGATCCTGACAGTGATGGGCTTGGAGGGATCTCCGTCCCCGACCTCATTCACAGCTTTGACACGGAACTGGTACTCCTGGTTCTCAGACAGGTTCTCAATGGTCCCGCAACACTCTGTGAAGATCTTGCGGTTTGCCACATCGTATTCATTGCTGTCCGACCTCATCTTCTCAACGTAGTAGCCTCTGATTGGGCTGCCACCATCAGTGCGAGGCGGCTGCCAAGCCAGGGTGATAGTGGTCGTGCTTCTGTCGGTGTAGTGCAGTTTCTCGGGAGCAGATGGAGTACCTAAAACATTGTGGATGAGTTTGGTCAACACAAATTTTCTATGCTATTTCTTTGATATATAAGAAAAATTGTCATCTGATATCCAAAGTCGGACAAACTTTGATGGATTTACCTTTTGGATCCTCGGCCAGGATGGGTCCAATGTCAGCTGGAGCTCCGTCACCGTACTTGTTCCTGGCAACGACCCTGAAGTCGTACTCCTCGCCGGACAGTAGGCCCTGGATGTCGCACTTGCAGGATGCCGTCTCAATGGGCTGGCGGAAGAGTTTCATCTTGGCGTCCTTCCTCAGGATCTCGTAGCCGATGATGTCGCTGCCGCCGTTGTCCACAGGGTCGGACCAGGTGAGGGTGATGTTCTTCTTGGTCACCACAACAGTCTTCAAGTCGACCACTGGTCCGGGCACATCTATGGAGACATAGACCAGAAACAATTTCTCATATGGGATCTATTAGGGGTACCATGGGTCTCTTACTATATAAAAGTTTGTATAAATTCAGTACTGTAAGGTACAAGAAAGTAATTTATATAAAAATAAAACCTTGATATTGTTTTATATTTATTCAACACTGACCCATAACGTCCACTCTGGTCTCTGCTGTCTTGGTGCCACTGCTGTTGGTGCCGGTGATCTGGTACTTTCCGTGATCTGACCTTACAGCCTTCTTGATGAACAGAGTGCTGTTCCTGCCCTCCGTTTCCACGATCATTCGCTCCTTGTCAGGTTCGGCTTCATCTTTAGCCCATTTGACTTCGGGCTGGGGACGGCCGGTCACCATGGCAGGAAGCTTCAGGGGCTCTCCGGCCTTGATGATGACGCCGTTCTTCACAGAGACATCAAAGTCCACATTGGGAGTTTCTAAAGGACATAGAGATGAGTCAGTCTTTCAGAAGAGTCTTTGTACAGAACATGTTTTTTTTTGTCGTCACTTCCTCTGCAGCTGCTTAACAAAAAACAATAAATTATTCTCTTGAATTGAGAGCATTTACTGTGAAGCAGCTGCAGGAAGCATTGAATTTCATAAATCTTTTTTTGTTAATGCCAGAAACAATAAGTTCAAGTAAAGCAGCATCTTCTTGTTCCCTGACAAAACTTTCCGTACCTTGAGGCTCTGTGACAGTGACAGGTTCGGTCACACCGGGAGCTCCAGGACCGGCGTCATTGACGGCTAAGACTCGGATGTAATAATCTGCTCCCTCAGTCAGACCCGTCACAGTGTAAGTCAGCTCTTTACACCTGAACTCTGTGCTGCGAGTCCACTCCTTCTCTCCAGCCAAAACCTGTGATCAGAAGACAATAGTTTAACATCACAGGTCCAGAAGACCTGTAAATACATAATTGTTACTAGAAATCCAAGAGTCCGGTGAGGTTACTGTACCTTCTCAACATGGTATCCCAGGATGTCTCCTCCACCGTTGTACAGAGGGGGCTTCCAGGCCACGATGATAGAGTCCTTCCCAGTGTCCACAATCCATGGTGTGGGGGGACCAGGAGGCACTGCATGGGGGGGAACAGAGATTTATTACGTTTTTGAGGAAATTATCAGACTTAACTCAACAGGACAATGTTTGGTTGTGCATTTTGTCTGTAACGTTCAGTTGCCTTCCAAGGAATGTAATTTCAGAACACCATAAAAATGGAAGAGGAAGCAATGGCAGTAGATTGGCTGAGAAGTGCTACTACACAAAAGCAGGTTAAACTTGTACTTGGCTTTGTGATGAACAACTCACAAACATTTTTTTAAAGCAAAGCAGTGTGCCTTGTTATGTTTTGGTTTATTTGGTTTATTTTATCTCTGCTGTTTCTTGATGTCGACCTCTAGTCTGGTCTAGGATTGGCAAACTTACGGATGGCGTCCATGGCAATGGTGCGGTCGCTGGGCTCGCTAAAGGGCCCGGGGCCGGCCAGGTTCTCGGCACACACCCTGAAGATGTAGGTGAGTCCCTCCATCAGGCCAGTGATCTTCACCTCCAGAGAATTTAGGAGGGCACGGTTGACTCGGGTCCAGTGTTTGCTGTTCACCTCCTTTCTCTCGATCCAGTAGCCCAGGATCGGGCTGCCGTTATCCTTTGGCTCATGCCAGGATATGTGGGCACTGTTTGCGGTCACCTCGTGGACTCTGGGAGTGTTGGGAGCATCAGGAGGATCTGAGGGGGGAGGAGATAGGACAAGTAACTTTAGTGGGAAGGTGGCAGAAAATGTCAATGTGTTTGTTTTTAGAATCCCAATTTACACCAGCATAAGAATTATTTTGTGCTGTGTTTTGATACAACCACCAGAGGCTGACAAAGTAAAAAAAACAATCAAAGTTTTATGTATAAAACTTACATTTAAGGAATTGTTTTAAACATATTTTATTATTTGTCATTGTGTTTTAAAAAGTGATGGTAATTTTACTGATTTATTATTAAAAAATATGTACATAAGTAAGTATGTATGTATCATAAAAAGGGAATAGTTAATTAAAAACTATAAATATTTATTTGAGAGCTTTATTTATTACATGGAATTTCATGTGTATATTGTGTATTGTTCAGCCAGTCAGATTACACTGTAACTCTGTCTGAGGTCATAGGTTTAGCAGCATTTGTTAATATTTCAGATATTTGGATTTATAAAAGGTGACCTGAGATTTTGTTTATTTTATTTTACTTACCAAACTGGTTCTTGGCGACCAGTGGCTCAGAGATACACGGTGGCCCACAGCCGAACTTGTTCTCAGCGGTGACTCTGAAGATGTACTCCTTCCCTTCGATGAGTTTGGTGATGGGGCAGCTGGTGCCCTTCAGGGTTGAGGTGATGGTGATCCAACCAATCTCATCGTTCTTGTTGTCCTTCTTCTCCAGGATGTAGTTCAGGATCTCGCTGCCACCATCGTCCTCGGGAGGCTCCCAGTTACAGATGACGGAGGTGTTCCTGATCTCATCAAAGGTGAAGTTGATTGGAGCGCCGGGTTTGTCTGTAGCAAAACAGAGTCAACGTTGAAGGTTCGTAAAATACATCTTTTATGGATCTGACTCAACAAACCAAACACATTTAAACAAACTATGTACCTTTAGTCACAGTCATTTTCTTTCTTTTTAATTTGGTTTATTTTTTTAAATCAAAATTCAACAATTATGAGACAAAATTGTAAATCCATTGACTAAAATTGCAATAATTTGAGTGCCACTTGTTCTAAAACAGAAATCTGTTATGAGTTTCTGATTTCCATGTTTTGAAAATATGAATGTAATATTTTTATAACTGAGGACCAATTTCAACCTTAACTCAACTGATTAAAAGGTCAGGTCTATTAGGAGGCCTCATGACCTGGAGGTTCAGGTATCAGGATGGATATAAGTAAACTACAGTCTTACCAAGGACGTTGACGAAGCAGGACGCATTGGCAACACCATGAGTGTTCTCGACCTGGATGGTGAAGGTGCCATGATCGGTTCTGACAGCATCGCGGATCATCACCACAGAGTGACCCTTCTTGGTCTGATCCAGACCCAGACGCTCACGCAGTGGAGTAGTGAACTCCTCAACTGGTTCAGGAACCTGAAGGTAATGAAGGCGGAAGTGATTTTTTCCTTCGAAAATATGTAGAAGTACATTAAAACGTTCAGGACTCTCTGAGGACACAAACCTTGGCCTTGGTCTTCTTCTTGACCACAGGGATGATCTTTTTGGTTGGCTCTTTGGTGACGTCCTCATTTTCCCTCAGCCAGGTGACCTTGGGATAAGGGGAGCCGGAGATGTAGGCGTCAATTCGGATCTCCTCACCCTTCTTAATGCACAAACCGGACTGCACACGGGCATGGAGGGTGACCTTAGGCTTATCTGAAAATTGAAGAAGAGTGATTAAGTTTAGGAAGCTCTTCTTTAATGTCTGAAGCTAAAAACACTTTCTCCGGTTAAGTAAAAGATTTTCATACCAACGGGGTCTGCAGCCTTAATGGGCTGTGTGCTGCGAGACGGCTCACTGACTCCAGCGGCATTCTCGGCTCGGACCCTGAACTGGTACTCCATGTCCTCCTTTAGACCTGTCACCACGAATGAGAAACCGGGGACCAGACTTGGGGTGACCTTCTCGTAGCGGTCGCCGTCCTTCTCGATCTTCTCCACGATGTAGCCTTGGATGGGACAGCCGCCGTCGTTGTCGGGAGCCTTCCAGGTGACAGTAATGGACTTGGATGTTGGATCACAAGCCTCCACCTGGATGGGTGGGTCTGGTTTCTCTGTGAAGTTCATATGAGACAAACCGTAAATGTCTGAGCTCTCTCCAGTTTAATATTTCCATATTTTTATAAAATTTTATTGACAGGTTTGGAGGTCCTATTGGTTGCGGGTTATTGAGCTAAAACCATGACTTACGTTTGACTTCCTCTGTGATGACTGGGTTACGTAGCTCTAGATATTCTCCGGCTCCGACCTTGTTGAGGGCCTTTACTCTGAAGTAGTACTCGCAGTTGACATAGAGGTCTTTGACGGTGTAGGTCAGGATGTTTTCTCCCGACATGACAGGCATGTAGGTCTTCTTGGAGGCCTCGCGGCGCTCCAGGGTGTAGCTGACAATCGGGGTGCCACCATCATCCTCTGGGGCTTCCCAGCTAATCTTGCAGGAGTTCTTGGTGGGTTCGCTGGAGGTGATGTCCTTACACTGACCGGGGAGGCCTATAGGGTTCAGACAAGGGTGATTGTTGCTTGCCTGTTTCTGGTGAAATACTGTACATCCAAAAATGGTGCTAATAGCAGGGCTACTGGCAGGTTTTTAGAATTACTGAGGTCATTATATCCCCCATAATTTATCTAAAATGCAACAACTTTATTGGAAATCATTGGTTAGGAGTGGTGTACAAATACTTTATGAACATATGAACAAAACACGCTGTTATGTTTCCCAAGCACAGTGACATGAAGGACATCCTACCGATGACTTTGACATTGATGGTCCCGGTGGCAGTTCCCAGACTGTTCTCCAGGGTGATGGCATAGGCGCCGGCATCGGCACGTGTGCACTTAAGCAGCTCCAGGTGAGCGCTGTTCATCTCTACCGTCATAGAGAGCCGGTTGTCAGGCTTGCACTCCACTGTGTCCTTCTGCCAAACCATCTTGGGTGTTGGGATTGCCCTATAGGGGATGTTCAGGTGCAGCTTCTCACCCTCAATCACGACCACATCCTGTGCCTCCAAATTTATGGTTGGAGCACCTTGGGACCAGAGAACAGGATTATTAGTTAGGGTAAATTATTAGTGTTTTGATTGGACTTCTTTTAAATTGAAATTCTGTCAATGCTTACAGTCGGGATCCTTGGTGAAGACCTTGTCGGAGATCTCAGAGGGATCGCTTACACCAACAGAGTTGATGGCACGGACCCTGATGACGTACTTTTTCTCTGGTTTGATTCCATCATCAATCCTGAAGTTGAGCTCCTTGATAGGTCTGTTGTTGACTCTGAGCCACTTTAGCTCAGGACGGGCCTCGGCCACCTCCACATGGTAGCCGGTGATCGGGCAGCCTCCATCTTTAGCTGGAGGTTTCCAGGTGACGTTGATGTGCTCCCTGCTGGCATCAGGGATGGTCACTTCCAGAGGAGGAGATGGAGCACCTGTACAGAAAGGAGGATGTCTGAGGTTACATCTGAAATGTTTTCTTCATGGTTGTGTTGTATAGATCTTTAAAAACTGCATTCATCAGCAGAATGCCACAAGGACAAATCCCTCCATCTGTGTTTGCTATAAATATTTAAGGGTCTCTTACTAGTTGCATCCTCTATGGTGAGGATCTCGGTGGGTTCACTTGGATCTCCGACTCCAGCCTCGTTCTCAGCTCTGACCTGGAACTGCACCTCAGACCCTTCGTCCACATCTGTCACCTTGAACTGAGTCTGTCTGTCTGGAGTCTTGCAGCACTTCAGCCAGCGAGTTCCCAGCTTCTCTTTCTTCTCAATTACATACCTGGGAAGCAAAAGGGGATTGTCTTGTTGAATAGTTTTTTATTTATATATGGTGTCTCAAACAGTATAAAGGGGAACTAGGACTACATTTATAGAATTGTTTTCCATCCCCCTCTTCTCTTTACTTTTGGAACAAAGTCTGAATGGTAAGATAGCTTGTAGCTTCATGGCCATTTTTTTGCTTCATTAGCAATTGACAGTAGTTTTACAGCAGTTTGTAGTCTTACTTGGTTATGGGTCTTCCACCGTTGCTCTTGGGAGCTTCCCATTTCAGTTCCACGTGTCTCTTGGTGACCTCTACCACTGTCAGGGCATAAGGAGGTCCAGGAGTTGCTGCAGAGAACATGACAAACATTAATAACCAGACAGTTTGGCTGGAGCCTCTTTTTTTGCAGTCCTACTCAGGATCAATAAATAACACAGAAAGCTATCCACTGGGCCTGGCTTATATTAGGACTAGGAAACAGTTGGTTGATTGACGCAGCAATATGGAAGTGTTGGACAGAACAAACATCCTGATGACGTTGAAGTTTTAAATTTGGCGTGAATTAAAAGGAATAATAAAACTGACAGATGAAAACCCATGATCCTGGAAACTGTTGTGAACTTACTGAAAGTGTCTTTGGCGAGCACTGCGTCCTCTAGCTCGCAGAATTCACCCATTCCCACGGCATTCTCTGCAGCAACACGGAACACGTACAGCGATCCTTCATTAAGAGGAGTGACCGTGTACTTGAGCTCTTTGACGGTGGTGTCGACAGACTGCCAGGCCTTACGCCTCACATCCCTCTTCTCTACCACGTAATTAGTGATAGGCGAGCCTCCATCGCTGCTGGGAGCCTGCCACTTCAGGTCGGCATTGATTTTTGTGATGTTACTCACCTCCAGCCACTGGGGGGCGGACGGAGGGTCTGTTGAATGAAAAACAGGAAATAGGTAAATGAAAGGCAGGCAGTGTAACACGTACATGATTTCATTAATTCATGAATGAACTCATGGTCATACATGACCTGTGCTGAGGAAATTTTTGTATCGGGATAGACAGGGATAATAACCCCCACGGACAAGGTTTACAGTATACAGTGGTCTATAGTTGTTGTGTTGCTTAAATTGAGGTATGAGTACTGGCCAAAGGACTATTTAAGGAAATAGAAGAAGAGGTATGTTTAATAAATAAAACTGTACTGGCCGGAAAGATATAAAGATGCATATATTAAGATACATTAAGATGCAACTATATTGAACTCCAGTTATGGGAGTTTTCAGACCAACTCCATGTTAATTTTTTTAACTTTTTAAAAATGTTTAAAGGCTACAGTCCTCTCAGACACAACCCTGTCCATCCTCCTTATGCCCTAAAGTTGGACTTACAAAGTCTCTCCTTGCAGACCACAGGGTCGCTGGGCTCACTGGGTTCGCTCTCGCCGGCTTTGTTTACAGCCTTGACCCGGAATGAGTACTCCTGCTTCTCCATCAGGCCTTGCAGCTGGTGCTCAGTCTGAGGAATGTCCTCTGCGATGCGGATCCATTCCTCGCTTCCAGTCTTCTGGAACTCGATGATGTAGCCTTCGATCTTTGCCCCGCCATCATGCTCCGGCCTGGTCCATGCCAGTAGGGCTGTGGTCTTGCCAATGTCCCTGATGACAGGTTTACCAGGAGCCCATGGAGGGTCTGAAGAAGAATGTGGTGTTATTAAAATCATCCAATTACTCTTCCAATCTCATAACTCTTACTCCCTATCCCATTACCCTGTCTCCCAATCCCATTACTCTTAGTCCCAATCGCATTAACCTGACTCCCAATCCTATTACTCTTACTCCCAATCCCATTATTCCTACTCACAATCCCATTACCCTGACTCCCAATCCTATCAACCTGACTGGTGATCCCATTACTCTTACTCTAAAAATATAAAACACATTTTTACATCAGTTTTTGACTGAACGTAAGTAGAGTTCACTATGACATACCAATGGGATCTTTGATGAGGACGGGATCGGTCTCTGTGCTTGGTTTTCCAGGTCCAGCCAGATTCTCAGCCAGAACACGGAAGCGGTACTTCTTCTTGGTGGGAAGTCCCTTCACCCTGCAACCACATCAAAGCAGGGTTTGACAAAATGTTCTCCATCTTTTCTTTACACATAAATATCTTTCACCACGTTGTGTGATGGATTTGAATCATTATTCGTGTTATTTGAAGTGTCATCATTTACCTGAAGGTTGTGTCCTTAATGGGCAGTTTGTTGCATCTGATCCACTTGTCACTCTCTGGATCAAACTTCTCAACCCAGTATCCGGTGATAGGATTGCCGCCGTCCTCATCCGGCTCGAACCAGGTCAGTGTCACAGCATCCTTCGCAATGTCAGAGGGTGTAACTCTGGTTGGAGGACCAGGAGGATCTGAAACAAATAAAAATTTGTGATTTATCATCAGGTGTATATATTTTACAATTTGTACTTTAAGTCTTCAAAATGGACCATTTTGGATAGTTAGAAAAAAAATAAAAAATAAAAAAAACGTACCGAAGGAATACTTCGCAATGATTGGAGTATGCTCTGCAGGTTCGCCAATGCCGTACTGGTTCTCAGCGCTGATCCTGAAAATGTACTCCTTCATAGCTGTGAGCTTGCAGGCCTTGAAAGTGGTGTGTTTCACCGTGGCTGACAGCTTCACCCACTCCTCTTTGTCTGTCTGCCGACTCTCCACAATGTAGTTAGTGATGGGTGAGCCGCCGTCGTCCCTGGGAGGGTTCCATGCCAGGGAACATGACTCGTTGGTGATCTCTGAGATGTCGAAGGCAGCTGGAGGGCCGGGTTTATCTAAAGAGGAGGAGGTAAAATGGAGAAAGATGGCAATGTCTCAGTTTCAGGAACAGACCTCGCGAAACATTCCGACACTAGCACGACTTCATATGAGGTTGAGAAATTTAATTTGACATTGATAAGATTGAAGAAGCTTCTGTACCAAGAATGTTGACATCGATGGTGGCAGTGGCACGTCCGCAGGCGTTGACTGCCTCGATGATGTAGGTGGATGTGTCTCCTCTAGTGGTTTTAGCAATGGACAGCTTGGAGTGTCCCGGCTGGGTGTCGATGGTAATGCGGTCATCTGCCCGCAGGACCAGGTCAGCCTTTGTCCACTTCACCCGGGGATCAGGCTTTCCTTTGACATCGGCGGGAAGCTCGATCTTGGTACCAGCCCTGGCGGTCAGACCAGCCAGAAGCTTCACATCTAGCTGGATCTCTGGAGGCTCTGTTGGAATTGTTGGAAAGTGTAAGAGAGAACAAAACACGAGGGTTTGCTCAAAATCCACACCCTGTGCAGAAAATTACAATTACCCTTTACACTCACTCCTGATCTGATTACCCTTACTCCTGATCCCATTAGCCCTGCTCCCGATCCCATTAGCGTTACTCCTGATCCCATTACCAGTACTCCTAATCCCATTACTCTTACTCCAATAGAAATATTTGGTATTATGGTGGTTTTGTCCATCCTATCCTGGTCAAGCTGACACAATGCAATACTATTCCTGTTCTTGGTCTGAAATCAGGATGTAGTATTGAGGGATTAGAAGGAGCACTAGCTGGCGTACCTCTGGCATCGACGGCCTGGATCTCATCGGTGGCCCGGCATGGTCGGCTGGCTCCCAGTTTGTTGAAAGCTCTGACTCTGTAGGCATACCACTGACCCTCGATCAGGCCAGTCACCTGGAACCTGTGAGCACACAACATATATTATACACAACTGTCCCAAAATATAGAACAGGACACAAATCAGAGAACAGTTAAGCAAGGAAACACAACGCTTTTGTAGAAGTCATTACACATTAGTTTCTTAAACACTGTTATCACTGTGAAACACTCACTTCAATTCTTGGATGGGATCACCACAGGGTTCCCACTTATCAGTACCACGCTGACACTTGTCCACCACGTAGCCTTTGATTGGGGCACCACCATCGTACTTCGGAGGCTCCCAGGACAGGAAGATGCTCTTGCTGCTCTTGTCGCGCCACTTCAGGTTCTCAGGAGGATCGGGTATAGCTGGGGGAGAAGAATCATAGTGAAGATGAGATTCTGGATATTTGTAAAAATACTTGTATCTGGTGAAAACTTGAAATCTCTACAACTAAATTTTATCAAAAACAAAGGAAACATATACCCCTATTTTTAGTTTTGATGTGAAGTTTGTGTAAATACTCACTGGCAGGAGAGGAGACATTGACGGGCTCGTCAATATATGCCGGCTCTCCGGGTCCACACTTGTTGCAGGCGGTAACACTAAACAAATACTCCTTTCCTTCAATTACGTCTGTTATTGTGTGCTCCAGGTCCATGATGCCGGTTGCAACCTAGAAAACACATAATTGCAATGGTGAGGAATTAACACAAACACTACCATAGACTCAATCGTCTTATTTTCAGCACCGCTGCCTTATACAAAAAAACCTTTCAAGCTTTTTTTGTCTTTTTTTGTGGGGTTAGGGTGCATGAAAAGGCAATATACAGCTGTGCAGGTGCTAAATGCAGAACTTCTGCCATGCTTTATTTTGGGCACCCTACAGCCAACAAATTTAATCAAAATTCAACTTTCACCTTCAACTATGTTCAAAAGAGCTATATATATATTCATTTGGATGGAGATATATATATATATATATATATATATATATATGTTTCAGCTCTTTCCAATAATTTTACACTTTTCCTTTCACGGAAACCCACCTTGATTTGCTTTTGTGTTACAGTAGCACACAGCCTGCAGACAGTTTCAACTTTTAACAATTTTCACTACCAACAGCAAATCTACTTGCATCTTTAAAATGACACAGTAAACAATCATGCTACTGCTTCACTTTGTGTTCTTTTTGAGCACAGTTTAAGCCTACAAAGGCTCTGCATTCAAGACCTTCCTGTAGATTCTCTCACGGCACTACAGAGGTAAACACCCATGTGTACCTTGGCCCAGGTCTTGCGAGACACTTCTCTCTTCTCGATCTGGTAGTGGGTGACCGGACTTCCTCCATCGTGCTCTGGAGCCTCCCACATCAGGTGGACGTGTTGTCGGGTTACTTCAGCCACCTTGAAGTCTTTGGGAGCACTGGGGCATGCTGGGAAAATAAAGGTATTGAACAATAAATTAGGTGGCATACACCCTGAAGAGGTTGCTAGTCTACCATACCAGGGCAATTTGTCTACTTTTCATTAAAATAAACTCACCATTAGTATTAATATGTTGCATGTGCTACACTTTGTTATTATAAAATTCATATTTTGAATTTAAGAAAAAATGCAGTTACCAATGACGTTGACTTCGATCTCTCCAGAGACAGATGAAACGTCATTCTCCAGCTGCAGGGCGTAGGTGCCTTTGTCTGGACGGACGCTCGGCACGACTGTCAGCTCTGTGTACGTGGGCTTTGTCACCATAGAGACGCGATCGTCTGCGGTGGTCAGCTTCTTCTCTCCGAAGGTCCACGTGGGGACGGGGGTTGGGTATCCGGTGATGGGGACTCTGATGGTGAGAGGCTGAGGGACGATCACCTCCAGACCGTTTCGGAACGCACTCAGGTCAAAGGTTGGACCGACTACGAAAAGAATTTTTTTTTTTAAAGTTATAAGAGGTTGGGTGAGTTATCCTACCATCTACTAGATTACTGCTTCAGGAATCAAAGAGAGCTCCTGAATTCCAATTTACTTTTAATTCTGAATTAAATCGCATGGATCCATCTTTTCTTAATAATTTCCTAGACAGCTTTTTGGAAAGAACTATGTAACTTTAATTATAGGACAATGAGTTCTGTCACTTAGCATTTTGTTAAATGTGAATTTATTAGTCATTTATTACCAGAAGGCTTGTTCTTAAGGCAACGTGATGTATATCCTGGGAAACTGTTAAGAAATTATAGACCCAAAAAGAGTAGCAATGATAATCTGAAGCTAATCAAACCAAGACTTCACTGAAGCAAAAACAAGTATACATACAACCATGTTGTTCATGGCTGCATCTTCACATCATATGTCAATATTGTAGATTTATTGTGTGTTAGTTTACTCATGTTTTGTATCTTTGAATATCTTTAGGATTTTGTATAAATTTCGTACTATGAGGGTCATCGGCGAGCAGCGGTCCGAGTTGCTCGGCTGGATCGGAGACACCGGCGGCGTTCTCAGCACAAACTCTGTAAAAGTACTTCTGACCCGGTTTCAGACCAGACACCTAAAGAGAACAAGTAAACAATAAAAACATATACATAAAGTCTTTAATTCCCTTTACCATTCAGGCATTGAATAAAGGCTGGCTATTCATACAACCTATTTGTTGCTGATCACTATTGTATGTTGTGTATTTTGTGTATATTGTATATTTTTCTGCAGTAAACTCTGTACCCGGTAAGAGAGGTCCTGACAAAGTCTGGCGTTGCAGCGGAGCCACTTGTAGATGCCGTCGTCGCATTTCTCAATGATGTAGCCGGTGATCATGCTGCCGCCATTGCTGGTGGGCGTCTCCCAGGTGAGTGTGACTGCTGTTTTGACTTGGTCACTGAAGTTCAGGTTCAGAGGCGGGCTCGGCCTCTCTGCAGTCACAACCAAAAAGGACCAATGAAATGAGATTGTGGTGGTTTTTACAGGCATGAGATCCAACAAACATTCGAACCACAGGTTTTCACTCACCAATGGGATCCATTATCTTGACTGGGTTGGTCGCAGCGCTGGGCCTGCCAGTGCCGGCCTTGTTCTCGGCTCGGACTCTGAAAATGTACTCCTTGTTCTCCACCACGTCATTAAGTGCTGCTGAGCGGTCATTGGCTCCACAGACCATGGCTGCCTCCCACTTCACGGAGGTCCTGTCACGGAGCTCAATCACATAGGCGGTGATCTCAGAGCCGCCGTCGAACCTGGGAGGCTCCCAAGTGACAGTGGCACCAAACCTGTTCACCGTTGCGACTGCTACGTTCTCCGGAGCATCGGGAACGTCTGATGGTAGAAATCAAATATGAAGTATTGGATTGGATTCAAGTGTGGGGACGGTATGTCAATGTAAGTGGGGGTGTTTCTTACCAAACTTGTTCTTGGCCTGGACGGCATCCTCGAGGGCAACAAGGGGTCCGCTGCCGACTCTGTTTCGGGCGCAGACTCTGAACAGGTACATGGAGTCCTTCTGGAGGCCGCTGACACAGTACTCTGGGGTATCAGCACGGCCTGTAGCCAAGGTCCAGGTCTTACGCTTCACATCTCGTCTCTCCACCACATAGGCGATAATCTTGCTTCCGCCATCGCTCTCAGGTTCCTCCCAGGCCAAACTGACTTCACCATCGGCGGTGTCGACGACTCTCAGGTTCTTGATGGGTCCGGGGACGTCTGTAAAGAGCAACATGACATTTAAAAACTCTTCTGAGATCCACCTCTCATACATAATCTAGCAGTTCACCCATGATTGATTTAAACCCACAAACTCACCAATCACATCCAAGTTAATGAATGCCTCTCCCACGCCATGCTTGTTCTTGATCACCACCTTGTACTGGCCCTGGTCCTCCTTGCTGGGGCTCTTTAGGCGGTACTCAGTCTTATCGATGGAGGTGTCAATGTTCTGCACAGGCAGACTGGTGCCCGCAAAGACCCACTCAGCGTCTGCACGAGGGTATGCGTCATAAGGCACGCTCATCACGAAAGGCTTACCGGCATCCGTTACCAGATTCTGGTCAGTAGTTTTGATCTTTGGAATAGCTGTAGAAGAGATAAAATATATTTTTTAATTGACCTCATTCATTTATATCTTCAGCTGTTTGACCAAACTGTGACCCTCAGTTCCAGGAGAATCCCAGTGTTGACTCACCTGCCAGCTCAAGCTTGGCTCTGGCATCCTTGTCTTTGGCCACAATCCTGTACTCTCCCTGATCCCGAGGTCTGATCTCACAGACCTGCAGTCTGTGGATTTTACCCTCGCTGATCATCTGGTATTTGTCTCCCTGGACAATGATCATGTTGTTCCTCATCCACTTCACCTCCACTCTGTCTTTGTTGAGCTCCACCTCGAACACAATGTCTGAGCCCGGAGGTTCGAACATGTCCTGAGGAGGTCTGACAATTTCCACTGGGGTCTCTGGGGGAAAGAAAGACCATGTTACATGTGAGGATTCAAAAGAGGAAATATTCGCCTCAGGGGTTTGTGATGACAGATGAAGAGATCTGAAGGGCTTACCTTCAACAAAGAGCCTGGCTCTGGTCCTCCTCTCATCCACACCACAGGCGTATTCACATTCATCATCAGGTCTGCATACCTTGATGATCAGTCTGCACACCTTGCCTTCTTTTTCCATGTGATATCTGCAAGACACAGATAATGAAAATCTTAATTAAACCTAGTGCCATATGTAAGATTCTTAAGCATTTTGTTTTTATGTATGAATCACTTTTAACAATAATAAGCTTTGAGCTGGATAACGATAGCTTGCTTGCTAAGCTACAAAACTAACGATTCCTTTCTACTAGCCAAGAGCGATGTGAGGCAGGGGCATCCATCCAACTAACTAACTGTGTGAGGTGTAAATTCTGTTTCAAGACAAAAGTTTTTTGTGAAGCATCTCTGTGATACCTGGGTCCTTCTCTGATCTCCCGTCCATTCCTGTACCACTTCACCACAGCCTTCTCCTTGCTCAGCTTGCAGGTGAACTCGGCATCCTCGAACTCTGTGATGGTCTGGTCTTTGAGCTGTGCCGTGAAGTCTGTCGGTGCCTCGCTGATAATCAGCTCGGCTGCGCACTTGTCGTCTCCGACCACGGCGGTGTACTCGCCCTCATCGTCCATCACACAGTCCTTGATGGTCAGGCTGTGTTTGAGGTTGTCGACTCTGTAGACAATGCGTTTGCTGAGCGTCACCTCCTGGCCGGCCTTCATCCACTTCACTGTCACCTCTGGCCGGTTCACCTTACAGATGAAGCTGATGGTCTTCTTCTCCTGAGTCTCGATGTCCTCGATGGGGTCCAGGAATCTCAGCTTCTCCTCTGTGGACAGACAGAGTGAGAAAACAGTTCATAATTATAATTTTTTTTTTCATTTTTATGAGCAGTTGCACATATTAGCAGTTCAGGAAACAATGGGGTCTTCGGCAACAAAAGATCTAATGCTGTTATTTACCTGCGACTTTAGCTCTGGCAGTGCATTTGGCCTGCTCTGCTCTCTGATTGGTCAGGTTGATGGTGTAGCTGGCCTCGTCGGCCTTCTGGGCATCTCTGATCCTCAGAGAGAAGACATTGTCCCTCTGAGCCATCATGTACTTGCTGCTCTCGAATATGGTCTCCTCGTTCTTCAGCCACTTGGCCTTCGCTCCCTCTGTGTTCGTCTCACAGTTGAACACGATCTCACTTCCCTCCTTCACCTCCGTGTCTTTAATCGGTGTGATGATCCTCAGTTTTTCTGAAACAGAAGACAAACTTGTTAAAACCAAACCTTCGCTCTGAAATAACCAAAGCGAAGCTGTGGAAGAAGAAAACACAAGTCTTACCAATCACATACAGATCGGCCGAGGCTTTAACGCTCCCGATGTGGGCAACGTAGCCTCCCTCATCCTTCAGTTCGCAGTTTTTCACAATAAGAGCTCTTCTCTTTCCTTCGCTGATGATGGTATATTTGTCCCCGGACTCAAGCTCCTTGTCACCTCTGAACCATTTTACCTCGTAGGTTTCTTTGGAAACAGAGCAGGTGAACTCGGCCTTCTCGCCCTCCACCGCCTCCTGGTTCTGAGGACGGGCGATGAATTCGGCTGCAAGTTCTGGAAAGAGGAAAAAGAAGAGGAGAAAGAGTTAATTTCTTCTTTGTTTTCTTCTAACAACAATATAACATAGATTAGCGTAGCACATAGCATATCTAAGTACTTTAACTGCTCTTCCTCGCCAGTGACACAATCATTTATTATTTTTTTCTCACCGTTGAGTTTGAGTGTGGCAGACGTTTTGACGGTTGGACTCAGCCTGCAGTTGTACTCTCCAGCATCCTCCAACCTCAGGTCCTGGATGATTAGGATCCTCTTGCGTCCGTCCATGATCTGCTCGTAGCGGCCACCCTCTGGCAGCTCCTCTTCTCCTCTGTACCACGTGACCTCCGCACTGGCCTTGGACACCTCGCAGATCATCTTCACACTGTCCGTCTCCATTCCCTCCACATTGGACAGGTTCTTGGTGAACCTGGCTGCCTCCTCTGAGACCAGACATACAACAGCAAAAGGTTTAATGTGGACATTAAGTTTTGTCTCCTTCTCTTTTCTCCAGGTTTTATCTTGTTTTCGAATAAACTATTGTTATAATATTTTGGAAATGCTACATTTAAAGGGTCCATATGTCAGATTATGAAACATTTTTTTTAATGTATTTTTTGTTTCTGAGTAGTGAATGAACAGGTTGTTATGTAACGACTTCCAGATGACGTTAGCTTGCTTGCTAACACAAATTAATTGCTAAATATGATTGTCAGTTATTTTACAGCGTTCAGTGTTTGTCACTGTTGGTCGACGCCCAGGATGATGCAACAGGACGCTGACTGCAGTTCATTGAGCGGCCACTGGTGGCGCTGTTACAGTTTATTGACAGTTACATATAGAAGCTTTAACAGAATACATTAAAAATATTACATATTGTTTCTCACCGATGACAGTAAGTAATGCAGAGGTCTTGGAGGTCCTGGCGTCACATTCGTACTCGGCCTCATCGTCAAACACCGACTTGTGGACGATGAGGATCCTCTGGACTCCCTTAGCGACGATCTCATACTTCTTTCCTTTCCTGATCTCGCTGCCGTCCTTGAACCAGCGAACCTGCACGATGACGTCAGAGTTTCACATCCTCCTTATATCATAAATCTTACACAGACAACACAAGTTTGACAGCTCTTTATTAGTCTGTGTGTGAGCAGACGGTCAGCAAGTCTCACCTTGGCAGACTCGCGGGACACTTCACATTCAAACTTAGCAGATTCTTTCTCTTTGACCTCCACGTCCTGCAGAGGCTTCGTGAACTCCACATGAGGAGCTGTGGACACACAGACAATATGCTTATAACACACTTATGACACGCTTACAACACACTGTTCACAGGGTTTAAAGCAGGGGTCACCAACCTTTTTTAAACTGAGAGCTACTTCATGGGTCATACGAAGGGCTACCAGTTTGATACACTCTTCTGAAATAACAAATTTGCTCAGTTTGCCTTTAGTTATATATTATTATTAAGGGTTAATGATACTCATTTATGTGAAGACACTGATCACGTTAATGATTTCTCACAATAATTATCAACAATGACTTAACAAGGTGGGAAACAGATAATATGAATATTCAATTTTCACTTTTAGACCAGGCCTGCAGGCTACTCATGTGGTCCTTAGGTGCTACCTGGTGCCCGCGGGCACTGTGTTGGTGACCCATGAATTTTTTATCTGTTGTGAATAGTTTTTCGTGCAATACTGTAAAGGGGTCGGAGCTGAATTTCATGTTTTAAAGGTGCTATATAAATAAAAGTTATTATTAATATTAATTAATTTATATATAAAAATTAACAGTAATAAAAACAAAAAAAATAATTTGATTAGCAATTATACACATACATCTCAGTGCCTCAATGGAAATGTATTAAAAAAATCCTTAAACAGATTAAAAAGTTGAAAACAAACAATAAATAAACAAGTAATCAATGAATACAAATTAAATCTTTAAGTAAAATTAGCAACAATAAATTATTTAAACGCAAGATTAACAGAATATACTCTATTATGATTAGATTTATTAATATAAAATAAACATTAATATACAGAAACTGCAAAAGGGACAGCAGTCTGTACTACAGTTATTAAAGTGTTGTGATACATCATTAACATGATTTAAAAACTCAGTTTTCAGTATTAATTGTGCAATAGTAGGAAATCATATTCATTACTGTATAACCTATAACATTAGTTTGATATTTTATTCTTGGCACAAATGAGCCTCTATAAGTGAGTAATCTATTGTTTATTTTTATAATTCCTAACTTTTCAGAGTAATAGTTCCTGTTACGTTTACATCTTTCTGTGATATAAATATTTTTGAATTGAGCCCAACTTTGAAACTGATGAAATTTAAATTACAGACTTTATTTTGACGTTCAGATGACAGGATGTGATAATAATTTAATAATAATTGTAAATTAAAGTTTGGTCCTTACGTGTAACCTCCAGGAAACAGGAAGTCTTAAACTCTTTGGCGTCACATGTGTACATCTTTGCGTCGTCCGGAGTGCAGTCATGGATGACCAGGGCTCTCTTACGTCCGTCGACGATCAGGTCATACTTCTTGGTCTTTCTGATCTCCTGTCCCTCTCTGAACCAGCAAACGTCGGCCTTCTCTCTGGAAACTTCGCACTCCAGCGTGGCAGTGGCCTCCTCCTCCACCGTCTGGTCCTCCAGAGGCTTTGTGAACTCCACCGGCGGCTCTGAACACAGAAACACAGACGTTAACCAGAAATACACAATTAAAAACAACTCCTGGTGTGAGGCATTTGCTGGCCGCGGTGGTTCAAGTGTCTCACCTCTGATGATGAGCTGAGCCTGAGTCAGGAAGTCTTTGGAGGTCATTTTGACCTCCCCGGCCTCCGACAGCTTCACGTCTCTGATAGTCAGAGTGTGAATGCAACCGGCCACCCGAGTCTTCACCTGCAGGGACGAAAAAAAACAGACAAATAAAAAGTTAATAATAATAATAATAATAATAATAATAATAATACATTTAATTCAGTTTAATAATAATTTAATAATAATCTATTGTAATTTAACTGAATGAGAATTGAATGATGTTGAAAGCTTTTGTTATAAAATTGTGTTTGACTGTATTTCCTCTTTATCGTTTTGGGCTGCAACTATAGATTGTATAGATTATTAATTTATGTGTTTATTCTTTTTCAATTCATGAATTGTCTTATTCATGAAGCAAGATACATTTTTCCTCTTCAACAAAATCCAAAGTTCAGTTCAGTTTTCAGTGAAAACATTTTTTAGTTTCATGAAAACAGACACTGATTCATTTTCTGTCATCAACTAATCAATACATTAACAAAATAAAACCACTATGTGACCACATTATTTCCCCCCATTTCAAGTGCAAATCATCTATTGAGAAGTATTTGCAGTTCAGTTGTTATCAATTATTCAAACACACTTTTTCTGTGAAACACTAAAAACAAGTCGATTAATTTTGGTTTTGATCACTGAGTGATCAATGATCAATCAGTTAATTGATGGACAAAAAATGAATCACCTAGTCATATTGGGAATATAAGTGAGAAATCATTTACTCGGCTATTACATTTCATTGATTTATTATATTGATATGAATTGATATTATTTAATTTTATTTATTGTGGCACAAATGAGATTCCATACTTCATCTATCAAATTAAATAGCATACAAATTAAATCAGCTTGTTTCAGGAATTTGTTTCTTTTTTATTAGAAATAATTTTAGCCTCCTACAAACAACTGTCATTTACTGATGATTCTGATGCCCCCTGTGGACTAATGTGCTAATGTTTCTAACACCTCATTACATTTATTTTAGCGGGAATCCAACCTGCTGGCAGACATCAATAATAACTCTATAGAAATATTAATTCTCTCTTATGTGTGTTTCTGTAGCTCATACAGAGGCCTTTCTATTCAACTATTAGACTGTTTATAACCAGATAAACTCCTTGTATCAGTTTACCAGTTAAAAACCTTTGTAAAAAAAAACTGTTGTAAGAACTAACAGGCAGAAGGATATTCTGTGTTCAGTGACAGAGCCTTCAAAAGCTAACATGCTATTGCTAGCTGTGGATCTGTCTACATATAAGGTGCTGGCGACAGTCGGGGGTCTGTGAGTTAAAGATAACGGCGGCTCTGGTATCTCTGATTATTTTTAACTGCAGCCAAGAGCATGAAGCTTCTGCACTGTAAAAAACAACATGTTCACATTTAATAGATGTTAAAGAGATGCTTTATCTGACCGGTTTTCTTTTATCTGCAAACACATTTGACAAATGTGAACCACTGTGGTAAAATCAAGAAAATGACCTGAAAACAGGTGAAATAATCTCTGCCTACAGTTTTGTTTTTCTTTTGTTTAAACTAAATCAGTCAGTAACAGACTGATTTTTACAGTTTGTAAAATGTCAAATTAAGTATAAATAAACAGATCTTCTGTCTCTGTATTTCTTGTGGATTTTTTTGGAACTAAAAACTAAATTAATATTTTTTTAAGATAAATTATCAAAATGTGTGATTTTCTTTTCATCAATAAATGTAAATGTTTTTTATTATAAATGTATTTTTTTAATCTCACAGAATATCCATGTTTTATTCTCATAAATTTTAGTTTCTTTCTTGTACATTTACTACTTTCATTTTGCAGAATATATTTTTTACAGTGTGTAAACTGAATTATCAGTTTTTAGTTTTTTATTAAATACTGAAAAATAAGAATTTGAAATCCAGAAATAAATAACAAATTACTTGGATGATTATTTTCAACGTGTTTTGAATGAATAATGTTTTTTCTTTTCTTCCTGCTTAAGTATTAAGAATGGAAGCAGGCTCAGATATAACTGAATACAGTCAATGAAAATGTACACACTGCAAAATTTTAGTGTAAAATTAGATTAAGATTAATTAATTATAATAAATTATATACTTTCAGAAACTGGAGCTAAAACATTTGATACGTCTAAAGTAAACAGGAATTTTCTGACTCAGTTAGAGACAGAAACAAGACTTTTTACTGTGAGGTTTAGTGGAGACGGTGATGTGTTTGACTCACCCGGTCACTGGCCTCCATCTTCTTTCCTCCCAGGAACCACTCCACTGTGATGCCCTCGTACGACAGCTCGCACTCGAAGGTCGCTGTCTCTCCAGCCGTCACCGTCACGTCCTTCAGAGGATGCAGCAGCCCGATGGAGCGAGCTGGAGAAGAAGAAGAAGACATGGTTAAATGGACCAGCATGCATCTGTCGGACCACTGGAGCTGATCTGAGGTCTGAGAAAGTTTGTGAAGCAGCAGAGAGTCGTGTTCCTGTCCCTCCAATCAGAGTGCCGCCTCTCATTTTAGATAAAGCATCTAAAATAAACCCAAGAGCTGATTGGCTGAAGACTGACAGACACTCGACCCTCTGCTGGAGGTTGAGATAGAAAATATTTCTCAAACATAAAGTTACCAGATGAGACATTTTAAAGTGTTGAAAATCTGCTCTGACATAAATAAAAATGTATGATATATATTATTTATATTACCTGGATTAGAAAATTATTTCAGATATTTTAAATGCTTTAATAAGAAGCTTTCAATTATTGCAGAATTTTGACTATTTAGTAGCAACATTATAAAATCATATCATAATTTTGAAATCTGTTGATGAAAAACAGTAGTAGATGAATGTTCAACGACATCAAGAAATAAAACTACTTTGTCTCCAGGTAAAAAAGACCCAAATTGATCTGTGCAACAGATCTTGAACAAACTGAAACTTTTACTTACTTTAGAGGAAACTAACTGTACTGTATATGTTTATTGTAAGCGTAAGTGTGACAAAGATTAAAAAACAAAAATAAGAAGAATATGAATGAAAACAACATTCAGAACTTCTAAATCCCAACAGGATGAACGGCTTTCACATATGAATAAATAAATAAATAAATAAATAAACCTGAAAACGTGCTCTCACCTTTCACTCGGAGCTGAGCGTTGGATTTGGCGTTGGCTGCTGAGAAGTCGACACCTCCCGCCATGTCCATGCGGACGTTATAGAGGATCAGCATGTGTTTGGTTCCTTCCTCCTTAATCTCAATATCCTGGAGGAAAACAACAACATTTCATTCATAACTCTCGAAAATTTGTGTTTTTTCTTGTAAATGTATCTTTTAAGCTCAAAGAGTTTTTTTTTTTCGAAATTTACCACTTTAATTTCACAAATAATACGCGTGTGAGTTATTTCTTGTAAATATACCACTTTAATTTCACAGAACATTCATGTTCTTCCATGCCTTTAACTTATGTCATTGTTTTATCAGAAACATACGTGACGTAGTTCACATGAAACCAGACTCACAGCAGACTGATGCAGAGCTTCTCCCTTCAGTTTCCAGTTTCCATGGACATCTTCCTCAGAAATTTCTGTCTCAAACTTGGCAGTTTCTGTCTCTGTGACCTCAACACTGTACAGCGGACGAATAACCTTGATGTCCCGCTCTGCAGGGGAGGAAATAATTAAGTAAGTACTGGTAGTCCCCCCTACAGGCTGAAGTGTTAGTTAGAGATTTACTGACATAAATCAGTGTTAAAAACTATGACATACCTCAGGTCTATGTTCTTGGTACTCTACTCTTCTCTATTTACATTAATTTGTTTATTTAGATTTTAAACAAAGAAAACACAAATCTCCAAACACTAAATCATGTTAATTGTGCCTCAGAATAATTTAAATGTATTTTTTACCAAATCATATGCAGAAATTGAATGAATTTCCACCTCTACGCAGATAATCACACCAATATTTGGAAATTAATATTAAATTCAATGCAACATTTTCAATAATTTGTTTGAGTATCAGTAACCCTTCAATTGTGTGATATCGCAAAGATTGACCGCCAAGAATTTTGCTGTTAATTTTAATCCAACAGCACAAGAATGTTGCTTTCAACCAATACAACATTGCTAAAATTTGTTCTTGTCTGATGCTGATCCTTATCCATCATTTTGTTACTTTACTAACCAGAATTGAGGATCTAAACATGAAATTGTTCAGTGTTGCACAGATTGAGGCAAATTTGTGAGTGTGGGCTATATAAATAAAAATAAACATGAATTAACTTTCTTATTTCTCTAATTCTCCATTGAATGTTACTTTAACACCAACTTTCTTGTCACATATCTCCTGAGAATTTACCTTCAATGTTGAGGTTTGCTGTGGTTTTATCTGAACCACAGTCGCAGGTATACTCTCCAATGTTAGCCTTCTCTGCCTTCCTGACTGTCAGGATGCGCTTCTTGCCATCGGTGCTGATGGCAATGTTCTTGGAGGGAGTGATCTCCTTCCCGTCCTTGAACCATTTGACATCGGCGACGGCCTTGCTCAGTTCACACACCAGCTTCACCTCATCCTTCTCCACGGCCGTGTAGTTCTGCAGCTTGGTGGTGAAATATAGGTCGCCCTCTGCAGAGGAATAAGATTAATAACATTCTCATGTTTAAAATCAGGAGTCAGTTGAGAAATGAAATTCTCTTGAGTCCATTCTGTTCTGTTATTAGCAACCTTGTCATCAAGACAACAACAGGGACTTCTCTGGACTAAAGATCAACAGATAATCTCTGTCTCTGGAAACTTTATCTTGTCTGTGGAACATTCATACCGGCAAATAATAATTAGAAAATGGCCAAACCTTTAATTCAGTCACTTGAACAACAACCAAACATTTGACACAAGCTAAAAGGGTTCGCAGCTACTGAAAAGTGACACTGACCGATGACGGTGAGCATGGCGGTCATGGTCTTGTCCATGGCCTCCACTTTGATCATGGATGTGTCGTCAATAGTGACCTCTTTGAGGGCCAGTGTGTGGATCTTTCCGTGATCCGACATGTGGACCACCTTGCTGGGATGCAGACGGACGTCGTTTTTGTACCAGATCACCGTGATCTTGTCGTGGGAGAGTTCAACACTGAATTCTGCTGTTTCGCGTTCCTTCACTGTCACATCCTTAATCGGTTTGGCAAACTCCAAACGAATACCTGCCGCAGAAAAGACAACGCAATCATTCACCTGAAGTAGAGCATATATTTGAATTTATTTACAGGATTGCCCCTTGAGATGCAGTATCTAATTTTTCCAAAATATATAGCTGTAGATATATATGGAGATATATTTTTAGGGACTGAGCACTGACAAAAGTGCAAGGTCCGTCTTGTTTCTAGGAATTATTATTATACTTCTGCCCCTTTGACCGCATATTTGGCGGCCGCAACATGCTTGAAAAGTCATGGAAATTTGCACAAAATTCAAATATATCGAAAATACTGGTATGCAACTGTCCCCGTGCACGAGCACCGCTAAGCCACACCCCCCAGAATAACTTCTGCATACATGATCTGATCTCAACGAAACTTCATGTTTGGTAAGAATCCCGCCCTGAACACGTCTATAATATAATATAATAATATTATTATTATATAATATTCAGTAATGGTGAAAGCACCACCTAGTGGTGAAAGGAAATGTCATTTTTTATACTTCCATGTTCTACTCCTAGTAGGATGATCAGATCAAGCTGAAATCTAGTCAGGAAATGCAAAACATGTTGTTGATGATATTTCATGATTGTGGTGAATTTTTGTTAAAGGGTGTGTCCGTGGCGTGGCGTCAAATTTTGATGTACGCCAGAACAAACAAAGTTGCTATAACTTGAGCGCACACAGTCCAATCGGCTCCAAACTTCACATGCCTGATGAGAGTCCCACCCTGAACACATCTATGTGATAATACTCACTAATAGTGAGAGCACTAACTAGTGGTGAAATGAAATGTAATTTTTATACTTTTATTTATATCTTCAAGCATATTGATCAGATCCAGCTAAAATTCTTTCAACACTCCCTTAGGACGATGACAAAGACATGTCATGAATCTCAAGAATTTTTGTCAAACTAAATAATTTATAATTTAATCTAAAAAATCACTTTGAGAAGATAGAAAATATAGTTTATTATTATAACATCTGCATAAGTTAAACATGAGTCAGTTTTAAATTGCATTAATCACTAAAGATTCTTAAATTTAAAATGAAAACAGCCAAATAAGCTTCTTATAAAAACCTTGTTACCTTGTATGACCAGTTTGCCAGTTGTCCTCTTGTCCTCGGCCTCAAACATGTACTTTGCCTCGTCATCATAGGCGGCCGATCGGATCAACAGAACATACATGTTTCCTTCCTGGATCATCTCGTACTTATCGTCACTCTTCAGTTCTTGAGAGCCTTTCAGCCAGCGGAAACTCTTTGGAGGTCTTGACAGCTCAATCTCGAACCTTGCCTCGTCCTTCTCATACACCTGAACGTCGCTCAGCGGTGTGAGGAAGTTCAGTGGAAGTTCTGAAGAAAAACACGGAAAGAAAGGTTTTTACTTTGATGCCGTTACGCTGTCAAGTTGAGCTTACTAATCATTTTGGGTCCTGACACAATAAAATAAAATACTCAAATACAGGTAAAACTGACCAACAACTAACCAAAGTTAAAAGAAATGAGTATACAGTTCAGAGAATTTGTTGTACAGCCCAGTGCACAGGCCAACCAGGATGTGATAGATAGATAATCTACATGAGTTGTTAGTTAGATAGTTGACCAGGTCATTGGAAGACAGAGCAGAAGGGGTGGGGCTTAGGAAGGGTAAATTATTGCATGATTATATAAGACATATTGGAACAGATGTTTAGAAAATAGTACTCGCTGTTGTTTAATGATGTGGTAATGTTAAGTCATCTGGAAAAAACATTTCTGGAGTGACTGAAGATGAAGTAACTCTGCTGTTTACCTTTGACCTTCAGGTTAGCAGAACATTTGGCGTTGGCGGCAGCGTACGCCACCTCTCCGGTCATGGGGACTTTACAGTTGTAAAGGATCAGCGTGTGCTTGCCTCCCTCCTCGATGATGTCAACATCCTGTTAAATAATGTTATAAACAGTCATTAATAATAGCAACATAATGACAATGAAAAAAAGAAGAAAAAAGGAGAAAAATGCTCACTTTGGACGGACTGAGGACTTCTCCGTTCAGTTTCCACTGGCCGTGGACGTCGTCTTCAGAGATCTCTACCTCGAAACGAGCCGTCTCTCCATCAAACAGCTCCACGCCATAAATCGGCCGAACCACCTTAATGTCACGAGCTGGTGGGTTGAAGATTTAAGGGAAAGAAAAACAATTCAAGCATTAGAATTGTAAGTGACGTGAGTTTTAACATCAGATGTGATAAAAAGAATAATGAATCTATATTCTCTCTTATCAAAATTATCCTTCTCATCTGAGAAAATGATCATGAAAAAAGTGCCAAAAAATATCATTTGGACTTTTTGTTAATATTGTTTTGTATGTTTAAAAAAAATGATGAGAGAATAATTTTCTATATGTTTAATTGTATATAACTTTAATTTCAGAATACTGACTTTCTCAAACATCCTTTTGATTAAAATTGCTTTTCTCATATGAGATATTTTTCTGATAAATGATGGCTAAAATTAATCTCAGAACTTTTCATGTGACCCTAATCCTCGAATAACCTTCAGACAGAACATGTCTTTACTTTTGTCGGTGGTCAGTTCTGATTGATTGATGACGTTTACCTTCAATATTGATGTTGGCTGACGTTTTGTCCGTTCCACAGTCACATACATATTTGCCTTTATCGCTCAGCTCCACTTTCTTAAGGATCAGAGACCTGCGAGTGCCCTCAGACTTCATGACCACCATTTTGGAGGCGACTATCTCCTTCTCACTGCGATACCAAATGACGGGGACGTCTTTGCTCAGTTCGCAGTCCAGAGTAACCTCATCTTTCTCGGTGGCTGTGTAGTCCTGCAGCTTGACCACGAAGATGGCGTCACCCTCTGTAACAGAGCCCAGAGTCAGTTTCAGTAAAATACAGTTTTTTACAGTCGCATCATCGCATATGTTACAAAGACTGAGCAGTCTTGTGGAGTGGAAAAAGAATTGCATGATACTGACAACCATTTCAGCAGATATCAATATCTTTAATTTTCAATTCTGGTTTATTACAACAGAAAATGTGTCCATTTTTATCACAAAAAAAAGACAAAAAAAAGAACAGGAGTTGAAGAGAAAAAGAAGGCGAGTGCTCAAACAGTGCCTGATTTGGTTAAAAAAAGATACCAGTACCCTAATTCAGCACAACTCTAACCACATAATACCCCTAACCCTAATTTGTTTCAGCATTACGCTAGTTATGTATTTACACAGAAACACAGTTGCGCAGGCATTAGCCTAATTTTTTATTTCTTGTATTCTTCAGCTTTATAGTTCTGATATTATATATAAAAATCACATTTGCAAGTAAAAGAAGAAATTAATGGAAAAACAAAAAAATTAAAGCCCAGTTGAAATAAACCAGAATTAGTTTTTAATCTATGTTTCTAATAAAGACAAAATTCCAGTCGAATGTGATAAATTTGTTCCTTTCTATCATAGAAAAAAACCTTTCAACTCATTGCAATAAGATATTACTGCCTGATATCTGCTGTCTGACAAATTGTACATGTGTAAAAAAGACATTGAGAGAAAAGGGAGAAAGAAAGGAAGATGCGTTGTTACCTATGACTGTCAGTTTTGCCATGGAGTAAATTCCTTTGGCCTCTGCCTTAATCAGACAGGTATCATCTAGAGACAACATCCTCATTTCTAGAGTGTGTCTCTTTCCTTCCACGTGTGTGAGCACCGTTCGGCTCACGTGGAGTTTCACTTCGTTTCGGTACCAAACCACGGGCACGTTCTCGTGCGACAGCTCGAGCTCAAAGCGAGCCGTTATACCTTCTTTCACCGTTTGGTCCTGAAGCTGCTGCATAAATTTGAGCCTCATGCCTGCAATACATCAGGTCAATGCACACAAACAGGGCGGTTTGTAGCCATCGGACACTTTAAAAGCCACAAACATGGAATGACAACACAGAGGAAACAGGAAGCGATGGTTTTCTATCTGCCACTTACCTTCCACCGACAGCTGAGCGCTCGATTTCTGGCCCAACACTTCGATGGTGTACTGAGCCTCATCATCAAACTCACAGCTGTTTATGATCAGCATGTGTTTCTTTCCATCATCAATTATTTCATATTTAGGGCTCGGGGTGACGATCTCCACCCCCCTGAACCACATAACCTTTGACACCTCCTTGGTGATGGTGCATTCAAACTTAGCCTGTTTCTTTTCAGGCACAGAAACATCCTTCAGTGGGTCAACAAAGCCCATTTCGATTTCTGCGAGATGCGAACAATTCGGCAGTTATTCATAAAAGCAAAGACACAGCCATCGCTTTTCTTACCACATTCCTTTTGAAATTCCTTCAGCTTTCAGGGAGCAACAAACGCAGCAGCTTGCAACAGACAACAAGAAACAGAACTGGGTTTGTCTGAGGGAGATTTGTACCTTTGACGGTGAGCATGCCGCTGGTGATGGCGTTCAGAGCCTGATAGGACACTTCACCAGCCTGATCCAACTGGACGTTCTTCAACGTGAGGAAACGTTTCTTGCCTTCAGTCTTAATGTCACAGGTCTAAAAAACAAAGATAAAAAACTTAATATTTAGTTTCAACACCACAACTATACTCCTTCGTAGAGGTGGACGGAAGAATTACACTGTAAAGTTAGTTGAGGAAACCAATCGCCTTAAAACATTTGTGTAGATTTACAATTTAAACATGAAACAAATGCTTGATTGGAGTAATTCAGGTATTTGTTAATGTAACTTGGGTAAAATAAGTTAATTTGACCAATTCAATTCAGTTAATTGAACTTAAGTATAAATTTATATCAAATTCATATGCAGTATTTCAAACTTTTTTTAACTTAAATTAATCTGAATAAAGTAAGACATCTTCTTTATACAAATATTACTTTTAAACTAATTATTAATAATTTACTTCTTTTGGTTCCACTGAAGCAAATTATTACCTGTCAAAACAGCTAAAAAACTACTAAAAACATTAATCTATTATCAAAATGGTAGCCAATTAATTTTCTTATTTAAATTTTCAGAATTCTGAATCAATTCACATCTTCAAAAACAACTTTTCAATATTAAGTATAGTTCAATTTTTTTCCTTGCTGCTGGCAATGTTGACTCACTGCATGCCCTTTTCGGCTTCCGTTTGAAATTGCAAGCTAACATTGGCTCTCGGAGTCGGTAGCTTATCTAAAATGGAGTGGCAAGGAAAATTTAAGAGAAGAATTTAAGAGAGAGAGAGTTACAGTGAGTGAAATCGGATGTTTTTAAAAATCTTACCGGAGATCTCATCAACACCTGGCCCCTCAGTTTCCATTCACCAGCTACGTCATCCTCAGATATTTCAGTGTCAAAGTGTGCTTCCTCCTTCTCCACCACCTCCACGCTGGAGAGGGGCTTCAAGATCTCAGCCTCACGTTCTGAAACAACACACAGAGGTGGTTATGAGACATATTCTACCTTGTTGAACATGACTTTCTTACGAGTATTTGTTACACCAACCTCCCAGCGTGAGTTTGGCTGTGTATCTGCGGTCTTCAACCTCGATGGTATAATCTGAGACATCATTGGGCTGGCAGTTGTTGATGGTAAGTGTCATGTCCTTTCCATCTTTGTTGATTTCCACCTTGTCAGAAGGAGTGAGCTCGTTGTCTCCTTTGAACCACTTCCAGTTGGGAGTGTCCTTGAACAGCTCACATTTGAACTGGGCTTTGGCCTTCGGTTTCACATGCTGGTCTCTCAAAGGCTTCACCAGCCAGTCTTTAATGATTTCTGAGGACAAAGGGGTTACATTTTTTAAGATGGTTTAAGACCTCTGAGGTGAAAGATTGAATCTAAAAAAGTCTGAAAGTTTGTCCAAATGAGTCGAAATATCAAGGTGAGTTTTAAGCTGACCGCTCTCTGACTGCTTACCAATCACTTTCACGTTGGTTGTAGTCTTAACGTCCTCCTGTCCCTCTACCTCACAGGTGTAGTCGCCGGCGTCTTCTTCAGTGGAGTTCTGGATGGTCACAGCGTGCTGCATACCAATGATATTAATGGCCACTTTTCCAGCCTTTTTCTTCAGGACAGCACCGTTACGCTTCCAGATCACATCTCTCTCTTTGTTCAACTCACAGGTCAGGTACATAGGCTGACCCTTCATACATGATGTTTCTGGCTCCAGTTCTTTGATCCATTTTACAGGCAGCTCTGCACAAAGAGACAAAGTAATTAATTGCGATACGATAAAAGCTGTGTTTCTTCTGAAATTCCTCTATTCTGGTGACAATACCATACCTGAGTTTGAGTACTTGATGCCTATAAAAAGCTTGTTTTTTCAATTAATCAAACACTTGTCAAATACTTTTTAATGTTGTCACAATGCATATATTTGGATAAAAAACCTCATTTGTTTACCTTCAACAATGAGCTTGGCAGTGCATGTTATTTCCTTGCCGGCATTCTTGGCCACACAGGTGTATTCACCGGTGTCTGACAGTTGGACATCAATAATGTTCAACTTGCGGTCTTTGCCATCAGCTGTGAATTTGTGTTTGGGGCCCTCACGGAGGTTGCTGCCATCTTTCATCCATGAAGTGATGGCAGTGGAGGGAGAGACCTCACACTCAAACACAGCAGATGAGCCAATGGACTCGGCCTCCTGCAGCACGATGTCCTGAATCTTCTTGACGAATTTCAGGGGGACGGCTTTCAACTTGAATCCTCCAAACGGTTCCTCTGGTGGTGATGGGCCTTTACCGCCGGGCCTCAGGCCGCGGCCCCTGCCACCGTCACCAGGTGATGGGGTTTGTCTCGCTGCAACATCACATACAAAAACTCATCAAGTTAGTTTCAGATATTTTAATGAGCGAAGAATCAGACATTTGACAATGGGATGATTTTAAGAATTGGGCCTACCGTGAATTACTGTGAACAAAAATCGTTTTTTAGTGTTAAAGGTGCACAGACTACAAGAATCTATTAAGACTAGGAATCATGCAGAACCACTCTTTATGAGCCTTCAAGAGGATTCTTTGAAGAACCACAAAACTAAAAAATACAAGACAAACCAGACATACAACACGCAAAGAGAGGAAGATAGCAATCTCCAGCAACTGTGAAGCTAACAAAAAACAACACGTGGACTACCTACCTGTGTTTTTATACATTCAGTGAAATATTAAATATTAACTGTATTTGTGTTCTTTTAGCCTTTGTTATTTTGATAGTCATAGAATATGGAGTGAACACAGACAATAATTAAAAAAATAAAGTTCAAATATTGTCCAAACACAACAGCCATACTTTGCACGAATAAAACTGTCTAAATAGGAGTAAGTAAGTATCTACTTAAAGAATATTTCTAAAAGATTACAAATCTTTTTTGACTCAGTGCTACATACACATTTCAGTTGGTACCAAAGAGCTAAAGGCTGTATCCCCAACCATATTCCTGATCATCACAAACCTTCAGGCCAAGATTAAAGAATCAAGACAAAACATTTGTTTGATTTAGCTGGAAAGGACAAAACATGAAAACAACATACACTTTGTAAATGGAGCGAGTGAAGTTGCTTCAGATATTATCTAGCACAAAGAGCAAAACCGTTAGTACACAAGAGCTCATTGAATTCATACCCCCAAATCCTCTGCCTCTGCCTTTCGGTGGCTCCTCTGTTGGTTTTCCATCTGGACAAGAAACAATAAGATGAGTTTCAAGTGTCTCTGTTAGAGCTTGCTGTTCCAGCATAAACCAAGATAAGATTTGAGCAATGCTAACAAGAAACATGCTAAATCACACATATTCTTGTCCACATCACATGAGAACATATAAGGGACAGCACATGGTAAGAGAATAAAGATGGAGTGAAATCTTTGACAAATGGATGAATAATGCGACAAACATTGATGGAAGACAATTCAGAAGACTAGAAGTAGGAGTGAATGACATGAACGTTGATGAAGACGAACATGCAACATTTTAAGATTTATGTTGATGACACATTTGATGACATTATATGATAGACAACATAAGAACATCACAGTGGATGGACAGACAGACAGATAAATACATGAGCTCTAGATGAACTAATGGCTCAAATGAAGTGATTAAAAAGGGATATGATGAGGATTAGATGAGTCATCTGAGATGGATGAGGTGGCTCCAATGTCATCAGCTGAGGAGTTTGCCTTCATCTCACCTCGTTTACCGCTGGGCATGCCTGGAGTCTCCAACGCCCCATCCACCCCTTCACCTTCCCAGTCTTCCGTGGGAACCAGCTCCCAGCCCCAGGCTTCCTCTTCTTCGCCACCTTCCATTTCTGCCTCCTCTTCAAACACCTCCTCCTCTGGCTGAGTGGGCACCTTCTTCATCTGCACAGCTCCAGGAGAAACCTCCTTCACCAGGGGGATCCGTCCTTTACTGGGCTTCTCCGGTTCTGTCTCCTCTGGTGATGGCTTCTTTGGGACCTTTTTGAGTGTTACAGCTTCAATCGAGTCTTTTGGTGACACCGTTTTGGGAATCCGTTTGACTTTTTCAGCACTTGGTTTCTTCTCAATGGGGACTTGCTCCAGTTCCTTTGGTTTTGGCTTATCGACTTTTGGTGAGGGAGTCTTTTTTAGCTCGACCTTCTTCAGTTGCTCAATAGGTTTAAATGGCTTTACTTCTTCAATCTTGTCTTTACCCACTCTTGGGGAAGGAGTCTTTTTGAGTTCAATACCTTTCTTTAAGGTATCTGTTTGTTTTTGTGGGATCTCTTTCTCAGCTTCTTTCTTTTCTGATGGACTGGGTTTCTTTGGTGGAACAGCTGGCTCCTCTTTCTCCCGAGGTTTCTCATCCTCTTTTTTAGACGCTTCAACTTCCCTAAGCTGCTGTGCCTTTGGTTCTTTAGGAGTTTCATCCCTTGGAGTTCGACTGGGTACCTTTGTGTCCACAGGCTTCTTTTTCTCTTCCTCAGATGTGTTATCTGGCTTTTCTTCAGGCTTGCCGACTTTGGTGAAAGGCTTCAACGCAACCTGCTCTTTCTCTTTATCTGGTGTAGAAATAATTCTTGGTTTTCCGCGAAGCTTTTCGGCAGCTGCAGGTTCCTCGTCTTTGGGTACTTTATCAACCTTTGTCCTCTGCGGGAATTCCTCCTGGTCTTTGCTGACATCAGGAGTTGACTTTGGACTCGTCAAGGGAGTGTCTTCATCTTTTCTGTGCCTTACAGCAGCGGTAGGTTGATCTTTCTGTGGTGTCTCAGCTCTCTTGAATGGAGTGCATTCAGTATCTGTCTTAGCCTCACCTTCTTTCTTAGCTTTTGGAGGTTCAGCAGCGTCGGGTTTCTGAGGTTTTTCAAATGGTTTCAGTGTCACTACTTCTGGCTCCTCCTCTTTCTTTGGCAATTTCTTTATTTTCTTTTTAGTTAAATCAGGCTCAGGTTCTCCATCTTTCGGCACTTTAGGGGTTCTTATCCATCTCGATTTCTCATCTTCTGCTTCTAACTTTTCAGGTTCCTCCATCTGACCCAGTTCAGATGCCTCTTCAGCTGCAGTGAACACTTGTTCAGTTCTTCCAACTGTTATTACCTCTCGATCGTGTCTGTCATGAAGCTTCTGAATAGTCGGTTCGGTATCATGTCTTGTCACTTCAACTTTATGAGTTATGACTTCTTTCTCAGGCTCTTTGGGCTTAGTTGGCACCTTTTTTAGCTTTATCTGTTGTGGTTCTTCTGGTTTTCCTGGTTTTTCAAATGGTTTCAGTTTGACTGATTCTTTCTGCTCATCCGCCTTTGGCAGTTTAGTTATTTTCTTCTTATCTACATTTGGTACCTCGGGTTCTTCCTCCTTCTGTGCTTTTGTGGTTCTTGTCCATCCTTCTTTCTCAGTTTTCTGTACAACTGTAACCCTTTCCACTTCTTCAAAAAAGCCTAACTGAACTGTCTCCTCCTCAGCAGTGAAGACTCGTTCAGTTCTTCCAAGTGTTGTTATCTCACGATCTTCTCTGTCGTGAAGTCCATGAACCGTTAGCTCCGGATCGTGATGCCTCGTCACCTGTGCCATATGAGTTATGACTTGTTTCTCAGGCTCTGGAGGTTTCACTGAAACCTTTTTCAGCGTAATGACCTCTGGTTCTGCTTCCTTTTCCTTGGGTATTCTGGTGAACTTACTCTTCAATTTAGGTGATTCCGGTGTTTTTGCTTCCTGAACAGGAATCTTACCCTTTTGCTTAAGAGGTGGCACTGTGATTGAGGCAGTAAATACACCTTTTATAACATTCACATACAGACATACAGGAAACTAAACATTTCAGCTGATATTTTTACAACACAGGACTCACACACCACTTAAATATATACACAAAAAACATCTAGTTCATGAGACAACAACTAACATAGCAATATGTATTATTTTACTGCCATTTTAAAATGAAGACGTTAATATTTATACCTTTAGTTGGGCCAGGTGCTGAAACTGGTTCCTTGTCTGCAAGAATTTAAATAAGATCAATTTAGGAATACACAATACAGTTAGAACAAAAGCTAAATCAAAGACAAGAAAAATTAGACAGAAAATTTGGCATGCATTTGCTTTTGTTTTTATTTCTGAGCTCTGAATGCAATGACTTTATCAAGTTTTATTCAACATGATTTTCCGTCATTACAAGTGTAAGTTACAGTGAAGTAGCTCCAGATATACCAAGAGATATTTTTTATTTTCATTCAACAGATATTGTTAATATAAAAGACTTGGAATGGATTAGAGAATGGAAAATATTTTTTTTTCCATTTATAAAAACATTAGACAAACATATCTAGACAGAATTAGACAGTGAATGCAAAAAAATCATTCAAAACGGGAAACAAACAGAAGAGAACAAAATACATAAAAGTTACAGAAGAGATTTTACCTTCAGGCGGAGAGATTTTCTGTGATACAGGAGAGGGTTTAGCCTTTGCGGCTGGTGGAGAGGGTTTCTTCTCCACCGGTGCAACTTGAGCTACAAGAATGCCAACTTGATTAAATCACTGGCAAAGATCTGGTAAACAAGCAACAACTGACAGATACTAAAACAAAACAGACACATTTAAAGAATTCAGACCAAAAGATTTATTTATATAAGTTGAGACAAACAGGGAATTAAACAACATGGATGACGAACAGAAGAAACTACCTGCAGTAGGAACGACTTTTTCTGCTGGAGGCTTTGGTGTTGGTGCAGATGGTTTCTTTTCCTCTGGAGGAGACACTTACAAGTACAAGATACCAAAGGTCATAACCAAGTAAAGGTATGAAAGTAACAAGAAACAAAGGACAGATTAAAGATGTTAATAATGAAGACAAGTACACATGAATTAAACAGACAGAAAGTAATCTGTTACAAAAACAGAACCAGACGATGTGGAGGATTTCTAACATGGTAACACAAACAAAAGACAGTATATTTCAGGACTATAAAACACACTGAAAGAACTACCTGGAGGAGGAGCGACTTTGGCTGCAGGAGCAGCAGAAGCTGAAGGCTTTGGTACAGGTGCAGATGGTTTCTTCTCCTCTGGAGGAGACATTTTGAAATACAAGATGCCAAGATCACGACCAAGACAACAACATGGACAATCAAGACCGACTATTGCACTAAAACAATGCAAGATAAGATTGGTGACAGTGTAGGCAACAAATATAATGGCAATTGAGGAAAAAGAAAACCACAAGGACAACTTTTGATTAACCAGCAAGAAAAAACAGTAAACATACAGACATTTAAAACAACATAGAAAACCAAGTGAATACACTACCTGCAGGAGGAGCAACTTTATCTGCAAGAGCAGGAGGAGGAGGTGAAGGTTTTGATGCTGGTGCAGATGGTTTCTTCTCCTCTGGGTGAGATACTTTGGGGATACAAGATGCCAAGATCATAACCAAGAAAACAGTAATTCAAACGAAACGAGTAAAGTTAAAAACATGGAAACCTGAAGACAAGAGAGACAATAAGAACAACACAAACAAATGGACACAAAGAAAAACAACATGGCTGACTCTTGATGAGCCAGCAAAGATGAGGAAAGTACAAACTGAACAGACTACCTGTAGGAGGAGGAACTTTGGTTGCAGGAGGAGGAGGAGGAGGAGGCGGTGCTGGTGCAGATGGTTTCTTTTCCTCTGGAGGAGACACTTTGGGAATACAAGATGCCAAGATCACGACCAAGACAACAACATGGTCAATCAAGACTTATTAAAGATGATTTAGACATGAATTACTCCAAACATTACAAAAGATCACTAGAAGAAGTTGACAAGATTAGAGATGTGAAAGAATGTCAACTGATCAATGATCAACTCAACAATGAAAGATGTTAATAGAAAGGTTATTTAGTACAAAGTGTACCTTGTAGAGTAGTGACATAAGAAACAAAGACAATGGACGAAGACAGCTTACTCTAATGATGTGAGGACTAGTGAAAAATGTACAATCTTTTCTTGTTATTCAAGACCATATTCGAAGATGTGTGTGAGTGCAGTGAATATTTAAAGAGGGGTTGATCTTATGGCGATCACGAGCCTGTGCGGCTCAAAGAAGAAAGAATACCTTTCTGAAGAGTTTGTTGTTCAGTGTCCTGTGTTCCCTTCTTTGCTTTCTTGTCATCTTCTCTTATTGGTGGAGGTTTAGTTGTGGTGATTCTCGCTTCTTCAGACGAATCCACCTTGGGAGTGATCATCTTTTGTGCCAGAGAGGTGGGTTTCTTGGATTGAAGAGTTTCTTCAGGGAGAAGAGGTTTTCTCTCTGTTGGAACTTGAGGTTGTTTAGTTGGAGGAACCTTGTCTTTAGTGATAGGTTTCTTGGGAAGACTCACTTCCTCAGGGGAAAAGTCTTCTTTAGGAACAACAACTGCTTTGGGAAGTGCAGGGAAGGTCTTCTTTGTAGGCAGAACACTTTGTTGTGGTGGTGGAATTTCTTCCTCAGGACAAACTACTTTCTCAGTTGAAGGAATTCGAGCTGGAACTGGAGGTGACACTGCTGTTGGGACATGTTCTTCTTCAAAAGACAGTTTTTCTGACACATGAGTTGGTTTCTCAAAAGGTACAATGTCTTTAAGATTAATTATTTCAGCAGCTTTAGGAGCTGTCTTGATTTCATCCTTTGGAGACTCCCTCTTTTTAGTTGTTTTTGCTTCTTGTTTTGAAGGAACAGCTGTTGCAGGATGAGAAGGAATAGTTTTGGGAAGAATTTGAGGTAAGTCTTGGTCAGGTTGAGGCGAAACGGTTTCTCTACGAGGCATGACTCTTACAGATGCAACATCTTCCACTTCAGCTTGCTTCATAACAGTTACTTCTTTAGGTATTACTGGCTTCTTTGGTACAGTGACTTCTTTAGATGTAGAAGATATTTTAGGTTTATCAAGATACTCCATTGGAGACACAATTTCTTTTTCAATATCTTCATGATGTTTTGATACAAATGATTCAGTTACTTCTTTCTGCTCTGCATACGTTAGAGGAATGTCAGCTTCCTTGAACTTTCTTTCTTGAGTCAGTACCTCTTTTTTGGCTGTCACTCCAAAAACTTCTTTCTTTGTGGGACAAGTCATTTCAGGTGGTGCGACTCTTTTTGATGGAAGAAGGGCAACTTCCCTTAGAGAAATTTCTTCTCTCAGGTCTACTGCTTTGTCCTCTGGATCAAAGACTTCATCGTCCTGAGATTCAATGTTCTCCAGTTTTTCAGACTCATATTCTGAGCATGTTAGTTCAATGTCCTCTAATGGCTCAACCTGCTGAGCTTCACTGTACCATGTAAAAGCCTCATCTTTTGCAAGAACCATTTCTTGTCTTATCTCCCTTTTCAAAGTGGTTTCTTCTCTCACGATGGACTCCCTGAACTCCACTCCCTTTTCATATGTGCTGACTTCTTCTTGCTTATGTCCAACTTCATCTGCCAGAGAAATTCTTTCTACTTGACCCCTCTTTAGAGAAGCCTCCCTGCTGTCTTCAAGTACATCTGTTGTTTGCTTAAGCTCAGTCTTCAAGGGAACTGCGGCAATTATCAAGATATCACCCAAGATTGAAGATTTGCACCATGGAGCGGTGGCCAAGAGGAAAACAGCAAAAGACAAAAATAATCAAGACACAAAAACACAGATATCAGTGTGGTGTATATTCTACTGTGATCCTCATTTTATGACTGCACTGCAGGTATTATGAATCACTACCTATCTGCTATGGAATTTCTTTAGACTTTTGCTGGACTGAATCTCTTCCAGATGGAATAACCTCATTTGGTTTTAGGGATAAATAAATACCAGCCAAACTACAAGAATCTGATGTGCTGACTTTCTAAAATTATCTGAGAAACCTTTGTAAGTCCGAACATACCTTTGATGGGTGTACCCGTCTCCAGCTTTGGTTTAGCTAGTGCTGTTGTTTCCTGTGGTATCGCCCTCTGTTTTACTGTTTCAATAATTGATATGATGTAGCAAACAATCAACATGACAGAACAGACATCAGGACAAAACTTTTGAAAATTAGATCAAGATAAGCAAGAATTAGTTAATAAGATGTTCAAACACATGTTTGCAGACATATCTACCTTTTTGCTGAGGCTTTTTAGCCTGAAGAATTTGTTTTGGTGTTTCCAAATCTGGTGTTTGTATTGGTGCTCTGCGGCGTAGCTCTGGTTCTTCTGTTACTAATTTTGGAGCCTCTGGACTTTTCTCCAGCTCTACTGGTGGCTCGGTAACCATTTTGTGTGTCATATGAACCTTCTTTGGTTCTTCTGGGATCATCTTTGGTGTTTCTGGAAGCTTCTTTGGTGCCTCAGGAATCAACTGTGTTTCTTCTAGTACTTTCTTGGGTTCTTCAGGAACCCTAAATGGTGTTTCTTGAACCTTCTTTGGCACCTCAGCAACTGCCTTTGTTTCTTCTACAACCTTCTTAGGTTTTTCTGGGACCTTCTTTGGTTCTTCTAGTACCTTCTTTTGTGTGTCTGAAAGTTTCTTTGGTGTTTCTGGAACCTTCTTTGGTGCTTCAGGAACCATCTGTGTTTCTTCTTGTACTTTGTTGGGGTCTTCAGGAACCCGTTTTGGAGTTTCTTGAACCTTCTTTGGTTCTTCTGGTTTTGTTAAAGAGATATACCTCGGTGCTTCTGGCTCAGGTTTACTAGCCAGCAGATGTGGTTTTCTTGAAGGTTCAGATGTCTTTGGTTCTGGGACAACTTTGAAGAACATTTGTTTATAAGATTATTATCTTGTTAACCACATTTTCAGTCACACTCTAACGAGTGCTTAGCATACTCAAAGATCATCATAGAAGGTATTTTGGAAATATCACTTTCAGAAAACATTATAAAACTAAACAAACTTAAAACATGAGAAACAACACAAACAGAAAACATAAGAGCACAGCTCTGCAGTACCTTTAGTCAGAACAGCTTCAGCCTTGTGTGGAGTGGCCTTGGGTTCCTCTGGTCTGGGTACATCTTGCACTTAAGAGAACATTATGTATTGTTTAACCTACAAGTAATGACCAAGTCTAACAAAGATTACACTCTAAACGAGTGAATTCAAAGTCTGAATTAGGATATAAGAGGCTTTCAAAGGTCAACAATCAATACCTTTAGCTGGAAGATGTTCCGGTGTTGTGGGAGCAACCTTGGCTGCAGTTAGGTGAACTACAGGTACTTCAGGCTTTGGTAGTTCTGGTGCTTTAAAGAACATTATATATACAGTATGTTCATTAACCTGCTGGTAACCACTAAGACTTCAACATCCACTCTAACGAGTGTTAAGCACAAAAAGACAATCTGAGAACATAAAACACACAATTACAGAAACCAACCACACAACATAATAACAACACATATGAAAGAGTTCAAAGATGAGATAAAACACTGTCCTTCCAATACCTTTTGGTAAACTATCTTCAATCTTTGGTGGAGTAATCTTGGCAGCAACTGGCTGAACAATGAGTTCCTCTGGTTTGGCTACAGCTGGAGAACATTAAAAGTTTTCCATTTACTCTACATTTAACGTGAGGTTATTGTAGGAACAAGGTGTGAGGTTTATTATCAGTACACTACAGCTATGTCAGTAATGTCTAGAGTTAGACTGTAGAGGGATTATATAGAAAGCTATAGCAAAATATACATTAGACAATGTTAATTAAGAGGTTAGCAGTGAAGATTCAAGGTTTACACAAACACATTAAAGAGTTATACACATTGATCACAACAGCACAAACATAACAACAAGAAAGATATACTGTTAAACACAATGTCTTTGCAGCTTATCAATGCAAATTGTTCACTACTTTACCTCTCCGTTCAGGGGCTTCTGGTGTTTTCTTGGCAGGTTCAACTGACAGTGCTTTGGGTTCAGGCTTAATTTTGGCTTTCATCTCAGGTGCCGCCGGTTTCTGAGCCGCCACCTTAGGCTCAGGAGGAACCGTTTTTAGCTCCACTGTAGGCTCAGGTTGATGCGGTTCAGGAGTGACCTTTCTGTGAACGGTCACTTTGTCCTGTTCTGGTTCTGGTTTGATGTATACTGAAGGTTCTTCAAGGTTAACAGAGAAATATTACTGTGAGTCAACACAGAGCACACACAACTTCAAGAGTTTAAGGGGTCAAAGAAGGAAAAGATAACATATACAGACATATATATCAGAGACAGACTGACAAACAACCAAACAACTGACAGACGGACAGCCAAGAGTACAATGCTATTTACGCATTGTAAGAACGCTGACAGCAGAATCACTTTAGACAACATTAAGTTATACAAACAGCTTTGAAGAGGAAATCTTAAGGTGAAGTTCATCTTCATCTTCAGTTTTATTTGATATTAATGATATGATTGATGGATTTTAAGAAAAAAATAAGTCACCCTTTCAAAAAGTCTAATGTCAAAAAATTTTTACTTGTATACATGTATGTATGAATAAATAAAAAATCTTATATATAAATACTATTAACTATAAATAAATATATAAATAATAAAAATATCCAAACATTTGAAAAATATGTATTGATATTAATATAATTTATATTATTTTTAGTGTAATGTGTAGTGTAATAGAAGTAGTTTAAGTGTTTTGTGTTACATTTCTTTTTGCAATATGTGTCAAGAATTAAAAATAGAAATAGGAGGATGAATTTTGTTAAACAAAATCTCAGAATCAAGAAAAAAGTGCATTTATGTCTATTGTTGATATAAAATCCTGTCTTTCATGTGTTGAAATTATTTTAGCATTGCACATCAACAATTAATAATGTAAAGAAGTATGTAAATGTTTTAATTAAAAGTTATTTAAAGAATTACGAAAAGATTACTACCTGTACAAAAATGCCTTTACAATTTTTGATGGATTCCCACCCTTTTTTGACTATTTTATATGAAGAATCAAGACTGTGAGCCGATACCGACTCTCTAAGATCACAAACAAAGAAAATTATCGACAATAACTAAATAATAAACATTACCTTTTGGGGCCGGAGGTTCCTCACGCCGAGGCGGAGCGACTTCAGGCTGCGGCTTCTTTGCTTCGGGTACTTTAAAATATTATCATGGATTTCAGTTTTCTGACCAAGATACATGCTAACATCAAGACTCTTACTGTGAAGTCTTTAAGAGAAACACATAAATGAAGAAAGGAACAAACAAGAAAGGGCCAAAAACCAGACACACGGTACATAAATAAGAGAATATTACAGGTACAGACAGACAGTGGTAGAAGTAAGAAGAGGTATTTGCAGATACCTTTGGCTGGAGCTGGAGGCGGAGCTGCAGGCTCAGAGGGTTTCTCCTCTGGTCTCCTGTGAACCTCAGGAACTTGAAAGATCAAGAAAGTTCACATTAAAACTACATCAGCCAAGCTCTACTCTACTTTCTGCCACCTACTGTACAGAAAGCTCTAGTGAGGGTTAATAAGAGCATCAGAGAGGTGAGTCTGGGTCAACAAACATTAATAAGAGGGATGAAACATGAAAGTAGAACACAGACTAACGGATCATCTACAACAAAAACAAACGCAGTCGGAGAGAAAAGCTTCTATGAGCAGCAGCTGCTGGCGTGAAGCGTTTAAACTGGACGAACAAACATGGCGGCTAGCAGAGTTCGTTATAGCCACAAGCTCTGTGTAACAGCCAGGAGCCCTTTGCCTTTTTAAAAAAGCAATTATACCTTTAGGGACTTCTTCTCTTATCAGAGTCCTCTCAACAATCTCTTCCACAGGTTTTTTCTCTTCTGGTGAAGAAGAAAAGTGAAAGAAAAAAATCAACCTGACTGATACGTGAGGGCCAACGAAGGTCTTTAATTATCAGAGGTTATCAAAGAGGAAATGAAGTGGATTAACTGTAAATGAACAATCGATGAAGAAACAAGGACAGAAAATGTGAATGATAAACACAACAAACAGACATATAAGAGATGTTTGAAGACAGACAGACAGACAGAGGGATGACAGGGTTTATATTGATGATGGAGTTATTATATAGAACAGAATAATGTTGATACCTGTGACGGAGGAGAACCGAACGGAAACCGTCTCTTCTTGAACTGTCAGACTTTGAGAAGCTACAGTAGATCATTGAAGGATAGTTAGAGATCTGTGTTCAAATGTTTCATCACTGCAGAGTTTGTGCAGAAGAGGATTATGTCGAACAATCATTTGGGGATTAAACTCAACTAATTCTGACTCTAGAATTTGTAATTTAAACTCAAGAATAACGAGAGTTAGTTCAGAAACCTCCGACATAAAAGTCAGGATTCAGACTCGGACTAACCTCAGATGTTGACTTAAAAAGCTCTGGCTTTAATTTACAAAAATCTGACTTCAGATTTCGCTTTTTGTATAGGAGATTCATTTCTAATTTAAATTAAAGTCAGAATTTTTGACTGTAATCTCTGACTAATAACATAACATAATAACATACACCAATACTAATATGATAACGAAATGTCTATGATAGGCCAATATTGGCTGATAGATCAGTCGAGCACTAGATTTATATAGATAATAATAATAATTCAGTGTTTAAATGTCAGAATAATCTCATAATTTCAAGATTAATCTCAGACTTTAACTTTTTCACACAGCCGTAATCCTCTTCTGTACATTTATTTCCATTGAGTGACATTTAAAATATATTTACAGACTGTGAATTAAATGTTATCGAAGTTCATATGTTGAGTTGGTATTTGAGTTATTGAGGAGTGATGATGGCTGAATTAATATTCACTGAGTTCAAAATGATCACACGGTTATTGAAGATGAGAGTTAAAGGATGAAGAATATGAAGGTTAAATTTTAGAAAGTTTCATGTTTAATGTTGATGGATGAAATGCAGAAAACTGTTTCTTCACGCAAAGTAAGAATTAAAAGTGTTGATAGTTAGTGCTAATTTCATAATTCACAACTTTTTGTACCTTTCACTTCTGTTCTTTCTTCGTAGTGATAAAATTCGGAGGAATCTTTTGGTAGAAAAAGACATTTATGAATGAAAGAAGCTGAGTTGTGTTGTGTTAAAGTTTGATTGGTAGAAACAGTCCCAGACTCACCTCTAAAAACCATAGAAGCTGTTTCTGGAACATGAACTGATGTGTCTGGGAAGTCTGAAGGTTTAGCCACAAATACATCTTCTGTTAATTTTGAACTTCACGGGAAAAATATATTTTTTTAAATGTGTAGAATGACAGTAAAACTTCACATTTCTCCCATTTAATAATGAAATTGTAATAATTTCACCAACCTGCTGATAGAATATATATTTTATTTGTTCAATTTGAGTTTGTCTTGTCTCTTGATATTATTTCAATCTGACTTTAATTAAAGCAGGAATAAGGAATTTTTGTCAAGTGTTGATTCTGGCGCCCCACTGTGGACAAAAGTGGCAATGTTTCTACTGCCTCATTTCAAGGGGAAGCTGACTGAATCCGACCAGTAATGACAATATAGAAATAGCCAGTGGCTTCCGCCTGAAGACCTGTTCAGTTTTACTGTCATCAGGATATTAGCTGTTGAAAAATACTCACCCTGAGGAACCTTTCCTAACCCAATTTCTGTAAAAGGACAAGGTACAAAATGTTATTATAACCGCTAACTAAGAGTAACTTAAGTGTTTTAGCTGTGAGATAAAACGTGCACACCTTTGCCCGACAAATAAAGCTCAGCTGTGCTTCGAGCTTCTCCCATCGGCTCCAGACGAGCGATCACCGAGTAAACGCCTGACAGAGTGGAGACATTATTAAAGCTCACCACATAATGGTGTTGACTTTTAGTTCATTTTAGAAGACAGTTAACTAAAAATATGAATTTTAAAGCCCTGGTCACACCAGAAAGTGGCACAACAAAAATAATCTGTGAGTTTTGTAGTTCTATAGCTAACAAACGTACACAAACATGTTAACGGTAGCCTGTCTATTTTCTCCGTATGGACTGTTTATTGATTGTTTTATCCCCCGGATTGCTCGTCGTTTATAAAGAGAGTTTTTACCTTGGAAGGAAGAACTTTGTTAGCTGTGTTAGCATTATGATGTCCTGACATTTTATAGACCAAAAAACTAATCAATTAATCAAGAAATTGACTAACATAGTCATTAATCGATAATGAAAATAACTGCTGCGCTAGTCAAGACAGTGTATTTCTTTGACTGAATTCATGAGTCAAAATTCACTAAAGTTGAAGTTGACACAAAAGGTTTGAGTCTATTTTCTTTACCTCCGCAACTCAGTACTTTAAATGCTGGTGTGACCGGCCCTTTGAGCCAGTAACATCTCATCTGTCATCATTTAAGGACCTTCCGAAGTCCAAAACATTTAATTTAATTTAAAAGCAGTACAAATTAACGTATTAATCTGTTTAATATTCTTATTTTACCCCCTTCCTGCCCCTTTTTGCTCTGTGCTCCTATAACAGTTGAGCAAGCAACATTTGTTATTGGATGTAACTAGCTAGCTAACAACTGATGTAGATTAGCTAGTTAGTTAGCTAGCATTTTGTAGCCAACTTAAGATGTACTATATATATATATATATATACGTCTTTTCAATATAGATTAGCCTAGCACGTAGCATATCTAAGTACAGCAAAGGAGGAAGTTGACCAAGGTAGATAAGAAGAATATTAAATAGATTAATAAGTTATAACATATATATAATACAAATTAACTTAACTTATATGCATATTTGCACATTATAAAATAAATACAAAATTAAATGTATTCTTTTTTTTTAATGGTTTTATGTTTGACTCTACCTTCTCCAGCTTCAACAAACCATTAGCTGGTTTGGCCTAAACTAAATGCTAAAAACTACACTTTATTAAAAATGATTTAAGTTTTATTTATTATTATTTATTTGTCAGCACTGTGCAGCCAAAATCTCTAAAATATAAGAATAAGGAAGTATCTCTCTAGAGTGAAACATATAGTTCAAATTTATTTTTTAAACAAACCTTCGTCCTTCGGTGTTACGTTGCGGATGGTCATAAAGTGCCGTCGACCCTCGGTCCTGAAGTTATATTTTGGGCTCTCTTTAAGCTCCCATGCATCTTTGTACCATGTGACGGTGGAGTTGTCGAAGGACAACTCGCACTCAAAGGTGGCAGAGTTGCGTTCATTGACCTCGATGCTTCTGATGCATTTAGTGAACTGAATTTGGTCGGCTAAAACCAGACAATCAGAGTTAACTCCTGATTTCACAATATTAGATTCAGGTTAGTTTATAACATTGATTATTTGATTTGTTTCATTTTGTTATTTATATATTAAGACTCTTGTTGGAGATTTTTTTTGATTGAAGTTAAATATGAAAGAAACAAAGAACAAAAACAGGAAACAGAAATCCACAAAACACAGAAATAAAGTCATCTTATGTGACCCGGCAGGTCCAAAGAGGTCAGTTTGAGTTTGGTTAGTGTGAAGTCGTACTGCTTACCTGTCTTGTAACCAGCTCCTGATAAATAATAAAATGAAGGAGTGGGACGTGAGGACATGTCACAGACGTACAGACAGGTGTCCATCAGACTGGACAGGAAGTTCAGACTCTTACCTGTAACGGTGAGCTTGGCGTTGGAGATGTGAGGACCACACACCACGCGATAGTTGCCCTGATCTTTGACCTGGCAGTTTGTGATCTTCAGATAATGGCGGTCGCCCACGGTGCTGATGTTGTACTTGTCGCTGTTGTCCAGTTTCTGGGTGCCTTTGTACCAGGTGAGGGTGATCTCCGGGTAGTTGATCCGGATGCAGCACTCGAAGGTGGCGCTCTGGTTCTCGGTTATCGTCTGGTCGCTGATGTCCTCCATCACAGAGACGGGCTGAGGGGTCAAAATCTGTTTTAGTCATCAAACTCTTATGGGTCAAACTTTAGACCAGAGATGTTCCGATACCATGCTGTTCAGATACTGAGTACAGATTGTGTAATCGCTGTTGTAGTCAATGCAGGGCGGGTCATGACTTAACTATCCTCGGGAAAAAATGGCAAACAGGGCACAGCTAGGATCCCGTTTTGTGGCTAATAAATGATGTAGTATCGGACTAATGCACGGACACGTACTTGTCGATACCTGATAGCACATTTTAGAAAGCACCGGAGGCACTTCTACAGAACTTTATTTAAATTCTAGTAAAGATCCCAAAGTTTCCACAAATAAAAGAAAAACTTAAGAGAAATGCGTCTTAAGTGACAAATGTAGAATATTTATGTAGTTTTGTATTTCTTTACATATGTTTCATATTTCTGCATTCAAATAAATCTAATGAAATCGTATGATGAATAGCTTATAGTGCTTTTGCAAAATATATCTTTTACCTGCCCATGATTGATACTATTGGCAATGCACTGCAGTATTCAGTTTGATTATCCTGTGATTGATTTAAGCTACAAAGTAAAACCGACAGTGTTATTGGTTGGTGTTGGGTACCTACCTCTGTGCCGACACGTCCCTCCAGCTGCTGGATGAGTCGGGCCATGTCCTCCTCCTCAACCCGGCCACCATGCTCCACCTCCTGCGATGGGGAAGACAACGATGAGTTCATCTTAAACTCTTTCTACACCATTGTAATGAAACATTAACAAAATATGTTTCTTGTTGCTCTCTTAGTTACTCTAATAGAGTAACTATACCACTCTACTAATTTCCACTATGAGAAATTAACTTAAAGAAATAGTTCACACACTTGTTTTCTGGTTGAGAGTCAGGCGTTCAGATTGATTCCACACTCATGTCTGTATTGTAAATATGAAGCCAAAGCCAGAAGCCTGTTAGCTTAGCTTAGCAGAAAGAATGGAAATGGGGAAACCGCTAGCCTCTTCTTTTCTCGATCTGTTTTTTTTATGTCTCAGTTTGTTTCTGTGCTGCTGTAACAGGGATTAATAAAGTCTGACCTTGTCTTATAATTATAATTATTTCAAGCAGCTGTATATTCAAAGCAAAACTTTAATCCTAACATGAAATGAACCATCATCAGCATTAGTTAATCGTCTCACCGCTTTTCCAGACTGCATCTCCTTCTCCCTCTTGAGGAACTCGACGGCCTGCAGGATGGCACGGTAGTCGTGGATGCCATGCTCCCGCAGGATCTTCTCGTAATCTTTGGGGTCGTGACCTCTCAGCAACTCCACAATATCAATGTCTCCCTCTTTCTTGGGACTCTTCTGCTTCGAGGGAGTCCTGACAAATATTAAATACACAATCAGAGAAGGTGTCTTCTTGTTAAAGAGACCAGTATGCAGACCAGTCAACTTGCCCTGCACTTCCACAAATAAAGAAATAAATCATCCACAAAGAAAAGTTCCAGTAAACCTACTTCTTCAGCCTTGTCCTTATGTCTCCAATTCCTTCCATTTCCTCCTTCTTGGTGACCTCCATCTCAGCGCTGCACTCAATCTCTCCGTGTTTGTTGGTGGCGACACATCTGTACTGACCAGAGTCAGACTTGGTCACCTCTCTGATCTCCATTTTAGCATCCTGGCCCTTGTGCTCGATGGAGATACGACCACCGGGGGTGACCTGCCTCCATTTGCCCTTCATCCACTTCACGCTGGGGATCGGGTCGCCCCCGATCTTGGCAATGAAAGTTGCGGTGCCCTCTGCAAAGAAAAAAGTGTTGAGTAGCATGAGTAGCATAAAGGGAACTACAGCTGACTTCATGATACTTATATATTTTATTTTTATTTTTTCCTTGTACATAGAAACACAAAAATAACAACATAGTCTATTTATCAAGATTCTGATCCTTTTTATTTTGTTTTTGTTCAAATTGTTCCTACATGTTTCTTGTTTATCTTTTTATGTATTTCTGTTTCATTGCTTGTATTTTTTCTTCTTTACCTATTTATATATTTTAATATATTTTATTACTTTTTATATTCTTTTCTTAGAGTTTTCCTCTTTCTGCCTCATGTGTTTCCTCAATTTAAATTGATGAGAGCATTTCCTTAATTCATGTTTTTATTGAGTTATGTTATGGAGTTTGTATTGATTACAATAACAAATTTCATAAATGTATGAAAGTGCTACACAAATAAAATCTGATTGTGTAACAAATGTGAGAGCTCAATCATGACTAGGGATTGGTAATGCTTTTCCTATTTTACGTCAATCTGCAGAGCTCTCAGGACAAACAGCCTCAGGTCCAGACGTCTACGAACAGTCTACTTACTTTCTGTGACAGAAATGTTTTTAGGTTCCTCGATGAAGAAAAGGTTGTCCAGCCTTTTGACTGGGGCAGCAGCAGATGGGGCGGCAGCCTCTGTGGGGGCAGCCTTGGCTCCTTTGTCTGAAAAGAAATCATGGAGGTGAGTCACACCAAGTAGCCCAATCAGAGCCTCAAACCTGCTCAACTGTTATTAAAACAGTCCAATTTCTATATTTCATGTTCTTTATTGTGTAAAAAGTATAAAATATAGGTAGTAAAGTAGGTAACGGTAGTCATCACACACGTTGGTCACAAGAAAAATGTCATAGTTCATAACAAAAAACTGGTTGTACAAACATTACCTTTCACAGTGACTTTGGACTTGCAGAAGTCACTGCCGGTAGCGTTGCTGGCCTTGCAGAGGTAATCCCCTCCGTCAGTTTTTGAGACTGGGCTAACCTCCAGACAGGCTGTCCCACCAACAAATGTGATTCTGGTGTTTCCACTGGACTTCAGCTCCCTCCTGTCCTTCATCCACTGGATGGTAAGTGGAGGGGTGCCGCTGACGTGGCATTTGAGGCTCAGCTTCTCACCCTCGCTCACTGTCACCGGCTCCAGAGGGACATCAAACTTTGGAGCCTGGCTAGTTTCTGAGTTGTGGGAAAGAAGCAGAACAGCTACAGATACTTTCAAACAGTAACACTGAAACATCCTGAAGCACAAACTTTTAGAGGTAAACCAGACTTACAATGAAATTCCACCAGGCACCGCTGTATGACACTGCATCTGCAACGCAGTTTGGCTAAGTCATCTGCGCTTCTTAAAATCCCACCAAGAGGGTTTCAGAAGCGGAGCGTCTTCAGAGCACATTTCCTGCCTGATGTTGTTGACTTGTATATTTTGTCCTTAATTAATAGGTTATAACCTCCTCACCTTCCACTCCCAAAATTACCTAATTAAATTCGAGGCCTTGTCATACAAAACGGCTCCACCTCCAGGATGAACTTATCGTCGTTCATAGTGTCAAATCTCCTCTGACCTGCCTTTGACTGACTACGACAATGTTGACGTAGTATAAATTGTATTTTGAAAATGTATTGGATTCTCTATGACATTTCTGTGTCTGACTTCCTGCCAATGCGATCTACTCTGTGCTGCTTGACGTGGGTGAGTTGTGACTTCCATTAAAAATAGACCAAAATATTCTCCACGGAGCAGAGCACAGCGACCAAGTTACGTAACTTCCTAAATTGTAGTTAGCTAATTGTTAACACGCCAGTTAGCTTGGCAGCCTATTTTGGCTTTCTATTGATCACTGGCTAGCATGTTATTTGTTAGCTTGCCAGTCAAAGTAACTCGCTAACCAGTGCCACAAGGAGTCACTGTGTTACAAAGCACCAGGACGAATAGCCTTATTCTGGTGTGAATGGGTACTAAAATAATAAAAACATATTCAAGGAAGCCATTTGCTTAATTTTGATTGGATAAAGACCCAGATCAATTTAATGTGGAATGATTGCACCAAGATAGAGATAATATGGATCTCAGTTTCTCAGGGGAAAGGTTTTACCTGGAAAACATTTCAATCTCAAGATCATACGACAAAACCTAAAGGCCTTAATGACTGAAAAAACAAATGAAGATAATGCGTCACACTCATACCTGAGATGGAGAGAGAAACCCGACATGAAGCTTTTCCAGCTTCATTGGAGGCCTCGCAGGTGTACACACCGCTGTCAGAGCTGGAGGAGTCTCTGACACACAGCATGGCCAGGTTGTTCTTGAAGCTGACATCGTATTTGTCAGAGCCGTAGATTTCCTTGTTGTCCTTGTACCAAGTGACGGTGATTGGCTGGGAACCAGACACCCGACCCTCCATCTTCACCGTCTTACCCACAGAATCCATCATGGACTCAGAGGGCTTCTTGGTGAAGTTTGGAGGGACTTTGCGCTCTGTTAGTGGAGGAAAAGGGGAAAAAAATCAGGCAATGTTGTGACATTTGGAAAGGTTCCGAAATTTAAATTGATCATTCACCAGGCCACTGGGCCTTTACAGTTACATTGGGGAAAACAGAGAGCCACAGTACGCAAGACAACATAAAAACACCTGGAACACAAAAGCGAACAAATACAAAATATTGACCCTATTAACAAATACTGCTACCTGTCTATGAATCCGTTTTTCAGGCAAGCAAATATTTATCTGACCAAACCTTAACAACATGGAAATCATGCTCTCAAGGTCCTTTTTAAAACCTTTTTTTTCCAAACCCAACAAACACAGGACCAGCCAACCATAAACCCAACAACACCCTAAACACAACGACAATGTAACCCAGGACTTTTTTGACGTTACGAAATTCCATCTTGTTACCGACAAGCACAGGACCACAGGAAGGTTAGCAATACTATAGTGGAGGTTAGCATTAGTAACTGGAACCACATGAGGGGAATGAATTTAGATGGGAGGAAATGTGTTGGTTACTGTGTTACCTATTTTAACATGAGCGTGACAGGTGTCAGTTCCTTCTGCATTGGAAATTTCGCAAATGTATTTTCCCGCCGCTTCAGCTCTGTCGCTGTTGAGGACCTCCAGAATGCACAAGGAGTCTGTGGATTTGACGTTGTACTGGTAAGAAGCCCAGATCAGCTTGTCGTCCTTCTTCCACGTCACGTACGCCCTCTGGCTGCCAGTGTACGTGCACTCCAGCCTCAGCGGTTTACCCAGCTCATGGTTGACGTCCTCCAGTTTCTTCACGAATCTTACAGGTTCTGAGAGAAGCAATGTTGAAATGAGTCATAACAACCACTTATCTCTACATGTGGAGGACGAGAGACCATGTGATTGCGCAGAATCCAAAGGAATCAGTGGATGTTCTCATGCGTAGAAAGAGAGGCTATGTGAAAGGAGGGACTTTTACCTGTACATGAAGGTAAGGTTACAAGCATTGGCTATGTGAGTAGCGTTGTTACCTCTAGCAATTACTCATTTCATGCATGAAATGAATGATGAGAACTACAAGCACTGTATTGTTGGTTAGTTTTACCTAGTTTGACATAAGCATGGCAGATATCAGAGCCTTCAGCGTTGGAAATTTCGCAAGTGTATCTTCCACGAGCTTCTTCTCGGTCACTGTTGAGGACTTCCAGCACACAGCCACAGTCTGTGGTTTTGACGTTGTACTGATAAGAGGCCCAAATTGGCATCCCATCTTTCTTCCAGCTCACATTCAGTCTTTGGCTACCAGTGAACGCAACTCTAAGTGTCAGTGGTTTGCCAACTCGGAACATGGTGTTTTCCAGCTTCCTGATGAAGCGAGCAGGTTCTGTGAGAAGCAGTGATGGTTGTTAGATGCAAAGGTAATTGTGAGCAAGCAGAAGCAAATGTGAATCATAATTTACTGATGAAATTCAATTAGCTTTGATTTAATTATATGAAGGGCGTATAGAGTATAGTCTAGAGTTCCATCCTACTCCCAGGACAGTTTGTGTTCCACTAGGCTCAGTTGCACGTGTTTACTCATAAGGGGTATCTTCCATTTGTTTGTTAAAGTTATTTGTCTGTCCATGACGAAAACCATGAATCTTACACCTTGATTCCATCGGGCATGGCTCTGTAACGTCGTCGTTATCTGCGAAGCTGTTTTGGTCCATCCTCTACATGGCTTCATGCCCCACCAGGAGCGTTTCAGAGGCAGAGTGTTTCGCTTTTTGTTAACAAGTTTTTGTTGATTTTAACATTGTTCTTTGATTTATGTGCGTCTACTGTGAGTAAGTAGGCAACACAGTTACATTGTTTCCTCTTGGTCTGGTTTTACAATCAGGGGTCTGCAAAGAGTCTTTTATTTTGAAAAGTGACCAGATTATCTATGCTGTTGCTTTGTCTGACTTCCTGCCTTTGCAATCGGCTCTTCTGTGAAAAATAGACCAGCTGCATATTCTCCTCGCAGAAGATTGGAGAGATGCTTCTGGGACACTTCTGCAATGCGCTGCTGTGCTTCTGGTAGAATCACAAGCATAGTCAAGAAAGAGAGAAATCGTCTGTGCAGCTAGGACGCGTCACAGCCATGCCCGGTGGAATCAAGCATCCAAGCAAAGAGGGTGAATTCTTCATTCTAGATTTAGCTACATGCAGCCCAGGTAGACGTAAAACATCCATTGAACTTAAAAAGGCCAGACACAAACAACACTGTGCCACCTTAAGACCTAGGCCACCAGAGACCCCTAATCATTCATGAGATCACGCCACCTTGCCAGGGTTCAAGCTATGCCCTTCGGAACAATCAGCTTTCTGTGAGAAACTACCGGGATCTACGGCAACGGGCATTGGACTGTTTGATCAAAAACAACAATGGTTACAGAAGGTAAAAAGGTTAGCATAAATGCTGCTAGCATCAGTTAAAGTCTTTTTTTCAGAACAGCAAGAAACATACGGCTTTTCTCGATGGAAAAGATGTTTTTGCTCTTCTCCCAGCTTTTCAGATGGAAGACATGAAAACAGGTTGAACAGAAGCTAATCTGGGAGTAGGATTACATTTCTGTGGCTATGTATTAACACATTTTTGATTCAAATGTTTTCAGTGTTAGTGAATGAGATAAAAAAAAAAAAGTGCTGTGGTGGGTGGTGGAGGTTATACCTTTCTTAGAGGTTTTACAAATGACATACGCGTCACACAAGGCGGAACCTTCTGCATTAGAAACTTGACAGGAATAGAGCCCTGCCGCTTCTTCTCTGTCACTGTTGAGGACTTCTAAAACGCATGTGGAGTCTGTGGTCTTGACATTGTATTTGTACGAGGCCCAGATTGGCTTGCCGTCCTTCATCCAGCTCACATGCACTTGCTGACTGCCAGTGTATGTGCACTTTAGACACAATGGAGTTTTCAGACAGTACGATGTGTCTTCAAGCTTTTTCACAAAGCGCACAGGTTCTGAGAGAAGCAACATCAGTGTTAGTCATGTCATGTAGCCTGAACTGTTAGCAAAATCAGTGACTGAGTATGTTAGGAGGAGGTTACCTAGTCTGATATGAGCATGACTGATAGCAGAGCTACTAGCATTGGATATTTCACAGGAATATCTCCCAGCAGCCTCTTCTCTGTCACTGTTGAGAACCTCCAAGACACAGGAGTTGTCTGTAGTCTTGACGTTGTATTTGTAGCAAGCCCAGATTGGCTTGCCATCTTTTGTCCAGTTCACATACACGTGCTGACTGCCTGTGTACGTAACCTGAAGCTTCAGAGGCTGGCCAACCCTAAAGGTCATATCCTTCAGCTTTTTCACAAAGCGCACAGGTTCTAGAAGAAGCAAGGACGTTAGCTGTTAGTTGGCTGTCAACTTTTGAGAAAGATGAGTGAGATTATGTGAAATATAGTTAACAAGTAACCTATAATATAAACTCATAGGGCTCATTTTTTCATTTTTTAACAATTGTCATGAAAAAAAATACCAATTTATATGTACTGCCACAAGGGGGTCTCACACAAGCAGTTTTGCCTTAATAATCAGTGTCTCTCCAATGCTGCTCAACAGACAAAGGACGTTAGCTACAGCTAACGTTAGCTCAGCTTGTTTCTCTGAGAACTTAAGACTCAGATGTCGGATGATTAAAATCCTTCATCCGGTTCAAATCTAGAGTTAAAAAGCACCAAGATCTAAACAGTGGATGGTAAAAATGTGGCTTCAAACTGGATAAAAAGTCAACTTATGACAGCTTCTGGTAAACAACCACAATGCTGACGCCTGCACAAAGGGGATATGACGCCATTGACAGGCAGCAAGTGAAACACATCATTACCTGAATAAAATAACAGAACATTAGGTTTGAACATTGGTGCAAACATAGGTCTAGTGTTTATAAACATCTTAATGCAGAAATGTTGCATATTATAGCTTTTAAGCCAGATTTTTATATTCCCATGTCCTGAAATAAACTGTCTTTACATGCATTCCCAATAACAATACATTTATGTTTTTGTTGAAAAAAATAAAAACTGAAAGGAATGAGCCCTGTTTGATGTTTTACCTAGTTTGACCTGTGCATAACAGATAGCGGTGTTCTCAGAGTTAGAGATTTCGCAGGAATATCTGCCTGCTGCTTCTAGCCGGTCACTGTTGAGCACCTCCAAGACACAGGAATTATCTGTGGTCTTGACGTTGTACTTGTAGGAGGCCCAGATTGGTTTACCATCCTTTCTCCAGCTCACATTGACCCTGGGGCTGGCACTGTAAGCACAGTACAGCGACAGGGGCTGGCCAAGTATAAGGGTGGTGTCTTCCAGCTCTTTTACGAAGCGCACAGGTTCTACAGGAGGCAATGGTGATGTTAGTTGCATGTTGTGTCATTAATGTTACAGCAAGCAAATGCATGTTTATGTGAAAGGATTGATCTGATTTTTGAAATTTCAAAATAGATGATGGTCATATGTTAGTGGCTTTACCTATCTTAACCATAGCATGGCAGATATCAGTGCCCTCTGAATTGGAAATCTCGCATGAGTATTTCCCGATGGCTGCCCGACTATCACTGTTGAGAACTTCCAAGGTGCTGGAGAAGTTGGTGGTTTTAACATTGTACTTGTATGATGCCCAGATGGGTTTTCCATCCTTCATCCAGCTGACGTAAATCCTCTGGCTGCCATTGAATGTGCACTCCAGCATCAAAGGGTGGCCAATTTTATAGAAGGTGTTTCTCAGTTTTCTCACAAAGCGAACTGGTTCTAAGAAATCAATTAGCAATGGCAGTGTTAGATATTATAAGCAATGGTTCATCTTTTAAACAAGCTGGTTACATTATATTTTATGGAGGTACAAATGATTCTTAATGCCTGTAAAGAAGTGAGTTGCTAAGGTGGGTTACCTAGTTTCACATTAGCATGGCAGATATCGCTTCCTCCGGAGTTAGAGATTTCACATGTGTATCTTCCAACGGCCTCTTCTCTGTCACTGTTAAGGATTTCCAAAATGCAGGTGTCGTTGGTGGTCTTGACATTGTACTTATACGATGCCCAGATGAGTTTTCCGTCTTTCTTCCAGGTGACGGACAGTCTCTGGCTTCCAGTATACGTGCACTTGATGGCCAAAGGTTCGTGGAGTCTGAAAAAAGTGTCTTCCAGCTTTTTCACGAAGCGAGCAGGCTCTGAGAGGAGTAATGGTTGGGTTAGTTGCATGTAGGTTAAATTATGTTATGTTAGAAGGGGCAGGCTATGGAGATTTTGCAATAGTCTCAACTGACATTTTTAGTCTTAATGACTACAACTACCCTTGTGCCTACTAGACAAAAGCACACTTTGCTGATGAATTTAAAGCAGATGGTGTGTTAGGGGTTTTACCTAGGCTGACACAAGCGTGGCAAACATCAGTTCCAGCTCCGTTGGAAATTTCGCAAGTGTACGTTCCAGCTGCCTCGGGCCTGTCGCTGTTGAGGACTTCCAGAGCACAGATTGAATCTGTAGTTTTAACATTATACTGATAAGATGCCCAAATCAGCTTTCCATCCTTTTTCCATGTGACATGGACCCTCTGGCTTCCGGTGTATGCGCAGACTAATTTCAGTGGCTGACCCACGGTGAAAGTAGTGTCCTCCAGCTTCTTGATAAAGCGCACAGGTTCTGAGAGAAGCAATGCTGGTGTTAGAAATGTGCCCATTGTTATATTTCCATGCATTTCTATGCCTCTATGTCAAAGTTAATTCTATAATGGCTAAAATGTAACTTGTAAAAACAGCTAAAGAACTATTAAGCTACATTAGTATTGTTTTCCAAGAGTTGCATATTTCACCAGAGGTAATCTTTAGGACAATTTTGGTACAATCAAAAGAAACTGAATTCTAATGAGAGGATCCAGTAACAGAAATAACTGGCTGATCTTTTCTCTCTCAAAGAAAAAGGAAGTACGGGAAACAAGCATCACCTTTCACCACCACATTACAGCTGGCAGAGGCTGAACCGACCCGATTCTCTGCCTTGCAGATGTATTCGCTGTGATCAAACTTGGTTGTTTTGATCAGTTTCAAAGTGGCGAAACCGTTTGCGAAGTCCATTGAGCAAGTGTTGGACTTGCGCAGCTTTCCATCAGCTTTAAACCAAGCTACGGAGATGTCAGGAGTTCCTGCAATACGGCATTTCAGGGTAACCGGATCGCCCACAGTTACCTCCACTGGCTCCATCTTTTCAACAAAGTATGGTCGCTCTAAAGTGAAAGATGATGATGATGATGATGATTTAGTTGTGTTGTGGAGCAATAAATGAAAGAATGAATGAATTAAATGTTAAATGACTGAATAAATTATTGAATGATCATGAATTATTACAACTGAAACTAAGCACAATAACATGCACTTTAATAAATTTACCTAGAATTGACACTTGTGCTTCGCATCTGTCACTTCCAACTCCATTGTCTACTTCGCAAGAGTATCTACCAGCTGCCTCCATCCTGTCAGAGTTAAGAACATCCAGGATGCAGGAGGTGTCTGTGGTGATCACATTGTACTGGTATGAAGCCCAGATGAGTTTACCATCCTTCTTCCATGTCACATTTACCCTGGGGGTTCCAGCAAATGTGACATCAAGTCTCAGAGGCTTGCCCTTCTCAGTGGACATGTCTCTCAGCTTCTTCACAAAGTGGACTGGTTCTGAGAGAGTTAATTCCATAATCAGTTACAGAAAATTCACGTTAAGTGCAGAATTGGTTAAAAAAAGATATCTATCATGCTAACAAACCTTTCACAAACAGGTTAACTGGGTAGCTTTCCTTCCCTGCATCGTTAATGATCTGGCAGGTGTACTCTCCTGCGTGGGACTTTTCGACTTTGTGAAGTAACAAAGTGGCAACATCGTTCTTTAGAGCGATCTCGCAGCCTCTTCCATGCTGCATTTCCTTGGCTCCCCTGAACCATTTGACTTTCAGGGTCTCACTGCCTTTCACTTTGGCTGAGAAAGTCACGTTTTTGCCGGGCAGTGTTTCCTGCGCTTCGGGTGTTTCCACAAAAGTAGGAGGTTCTGGGTTCAAATAAAAAAGATGTGTTGTAAGATAATTATTAACTTTCTGTAATGAGCCTGACTCCGTGATCAGGAAGACATCCTTGAAATTTTCTGTTTCTTGATTTTTTTTTCACGTCTACTGACCTGTCACATTCATTGACGCACTCGTCTCACTTGCTCCTGCAGCATTCACAGCTTTACATGTGTATTTGCCGGAATCTGACATCTTGATTGTTGGGACTCTCAGTTTGCAGTTATTATCAGTGCAGCTAATGTCATAGTTAGGCCCACTCTTGATCTCCTGGCCGTTGTGGAACCAGGAAGTTGTTAAAGGAGCAGAGCCAGTGACCTTACACTCCATTTCACCAGGCTTACCCACAACAAGGTGGGTGTCTCTCAGCTTCCTTATGAAACTCGGCGGAATCAACTTATCTATTGTCAAAAAAACAACAAGTTTTAAAGCATTTCCGAGCTAATTGCTAATTGAAAGGATTCAAATTTTATAAGAAAGGGCATGTGTATAATGGCCACCAACCTGAGACAGAGAGCTTAGTTTTGCAAGAGGCTGTACCAACATGGTTTGTAATCTCTAGCTTATATTCTCCAGCATCTGCTTTATCAGCAGACCGAATCTTCAAGGCGGCAACCTTCTTTGTGAAGGACATCTGATACTTGTCACCAGAAGAGAGCTCCTTGTTATTCTTGAACCACTTAATTTTCAGTTCTGGTGAGCCAGAAACTGTGACTTCAAGAGCTGCATTTTCTCCTGACTTCACGTTCAAGGACTCTAGGCTATCCACAATAGCAGCAGGTTCTAGAAATTAGGGAAGAAGATGTTAAGCTAAAAGGATCCATACACTGTCAATGGTGGTAATAAAATTAAGTTTGGAGTCCTACAAACCTAGAACGGTAACTTGGGAGACAGACTTTACAAGTCCAGAGTCATTCCTCAGCTGGCAGGTGTATTTACCAGCTGTGGTCGAGTCAGCCTTGGGCACTACAAGGGTGACCACATTATTCTCAAAGGTGATTTTCCTGTTGTCACCATCTCTGAGAATGTGATCTTTGTCCTGAACCCAGGACACAGTCAAAGGTTCAGAGCCTTTAACCGTAGCTGTCAGTGTCAGCTGCTGGCCGAATCTCACTGATTGGTCGTCAAATTTCTTGACAAACGCTGGTTGTTCTGAATAGTGATGGAAAAATCAAAGGTGAGAAGAAGTAATCGCACTTAGACAAAGTGTTGAGGAAATGGCCAGTGGTTCTGTACAAACCTTTAAGGCTAATGGTAGTGCGGCAGGATTCACTTCCTACATTGTTTGACACTCTGCACTCGTAAATTCCAGCATCATCTTGCTCCAGTTTAACAATATGAAGCGTGGCAGAGTTGCCCTCATTGACCATCTTATATTTCCTGCTCTCCTTCAGTGGTCTTCTGTCTTTGTACCAGTTAACCTGGAAAGGTGGAGTGCCATACACCTCACAGTGCAGGCTGGCATCTTTCCCTTTAATGCCCTCTACTGGGTTTGGAGTTTTAGTAAAGGATGGGGACTCTGGAAAATACATCAGCATATATTAACAGATGTAACGTTCCTGGATGAGCAAGTTTTCACTGCAAGCAATTGGGTTCCATGGGACAGAAATTCTTCAAGTTCATGCTAAGGTTCATTCCATGCTAGAGGAATCCATCCAGACGTTGACAGAAAAAACAAGAACACAAACATAGCTTATGTTCATGCTATGATTGGAGGGTAGGTCATATCATATTGAAATTAAAATGTAAAAGGTAAGTCAAAGGTATACTTTGGTAATTCCAGCAAATGTAGGAGACAATATGTCTCTAAAAAAAGAGGTAACACTCATGCTATGCAACACACTGGAGGACAAACCGGTTTTAAGTGAAACAGGATGTGGGGTTGTTGGATTCCATGCTTAAGTTTTTAGACCGGTTTGGAAAAGAACCCATAAATGGCCAAACTAATTATCCAAATCTGAATCACAAGGGACTTTCATTCCTTCAGTTTCATGCTACACAAGTTCAGGGGAGACAAAATCCACAAAACAACAATGTGTAGCCAAAATTGGATTCAGTAGCTGACCTTGAATTGTGAGAATGGTGCTGCAGCTTGCACTGCCAGCATCATTATGAGCCTCACAGGTGTAGACTCCATTATCCTCAAACCTTGTGGTGCGCAGTTGGAGGTACGCAGATGAGTCAACAAACATTATTTTATAGTTGTTTCCATCGGTAATCTTTTGGTCATTTTTGTACCAGCACATATTCAGGGACCGTGAGCTGGTGAACTTGCACTCGAAACGGTATCCCTCGCACAGCTTCACAAAGGTAGTGGGAGGAAGTTTCAGGACAAACTGAGGAGATTCTGCAAAGTCAAAAAATTATCAAGTTACTATCGTCAGCATAAAGTAACACTTGTGGGATGAATGGAGGATGCGGACAGGTGACTGGATAGTGTAACAGATGGTAGGTGACTCTGAGAACAACATAGATATTTCTGGTGAGAAAAGAAATGGTAAGGAGGTCAGGCAAAGAAAATGAAGAAAGAGGAGCTGTGAAAATGGAGAAAAAAAGATGGGAGTTAATTGACTGGCAATGGTGGTGGTGGACAAAAAAAAGAATAGTCCAACCTTTCACCAACAACTCTGCTGCACTTTTCATTGCGCCTGCTTCGTTGCTAACTTGGCAAGAATAAATCCCAAATTGCAGAGTCCCGACAGAGTAGAGTTCTAAAGAGGAAGAATATTTCTCCAGTCTAATCATGCATGATGGCTCAGTGATGAGTTCGATGTCATCTTTAAACCATTTCACCACAAACGGAGGTGTTCCTTCAAAGATACTTGTGAAGAGTACTGTAGACTTTGGAATAACAGCCTGAGACTCAGGCTCAGTTACGAATCTTGGTGGCACTAAAACCCACACAGAAAAAATGATTATGATACATGACTAACAGCCTTTGAGACCAAAATTGTTCAAAATCAAATTGCCCTTTGAATGCTTAAATGCTAACCTTTAGCTGTAAGAACTCCACTGCACACACTGCTGCCTGCAGTGTTGGTAACCTTACAGGAATAATCTCCTGTATCAGCACTCTCAGTCAGTTTGAACTCCAGCGAGACAGTATTGTCAGTGTGCAGAAGTTTATATTTGGAGCTCTTGGTGATCTTTTGTTTCCCTTTGCACCATTCAACTGACATTGGAAGAGAACCAGCCACTTTGCATTCCATGGTAACCACTGAACCCATAATTGCTTGAATGTTTGTTAACTTCCGAATGAACATTGGAGGAATCTCTTCTTCTGTTTAAAATAATATTAAATGTTGAGTAGAGTTAAAGAAAAATGCAATTCTACAACTGAAAATATTTGTTCTAAGAAGAGTTGAAGAATATTTTACAAACCTAAAACAACCAGTATGACTTTACAGCTGCAAGACCCAACAGAGTTTGTGGCTTCAAACCGGTAATCTCCACTGTCTTCCAGCTGAGAGGACAGTATGTTAAGACTGCTGTGGTTGTTCTCATAGTAGAGATTGTGTTTTCTGTTTGACTGGAGCTCTTTGCCATCTTTGGTCCATTTAACACTGATCTGAGGAGTTCCAGCTACCCTGCACTCAAGACTAACTGGATCTCCACAAGTCACTTTTACTACCTCTGGCTTCTCTTGGATCGTAGGTGGTTCTACAACACCAAGAAAAAGGGGTGAGTACACTTGTTATTGCCGTTAGAGCGAGCTATAATGTTAGGCATAAGAATCAGGCATGAATCAGAAGTACCTTGCACTAAGAGGGTGGCAAAGCATTTATCCTGCCCAGCCTCGTTTACGACATAGCAGGTATATTTCCCGCTGTGAGTAGCCTCACATGCAGGAATCCTGAGAGAGGCCTCTTTGTTATCAAATGTTCTCTTGATCTTTGGATCCTCTGGGATCCAGTTCTCGTCTTTTTGCCATTGTACAGAGAAAGGCAGAGAACCATCAACGGTGCCGCGAAAGATCGCAACGTTTCCCAGAATTGTGGTGACGTTTTCTATCTTCTTAACAAATGTTGGAGGGACTAATAAAAAGAAAAGATTTCATTGTAATACCAGAAAGTATACAGTGCTATATGCCTAATGTATGTCAGTGTGGTTCACAGTAAAACCAACCTTTCAGAGACAAAGCTGCAAATCCAGTGCAACTTCCAACCTCATTGGCTACAACACACTGATAAGTACCCACATCTTCCACTTTACAGTCCAGGATTTTCAAGCTCACATTTTTGATATCAACAATAATATACTTTTGGCTGGATTTGATTGGCTTTTTATCTTTAATCCATGCAACCTTAAACGGAGCACTTCCTGCCACTCTGCAAGCAAAAACTGCCGTGGAACCTTTAGCGACTTCAAGAGATGTCAGCTCTTCAACAAATGAAGGAGGCTCTGAAATAACAAAGCAAATCAAACTGAAGCAACCGTTGATTTGTATTTCTGATGTAATATTAATATATAATATTTTCTTTGATCTTGACTTTAACTGAAACACTGACAAGATGTAAACGTGTGAAAAAGAACCAACCTTTCACTTCTAGCTCAACGGTGCAGCTCTCTGTGCCTGCTTCGTTGTAGGCTTCGCAGAAATAACTCCCGCTGTCACTTTCACTAACTTGACAAATCTCTAAGGCAGCTATAGAGTTGAAAAACGACATCTTGTGTTTGACACTTTGCTGAATTTCAGCTTCATCTCTGAACCAACGCACAGAGATTTCTGGAGTCCCATCAACCTTGCACTCAAACACCGTACTGTCTCCTACTCTTACTACTGATACGCCTTCTGGTTTTTCAATGAAAAAGGGGGGTTCTGGAAAAAATACATATAAAAGTTACTTAAGTATGGAAAGTCACTGCAAAGTAAAGAAAACTGATAAAGGTGTAAGACAAATATTGACCTTTCACAAAGAGTTTTGCCTGGCATGAACAGAAACCCACATCATTCTGTATTTCACAAACATAGTCACCAGAATTAGAATATTTGGCAAAGAAAAGCTCCACTGAGCTTGAGGTGTTGTCTTTAATCACAGAGCAGTCGGCGCTGGAAAAAATCTCTTTCTTGTTTGCAAACCATTTGATGGTCGGTGGCGGTGTGCCAGAGACACGAACATTAAACTTAACCTTTGACCCAGGCAAAACATTCATGGATTCAGGCTTTTCAAGAAAGCATGGTGGTTCTGTTGGTGGACAAAACCCAACACTTCTATTACAACAGTCTCAACATATACAATGCAATTATGCCTTAAATTACAAGATGGTACTGAGGATGTGAGATGACCTCTAACCTTTAACAAACAAAGTCCCAGAGCACTTGACAGATCCGGCCTTGTTTTTAGCCATGCAGGTATAGCTGCTGCTGTCTTTACTATTAAGACAACTGATTTCCAGGAAAGCAACATTTTCGAAAAATGTGCATTTGTGTTTCTCCTCAGTGTGGATCTTTTTGCCATCTTTGTACCACTGTATCGCCATCGGCAGGGAGCCAGATACGAGGCACTGCAGATAAGCAAATGATCCTCTGATACCTTCGGTGTCTTTCAGTTCTCTCGTGAAAGATGGTTTAATAATCTGATCTATTACATACAAAGTGCAGAAATAATGTTGAGTTGGTTGTATGAATAAAATAGACAATAAAATAAGGATATTAAAACTGTGGGATGAACTGACCTAAGACAGTAACAGCTGCCTCACAAGAACTGCACCCAGCATTGTTTGAAACCTCAAAGGTATATTCACCGCTATCGCTTTTCACTGTTTTAATTATTGTGAGCACAGAGCTGGTGTCTGTGCTCTGTACTTTGTATCTCTGGCCTGTGGTCAACTCCTTTCCCGCCTTCATCCATCTGGACCTGAGCAGTTTGGTGCCTGAGAATCTGCATTCAAGCCTGGCCGGGTCACCCTGGGTTACACTGATGGAATGTGCACGTTCTAAAATACTTGCTGGCTCTGAGATAACAAAATGACCCAAAAACTGAATTAGCTGCTACCCCTTGCAGGTGTTAATGCGACAGATGAAACATCAAGCTTGACACAAAAGCAACAGCAGTTGAGACACAAACATACTACAAACCTGTCACAATGAGCACAGCTGCACATCTCTGAGTCCCGGCTTTGTTCTGTGCCTGACAGACATATTTCCCACCATGTGATAACTGAGCATTTTTCAAATTCAACACGGCACTTTTGATTTCATAGGACATCTTAACATGCTCGTCTTCTGTGATCTCATGATCGTCCTTGATCCAGGAGAAAGTCATGGGAAGTGATCCAGACAACATGCACTTCATAGAGACCTCAGAGCCCACCATGCAGGACATATCCTCTATTCTCTGAACAAATGACGGTGATTCTAGTGGGAGAAGACCATAAGTCAGACTGCAGGCGGGTTTGCACAAACACAGATGATCCACATTGCAAGTTTTCTCCCTGATCTAACCCTCTCAACCTTATCTCCATCTAAACAATAATAAAATACAACTCTTCAGGGAATAGGAATCATTATGGTGTCCTGATTACACTTTATTACGCAAGAATCTTCACATTATTCACTGCCAGAATTTTCCCCAAATGTAAAATATTTAAATGTGGTTGCTGAAATTAGCATAAAAGCATAATTCAATGTCAGTTGGGAAGCATGCAGAAAGATAACCTTAGTCGACAGTATCTGACACTGTCCTTTGACTAACCTTTCAGTGAAATTTGGCAAGAACAAGAAGTCTCTCCAACATCATTTGCAACGGTGCACTGGTATGTCCCAGCGTCTCCGCTCTCACAGTTTAAGATCTGAAGAGTGATGGTGTTGTTTTCAACACTGATCTTATGCCCTTGGTCTTGTCTGATCAGCTTATCATTGAGCAAGCAACTTATTTCAAATGGAGGGGAACCTGAGACGGTTCCCTCCAAGATAATGTCGGATCCCTTTACAAGCTCAGCTGATTCGAAAGGCCTCACAAACACCGGGGGCTCTATAAAAAAAGATAATGAATGTTATATTTAAAGGCAATAAAGGGCTGGAAACTAAGTTTAGTGTAATGAGGCCAGTCTGGTCTACATAATTCATTTAGATGTTCAAAACCTCCAAATTGAAAACTCTCATTGAAGACCTGAAAAGTCTACTTATGAAGGTACATTGATTCTTGGTGACATGTTGAGAAGAACAATTAATTTTGGGACTGAAATTTGTGGTTAGCTTCCAAACTAATTGCAGAAACTGAAAGAAATCTGCTTGTTAAATATCCATGGGACTTGAAAAACAGGATAAGTATCATAGATATATCACTATCGCATGACAGGGTCATTCAGAGACCTTCAGGACGTTTCCTTTCTTGTCTGTTTAGGACTCCCATCGCAACAAAAGTTGAATCAAACAATTAGCTTAATTGACATGGAGGTCTGCAAGGACCCTACTTCTTCCACCAAATTATCTCTGGTTCTTGAACTGGTTTAATACAATGTATAAGTGCATTTATGGAAATGGATGTGGTTAATTACTGTTCAACTTTCCATGTTAGCATAGTGCAACCTCTGAACATGTAAAAGAACAATGTGGACCAGACTTCATGTCAACAATCTAAAGAATTATGGGTAAACTCTATGAAGAGAACTACTTAAGGCTGAACCAACCTTTCACTGTGACTGAGCTGCTGCACTGGTCTTGGCCGGCCTGGCTGGACCCCATACAGACATAATCTCCACTGTCCTCTACAGAACAGTTCTCTAATTCCAGAGTCGCTATTGAGCTGTCAAAGGACATTGTGTGTCTGTGATCTGAAGCAATTTTGGAGCCATTTTTAAACCATGTGATATTAATAACAGGAGTGCCCTGTACTTTGCAAGACAACTTCAGAGGTTGGCCAGTTTTCAGCAGCACTGAAGGCTCAAGCTTCATTGTAAACGTTGGGGCTTCTGTAAATTCACAGCAATGATAACAGTAAAAACAAGAGGTTAAGTAAAGAAAACAACAGTTCAGCGAATCACTTTTTTAAAAGAAAGAATGAAACAGCACCTTTGACAAAGAGGACTGCAGTGCAATCCACCTTGCCAGCCTCATTGGACACTTGGCATGTGTATTTAGCAGAGTCACTGGATTTCACAGAGTGAAGCTCCAAAGAGCTCGAAGAAGCATCTTTCTTTATGAAACACTTTCCAGCAGTGAAAATCTCTTTCTCTTCTCTGAACCATTTAACAACCAGTGGAGCTGAGCCTGTAAAGGCTGATTTTATGACAACATTTGATCCTGGTGAAGCATCCTGGGATTCAGGTTTCACTGTGAAGACTGGAGGTTCTGGAATTATTTGGGAAGAAAAAGAGAAAACATTCAAATCAATACCTTCTAAATATTTGTAATGATAATGTCTGCCTGATTAATCTCGGCTTTAAGGTGAAGTTATTCAACTCCTCTGACCTTTGACGGACAAAGTACCACTGGTCTCTTTTTCTCCAGAGGCATTAGCAGCCCGGCATGTATAAACTCCACTGTCACTTTGCTCCAGGTCAGTTATCGTCACAGAGGCTGTACTCCCACTGAAATCAAGCTTATATTTGTCATCACTGTGGATTTCTTTATTGTCTTTGTACCAAGAAACAACCAGCGGCTGAGATCCAGAAACTCTGCATTCCAAGGTAACATTGCTACCAATAATCGCATCCACTTTCTTTAGAGTTTTGGTGAAGGATGGTGGAACTGCACGATCTGCGTAAGGAAATATATCATCATAACATGTAACCATCATAAAGGGCTAAATCTTTCAGCTGTTATTAACAACGTATTCTTGGCTAAAACTAACCAATAACGGTGACTGAACAGGTGCACTGGTCTTTTCCAACTTTATTGGACACCTCCATCTTGTACTCTGACGTGTCGCCTTTATCTGCTGTGAGAATCTTTAAGACAGCGGTGTTCTCCTTCACTGTCATTTTATATTTACGGCCACTGATCATCTCTTTACCGTCTTTGAACCATTTCACTTTGAGGTCTGGGGTTCCAGAAATCGTGTACTCCAATGTGGCCGAATCCCCAGCAGTCACACTGATGGATGCCGCCTTCTCTAAGATCCTAGCAGGTTCTACAATACAACATTTTAGAGTTTCAGAATTTATAAACATCTACATCTGAACTTATATCTCTTATATAAACAATATCTCTAATGAACAGGAACGTGTTCTAACCTTGAACTGTTAAGACAGCCTCACATTTCTGCTGTCCTGCCTCGTTTTCAGCCAGACAAGTATACTTGCCGCCGTGCTTTATCTCAACAGAAGAGAAGGAAATGCTAGCAATGTTGTTCTCAAATGCCATTTTGACATTTGCATCGTCATCTCTTAGCATATTAGAGTCTTTCATCCATTTTATAGTGATGGGAGCTGAGCCTTTCAGGGTTCCCTGTAGCTTCACTGTATTTCCCAACACTGCCGTAGCACTCTCAATCCTCTTTGAGAACATAGGTGGCTCTGAAATAACAGTATTAATAATAATTATAAAAACAACCACCAGCAGAACTACAAAAATTATAATGAAAGTTATAATTTAATAAGTATACTAGTATAAGTATGCCCTGTAATCTCTTTGCATCACTAACCTCTCTGTTTAGCCACTGACTTTGAGGTTATTGACCCAACCTCATTTGATACGACACATTCGTATTCACCAGCGTCAGCACTCTCAAATGAGTGGATCTCCAGAGAGGCCAGGGACCCCTGTGACACTATTTGGTATTTCTTATCTGCGGACAGGCGTTTCTTATTCTTTTTCCAGGCCACCTCGAATGGTGTTGAGCCTGCAATCTCACACTCCAAGACAGCTACAGATCCTCTGACTGCCTCTATGGAGAGTAATTCCTTTCTGAAAGATGGTGGTTCTAAAGGGGAACATATACTTCAGTTAGACAAGTTCTCATTCTGACTGAAAATGTAGTTCTGTTATATAGTTCCCTACACACCTTTCACGGTTACTTTAGTGCTGCAGCTTTCACACCCAGACTCATTGAGAACCTCACATGTGTAGTTTCCACTGTCACTTAACATGACATCCTTTATCTCAAGAGTAGTGACACCATCCTTCAGACTTATATTATATCGGCCACCAGCAGACAGCTCGCTGGTATTAAAGAACCAGCTGGTGTGAAGTTCAGGGGATCCTTTGACGGTGCACTGCAGCCGTGCTGTGCTGTCTTTCTTCCAAACTGTGGTGGCTTCGAGCCGCTTTACAAAGACTGGTGGCTCTGGAGAGGTGTGAGGTTAAAAAGAGCCTTTTATGAAGTCAAAGAGGTTATTTAAAAATATCAACCCAGCATTGAAAAAGAAGAGATTTAAGACTTGAACACCACAGAATAAAAGTGTGTTAATTTTCAGTACTGCAGATTTGCAACAGCTTCAAATTCTGCAGTAGCTATGAAAGTTAACTAGACAGCTCTTACCTTGGACCTTCACCGAAGTGGAGCAAGTTGCACTCCCAGCTTCATTTGTCACCGTGCACACATAATTCCCACAATCTTTCAGTATGGTTTTTAGGATATCAAGAGTGGCCGTCTTATTCTCAAAAGACAGTTTACAGTCCGGAGACTGGTGCACTTTTCTACCATCTCTGGTCCAGGTGACAGTTACTCCGGTGTCCTCATCCACCTGGCACTCCAGGTGTAGAGGAGCTCCGACCACAGCAGCGATCGGACCCAGGGGCTTCACAAAGTTGGGTTTATCAATCACACGCAGCTCCATGCTGCACTCAGCTGACCCAACATTATTAGACACCTTGCACACATAAAGCCCCATGTCAGCTGGCTCAAGTTTGGTTATCCCAAGAATGTGCTTATTCTTTTCACAAGAGGTCTGGTAGCTTGGAGACTCTTTGGGTAAGGCCTGGTTGTCTTTGAGCCAGACTACATTCAGTGGAGCAGATCCTGTTATTACACACTGTATCACTGCTCTCTTTCCAACATACATAGTCTGAGCCTCAGGTTTAGTTATAAAGGATGGAGGGAATTGTTCTATAAGAATTAAGAGAAAAAGAAACACATTAGTGGTAATATGTTATACCCTCTTAACCAAAACCGACCAACTAGACAAAAAAACAAACCAGCAGAATAAGGAAGCTTATAAACAGTTCACAAACAAAACACAGAGTCTCAAGCACCAATATTTATCAGAAGAAGACCAGCAAAGAACAGCAAAAGATAATACCTTGTAGGAAAAAGACATCAACTACAGTCTTATACAATAACAGCTCCAAACTCAACCAGCAAAGAAAAAGGAAACATGCGCTGCTCTTACCTGTCACACTTAGAGAGGCAGAGCATTCATCACTGCCGTGCTGATTGGACGCCTTGCAGGAATATTCGCCACTATCCTCCTTGGTTGGGCTCAGGAGTTCCAGAGAGGAAGTACTGAAGCGACTGATAATCCTGTACTTATCACCCTCTTTGATGGGGTGTCCATCTTTCAACCACTTGAAGCTCACATTCGGAGCATCCTCAGTTTCACAGTCAAACTTGGCAGTGTTGCCAATGTTGATCTCCACAGGGGCAATTCTGTGTCTGAACACAGGTTTCACTGGAGAGAAAGAAAGATAAAAAATTAAGTGAGTAAACAGAAGAAGTGGAAATAGAAGAAAAAAGGAATGTTTTTACTGGAGGTGGTGATCTTGGGATGGAAAAGTGAAAAGTTATGTTGTGACTGTGGAGGAAGAAACATGGTATTAGGTTTGGATTGATGTGACTGTGGAGGAAGAAATTGTATTAAATCTGGGTTGAAGATGTGATTAAAGAGATTCTGTGATGAGAAAAAGAGAGGAAGCATGCAAAGAGGAATGGACCAGAAATGAGGACTGATGGATGTTTAAAGATATGGACTCCTTGGAAGGACAGAGGAATGGATATGGGGTGACGTACATGAAGAGGAATGAAGGCTTGAAGGACAAGTGAGAATGCCACTGCTGTCTGGTAAAACCTCAAACCCTTAGATTTAGTTTACCTTTGAAGAGACTTTTTTTAATGAATTCTATGGGATTTCATACATACTCTCCCAATAAGAAGTTTGAGTTATGGTTGAGGTTTGCAGACAACAGTACTGTAAATTCACCACGTGTGGAGTTAGTTGATGATGATATCAAAGAATTGCCCATCATCAAACCTCTTGAGACCACAGTGAGTCTTGAAGATGTTGTGGTCTTGCCAGCTTCATTCTCAGCCTCACAGACATATTCTCCTTGATGCTTCTTCTTGACAACTTTGTCTATAACTAGTGTGTATGTATCGTGGTCTTTAAAACACTTGAACTCCTTGCCAGATTTTACCAATTGGCTATTGAAAAACCAGTTAACTCTGGTGACGTACTTTATGGTGGCTGTAAAAATGGCCTTGCCATTTTCCTCAGTGCAAACGTCTTCCAGAGAATCAACAATAATGGGATAATCTACCAGACTGTCAGAGGACTCACTGATCATGATTGCCTCGGAAAGATACTCCTCACGAGTGACTGTCTTCCTGCTTACTTGCGTAGATTCATGGATCTCAGACTGACTCTGAACTGTTGCACTTTGGAAGGAAGCCCTGGCTTCAGTCTTGACTGCTGCAGACTGAGATACAGCAGAGGGAAATACAACTGCACTCTCTGCCACCATAAAGGTGTCCACCACAGATGACAGCACTTCTTTCGTGTGAGCTGAGCTGACCAGCGCTTTCTGAGGCTTGTCAATCTGCATGGTACCTGGTTTCTCTGATGTAAGACTTTGCTGCTCCTGGAAAACCATAGCATGCAGAGCTACCTGGAGTTCAGACCTAAGATCAGCTGTCTGAGGGTATTCACCCTCAAAAGACAGTGTGATCTCCATGGGGGCACCTGGGCTTGTGATCAGGTATGTATATGAAGCCCGTTTAGGCTCTCTTTGAACCTTCACCTCCTGTACTTCCACTGCCTCTAACCTTCCTACAACATCGGCAAGTAACACTGGTTGGTCACTGGCCATCGCAGACTGAAGGGCGTCTCTGAGTTGACATCGTATATTCAGAGTTGATGGTTTGGGAATCTGAATGACAAAGTTTAGTTCTTTAGGTAGAGTCTGACTGTCCTGAGACTCATGGACAAACATAAGTCCCTTGGGCTGCGTCACGATGCTGACAATCGAGCCCTCAGATTTATGTATTTCACTTGACTGCTCTCCTATAATGATCTGCTTTTCGTCTAGCAACACCGACTGCCGGACTGACTGACCCTCCTGGATCTGGACCGCAAAGTCTTGCTCAGCTGCTTCTAAAATAGTACAGCTTTCAGTGGCCATGGCTTTCTCCTCTATAAAAACAGTTTTTTTGGGGATCTTAGGCTCCGTTTTCATCTCAAGCTTAAATTTTTCATCAGTTTGAAGGCTAGTAGTGTGACATTCCTCCAGAGTCTGAGTGTCTGTGACATTCAAAGAATGCATGATATTCCAGTAATCCTCTTTCTGGACTAGTGCTCGCTGCTGCTTCACATCAGTAACGAAAGGTGTCTCCTTTGGGAGCTGCATGGGCTGGGAGGAGACTGTGAGGATGCTCGAAGGCCTTGGCTCAGTTCGAAGCTGTGACTGAATCCCGGTCACCGACACATCAAGATCTGTGTGATAATCTGCTGTGATCTCCCTTCTCTCTTCTGAGGTAGCTGCATGCCTTCTAGCCTTTTCCTGTTTCTGCATTGCCACCTGCTGGTCAGGTTTGGTGATGGTAAGTATGCCTTCCTTTGGTAAAACCGATAAAGAATGAATTGACTGAAGGTATTTTGTTTGTGGCAACTCTTTCTTCGGCTGAATATACATGGCATCAGTCTTTGCAGAGAACTCTAAAGTTGCCTCACAAACGGCAGTTCTCTGCTCTTCTTGAGTCACCGAATGCAATAAAACTGGACTCTTCCTCACTTCTGCCTGCTCTGCGGAAGGCTTTTTGCTGCTGAATTTACCCTCCGACTGTAAAACGTCCTGATCACTGATAACCTGCAGATTCAGGAGTCTTTCTCCCTCTCGCTGAGGCTGCAGACACACAGAAGAAGCTATACCAGGCACCTGTCCAATCTGTTCACCTTGGAGTTCGTATTTCTCTTCAGTAGTCATAGCTGACTTATAGACTATGTCTTTGTGTGGGGTGATACTTTCCTGCTCTGGCCTGTGTATTTCAAATATCTGCTCCTTAGATAAAGCCACTCTAGTTTCGCCCACTGGTGCTATCACTGGCTTAAATTGTTCTTTCGCAATCAAGGGTTTAATGGATGCATCTAAAGCTGGCAAAGGCTCAGAGTGTCTTTCTGTGAGTGGGAGTTGCCCTGTAGACTGAGCTGAGTATAAAATCTTAACCCCCTCGGTGACTCTGAAACACTTCTCTTCCTCTGGCCTGTGGGTGACGCCTGAGGTTTCATCCTGGAGGGGCAGAGTGGACTCTACTTGATGAACACTAACAAGCTGCCTGGGTTCGGTAAAGGTCTTCACATGCTCTGGAGCCTGGTCCGTCAAGGCCTCAGCCTTTACTGTGGCAAGTGGTAGGACCTCTTCGGATGTGGCTGACATGAGCTTTGATGGCTGCTCTTTGGCTAACTTGAGTTCTACAATTTCAGGGCTGAGAATCCGATCTGAGTGCTGCTCAGTGATCTTTTGTCTCTCCTGGACTGAAGATAAGAAAGTCGCCATGTGTAGCTGTTTCATAGGAACAGCTGAGACCTGGGGTGGATGAGTGGGAGCCAAAGAAACCCTCTCCTGCATTTCATGAGACTGCAGCACTGCTGCCTGGTGGGTAAGTTGCTCTCGATGAAGGGTGGCAGCAGAAATATCAAGCTCTCTGAGGGTTCCCACCTCCTCGCTGGGAATAATCTGCCGGTCTTCTGTGCTAATGGTATAAATCATCTGATCAGACAGAGTTCTTTCATGGATTAATCTGGATTCTGTTGTTTGTTCGGTCATAGATATTTTCAAACCTTTGGTTTTCCTAACTAATGTGTGCTCTTCCTGAACTTTCTCCTTGAAAACCAGCAGCTCAGCAGTACAAGAGGCCTCCCCATACTGGTTGGAGGCCTTACAGGTGTACACACCACTGTGCTCTTGTTTGACAGTCTTAATATTAATAAAGCCTGATCCATCTGGGTTGCTCACAATGATACAGAACCCACTAGGCTGAATGTGGAAGCTGCCTTTGAGCCACTGAACCTCAGGGAGAGGATCCCCGGTCACAATATATCTAAAGAAAGCCTGACCTCCCTCACACAACTCAAGAGACTCTATAGTTTTAGTGAACTCTGGGGGTTTGCCAGTTGGCACAAATGTTCTGTCAGCTTTTTCTTCCCTTTCTGGCTCCTTCAACTGAACATGCAAATAAGAAGTGCAAGTCGATTGGCCAAGCCTATTGCTGACAGTACAGGAATACTCTCCCTCAAACTCCCTCCGGACTTCGGTAATGACTAAGCTATACTCATCCTGCTCATGAATGAACGTATACACGGACGAACTCGTTATAGTCTGCCCGTTGTGGAACCACTGAATGGTGGGCTTAGGGAAACCCGACACTCTGACAGTAAACGTAGCACTTTCTCCAACAGTCACAGCCACTGGAGAAAGTTCACTGAGGAAAACTGGCTTTTCTTTTTTCTTTTCCAAAGAGCTGGAGTAGCGTTTGGACTCTGGCTTAAGTTCAAGTGTTTTGGTTTTATCGGGTAACTTTAGGCCAGTGTAGTATGACTCCTGGGTTTCCGCTTCCACTGTGGTGGTTGAGCTAGAGAAGACTGAGTGGAATAACAACAGTTAGAGACACACTCCAACCACAATACAATCAGCTGCACTGAAAACATAAGGACTTGTGCATCTACAGTTGAGTTATTGACTGCAAGGTAAATCAAACCACATTGTTTTGCACGTTTTAGCCAATTTACTACAAATTATGTTTACACTTTCAGAATTGAAAAAACTAATTCATATATGCGTTTACAATTTCACCTACATATACTATGACATGCTATGAACAGGTAAGCGTGGTTCCATAATTTGTTCAATCAAACCCGCTATTTAGTGTCACAGCATGCAGCTCAACCTTTCAACAGTTGAGTTTCAAACAAAAAAGGCACACAGGTTTACCTAGGAGTGAGGGGCAAAAATACAATTTAATTTCAGAATATCAGGTAATTTTAAAAAAAATGGTTTCCAACAGGCATAAGATTCTGTCATGTGATGACAACTGAGCCAATTACATCCACTAACAAACATCTGATATCTTGGAAGATGGTTTTCAGTAGTGCAAAAAAGTTAAATTTGGAAAAACATCCAATAATACCAGTAAAACATTATGAGACATAAAATTCTTTGTTCTGAAACATATGAATTTCTTACCAGAGCAACCTGAAGACAAAGTCAAAACAAGAAAAAACATCTGTAAAAAAAACCCATCTACAACCTGGACAATAGTTACCTTTCACTTCCTCATGGACCTGAACTGTAGGTTCCTTCTCCGCTGCAGTTACTGTAAAGACACAAACATTTACAAATTAAAAACACTCTCAAAACTGTACATAAAGCCTCATATGGTGCAAGACTGTTAGAATCATTGACAGGTCGTGCATCCATATTATCCATTTGTTTTTTCTTTTAACTGACATTCTTGCATGCGTCCTTTTGGTCTTTAGTGTGCAGCACTTCTGGCTTTTTGGTAAAATGCCCAGTGATATGAGTGTCCCTCTCTCTTTGTCTTGTTTGATATTTAAGTCAGTAAAGCAGGACACAAAGATCAGCGACCTCTCCTAAACACAGTGGTTAAAACATGGTTGAAGAAGTGGTGTCGCCATGTGAAGAAGTGTGCCTCTGCTGACTATGTAGGTGGGAAGCAGTGTGGATGAGTGCCCGAGCGAGCAGAAGGACCAGAAGCATGCAGATGCCAACCTTTCATCACTGTGCTGCACTCAGCATCCGTGGCTGAGTTGACATTTTTGCAAGTGTAAGAGCCCCCTTGTCCGGGTCCCACATTGTTAACATTTATACAGCACAGGGGGCCGTCATGTTTCACAGAGTAAGACACAGAATCCTCAATATTCAACCGGTTGTAAAGCCAAATGACAAACGGAGTGGGAACCCCCTTCATAACGCAATACAAGGAGCCGCTGTCTCTGTTTCTGATCAGCAGCCCAGGGGGGAGTTTGATCAGGAACTCAGGGCAGCTGGAGAGGCGTTGACCACGCCTGTCATGAGGCATGACATCAGGAAAATACAGGTGGCTGATGAGGCTGATAGGTCTCTGGGAAGATGGAGGAGACGGTCCCGGCTTCTCCACCGCCTCCTGCTTGTCTTGGTCTTGGGGATCTCTAGGGGTCTCCCTGTTTGCCTGAGACACTTTACGCACAGAATCGGAAGGAATGGGGGTTTCTGCTTTGAGATTTGCTTCTTTAGCTGGGTGAGAATAAAGTTAGGGAGAGTAATTAGGGGTCAGAGTGTATAAGGCTATGACTCTAAACACTAAAGGGGTTAGTAGGATGGATGGATGAGGTTAGCGAGGCGAAGCTGGTAACAGCAGGAAGAGAAGACTACAAAGTTTGTTATTCCATTACATTCTAACAGGTTACAGGCTAAGAGGAAATATTAAATAATGAGAGGGGGGACGAAGCAGGAGGAGCAGGTGGAGGGGTACCAGATGGAGAAACAGACTAATAAAAAAAGAAAGATTAACCACCTTCAACAGTGAGCTGGGCAGAAGAGCTGTTCTGGCCGTGTTGGTTGGTGGCGGTGCAGCGGTACAAACCCTGGTCCGCCACGCCAACACCCTGGATGATCAAAGACAACAGCCCCCCGATCTGAGAGCTCCTCACCCGCTCCGTGTCCGCCAGACTCAGGCCGTTATGATCCCATACCACCCCGGTGAAGGGCTGCCCATCAAACAAGCAGCTGAACTCGGCCATCTCACCACTTTTCACCTGGACGTCGCTCATCTCCTTCAGCAGTTTGGGGATGGCTGAGAATTTTATATCAAAGCTGCTCTCCACCGAGCTCACGCTCTCCATCTGAATCTCAACCGTCCTCCAAGACACAGAGGAATTCTCAGAGACCATCTCAGTAAACTCAACACTGTGGGCGGTTTGTCCCACAGACAGAGAGCTGAAACTCTCTGTCTGAGCCTCCAGTCTCTGACTTATCTTAGTCTCAGCCCCAGTGCTCGACACACTAGCTAAGGCTTTTTCATCTGGGCAATAAGAAAGAGTAGAAGAATTAGGTCAACACATCATTCTGGTGACTTCTTCAGGCTACTTGTGTCACAGCTTGTTTGCCAAGAGTGCAGCTGGAGTGGAGCGTTGAGGATCAGTCACGATCAGTGAGGGAGTGGACAGTGGCTGCTTTCCACCGTCAATCATGCAAACTTCACTGGAGCCAAAATGTAAAATAAAAAAACAGCCATGGATTATATCCATGCTCGTATGAGGAACCCGGAAAGCTAGATTTCCAAAGTTCAGCTCTGTTTTTTTACCATGCTGCATTCCTCTGAGACAAAGACGCTCATGAAGACGCCTCTACTGTTAAGAGCTCTTCATGTAGGAAGAGAAAAAAGTCATGCATCACGAGACAAACCTGTAAGATTATCACCTGTGCTTAAAGTGAGCATGTGGGAAACAGAAACAAACATTTGTACTGCATGCTCACAGAAACTATTATCTACAGTTAGTTCAACTGTAACATCAAAATAAGGACTTCTGAAGGCTGAGCCAGCAAACTGTTACAAAATTAGTTGCTGGTTTCACAAAGATTTTATTGACATAAAGATTAAATTAAAGCCTAAAATCTCTTGCTATGACTAGGTTTTGACAATAAGGGCTGGAAGAAACACGTCATAAATCGTGGCATACTAAAAGAAATTGTCTTGCTCGCCATCTTAGCCTGAGTCTGATGGGAAGATCAAGATCCAGTGGAAAGGATTTAACCATTGATTCGAGGGCTACAGCATGGTTAGCCTTGCTAATATAACTCACACAGACTTTTTGGTTGGTGGATTTTTGTCTCTGTAACAGTTTTCCCTACTTGTGTTTGCTAGGCAAAACAGGCAACATTAACTTTCTAGTTAGCAAACGTCACCAATGTCTGTGGGTTCTCAACTTGGGAAATATTTAAAATAGTTCTGAACTGCTTGATGCAAAATCGAATTTTACATAAATGGTGCTGTAAAATCAATATTAGCCTTTTTTATGTATAGCTAATGTTAGCATAACCTTCCCCAGTTGTTGATAATGACATGTCTTACTAGCAAAAGAACCTTAGAAAGGTTTTTGGTGATTATTGTAGCTGAAAATGAACATTTCCACTGATTCCAGTCTTTGTGCTGCATGCTTAGCAGGCCTTCCAAGATCTCGTAGGGCTGTCTGTGATTATTTTGGCTAAAGATAGGCTAAACACTCCTCCTTTAAGGCACTGATATTTGATACATTTTTTACCTGACTATAAATTAGACGAAAAGGGTTTTACAAAATGCTGTCTAAAATCTAAAATCTTTGTACGACCAGCATCAGTTGATCAAGAGCACTAGCATACTGAACATGCCTGAAACCTTGCCACGTGCATTTGGCCTTTTTTTGGCTGAATACATTTTGTTTTTTGGTGGCCAATAGATGCCTAATTTTATGTTTGACAAGTGAATAAGTGTGAAGCAAGGATTACACTCCTAAAAGCAGAGCTGTCTGGAAACTTACAGTATGAACAGGGATGCTCTGATTGAAGACCACATCGGCATGAGCCCAAAATTTCAGATTTTGTTTTCAACTAAAAACAGACCTTTGGATGGTTTTCTGATGTATCAGAGTCTCTTGTTGCTTCAGCAGAAACTAACATGACAGATTCAGATTTTGAGCTCAGAGCATGCCTAGTTAAAAACATGCTACCAAAGAAGGTTTGACTATTGAAGCTTATGCATTGCGTGCTGGTCTGACAGTATCAGGTATATCTTAACGCCACGTATGTCTGAATTACTCACCATCAATATTCAAAGTTGCAGTGCATGTGGCCATTCCTGCCGAATTTGTGGCAACACATGAATACTCTCCTTCGTGGTTGGGGAGAGCTCTGGAAATCTCCAACTGGCAGGTATCACCATAATGAGACATGCTGAAGATGTCTGACTGTCTGATCTCTCTGTCATTACAGAACCAAGAAATCTGCAGATCTGGAGACACAGAGTTAATTTACAGTCAGGAACATCTCAGCCACATCTGCTTAATTATGCACTAATACTACTAATAATAGAACACCTATTACAGAATATGGTAAACAAGTATCTAAAGTGAGCAGTGGGCACTACCTTCCCCAGAGACGGTGCACTGGAACTGGGCAGGGTGTCCCTCTGTGACCAGAACGTCCCGTATTGGAGAAATGAGTACTGGAGCAGAGACCCGAGCAGTTTCAACCACTTCAGGAACTGGAAGACAGACATGATGACAAAAAGCAAATTTACTGACAGTATTAGTAATCAATCAAGTTATTCACAGGTTTGCATACTAAACATCATTTGGTTCCAGTTTCTCCAGTGTAAGAATCTCTTTGAAGTTTCAGACTAAATATGTAATTTGAAGACATGACTTTGGGTTCCAGTAATTTATGACAGACATTTGTCTTTGTTTCCAGATTAACATTTAAGCTTCACCATCCTAGATATAGAAGGAAAGAAACTATTTCTAAACATACCTTCCACAGTGAGAGGGGCAGAGCTTGTCTCCTGTCCGTAGTCATTCTTGGCCTCGCAGCTGTAGGTGCTGGCGTCCTCGGGGAAGACTTCAAGCAACAGCAGTGTGTGCTCGTCTCCATCGTGGAGGAACTTGCACTTGTAACCGGCGGACAGAGCTTGGGAGTCTTTGTACCAGAACACTTGGGGCTGAGGGATGCCGCTCACCTGCACCGAGAAGCGAACCGATCTACCCGACGTCGCTGTCTGGGGCTGCATGTGGCGGATGATCTGAGGAGGCTCCGGCACTGGAGACAGACAGCAGAAAAGATGATGGTAGGTTTTTCCAGACACCAGAATGTATGGCAAGGCGAAAAAAAGTACCGTAAATAGTGATAACATCTGCTGCATTGTTAACAGAAGAAATATTTATATTGCTCTGTGATCCACAGATTATTTCACTTTAAGGGTTGGGTATGGGTTCCTTAAAATGTTCTGAGGAAAATCTTTACTGATGACCTTCTTGTAACACATAAAGAATACTGAAATAATTATTGACTGAATTGACTACAGTGATATGGATTTTCAGAAAGCTGGCTGATTACTCTTACGTCTGACATGAAGGTTCATGGTGCTCTTGTTTTTGCCGGCTAGGAAGGTGTACTCTCCTGCGTCACTCCTGTAGGTCTCAGAGATGGTGAGGCGGTGGAGCTTCCTGATGGTGGCGTAGGTGAACCTCTCCTCCACCGAGAACTGGATCTCCACTCCATTCCTCATCCAGCGACCCTCCACATCATCATCATTCACCTCAAACTCAAAGGTTGCCCTTTGTTTCTCAACAACCTGCAAAAACAGACGAATGGACGGGTTAGTTTTAATTATAAAAATATATGTTCAAACAGCATTAGTATGTAGATAACTGAATGAACTCACAGTGATGTCTCTGCTAGCAGGCTCTGAGATTTTGACATCTCGTCCCTCGACTCCCAGGTGGCCCTTGGAAACGCTTGACCCAGCCACGGCGGTGTATTCTCCGGCGTCAGACAGGCGGACTGATGGTACAACCAGGTGGTGCACAAACTTATCCGATGTCATTTTATATCTGCAGGAAACATAGGAGGAAACATAGGAAGTTGATGAGGAGATCTTCTTAATTTACTTGTTGTCTTTGTGCTGTTGGTATGATTAGTAGACGTGTTTGAGCTACTGTACCTGTCGGACATCTCCAGCTCCTGACCGTCCTTCATCCATATCACCTGGATGTTGGGTTCAGAAACTTCACATTCAAATGTCGCTCTCTTCTTCTCTGTAATCTTCAGGTCCTTCAGGTGTTTGGTGAATTCAACCACACGGGCTGCAGCAGAAGAAACAAACAGGAAAATAAACTTAAACCTGCATGTAGCAGTATGTTTGATCTTAACATTAAACCATTAACCCAGTTTCTAGAAAAAAACATAAATCAATCAATCAAATCAAAATAACTGCTTCCATATAGCAAAGGTGCTTTGGGGATTCAAGTGGTCCTTTAGCAGGTTCTAGGGGTCACTGGTAAGGTTCTAGTGGTCCTTTAGGAGACTGTAGACGTTATTGAGTAGATACTATGGATCTTTTTGATCGTTATTATGTTATTTGAGGAGGTTCTAGTGGTCATTGGGGAAGCTCTTGAGATCCTTTATGTAGAGTTTTTTTTGTAGTGGTTGTAGTACTCACTTTATGTTACATTTGACTAGCTGGTGAATATAGTGAAACATCTAGCAGCTACGGTGTCAGACATTTTCATCAGGATTTGGTGGAGACCAAACCAGAACTAAAAGTTAAAGATTACAAAAACAGATCTTACCCTCAACATAGAGTTTAGCTGTAGTTACTGCAGAGCCAGCCATGAAGGTGTACTCTGCGCTGTCTCCAAAGTGAACGTTTCTGAGGCTCAGAGTGTGAGTGAGCTGTTTGCAGCGAGCCTGGCATCTGTCCGTGGACCGGATCTCCACGCCGTTCTTCAGCCATTTGTATGTGATTTCCTCGTAGTTGACATTCACTTCGAAGGTGACTGTGTCTTTCTCCTGAGCGTTCAGGTTCTGTAGCATTGTTGTGATGAGGATGGCTGCAAAACAACCAAACTGATGGTGAGTCCACTGAAACTTCCAAGCAATTCATTACTGATTAGCCAATAAAATCCATTATCGGCTAAAGGTTGGTTGATCAACTTTCAATGTGTTTATGGATTAATTTAAAATTATTAAAAAATAATTGAAAATGAACACTCTCCTGGATGCAGCTTTTAATCTTAAATGTAAATCATCCATGTTGCCATCAGTAAGTACCTAAGGGGAAGAACTTACGGTTAATGGTTAGAGTTGCAGAGACTTTGTCGTTCCCACAGACAAAGGTGTACTCTGCGGAGTCGTCCCTGCTGGTGTTCATGATTTTCAGCTGGTGGAGTTTTCCCTGAACCACAATCCTAAACTTTTCACTCATCTCGATCTCCACACCGTTCTTCAGCCAGGTGGATGGCACGTTGAAGTGAGAGACTTCACACTCAAATGTGGCCACCTGTGTCTCAGGGACCGCCACGCTCTTCATGGGCCGTGTCACACGCAGGGCTGAGGGGAAAATACAGCTGGTCATTACAGTGCCATAACTATTGAAACTGCTACTTAAAAAAATACAGTAGAACCTAACTTTATGCTAATGTTAAATGTTAGTTATTATGCTATAAAAGAATAGCTTTTTGCATTAGTTGACATTGTGTCACTGAACTTAAGGTACCATTGCCTTCTCATTCTGAGCAGGAAGGAGTTAAAAATACTGGACAATAATTTTTGTATTTTATGTGTTCGAAGCTCTCAATACAGTATAATGTTTTTACAGTCTTTAGCTAACGTTGACCAGTTTAGCCTTGTATTTATTAAGATATTTTAGTTGATTATGTGTTTTAAAAAAAAAAGCCAGTTTTTAGCTTTGGTCTGTGTTAGTTGACAAATAGCATTGCTTTAACGATATAAAGTCCAATGCAGAAAAATATCATGCGTGGTCTCCCCTGATTCTGAACCCTGAAGTTACTGGCAGTTGATACTTGTAAATTCTAGGCTCAACAAACTTAACATTCCTAAGTTTAACTCTTCATTATACACTTTTCATTTTCAAAGGCTGCTAATGTGCCATGCTCTGCTAACACTTACACTCAACGCGGAGGCGAGCACTGCACTGGAGGTGGCCCACCACAGCGGTGTACTCTCCCTCTTTGCTGTTGTCCACATCTTGGACAATCAGTTTGTGGGTCTTCTTCTCAGAGAGCATCTTGTAGTGCTCATTGGGCTTCAGCTCTACTTTGTTGAACAACCATTTCACGGGGATGTCGTCCTCAGAGATGCCCACATCAAATACGGCAGTTGCACCCAGCAGTGATGTCACGTCCTTTGGCTTCTTCAGGATCTTGATGGCTGTGGGGAACATATTTTACAGAATAAATGTTTTGGAACTGGACTTCTTGCTAATAGATTAGATTTGTTTTTGAAAAAGTTGTTGCTTACTTTCAACGTTCAGCCTGGCATTTGCAGACAGTTTTCCCAGTTTGAAAGAGTAAACAGACTCATCCTGTGTGGTACAGTTCTTGATCTTCAGGGTGTGGACTCCTCCTTCAATTGTGATCTCAAATTTATCACTGGGCTGAATCTCAATGCCGTTCTTGATCCACTGAGCTCCTCTCACATCTTCGTGGGTCAGCTCCAGGCTAAATACTGCCTCCTGAGTCTGGACCACATTTAGGTTCTTCAGGGTCTTCTTGACCTTCACAGCTGCGGAGACAACATTGTAGTTAATCAAGGGTTGTTGTGGACAGATATTGGCCAATTAACCAAATTTGAAAAAAGGTGAATCTCAATTTGCATAATAATTTTGAAGAAATACCCAATACATTTTACAATCCATCACAACCCATCTTTGTGCATCCAATGTGTTTAATTTCTAGTTTAAGAAAGGAAGGAAGAGACACCTAGTCCTTCTCCAAAACCTCAAAATAAGCATTCCCATCCCAACAGTCCATCCAAGAGTAAGTAAGTAAGTCAGATTTGCCTTTCTATTCCAGGCAGAAACTAACAGAGATTCAACTGACTTTGTTCTCCTTCTGTAGAGTCAGTAGGATAAAAAAGGTAAGATTCACCGTAGATCTGGGACCTACCCTCGACTTTCAGGTTGGCTGAGGTCTTGGAGGTGGCGACCTGATAGGTGTACTCTCCGATGTCGGTGGCTTTAGTGATGATGATGACGAGGCGTCTGACGGCACCTTTCACTTCGCTCAGCGTGTTCTCGTTGAAGTCGACAGGCTGGCCGTCTTTCAGCCACTTGCCCTCAGCGGAAGGGTTGGCTACTTCACACTCTAGCACGGCGGTCTGGGAGTCAGCCACCACCAAATCACGCAGGGGCTTCTTGATAGCACCACCTGGGAACAGAAAACAGCTCCAGTCAGTCAGCGCTTAGTCCAGTCAGCACTACAATGTGTTAACTTGCAATAAACAACATATCTTACCTGATACAGTGAGTGTAGCAGTACACATTTTCTCACCAGCAGCAAACATGTACTCGCCCTCTTCATCCTTCATTGCATTCATGACAGTCAGGGTGTGGCACTTGTTCTTGGAATCCATCTTGTACTTGGCGCCGGCTTTGAGTGGCTGCCTCTTGAAAGTCCAGAAGGCGTCAATGCCTGGATGAGAAACCTCGACTTCAAATATGACGTTTTCAGACTCTGAGCACTCCTTGTTCTTCATCGGTTTCAAAATCTGGACAGCTGTTGAGATTAAACAAAAGTTAGGCCATATAACTGTGTCGGAGTCACACTAAACTGGGCATTTATTGTTAAATTACTGGCCCTAAATATCTTTAATTTACACTTAGAATCTATTCTTTCTCCATCCTTGTTTGAAGTAGGGCTTAATGTTATCCAGTCATTTTAAATGTATAACTACCTAGGAATATATCACTCTTCCCTATCAAAAGATTCCCTATTCCTCATTTTCCCAAGCAACATGTACAGATTTTCTAACTGAAAACCAAAATACAATCTGTGTACAAATCATATAAAACCAAGTACTGAAGCAAAAGTCCTGTTGACGACTGTCATCCCAAGTCAACAGATGCTTAAATCTCACTCAGTTTTTAACCTACTCTGAACAGAGAATTTGCAGCTGGTGTCGGCTCGGCCAACCACAAGTTTGTAGTGTCCTTCATCTGAGGCATAGGTCCTGTTGAAGACCAGGCGCTGCTTTGCTCCCTTTGCCACCATCTGGATTCGGTCGCTGGGTGTCAGCAGTTTGTCGTTGTGGTACCATTTGACTGAGCTGACGTCCTGAGCGGAGATCTTGGTCTCCAAGACAGCCTTGGTGCCCTCAACGGCACTGGTGTCTTTCAGTGGGATTAAGACACCGATTGCTGCAACACAAGATAAAATATTTTGCTTGTAACATTTTATTTTTTTAGAATATTAGATTTTTTTGACTACATGCATGAAAGGTGTCTTACTCTGAATGACCAGCTTCGCAGATGTTGAAATTGCCTGATCAGGAACCACAAAGGAGTACATTCCAAAGTCATCCTTGTTTGTGTCTTCAATCAGAAGTTTGTGGATCTGTTTGTCAATAACAATGTGCACACGGTTTGAGGCTGTGACTGGTTGTCCGTTCTTCATCCAGGTTCCTTCAACGTTCTCCTGGGAGAACTTGACCTCCAGCTGAGCGATGTCACCCTCGCAGATGGTCAGGTCTGTCAGAGGCTGAATCAAGGTCACCGGACGCACTGAAACATCAACACAAACATGTAAGGTACTAGATACAACCAAAATAAAAGCTGCAGTATTCCTTACATCCCCAATACAAGAAATTGGTGGATGGGACAAACAATGAAGCATTGATTATTTTTTACAGCTTTTAGATTATGAGGTGGTACTACAATAAGCACTGGCCTGATTCTACAGGAAAGTTCAGAAGGTCACAAACCCATTAGAAGTTACCTACTGGAGATCATTAACTCCAATACCAAATTTCAGAGGGATCTGAACAGAAGTTGTCAAAATGTCTCTGAACAACTTTTTGGATGCACTGACAGCCTCGGACCAAGCTAGAAGCTCTGAATTAATTACAAAAGTACAAAACCTAAAGTCCCATAACTTACATTTCATCTTCAGTGAGGCACTTGTCTTGAACTCGGCCACTTTGAAGGTGTATTTTCCCTGATCCTCCTTCTTGACATCTTTGACAGACAGGGCGTGTCTTCCACGGCGGGAGGTCATGACATATTTACTGCTGGGAGAGAGCAGCTTTTCTCCAAAGAACCAGCTGCCTTCAGCATCCTCACGAGATACGACACACTCAAACTCTCCAGAGTATGTCTCAGGAACCTCTGTGCTCTCCAGCTGCTTCAGGATCTCCAGCGGGGCTCCTGTTTATAATACAATACAGATGGTATGTTAAGGACTACAGTTTTGGTGAAAAGTCAATAATACACTTGGATACAGCAGTGACAGAAAAGTAGCCAGTTGTTAGCCAACCAACCTTCAACATTGAGTTTGGCAGTTGTGCTGACGTTATCATCTACAACCATGCAGGTGAATTCAGCATCATCCCTCATGTCGATTATCAGCACAGACAGGAAGTGAACCTTTCTGTCAGAGTGCATCCTGTATTTGTCACCGGAGAAGATCTCCACATTATTCTTCAGCCATTTGACCTTGACAAAAGGCTCATTAGTTTCACACTCAAAGGTAGCCATGGTGTCCTTCTCCTTTGCATCAACGTCCTCCAGTTTCTGTGTGAAGGTGATGACTTGCTTTGCTGCAAAAATTAAACAAAACCTTTGTTAAAAACATTTAAAAAAGAGAATGACCATATATAATGGTAGAAAGTCCAGAGTTGTGTTACCTTGCACCAGCAGGAAAGCATGGCTTGAAGTCTCTCCAGCAGTGTTTGAAGCTTTAACCATGACACTAGCAGAATCCTCTGCTGTGACATTTCTGACCACCAGTTCACACACATGATCCTCAGGCCAGTACCAGTTAATACGGTCAGACTTCTCCAGCTGAACACCATTCTTGAACCACTGGCACACAGGTTCTGGTCTGCCAACGACTCTGACTCTGAACTTGACTTCATCGCCCTGTGCGACTGTCTGGCTGGTAATACGTTCCAGGATCTTAGGAGCTTCCATGCTGGCAGAGAGCTTGACCCTTTCTGGTTTTAGAGGTTTAGCTGTAACCTTTAGGCGCTCCTCCTCTGCCTTCTTCTTCGCAGCCTCCTCCTTCTTGGCGCGGTGAAGAAGCTCCTCTTTTGTTTTCTTCAGCAGATCCTCATAGGACTCATCCCTCTTACGTGACTTGAGCTCCACCGCAGTGATGGACTCATAATAGCCTTCTTCTGTCCTGCGCTTGAACTTGCCCCTAAGCTCCTCTGACTCCTCTGTGGCTTTCTCGTGGATGATTCTCTGGGCCTTCTTAAGCTTGACCACTTCTTTTAGTTGAGAGTCTTCTGCAGGTTGCTCAGCCTTCACCACCTCAAATGATGTTTTTCCAGGTTCAGGGGCAGCCTCAGCTCCCTTTGCCTCTGGGGCACGGCGCAGATGAGTTCTGAAGTCCTCTTTCTGCTGAATCTCCAGCTTCACGATGTGCTCAGCTGAGCCCAGGTTGTTGTCGGCTACCACTTTGACCTCTCCTGAATCATAGGATTTGATTCCAGTGATCTCCAGATAGTAAATACCATCATACCGAAGTCTGTATCTCTTGCTTTTGCGGATAAGTTGTCCGTTGAGGTACCAGTTAACCTTCGGCGATGGATAACCGGTCACTCTACAGCGGAATCGTGCTGTGTCACCTTCCAGCACTCTGGCTGGTTCAGGAAGAAGGACTATCTCAGGTTTCATTTTCTCAGCTTCTTCTTCAGCTGTGACTCCATAGGGTCCTCCCTCATGAGCCAGGCGTTCAATCTCATCAATTCGGTGTGCCCCCTTTCTGCCTTCAGGAAGCTGGCTTTCCTCAACAAGGCCCTTCTCATCCTTGACGACGAGGGTAGCTGAAGTCTGGTCAGCTCCAAACTTGTTTGTGGCTCTGCAGGTGATAACACCGCTGTCTCTGGCATAAGCAACTTCATAGTCAAGACTGCAGTAGCCAAATTCATTGACCATGCGTAACCTGTTAGCAGCTTCCAGGGGTTTGCCATCATGAAGCCACTCCACTACCATTGTGGGGTCACCAATGGGGGTCAGTCTGCACTCAAAATGAGCTGGACCAAAACGCTTCATACGGACAGAGGTCAGCTTCTTCTTGAACTGTGGTTTCTGCTGCTTCTCCTTGTCATAAAGGTCACCCTCCTCCCACTGCTCTTGTCCATATCGCATATGAAGGGGCTCCAACTCTGGAGGGGCAATCTCTTTGGCTTTGTAGGTTCCTTTGGGAATAATTAGCTTCCTCTCTGGTTCTGGTTCAGCATAGTCCACCTCAACGTTGACTCTGCAGCGAGTAGTGTCTCTGCCAGCCTTGTTGATGGCTGTAGCGGTGTACCAGGCGCTGTCTGAGCCAGCTGCTGAGGGAATCTGGAATTTGGCATCTCCTCTGGTTCCTTCAACCCTGGAACATGGATTTGTCATATTAGAATATTTAAAACATGGCTTGGCAAGTGTTTTGCTTCCAGCTTACTGGATTCTACCTACCAAGTAGTAAATGGCCAAGAGTCCAACCAAAGTGACAAATGAGGAATATGACATCTAACAAGCAAGTATTGGATTTTGTAAATATTGATAATATGGCTAATAACATACCTGATGTTTGGGTGCTTGTGTGGGGTGATAATGTCGCTGTTTTTCAGCCAGACAATATCAGGCAGGGGATTTCCAATGGCTTTGACAGCCAGTTCAACCAGAGTGCCCTGCTTTACACTGATGTTCCTTAGCTTCTCAGTGAACTGGGGACGCACCAAGGTTTCTTTAGCTGAAAAAGAAAAGTAAAGAAATCATCAAGAAAACTTAAAGTCAAGTATTGTCTTTACAAACGCTCAGTGTTCGCATAATGTTCAAGGTGAGCTGAAATCTTACCATCAACAGTGAGAGTGACGGAGAGGGACGATCGTCCAGCTCTGTTCTGAGCAACAACTGTCCACTCTCCAGAGTCATGTGGCATGGCGGGGACAATGATCAGGGACTGCGTACCGTCCTCTTTAACCACTATCTTGTGGGTGTAATCGCTAACCACTTGTTGTCCTGAGGAGGCAACATACAGGTTATTGATTATTCAATCCAAGTCCAACAAATCTTATTCAGGAACACCTTAATGAATGTTTATCTGTTTTAACTCACCGTTATGGAACCAGTATGTGTCGGGCATTGGTCTGCCAACAACCTTCAGGTCGAACCTGGCAGTCTGCCCCTCAGAGCATTTACATGAGGAAGGCTTCATGACAAATACAGGCTTGTAAAGTCTTTCCAGCTGAGCCTCGTCTGTCTCATCAAGCCGGCGAGCAGGAGAGCGTCCAGGTGAACGGCTGGAAGAGCGTCCAGGAGAGCGACTCAGAGAACGAGGAGATGTGGACCTGAGTAAGATGCAGAGTTGTCAGCATCCAGGTGTCCAAAGTTCTATAAAAATATATCTTAGTCCTTCATTCCATTACCTGATCCTTTGCATTGCTGGTTGTGGTGTGTATCTCTGAGCTCCAGAGGGCTCCACATAGAGTTTCCCGGAGCTGACGGTATTTCCTTTCATGTTGGTAGCAAATGCAGTGTAAACGCCCTCATCCTCTGGCAGAACCACAGGCAAACGCAGACTGGCTCTTCCATCCTGAAGAACTTCCATCTGGTAGCGGTCACCGGGCCTGATTCTCTGGCCATCTTTGAACCAAGCAATCTGGTAGAAGACAAAATGTTACTGTAGGAGCACGTTGGATACAAATATGCAATTCCAAACACAATTTTTAATTTACTTCAACAGAGACAATTTATTGAACAGAAACCTATTTCCTCAATACAGTACCTTGGGAAGCGGCATTCCAGCCATCTTGCAGTGGAAAGTGACTCCCATTCCATCCATGATCCTGTAGTTTTTGATGGGAGTCTCAAAGGAGGGCTGCACTGCCTCAGTGGGGGCAGCGGTCACCATCAACTCTCCATCTTCTGTCACTATCTCTTTGTAGGTAATCTTCATAATGCGGAGTTCAAGCTCCTGGATGATCCTCTGCTCAATGACAGAAAGATGGAATTCCTGCAGATAAGATGAGAAGTTAGAAATATGATAATTTAATTGTTTTATCACTGTTGGTTGATTATTATTATTGATAAAGCCTTAGTTTGCAAAAAAAGCCCAATAAGTGTTAGCTTTAGGGTTAGGAATGGAAGAAGTTGGGATATTTTGGACTAACAACTCAACCTTGCTACGACTTTCACGAAATGGACAATTCCCTCATTTGATTCTGCATAGCAGTTTAGATAGCAGATATCTGAAAGGAGTGCCAATTAGACCAAGCAGGCAACTTCGTGGGGTCGCCAGACCTTCAGGGGACAATGAAGCCAAAGAGACCAAATATCTTCATTACTTAAGCTTATCTATTGTCCTCACCATTGTGCCTATTTCTGTATAAATCTGATAAATGTGTTTGCTTGAAGGTAACAGGAGTCATATACAATGTAATGTTCAGAGAGGTAGTGGTGGTGGTAGGGGCAGTCAAGTTCGCTCCGAAGCCCACTAGTGGGTTAATCTGGCCATATGGGTATGTAAAGTTTCAGGTTCCCTCAACACAACAACTAAAAGTAGGGATGGGGCCAATCCGATCCAGTATCGGTATCGGGACTGATACCAGCGTAATTCACGTATCGGAATTTCCCGATCCAACCTGCGCAGATTTCCGATATCAATGAGCCATGTCTGCGCTTTAACGTTGTCTGCTGAAATGACTCCACAGGTGATTCCTGCCGGCCAGTCTGCTAGCTGGCTGCAAACTGTGGAATGAATTTCCTGAACGGAGGCGCGGCTCAATGAGACACAGAGTTATGAGACACGCCCCCGCTCAGGAAATCCATTCCGCAGTTTGCAGCCAGTTAGCAGGATAGCATTGGGCAGCATTGTGACTAGCCATCATGTCCGCTGTGTGGAAATACTTTACACTGGAAACGCCGCAGAGCAAGACAGCAAAATGCAATGTTTGCAAAGCCGCAATTCAGAGACGCGGAAGCTCCCTCGCGTCATACAACACTACGAACGCAATCAAACATTTAAAAAAGCACCACACGAAAGAGCACAGGGATTTTTTAGGCGAGCTGTCAGGAATCACTTCTGGAGTCATTCTAGAAACAAGGTAAACTCCAGGCAGACAACGTGAAAGCTAAAGGGATTACCGAGTGTGTGTGTGTGTGTGTGTGTGTGCGCACGCGCGAGCGAGCAACCAAGTGTTAGATGTTTACAGTTATTGCACTTTTCTTATATTTCAGATAATTGACATTTTAAAACCTTGATTTATTGATACTACAAGAGCCAGTGTACTTGATTTGTGCTGTTCAGATGCACACTGTTTTATTGATAGTGTGTGTGTAAGATGTTTACACTTATTGCACTTTTCTTATATTTCAAGACTCAAATATTTGACATTTTGGGAATTTAATAAATATTGACATGACAATCAATTTGAAACCCCTCACAGTTGCATATTTGTTTTCAGAATGGGATTTTTCCTGTTAAAAGGATTTCCTGTTTTTCTGACTTCCTTTTCTGACCTTATACTTACCTCAAGTTGCCTTTTGGGACATACATGCATACATACGTACATATCATACTTGCCTGTTGAGGAGTTTATTCATATTATCTCATGTAAAATCAACAATAATGATAATAATAATATTAAAGAAAACAGAGCTCTGGTATCGGAATAGTATCGGTATCGGCCGATATCCAAATTCAGGTATCGGGATCGTGTGGTGAAAAAATGTGGATCGGTGCGTCCCTAACTAAAAAATAACCTCCAATCAGGACTGATAATGATGCTCCTACCTGTCCAGAAATAATGGTGGTGGTCATCTGCTCCATTGTCGTAACAATGAGGGGGGGAACGTCTCCCACTTTGGGCTCTTGCACCACGGCTGTCACTTCAGTCTTAAAGGTCGCTTCCTGTTTCTTCAAGTAGGCTTCGTATTCCTCTGTTAGCAAAACAAAGCATTTAATATTAGATGAATTCAGGCACCTGATTTCATTGACTGAACACACCCTGACAAAAGAGAAGAAACAGCTTTTTACAACTCTTGTTTTGACATAATTTCTCATCCAGTCTGATTTCTTTTTACTCAGTGTTATTTAAGCAGATGTTCGTACCTTCCTCCAGCAGACTGGCAGAGGCTGAGACCTCTCCAAGCTGGTTTTTGGCAAAGACGGAGTATTCTCCGGCATCATCAGCGAAGGTCATGGAGATCTCCAATTTGCATTCTCCAGTGTCCTTCTTATAGGCAACTTTGTATCTGATGGATGGAAGGGTAAAAACATGTTAAAGGCAATTCAGTGAGGAGTAGTGCCCCAGAGAGGCTGCAGTGTACATTACAGACACAATCAGAACCAAAATTGACGATTTGTCTATTCTTACAGTCTTGCCTAACGTAACACTTGTCCTGAAGAGAAAGGGTAATGGGCTTTTTAAGAGTGAGCTCAAGATGTCATGGTAATAAAAATCAAAAATCAGAGGCACATTTAGATCTCAAGTCAGACCTGATGGAACACGTGCAGCGAAGGCAATCAACTGATCACCCTCTCAAAATTTGCTCAGTTGAGGATTGAAAATCAGCCCAGCTCTAGTTTCCAAGCAAACCCAAGAAATGTGAGGGAGAGGGAGGGAAGAAATATGACAGTGAAAGTTGAGAATTTTAGAATCCCGAAAAGAACTTTATTGAAATTAAATATGAATTCTGTATCAGATTGTTTTATATAAAGTCTACACTGATGTTTTCAAGGCTGCACATTATAGATCCCCCAAATGTAGACAGATTCACAAATAGGTTTCCACTAAAGTTTTAAATAATGTTCAAAGTGGGTTTGTAATAAGTTTGTAATGACTAACTCAGTCACAGATCCAGGGAACATGACAAGGTGACCAGTAAGTTTTAAGATACCTGTATCCGGTAGTGAGTGGTACTCCACCCTTCTTCCAGATGATGTGTGGTTTGGGGCTTCCTCCAATCTGGCATTCAAACACTACACTTCCTCCTTCCACCAGCTTCTGGATGGTTGGATTCTTGATGAAGAAGGGAGCTGTGGCCGCAGCATCTGACTCGGTCACGCTCACCTGAGACATGGTCTCCTCTTTGGCTTCAACGGTTACTCTGGAAATACAAATCTCTTTTTAGGATTACAAGGGCCAAGCTGTACGGGTACCTTCCCTTAACTCTCAACAATCTCAAAACAAAGAACCTGACTATATCAGTGTTTTGATCAGGTAGACTGTTTATCAACACGCATTATATTGATGTATCTTTAAAGGGGGTTGATTGACTCACAGTTTCTCAGCAGTCTCAACATGTTCAGTGACAACAGCGACCTCCTCTCTGCTCTCGATGTCCTCAGACACTGCAGGAGAAAGACAGGGTTAGTCACAAGCAGGAGACACCATGTGGGACTTACTATTGATATTCCTGCGTTGTGATAATGGAAAGATCAACAGATTTAGAAGTAGTAACAAAGGGGGGCAGGGTTAAGCAAGGGGGAAAATTAAACTTAAAAAAGACAAGGCCACAACACTGAACCCTGAGAATCTTAAGCAGTAATTTTCTATTCAGGATGCTGCTGAAAATGTCCTACATGAGCGATATAAAGCAAACAAATTGATGTCTTGTTTCTTGATGATTTCTGTCCTGCTTTACTGTTCATACTGACCCTGGACAAGCAGGTAGCAGGAGGTGCTGACGGTGCCCGCCTCGTTAGTGGCGGTGCAGGTGAAGCGTCCGCTGTCTTCAGCGAAGGCCTCGCGGATCACCAGCTGGGCGAATCCGTTCTCGTAGTTAATCTGGAAATCAATGGAGCTCTCAATCTTATAGTCCTCTCTGAACCACATGATGACGGGTGTGGGGTGGCCACTGATCTGGCACTCCAGGGTCACCGACTCGCCCTCCGTCACATTTGTGTTCTTCAAGCCCTGCAAACAAAACACAAGACTTTCAGAAAATGTCACTTTCACAAAGAAGCATGAATATATTTTGTGGATTTTGAGGAGAACTACTCCACTTACAGACACCAGTGTGGGTGGGACCACGGCGCCACCTGCAGAAGGTACGGCTGCTGCCTCCACCACCTGTCGTACATTCAGAGATTTGTTAGAAAACTGTAGTTTAACAAAACATGCAACTAAAAATCCACCAAAATGACTCAAAATAACAGGACAACATTTTGAACTGTTTACACCAAACATATGAAGACGACACAGCACATAAAGATGGAGGGAAGCAGGATGGGCTGAAAAGGTGAGAATGAGGTTATCAGTAGCATCGATGAACATGTTAAAGGTTATATGAGAATGATCCTGGATTTTCACAGACATCAAGAAAACCGGACTTCTAAAAATTGGAGGTCAAGGAGTGACCCCTAATGGTTGCATTATTCATTACGTCCACAATATGAAAATGTGCATATTTATTATTTAGCTATTCTGTCAGCCTAATGAGTAGTGGGGATGTGGTACTATATTCAGTCCCTCCAGGATGGGATTGTTGCTGGATTTCATGGTAACTTTTCAAATAAATTGAGATGAATGTTGCAATATTCCATGGCAGTTTTTTTTTAATTGTAAGGGTCATTAAAAAGAAAAAGGTTCAAGCTCTGGGGAGTAGGAAAAATCTGCTCCTTAGATTTGATTTGTTGGTTGCAGAAGTGGATATCTTTGCCAGCTGATGGCACTAAAATAAAGATCAGCAAATGTCTGTCTTGGATGGACAAAACAACAAATTCTTTATTGCTGGTTTGGAAGATAAAAAACTATCCATCATCAGGTTTTCTTGTCCTGTTTAAGATCCAGCCCACTAAACTAGATTACAAACCTGGGCTCCCCAGTCCTCATACATTCTCTCCATGCCCCCCGAGTACACCACCCCCGTCTGTAACTCAGTGCCAAAATGACTCTGATATTTGTCTTTGAACGGTGGAGGGATGGGCTCCGGTGTCTCTCTGGGCGCTGCCACCCTACCAGACGGACTGGGAGACTTGACGGGTTTGATGATCTTTCTAGCGGTGGCAGAGGATGAGGATAACTCTTTCTGCAGAGTGGCGATAGCCGAGCCAGCGATGGAAACCTGACCGACCCAAAGAGGAGGAACACCGACACCATCATCAACAAATATGTTTTTGAAAAGTTTGTGTTAAAGCACAGCAGAGGGAGGGATCTACGGTGCGTTAGTTTTATTAAAACTACGAGAGGATAAAATTAATTTTACATCAGTTGGTTCTATTTATCAAGGAAAACACGGTTAAAGTTGGATTCATTTTGTTATTTTATAGACATTATTTTATCACTTCTACACTACGGTTCACAGCAAGTTTGCATTTCAGGCGAGCAGTAAAAACCAAATGACTGTTCGCTAAACCCCGCCCCTCAAACTGCGTCTGTCCAATCACGGCTTAGAAACCGTAGTCACAGCAGGTGTGTCTGTTCAGACAGTGAACATGGAGCTGTAGTAAGATTGATTTAACGTTAGCTTCCCCAGCTAACTAGCTTACAGCCTACAGTAGTAAATAGCATTATTTTAGGACCAACAATTAGCTTATCATTTCTAACTACATTATTTTGTGGGGTTACAGGTTACGCTAGAAAATGCCCCGTTCAGGACTAAAACATCCATGTGGCCTCTTTTCCCATCAAAATTACTCTGGTTATGTTCAAGATTCTTAGAACCTCGGTGCTATCTACAGAACCAACCAGCATTTCTATTGTAATTGGATGTATCATCAACAAAGGACGCTGCGCAGTGTAATTACTGACTGAAGTTTCTATTATTTTAGCATTTAATTTGAGTTATTGATCCCTCCATGTGTTTTGTTAAGTTCCATTCTTTGTACACAGGTTATTTTCTACTGCTTGCCTGATGTTGCCTGTCTTACCTCAGAGCTAGACTCGTGTTTTGGGACAGAAACTTTAGAAACTGTGAAATGTGGAACTGGAGACAGGGCGAGACCAGTGTCCACATGGGAGGAGATTTCTGTCACTCTCTGAATCTGGAGTAACCAACAGAGTTCACAAGAGTGTTACAACCTCAGGAAGATTTTAATATTTTTATGTTTATATGTAAATGTTTGAAGATATTATTCCTGTAATAATGCAAATAATGACATGGTTATCAAGAGCTTTATCTTTTCACAGTCATGTCTTTGCTGTGGAGGCCTAGCTAACCTGAGTCAGTGGCAGTGTTGGTTCAGGTGTAAACTGCTGAGCAGTGGTAAGCATTTGTCCAGCCTGCACTCTTGTTGTTGTCCAACCAGCTTGATACTGTTGATCGGCAGCCACGCCGGCAGTGGCGGCGGCCTGCTGCCTTAACTCTGCTTCTATGGCCTCTGCCTCCTCCTCTTCAGCTTGACCGCCCTCCACATGCACAGGCTGACGGACCCGAGCGAGGTCAACGGCGGCCACCACTTTGGCTACCGCCCCGGCTCTTTTCCCTCCCTCAGCCTGGAGACACAACCAGTAGCACATAGATATCAGGACATCCATGGCAGGACAGTGGTACAGAGACAGGCAGGTGGGCCAGGGAGAATGTTTTAAGCAATTAGTTCCCTCAAATTAATAAAGTTACAACTTGTCCCCCCTCTGACTGACTGTTTGGATTTAAAGTCTGATTTGACTACTTTTCTTAATGGATCACTGGCTGGTGGGGGTGATGACCTGTTAGCTTTAGCCTCACACATAATATCATATAGCTATCAGCTGCGTATTCAAGACCCTTTTACAAGGTTTATTTTTTTCAAACAAGGTTAGCTGGAAACATTAATAGTTCAACTAGAGGTGGACTTTCAACCAGCTCACAAGGTAGTGCTAACTAACGCCTTACTGAACTATTAGCTACCTTCATGGCATGTTAACAAAGAAAGCAAAGTGATTTTTTCATTTAATTTCATTATTGTTGGTTTTACTTTACTGTGAACTAAGTTAGCCTAGCCCTGATCAACCAAACTCTGTTCAGAAGACAAGCATTTTAAATTTCTTGCGGACATATTTATTTTTACGTATTTCATGATGTAATTATTTCAGCATCCATTTGATCCGTCTATTTACATTAAATAACAGAAACATCTGATTATATAAGCTCATACCAGCACAGTGAGAAAGACTAAAGGGTCACTATTTATTCACACAATAACTAGTGGTGAAAATTTACATTTTGTTAGGTGTGAACACTACTTTAGAGGTGCTGGTAGGTGTAGTTATAAACTTCTGACAGAGCCAGGCTGGCTGTTTCCCCCTGCTTCCAGTCTTTATGCTAAGCTTATGTAATGCTGAATTGATTACTAAATGAGGGAACAGAATTAATACATTTAGCACAAAAATGTGTAATTTAAGTAAATTACTAATGTGATGAATCAATTTATGAACATTATGCCCCTCGACACCTTCCTGTCTCTGTAACAGACACCAAAACAATGAGTATATGTACACGTACACCAGTATCACTGTCACAGTTTCAGAGAATCTGGTTTACATGGTTGCACATGTAAATGTAATTTGTAATGTAAAATATCCAGATAGTTGATGTGTAAAGTTAATGAAATTGTTTAATTCAGGTGTGGAAACAGGATGGACAGGATACTAGTGTGCCTCTAAATGTACTCAAGTAAACATTTAAGATCATCTGATGAACAGCACATGCTCATCTGTTTGACGTGCAGGAAAAGACAACATGAAGAAATTGATAAGACCAAAATGAACGGAAAAGTGAAGAAAAGTGAAGTGGAAACCACAACCTCGTGGCAGCAAAACTCAAAAAAGAAGCAGTGAAAGTGCTCAAAAAAGATGACAGGGCAACTGTGACGTGTCCACTCGTGACGGACGAATAACTACCTGCCCCTCCAGTTTCTGGACGGACGGGCGGACATCTTGGTTAAGATCACAGTAACACCACTCTTCATCGGATAAACCGGACAAACTAGTTTCTTCAGTTGAATGGAGGTCAAGGTTTGAAACAGGTGACGAGTCTTTGTGATTGAAGACAGAGGACAGATCTTCACAGACGTACGACAGACTGAAGCTCATCTCCTTCACTGAAGTGGACTCTGGTTCTCCCACTGAGGACGTCGGGTTTCGATCATCTAAAGTTTCACAAACACCCTCCTCTTCACTGTATGAGTCCATGTCCGAATGATTGACATTATCGCCATGTGTCATTTCCTCATGGCTCGTATCCTCGTCCCATCCCTCGGCATTCTGGGTAAATCCAGATGATTCTGACTCCATTTTGACAGTTTGAGGCTAATGACCAAATCAAAAGGGTTAAACTCCCATTTTCAAACTGCTTTTCTGAGCCAAAACATTTTTAAGAGACTTCTTTTTAGTGGAGAGAAACCAAGAAGTGAAAGTAACACAAAAGTGACGATCACAAACATTCGTATTGATCTGAGAAGGATGGAGGAACTGTAGGATTATAGCATGGAGTTTTCTGAGTGACATGAAAGTGAGATTTCTTCAACCCAAACTTTACTAGAAGTTAACAAAAAAATTTGTTAAAAAAAACACACATTAGTGTTCAATGTACGAGTCGCTAAATTGGTCAACACCAAAATCCAGAAGACATTTTTACTGGTGGCTGTATTTTTTTTGTTCCACATATCTCACCAGTCTGATTGGAACAACCTGCCCCGTCCACTTAGATCTATTACATTCTTTCATTTCTTTAAGTCAGCCATTTTACTTACCTTCAAACTACCTGCTCTTGCTACCAATTTTATAGTATAAACATGTATATTTACTGTAGAGTGTATTTGTGGTGTTTTATGTATTCTCCGTGTATTTGTCAAGGGGCTTATCAGTTATCACTCAGTTTACTTCCACTGATTAATATGAGAATAATTAATATTCAATCCTTTATTCCTGTTTGTTTAGTTTTTAACCTTTTGATTTAAAACATTAATTATTTTAGTCTTTATTTTTTATTCATAGCCTACATAATGTGAAAAGAAGATGCAACAGAACTTGGCTGGGAATGCAGTAAATGTTCATATATGTTCATTTATATGTAAATGTGACAGAGAGTCACAGCTCTATTGAGCCACATATCCCCATAAACTTAAGTAGCAATGACTTCATGAGCTTCTTCTATAAAAAAATTATTACTATTAGAGAGAAAATTAATCACCAACTGCCATCAACAGTTATCAGTGGCTCTCCAAGTTCAGGGACTTCTGCCAATGTAAACTTAGATATATATTTAGACTGTTTTTCTGCTATCGATCTTCATCAGTTAACTTCAATCATTTCTTCATCGAATCCATCAACCTGTCTATTAGACCCGATCCCAACTAGGCTGCTTAAAGAAGTTGTTCCCTTAATTGGCACTTCTTTACTGGATATGATTAATCTTTCTTTATTATCAGGATATGTACCATAGTCCTTTAAAGTAGCTGTAATTAAACCCCTTCTTAAAAAGCCCACTCTTGACCCAGGGGTTTTAGCTAACTATAGACCGATTTCTAACCTCCCCTTCCTCTCTAAGATTCTGGAGAAAGTAGTCGCAGAATAGTTGTGTGACTTTCTACATAACAATAGTTTATTTGAGGATTTTCAGTCAGGATTTAGAGTTCATCACAGCCCAGAGACAGCTCTGGTTAAAGTTAATAATGACCTTCTGATTGCTTCTGACAATGGACTTGTCTCTGTACTTGTATTATTAGATCTTAGTGCTGCATTTGACACCATTGACCATAATATTCTTTTACAGAGACTTGAGCATCAAATTGGCATTAAAGGAACCACTCTAAGCTGGTTTAAGTCATATTTATCAGATCGCTGGCAGTTTGTACATGTTAACTATGAATCTTCAATAAATACTACAGTTAGTCATGGAGTTCCACAAGGTTCTGTACTTGGACCAATACTATTTACTTTATATATGCTCCCTTTAGGCAACATTATTAGGAATCACATCATTAACTTTCACTGTTATGCAGATGATACGCAGTTATATCTATCAATCAAGCCCGATGAAATTAATCAATTATCTAAATTACAAACATGTCTTAAGGACATAAAATCCTGGATGACCTGCAATTTCAAAACAAAAAAAACGAGATTCTTGTTCTTGGCCCCAAAAACCTTAGAGACTCACTGTCTAAAGATATAGTTACTCTAGATGGCATTAACTTGGCCTCGAGCAACACTGTCAGGAATCTTGGGGTTATCTTTGATCAGGATTTGTCATTTAACTCCCACATAAAGCAGACCCCTAGGACTGCCTTCTTTCATTTACGTAATATTACAAAAATTAGACACATCCTATCACAGACAGATGCAGAAAAACTAATCCATGCATTTGTTACTTCAAGGCTGGATTACTGCAACTCCTTATTATCAGGTTGCCCCAATAAGTCCATTAAAACGCTCCAATTAATTCAGAACGCTGCAGCACGAGTACTGACAGGAACTAGAAAAAGAGATCACATCTCTCCTGTACTAGCTTCTCTGCACTGGCTCCCTGTAAAATGTAGAATAGAATTTAAAGTCCTCCTCCTCACCTATAAAGCTCTTCATGGTCAGGCCCCTTCATATCTTAAAGAGCTCATAGTACCCTATTACCCCTCTAGAACACTACGTTCTCTGAATGCTGGGCTACTTGTGGTTCCTATAGTCTCCAAAAGTAGAACAGGAGCCAGAGCCTTCAGTTACCAAGCTCCTCTCCTGTGGAACCAGCTTCCAGTTGTGGTTCGGGAGGCAGACACCCTCACCACGTTCAAGAGTAGGCTTAAGACATTCCTCTTTGATAAAGCTTATAGTTAGGGCTGGATCAGGTGAGTCCTGAACCATCCCTTAGTTATGCTGCTATAGGCCTAGACTATCGGGGGGATTTCCCATGGTGCACTGAGCTACTCTCTTCCTCTCTCTTTCTGCACTCATTCATGTCCCATTAATGCATGTTACTAACTCCACTTCTTCCCCGGAGTTCTTGTGCTTTCTCGTCTCGCAGGTTCTCATCGATCCTGGTGGAGCCTCCTGCCATGGTCCTGCTAGATTGCCATTGCCAATACTGTTGTTGCTGTGCACCTGTCTGTCTGTCTGTCTCTCGCTCTCTCTCTCTCTCTCTCTCTCTCTCTCTCTCTCTCTCACCCCAACTGGTCGAGACAGACGACCACCCACCTAGAGCTGAAGGATCTGTCCTAGGTTTCTGCCTTTTAACAGGCAGTTTTTCCTTGCCCTTGTCGCCAAGTGCTTGCTCATGGTGGTACTGTTGGGTCTCTGTAATTAATGTTTTAAAGAGTTCGGTCTAGACCTGCTCTATTTGAAAAGTGTCCTGAGATAACTTCTGTTATGAATTGGCGCTATACAATTAAATTGAATTGAACTGAATTGAAAAATTGAATTAAATAATATGATATTAATGCTCATCAGAATAAAAAGAAGAAGAAAAACAAACAGTCAATGTTATCTTCTCATCCAGCTACCTGAGAGCTGTCGCCGTGACTACAGGCCTCAACTGCAGTCGCCACGGCAACGTCGTCATGCTTCCTCTGAATGTCGGTTAGTCACATTTAAAACATCAAGGATTTTCTTTTGTTTGAGGGAGCAGAACGAGAGGATTCACAAACAGACGAGACCTTCATAGGGTTGTTAAAGAAACATACTGAACATAGAAACAATAAAAAGACTATGTTCACAGATTTGAGTAAAGGCAAAATAAATGTTCAACACTGAGGAGCAATTTGTTCGACAAGAAAGGGAGGAGGTTTAAAGACAGTTTCTGCTTCTGTTTAAGCTTAAATATCTCCAATAAATGGAGCACCAAACATTTGCAAAACATATATCATATATTAACTCTATTTGTAGAGAGAAGTTGGTGGTAGTAGAAGAACTTCAGCTCAAATGTAAGTATTCATTATTCAGCTTTTAACACAGACAGATATTAATTTTGAGCACATTATTTCCTGTGAATTTTGATCAGAGATGAGTTTTCTTGATATTTTTATACAATTTTCTGTCAAAATATTTTTTAACAATCAGACAGTCAGATTGACTGTTTTATTCTAGTTGTTCTATCACCTGTTTGGTTGGTATCTAATGCAGGATGAAGCTGTTGATCAGAGACTGAAGCTCTGTCACTACACTGTGTATATTTTAAAAGTTTCTTCACACCCTTTAATATCAAAAAGACCTTACAACCTTTGTTTTTGACCCCCTAGTGGAGGTCCCAACCACTAGGCCAAAGACTGTGTAATTAAAATTTGATGCAAAATGCCCCAATTTGGCTCCAGAATCTTTGGTTGAATGTTAGAAATCAAACAAACACCATCCGTCTTTCTTTCGCTCAGATTGCTCCCTGTACGATCTGACCACCAGGTGGCGGTATGAACCCTCCTCCCTCACCCCAAGCGGGCGCTCCCTCACCTCTTTGACCCCGGTGACCTGCTGCTCCCAGCGCTGCTCCTGGCCCACCTGGGTGACGGTGCTGGTCATGCTGGTCATGCTGGTGTAACTGGCCTCAGCCATGTAGCCTCCCTGCTTCCAGGGGGGTAGGACGTCGGCACCGCCAGCAGCCAACTGCTTGCGCGCGGTGATCGGAGACTTGACCGGCCTGATGGGGGAGACTGAGAGTCTTGAAGTGGGAGAGGCAGGCCTGGAGACGGGGGAAGGAGGTCACATTACAGGCCAGCAGAGGGCCAACCTCCGAGAACACGTCACCCCGCTCACTGCTCTACAACCTCAAAAACAATAACCTCTAAAAACACTGACTACAGGTCTCAACTACAGGCTCCACCCACCTGACAGGAGTTGGCGTCGGCGCCTTCACGTGTCTGACGGGTGATGGCGACTGTTGGCGTCCTCCGGTCACCTTGGTGACCAGCGAGGGCTGAGTCGGGGACTTGGACATGGGCTTTGGAGGGACTCTGGGTGGAGTCTTGTGGGCCAGCTGCTGAGTCAGCTCGGCGCTCTCCACATGCATCCCCATCATGGCGGTGGCCTGGAAACTGGCCTCCATCCTCTGAGGACGGACCGACGAGGGGAGAGCAGAGAAGAATAACATCAGAGAGGGTGAAAGTAAAGGAAATTACATAAATTGAAATAAAATAAACAATTACAGCAGATTGACTGAGAATTAATGAGAAAACAAGATAAGAAATGACATGAGATGAGATTGAATTGGATTATATTACTGAGATCAAATGAAATGACATGAATAGATAATATGAAATTAAATTATATGAGACATTAAATTAGAGATAAAATGAGATACAGCAATTAGTTAAGAAGGTAAGAGATGGGATGCAATTAGATGAGAACATTAAATCAAAGGAGACGACAATAAATTAGAGTCTAGAAGAGATATGACAGGCTGCAGCACTACAGCACTTTTAATTGTATTTGTATGTGATGTATGTGTTATGTATTGTTTTATGGCTTTGTTGTAAAGCACTTTGGGTACCTTTCGGCTATTGTAAAGGGCTATACAAATAAACTTGATTTGATTTGATTTGATTTGACAAATAATGACATTTAACTGAAGTAGGATGAGACTGACTTCTACTGTATTCAATAAACACATTAAATGAGACTTTAATGACATTATATTTGTTTATTTGTTACCTTTTCCACTCTGGTCTGACGGGTCTGTGAAATCTGAGAGGTTGAAATCACAGTCTTGGTTTTCTTTGCTGGAACGGCTTCTTCACCTGAACACAGATCAGTTCAGTTCAGTGATATTGATTGAATAACCTCAATATCATTAACAAATAAGTCTGTGTAAAGGTTTAAAGGTTTAAAGGTTCTCACCCTGAACCAGCAGTTCAGCGGTGGAGGTGGCCCGTCCACTGCTGTTTGTTGCAGTCACAGAATATGTCCCAGAATCCTCTGGGAAGGCCTCTGCTATCAGCAGACTGTGCAGGTCTCCCTCCTGGAGGATCCTGAAGTCAGCTGAGCTCTGGATCTCGGCTCCCTCTCGGTAGAACTTCACCACAGGTGTCGGGATACCTGTGACTCTGACATCCAGCCTCACCTGGCTGCCCTGTCTCACCGTGGAGCTCTGCAGTCTCTGAAGGAAGCTGGGAGGTGCTGTCTCCGCTGGAGGGGACGATTATTGATGCACATTCATTATGTCGAGACTCAGATACAAGCTGTTACTCACATACTGCTTTTTATCAATGTGTACTTTTTAACATACTACAACTGAAATAAAAACGTACAAACTGTATTAATTATTACGTTTTCATTCTGTTCGACCTTTCTGTGAATACTGTCTCCTTTGGTGTTCCTCAAGTCTCCACCTTGGGCCTTATTTTATTGTCATTGTATTTGCTTTCATTGGGCTCTGCTTCTCGACAATTCAAACATCCCTCACATTTTCTACGCAGCTCTATTTCCCACAAAAAACTGAGCAAAATACAGCTCTTCAGTCTCTCCTACATGATCTTACCTTTATGTATAGTTTCTACCTGAGCACTAACCTGTAACAAGAAGTTCAGCGGTGCTCGTGGCTTGTCCAGCACCATTGGTGGCTCTGACGGAAAATCTTCCGCTGTGTGCGGCGGTCACAGTGGGGATTCTCAGAACAGCGCGGCCATCACTGAACGAGATCTGAACGCCGGGCAAAGCGGCGGCAGTAAGTACCTGGCCATCACGGAACCAGCTCACCTCAGGAACTGGAGAACCTGCAGAGGACAACCAGACCATGTTTATGGTGTTTATTGTCACAGAACCCACAGAATACATGAACTGATGGAAACCACTGCTTTAATTATTAGTTAATGTTAAACTCTGAGACATGAGGAACAAAATATAATAAAACATTTTAGTTAATTCTGATTAAAGTTTGAATCTTGGAATCAAATTTAACATTAAATTTAATTTTTAACTTTTTGAGAAATATAAAAAAAATGTCAGAAATGTAATTTTAAAGTCAATCGTGTAAGAAAATAAGTCAAAGGTTGTTAAAAATATGAGAATTTTAAAATAAAGTTTTAATCTCAGAATGTAACATTAAAGGTAAATAAAAAGAAGAAGAAAAAGAAAAAGGTCTTCAATTAAAAATCTTAGATTAATCAAAAATCAAAAATGAGGTTAAAGTTAAAAATTAACATTTAACTTTATATTAAATATAGTTCAAGTTCATTGATCAGGAGCATCGTTGAGGAGGAGATCAGGAGTACTCAGCTATTTTACTTAAGTAAAAGTACTCTGTTACATATAAAAGTCACAGGAGAATATTTGCATCAAAATGTACTTTGAACCAAAAGTAAAAGCACTCATTATGCAGAATGGCCCCCTTTAATACAATGACTTTATAAACTGTCTTAATGTGGAGGACCCCCACTTAGAGAGGATTCTGACATAAGGAATCCCCTCAGAGTATTTTTATATTTTAAGGTTTTAAGATAATAAGGTCATCATCAATCAATCATCGAACTGGGATCAATATAAATACAGTCAATCAAAATGGCCAACCCTCTTTCTTCACTTGCAAAAAGTGTGATAAAAGTTAAAATATTCACACTCCATGACCCCTGTTGGTTGAAAACCACTGGTTTGTTCTATAATAATACATCATAATTTATTTGTTGACTATATTTAGTTTTGATAATATGAATCTGCAGAGTAACTAAAGTTTGAAGTGCAATATTTACCCAAAAAAATTCTTACATTCTGTGTTTTGGACAAATGTTTAAAGTAAAATGTTGTTTCTTACCACTAACTTGAGCCTCGAACGTTGCGGCACTACCCTCTAGTGCCACAACGCTCTGTAGCGGCTGTATGAACGTTGGCGCTTGTGTTGACATGATTGTCGGCACCCTGAAGAGAAACAAAGAGTTTAAATGTCAGTCAGTGATCTGCAGCTTAAAGACATTTTACTGATATCAAACCAAACAGCCTCAAACAGCCTGAGTTCAGCTGAACACCACAGACTGGGTGTGAAATGTCTGTTCTTCAGTTTAGGAGCAGCTTTTAGGGAAGGAAAGGAGACGCTGTAATTCCTCTCCAGAAATAGATGTCCAAATGCGTCTGTCACAGCTCCAATGACCGACTCTAACACCAGCAGAGCTCAACTGGAGACAACTGCACATTCATTATTAGTCGCAGTTTATTATCAGCCAGTGACGTTAACAAGTAATGAAACTTCAAGATAAGAGAGAGTGTCATCAGCAAAGAAACGACAGCTCCAGTTATTAATTCATACTTTCTGTTGACATTTAACCTCTTGTTGTTGAACGAGTGATTGCAAAGCAAACGTGGAAGCAGTGTGATGATGTTATAGTGCATAAAAAGCTCTCACAGAGGAGAATGACAGGTCAATAACCAACCAACAGCTGGTATATTTTATATTTAACAATAAAAACGAGGGGTGAAAGATCAGAAACAGTCATATGAGCCAGGTTGGTAGTGAATGCTGCTGATGGGGGTGTCAGGTCACCTCATATGGGTCAGTATTAACAGACAGATTGGAGGTAAAAGACCCACCTTCAGCCTGAGAGGATATCATGGTGTCATACCTACACTCAGTATTGTATTTTATTATCTTTGTTAAAATGACGAGTATTCAGATGTTACTGCCAAGTACAGCAGCAGATATTCATCGATCCGTCATTGAGGAAACAGAACAAGGAATTGGAACAAACACCAGCAGTCAACCCTACAAACAACACCTCAACAATCACTAACAACCAGATATTTCAGAAAAGGGCAATAAGAAACACAACCGCAGTGCACTATACGGTCAGTGCTCAATACAAAACCAGTTCAACCAACAATCAGTGAGTCCTGATCTCAACAAACAACAACTCTTTGAGATCCAAGGAACACAAACACTCACAATGCAACCGTTGGCCAATGACAATAGACCAAAGTGATGCCTCTTGTGTCTCTACAACCTTATTGATTCTACAATAACTCCAGCGTTGTGTAATTATGAATCCCATTGCTTTTGTTACCAAGACGTCCAGTGTAGCATTTGAGCGCTGGTAGAAAGCAGTAGGATCCATAATAACGCTCTGGACTTTCTCCCGTCGTCCGGCTGGTCAGACTGGGAGCTTGATGGTTTGATAGCGAGTGCACAGAGAATAATCTGATTCTGTAAAACTGGCAAACTATGAAATACGGACGTTCGGACTGTTGTGATGTGAGCTGGAGCTACTGTGCTAGCTCGCCTGCATGTTAGCTGAAGCTCTATGTTAACCCTCAACATAGCAAACGTTAGCTACATTACTCGCCATTTCGTTGTTCATGCTCTATAAACATATACATTATATATATTGTTAAATATTGAAATATAATGCACATATTTTAACTCTCTGATTACTATTTCTATTGTTATAATGTCTTTGTTCAGCAGCTTAAGCAACTGTAATGCAACCAACTTCCCCCGGGGATCAAAAAAGTATTTCAGGGTATTAGAGAATCACTCACTCAAACTTTAAAGGCATTGATCACTGCACTACGTCTCCTCCATACATACAAAACATACAAAGAATCGATCAACTCTGAGGACATATGGTTTTGATTGATCAGACAATTTGGAATTGGTTCTAGTTTTGCATCCCTACTGGATAACCGATTATAGCTTAATGGATCACTACCAGTACGACAGAGCGGGACAGACCCCAGATTTAAAAACTCAGATTAGCTTTAATCTTCTGAAACATTCGGATGTGTTTTAAATGAAACAATCAGAAGTTTGTAATCTTAACAGTCTTATTTTTGGTCTTGTTGCAGAAGAAGAAGAGCTAACTGGCTAAGCGCTAACGTGTTCAGTTTTATTGATGTACAGATTTAAAAGCAGTTGGATGAAAATGTGCTGAGTGTCTGCTGCTGTTCTCTCAGCAGACAGTTTGAGTTTCACAGTCAGACAGGAGCTATAAATGTCAGGAGGCGGGGCTTATTGGAGGCAGAGGACGCTGACGGACGGCAGCAGCTGGAGGACGGCCGCATGTTACAGTCATCATCATCATCATCATCACCACCATCATTACCATCAACAGCAGCAGAGGAAGAACAGGCTTAATACTAACTTGCAGAAAACTCCATGTGAATCAATGTGATGAGACAAGTTTGTCCACTAACCACCTTTATAATCAAACTAATGTGTAAAATATCTGATAAAAAACTAAGTTTACAACAAGAACAAAACTAAATTATAACCTGAAAGGAGAGAAACAAATATATAAAGAGAAGAAAACAATAAAAATAATGATTGTTTATTGATTGACCTTGTCAAGACCTCGGTGTATAAACGTGAACTCGGCTCTTCCTGCAACCTCCCCAGCATTCTGGTCTCAGATCAGGAGCCACATTTAGCCTCAACTGGTGTTTCTTTCTTTACTGCTGACAGCTGTTCCTAGATCAGTTCAATAACTGGTTCACTTCTCAGCCTATATTGATCCGTTATATCCTTTTATATCGATATCTGATCGGAAACATGTCTGATTATTGGTTTTTATTCACTGAAAGAAAAGTAAAAAGTCTCTCTTCTAAGTTTTATTTAATTTAATTAGTGGACTGATTTTATTGTATATGTAAATAATATCTAATTATTCATAAAATGTATTCTTATTTTTATTGTCTTGACAAACTAACGTCTCTAATGTTGATCAGATTTTTTTTTCACATTTAATTCATATAAAATGCAGTTTGTTGTTGTCGACTGCAACTGACTTTGTGTTACTGATATTAATATTATTATATATTATAGAGAATGATGAAGAAACTGCAGAACAAAAATATTGTTTGTTCACTGTGATTTTCATCTTTTGTTTTGTTTCTGTTTGTATAAAATAAATAAATAAATAAATAAATGTATAAATAAACATTATTATTGTTATATTTCTTTTAATTTTATCTTTGGAAATAAAGTTTATCATTCTGATATTAAAGGGAGGGAAAATATCTCAACTTGGAAATAATTAAATGTAGAGACAATCAAAATGTCTATCTTGTATGTTCTGTTTGTGAGTGAAAACTTAATAACAGCTGACATGTTATATTGACATCAGGCTTTAATTCAGGATCTGTTTGGATGTCATTTACAAGTAAACATGAGAGATGCAGTTTTTATGACTGTTTTCAGAACTCATTAATAAACAAACATATGAAGGAATTTAAACTGGCAAATTTTGACATCAGTTTCACTAATAAAGACACTTTCAGATGAAAGAGTGTTTAAGAGAACTGACAACCAATGAGCTATGGAGGGTGTCAGACCCTTTAAGTTCAGTTTAGGGCCCCTAAACCTCCTCCCACCCTCACACCATCCCTCACCCTCCTTCCACCGTTCACACGTGTGAGGAAACTTTTACGACTTTGTTACGACAGAACAGGAAGTTCTCTGATAAAATCATCAAAACTAACTTTGATTTTAAAACTCTTCAAGATAAATTCCTTTATTCATTATTTTAAGGAATAAAGAACTATAAATTATTTAAAATATAGCTGATACAGTGAGTTACACACTTTACTGCCAACATGTCGACCAACATTAAGTTATATAATTGTTTATTTGATTTCTAAAAGTGAACACGATCAACAAAATCACTTCAGATTGATTATTATTATTATTATTCGGTTATGTTCTTTAATTTTTCTGTAATCTGACAGAATTTTAAACTGGATTTTTATAATATTTGATTTATTATAAATGGTAATGATACTAATTATAACACAGAAGCTACTTCAAATGTTTCACATCAGGTGAAAAAATAAATGCTTTTGAAATAATAGAAAGATAGATGCTTTATTTATCCCGAGGGAAATTCATGAATCTAAATTCTTAAAAGTACATTTAAAAATTAAAATTACAAATAGTGAGAATTAATATCAGAGCAACAGTGCAGTAATAATCTACCCTGATTTCAATAGTCAATAATTGTACTGTAGAGAATCCATACATCTTCATCTGTATTTATCTCATTTATATTATTTATTTATTTACTAAAAACTATAAATTCACTGTTAAAAATTTATTTTCAAATCAAAATATTGTCAAAATACAGCAAGAAAATTATTCTTACTGAGATCAACTTTACTCTGTTTACTTTATTTGAATTAATTTATTTTTAGAAAATTTCTTTTCTGATTGTCTGAATATAAATTTTAATATTATGTATTATAATATACTATACTGTATACTATAATATACTTTAATATAAATCCATTTTCAGCAGCTGAAGAGTTAAATTTACATATTTTTTGTTGTTTTCTGACAGAAATGTATTTTATTTGAATATTTACTTGTTTTATTACTTTTATTTTGTAACTTTGGCTTTAAAGTGATGTATTGAAATTATATATTGAAAATATTTCACAAACTTTATAAGAAATTTTTCAATCTAGAAAATAATCATCATCACACAATCATTAGTTTTAGTCACTACGTAAACTGCAGTACTACAGATACTTTACTGCAGAATTCACATTTGGATGTTTTCCTCCATCTTATTTATCTGACTGCTGCTGTCAGCTAAAAACCTTCTATCTCCAAAATGTAAACCTTTATTCTGAAAAAACGCTTATTTCCTGTCAGTGACACAGTGACTTGAAGAGTTTGTGAAAATATTTTATTAACTTCATCCAACAGGTTCTTCATGAATAAATCAGCCAAATAAAATAAAATAAACAACAAATAAATAAACGTATTATTATTATTTGTAATGATGTCACTGATAGACGAGGTTTCCCTGTGACATTAACTAACACATTAACAGTATCAGCAGTAATAACACTGCAGTATTATTACAGTAATAATACCACAGTAATAACACTGCAATACACTGCTGTATTATGACCATAAATAACTTCTGAAACTTCTGAGTTTTTTGGATGGTTTAACTTTAAATTTTAATTTTAACGTCGGTCCTCATCTGTTGTTTTTAAACAACATATAAAAAAATATGGTGACTGAGTAACTAGTGATGTCATCAGTGTGACTAAGCTGTGATTGGATGAAAAGCCTGATATAAACTTTTTTTTTTAACATGAATCAGATGAGCAATGCTGCACAAGCCGAGAAAACTTATTCAGACAATATAAGAAACAGATGGATCCAATCACATTAATCTAAACATGCAATAAAAATGAGCAAATAACAGCCAGAAATAAATAAAAAACACAAAATCCCTTTAGAGAAGCTTCTGTTTCCTTTATGTTTCACAATAATTTAGCCTTTTAAGTTTGGTCCAAACATAAAACAATAAATAACAGTGTCTACATAAGAAAATATAAAAAGCAGCAATGAGCTCCTTTAACAGCAGCAATTAATAATCACCAATTATTCACAATATTTACTGTTTATTACCTCATAAAACATCCTCTGTCTGCCAGTGATATCATTCAGAAATGTGAGAATAATGAAATTGTGTTTTACAAAAATGTTTTTACAGACCTGTTTTTCCTGTTTAAAACTAAATGAATCTACAACAATGCAACCATCAAAAAACAGCAGTTTATTTTTATAGCCCTGAACTCATAAATCATATTTTATATTTACTGTACGACAATACGTCCATAAACGCCACAAAAACTTCAATAGCAAAATAAAAGTTTATAAAAGTGAGTTTGAGATGAAGATTTAACAAGTCTTGAATCTGATTTTTAATAAATTAACTGTATCATTATATTATATTTCTTCACTTTCATGTTGTTCCAGGAAGCTGATAATCAATAAGATCAGCTGCAGTTTTTGCTGATTTATGTTACTGTTGGAGGTCTTAAAACGCCTCGTCAGGACAGCTGTTTTTTCTTTTCAGTGCTGTCAGCTGATTTGACGACAAGGACAACCACCAACACCGAGCCGATCACACCCCGATCGATCAATCTATCGATCAGCAACCGATACACACAGAACTCTAACAGAAATCAGAACTCTCTCAGTGTGTTGGAACAAATTCAGCTGATATTTACAGATCAGAATCTGAGCAACACATATGGCAGTGGCCAAAAATAGACCACCCCCCCTGCCCTGACCCCGGGCAGTTTGATTGACAGCCACCATGTGGCACATAGCTGGAGGTGCAAGTGATAGCCCCCGCTGCTGATTCCCTTAAAAAGCCATCAGCCGCCCAGCTGACAGTCCACTCTCATGCAATCAGCGGCTATTCTGGGATCAGTGCACGCGGCCGCTTCCAACTCAACCCACAAACACAGAAAATAACTAAATATATAATAAATATAAAACACAAACACAGAAAACCAGAGTCCATCCTATCAGTCTTATACGTCCCCGTAAACCACATGAGTGAGCGCAGACAGGCACATTGATAGTTACAGTAAATGCGGAGACACAAGGTGGATGTTACTCACTTGTTTCCACAAGAGTGCCTCAGAATGATGGGACGGAGCCCAGGGACTCAAACAAGTCTCCTTATCCAGAAAGTGTTTTCCAAAAAAATCCAAGATGAGAACGGTCGAGCCTCGAAATATTCCCCCCCAAAAAAACAAAACTACACAGTGAAACGCCGTGTAGTTTTGCTTCCCCTCGCAATCCCTCCACCCGAGGCAAGGCTGGGAATGCTCCAACTGCTCAGAAGGGCCCAGACGGTGGTTTAGGTCTTTATACCAGGGGGGACAACCTGCATCATCACGCCACCGACGCTCCCTATTGGCCAGTGGGACACTCAAGGGGGGGGGACATGATGGGACAGGGCAGCCATTTATGAAACCTCCAGCCTGTCAGTCGCTGTTGATTCACTTTGATTCTGATCGATTGAGATCGTCTTTGATCACTGACTCTGATCGGATCAATAAGTCACAGAGTAAAAGTCTGAGAGTTAAAGTGACAGTCAGAGAGTCGTTAAATATCTGCTGACCAAAAGGAGGCCGAGGCTGTCCCCGTCAGTCAACCCCCCCCCCACCACAAACAACCCCCGCCCCCCTCCACAGGCTGCTGTTATAACACTGGAACAAGCTGTCTGTTTACACTCATTCATTTATTGAACCTGTCTCACTGTCACTGAACCTGTCTCACCCTCCTTCAGGGTTGGTTTGGTAACAGTCAGCTGTCAATCATCCATCATCCTTCCACCAGGAATCTGCTGAACTACCAAACCGTCCAAATCAAACTGCAGCAAGATTCAAGTTTCACTGTTTTAAAGCTAAAGAAATAATAATAAAATAACACTTTCTGTGCAGGGTCGAAACATCTGTAAGATTACAGGTTTTTTCTGTATTTTTAAACACATGAAAATATTAATACAATTATTTAAAAAATAGCCTGTAATGTAAAATAACATGAAGAATCTGTAACAATAATCTATTTATTTAAAGAAAAATTTTCACATCAAATAAATGTGCAAATCTATAATTTTTATTGTTAATTTAATCGATTAAACTGTTAAATTAAAGTTAAATACTGTTAATACAGCCCCAGCAGCTGGAAGAGAACTTCACTCCTCTTAATAAATAATCTAAATCAACATTTATAAAACTCAGCTCAACTTTATTAATACTGCACCATTCATATACACAAATAGAAACAACACACAAAAACAATTGTACAAGGAAAAAGATTTAAAAAATAAAATAAAATAAAATAGAATAGAGGGAAATTATACCAGAGCAACAGTTATCAAAAATCACACTGTAGAGACTCAATTCATCTGGATTTATTTATTTCAAAAGAGTTAGAAACATTAAAAAACACAGTTAAAATGTTCTTTTATATAGTAGAAAATGTTACTTTTGGAAGAACTTCAGTTTCACATCCACCAGATTTACTCTGATTTATTTCTTTTACTTGAAATTAACATCTGCGATCAGATCACACGTAATTTTACTCTTAATTTATTTTTCAAATGATGTTAAAATAATATTTATAATAATAAAACAATACTTTATGTGCAGGATGGGAACTACAGGGGAGCTTTACTCGTCTTAATGAGACATAAGCTACACTGTAAAAACATTGGGGGGGGTAAAACACTGACAATAAACTACACTGTAAAGTTTGAGTTTATTCACTCAATTTAAGCATGAAAGATATTTGATTTGAATAACTCAGGTATTTGTTGTTAAGGTAACTTAGATAAATTAAGTTAATTGAAGTTTCTCTCATATGCAAAACTTAACCTATACAAACTTGTTTTAAATCTATTCACAGAATTAATCTGAATAAAGTCACTTTTTTTAATGAGAATAACATCAAACATTTGGATGATCATTAAGAATTATTTGGATGCATATTTGGACTTATGATGATAATAAACTGACATACAAAACATAATGCTTACAGTTTTATGATTATATAAAAAACAAACTGGAATTAAAGCACCAATAATTAAATTACTGAACGCATTTAAGTTCACTTAAAACAAATGAATTGCTTTAACAATTAATTGTTGAGTTTAATTAATGTGAGGGAGTTCTTCCTTTCAGGCCTCTCCTGCAGGGAATCTGCATCACATGACAAACTCCTTTTAAATTAAAGTAAACAATTAGATCACAGATTCTCCTGATGGTACAGAGAGATTTTTAAGGATGAAAGATTACAGGCTACAATTTCTGAAGGTTTGATCTATTTTCCAGATTATTTACCTGCAGACCTAAAAAACTTACTTCTAAGGCGGCAGTGGAAGACGCCTCTCATATCTCAAACTTTTCTTTAATTGTTATTATTATAATTTATTTAATCTCATTCAATGATTTTCAAGTGATTTTCACTGTATTTTAGATTTCTTTCATGCTGTATGGCTGTTAGGGATGCACGATATTGTGTGTTGTTCTGTTCTTTGTTTAAACTCAATAAAAAATATTTGGAACAACAAGAAGAAAGATGCTGAAAAAACCTTCTCCTCCTCTAACCAAAGAAACCGACTCCAACCGGCTCCAGCAACAGCCAAAGTACAGCGTTACACAGAGTTTACAGAATAAAAATAATGACTCAAATAAACCATTTCAAGCTCCAGTGTGTAAGATTACTGTAATAAAAGATTATATTATTATTGTTATTATTATTTTAGAAGGTTTGTTTTCATTATTGTTTAATCAGCTGAAAATAAGACTTGTTTTGTTTTTGTTACCTTAGAATGAGACGTTTTAATTTACAGAGGGAGCGGGTCCTCTTCTGATGGAATCCGCCATGTTGAACCTCCATGTTTCTACGGTAGCCCAGAACGGACAAACCAAACACTGGATCCAGATAAAGGCGTCCTGTCCTGAATGATCATCATCTGTGTCATTTCAGGTTTCTGTTTCTCCTTGTTGTTCTGAAAGAAAATGTAAATAATAAACTCTGTCAGCTGTTCAGTTCAAACCTAGCCTCGTGCTAACCTAGCCTCATGCTAACCTAGCCCCATGCTAACATCAGTGATTACTAAGTTTAGTCATATCATGATACACAAAATAAATGTATTATAATTAAAACAGGTTGCAGCTCACAAACAAAGTACATAGAGAACTGCCAGCTGTGACTGTTGTGTAGCTAACTGACATAGCTAACAGTATGCTAACATCTGGGTCGGCATAACCTGAAACTTGAGTAATTTAATAATGATTCAATCTGGAAGATTTTAAATTACATTTCCCAAAAATAATAAAATAAATGACTAAACATTATGCTAATAACATGTGACAAGAAAACTGTTCTGTTAGCTTAGCATAATCAGATATTTCAATCTCATTATTCTCATTATAACTTAGCCACAACACAGACGCTAACTTAGCTTAGCCATATATACTGTCAATGGTTTAGTGAATAATAATTTGAAGCAGTCAGCGAGGAGCGACTTTATGTTCATGTGTCTCCAGCTAGATTAAAATCAGACTCCAGATCAGCAGTCAGTGCTGTAAATATGGCCGCTGTCTCTCTGTGGACCCTGAGTCCCCCCGGGGGGGTTATTTCTGTCTGTGAGTGAGGAGGGAGGAGAGAGGGCGAGAGAGGGGGAGAGAGGGCGAGAGAGGGGGAGAGAGCACCATTGAGTCTGTCAGAGAATTAATAAACCAATGTTTCAAATCTGTAGTTAGAACCTGATTTAAAGAAATCGTCCACAACTCTGTAACCTGAATTATATTTACTGAACATCAACATGCTGTTAATATTGACATTCTCACTTAGCAACAACAACACAGCCGTTAGCACTGAAAACACAGACAGGATTAAGTTCAACTAAATAAAACCAATTCTGAAATTTTGTAATAAAAAATAAACAAATGCTGAAATATTAAAACAAACAACAGTCAGTGCTGCCTGTAAACAAACAAACAGATACACAATAAACAAAATTACCTACTGTAAGCAGAGAGCAAACACTGCAGCCTCCACAGCTGCTGCTCATCAACTGATCACCTGATCTCACCTGAACTCACCTGGTCTCACCTGCTTTCTGCCTCACATTCACTTTTCTATAAACAGATGACTCTTGTTTATCTCCAGAGTTCCTGCTGTTGGACATTTATTATATTTATTTATATATTTCTGAATCAACTGGAATCAATATTTTTTTCTCCATTTTGTTTTCTTCTCTGAGAAAGTTACAAAAGTATTTGAGTTGATATTTTCAGCTCCAAACCAAATGACTGTGCAGCTAACGTTAACAACGTTAGCAATGTTAGCTCACCCCGACATCAGTTAAAATAACATAATAAAATAGAATAAACTTTTAGTCCTGAGCTTTTATAATTATTGTTTACTGTAAATCAGAAATTAAATCAAAACATTTGATTTTTGATGATTGAGTTTACAGACCTGAAGATCTCCACACGAGGAAAAGCTGCTCAGTATTTCAAAAGTGAAAAGTTTTGTGAGGCAATTAGTTTTTATAATTTCCTTTTCTATAATTATGTCACCCCAGAGACAAATTATCCCAATAATAATGAGATTAGATCCTAAAATATGGTTAAAATGTACTCATTGTACTCATAGATTATGGTTTTATAACTTGTTTACAGTGTTATATATTTGTCTTTTTGTCCTAATGCTGTTACATTCACATTGATGCTGTTAGATGTCAGTGCTGATTAATATTTTATTATAAGAAACTGATTAAATAAAGCAGTGGGGACATGTATGAGTGTGAGCAGAGAGGTGGTTGATTTTCTCTGCTGATCCATTTCGGTCTCTGTGTTTCGGGGGTTTTGCAAGAGTCTCAGCTGGCCGGCTCGGGTGTCAACAGAAAAGACAGCTGCAGCACACTAAATCCTGCAGAGAGTCCACAGGGACTCAGATAAACCAGAGACACACAATCCTTTAAACTAGGAAGAGATCTGCTCAGACCATCAGTGCCCTCTGCCATCACTCACAGGTACTGCAACAGACACAAACCACGAACAGCAAACACTAAACTGTAGCAAGGTTTTGTGCAGTTGACTGAAGACATAGTCACACGAATGATGGGGAGTGAACTTGCCTGCTTGTTTCAGTGTTTCTCCATCACAGCAGAATGTCATTGTGTTCAACCTGGTTGCATCCTGAAGCAAAGTTTTGAGAAGAGATTCTAAAGAAGGAGCCCCAAGTTAGGAGGGAGGAGCCATGGGGCACTTCGGAGGAGCTGCTGAGCAGACATCATTGTTATGTGATGTGAAAAAGACCTCAACCCTGGCAATAAAGAACTGTCCCCGGAGGTTGTTTTGGGCAGCAAGTGTTTTTGTGTTCCCCATGCAATCCTAGATCCCAAAAAATGAGTTGGTTTTGTTTGTTGTGTCACTTTTTTGTTGCACCAGATGGTGCTGTGGCTTAGTTGGTTAAAGTGCCTGTCTAGTAAACAGGAGATCCTGGGTTCAAATCCCAGCAGTGCCTTATTTGAGTTCTTTAGAATTCTGTACAAACCAAAGAGCAGAACACAAGATATTTTGATTGCAATCCCAAAACATGTCTCTGTGGTGCAGTTGGCCAGCATGCTCGGCTGTTAACCAAGAGCATGGTTGTTCAAGCCCACCCAGAGATGGTCCAAAAATGTTCCTCTGAAGTACAAAGTTTAGGCATTATCTATCAATTTTGATGATATACTAGTTGGTGCTAACCTGTCCAATTTCACCTCCCCTACACCCTGGTGTTCCTTGTGAAAATTCAGTGGGGTCACAGTCCCAAACCATTGTATGTCAGGCATGACTGGATGGTTCTATGAAGCTCCTGCTGAGCAATGTCTTAATGTGATATATTTTGACTGAGACATCTTGACATGTGTCTGTGGTGCAATTGGCCAGCGCACTCAGCTGTTAACCAAGAGGATGGTGGTTCGAGCCTACTCAGGGATGGTCTAACGTCGTTCTTCTGAAGTGCAAAGTTTATGCATTGTCTCCAAACTTGTCCATCAATCTCAATGATATACGATTTGGTGCTTGTTTGTCAAATTTCACCTCTCTCAAACCCTGTTTTGCCTTGTGTTTCCACAGTCCTCAAATTTGCTTGTTTTTCTGCTCCCCATCCCATCCTAGATCCTGAAAATGAGTCTGTTTTGTTTGTTGTGTCACTTTGTTTCAGCAATGGATGGCGCCATAGCTTAGTTGATCTTTATCCTGAACTCCACTGATGGTCAGGAGTTAAGGAGCTTCTCCAGGTTTCTGAAGGTAACACTGACAGTACATACAGTGGACAGAGCTCTCTCGTCCTAAATTGTGGAAAATAACACACCCATTACAAACTGAGAAAAAACACTCATTGGCTTACTGGTGTTCCTTGTGGAAACTCTGTGGGGTCACAGTCTCAAACCATTGTATGTCAAGCAAGAAAGAATCAACAGTAAGTGGATAGTTCTATGAATTCGTTGCTGAGCAATGTCCTCATGTGTTGTTCAACTGACATTGGCTAACAGCGCTCAGCTGTTAACCGAGAGGATGGTTGTTCAAGCCCACCCAGTGACGGTCTATGGTTGGTCTTCTAAAGAACATTGTTAAGGGAGTGTCTTGAAACTTATCTATCAATGTTAATGATGTGCTGGTTTGTTCAATTAAGCATTTTAGACCCTTCAAACTCAAAAAGTGTTTTGCCTTGTGTTACCACAGGCCTCAAAGGTGCTTATTTTTCTGCCCCCCATGTCCTCCTAGAGCCTGAAAGTGAGTCGGTTTTGTTTGTTGTGTTACTTTGTTGTAGCATCAGCTGGCGCTGTAGTTGATTAAAGTGCCTGTCTAGTAAACAAGAGATCCTGGCTTAAAATCCCAGCGGTGGCTTCTTTGAGTTCTTTAAAAGACCGGGCTGACAGTAGTAAACTCCTGAATCTTTAGCCTGAACTCCACAGACTTCTCCAGGTTTCTCAAGGTACCATTGACAGTATATACAATGGACAGAGCTTCCTCCTCCTAGATTGTGGAAAATAACACACCCATTACAAACTGAGAAAAAACATTAAAGGGGCTCACTGGTGTTCCTTGTGAAAATTCAGTGGGGTCACAGTCCCAAACCATTGTATGTCAGGCATGACTGGATGGTTCTATGAAGCTCCTGCTGAGCAATGTCTTAATGTGATATATTTTGACTGAGACATCTTGACATGTGTCTGTGGTGCAATTGGCCAGCGCACTCAGCTGTTAACCAAGAGGATGGTGGTTCGAGCCTACTCAGGGATGGTCTAACATCGTTCTTCTGAAGTGCAAAGTTTATGCATTGTCTCCAAACTTGTCCATCAATCTCAATGATATACGATTTGGTGCTTGTTTGTCAAATTTCACCTCTCTCAAACCCTGTTTTTCCTTGTGTTTCCAGAGGCCTCAAAGTTGCTTGTTTTTCTGCTCCCCATCCCATCCTAGATCCCAAAAGTGAGTCGGTTTTGGTTATTGTGTCATTTTGTTGTAGCAGCAGGTGCTGTGGCTTAGTTGGTTAAAGTGCCTGTCTAGTAAACAGGAGATCCTGGGTTCAAATCCCAGCAGTGCCTCTTTGGAGTTCTTTAATAGACCCTGCTGACAGTAGTAGCCTGAACTCAACTGATGGTCAGAACCCGATCCTCTTCCACTGAAACGAGTTGAAACTCAAGACTGACAGGCTGAAGCTAGTACCATTGACAGCATATACAGTGCTCTGAAAAAGTATTTGCCCAGATCTAAGCCAGTCTCTGACAGACATTGAACACTTTCACCTTTCAGGTCCCCTCCCTGTTCATGTCCCTGCATGTAGGTGTCAGTGTTGATCCTCCCATCCCCATTTACAGGAATTAAAATGAGTTTTGTTCAAAATGTTGGTATGTAACTTATTTTTAAATTATGTAAATAAATTGGAGTAGAGCAGACAAAGTAAATCGATATCATAATCTGATATTCATTCATTCACTTCAACAGCTTTAGAGAACAGAGACCTGATGTTTAATAGTCCAAATTTAATTCTTTTATTTTGTGCTACTATGGAGTTTTTGTTAGGTTTTTATGTTTAACTCCTATTATTTATGAATCTAATCAGTTTTCCAAATTACAAGCATGTCTTAAGGACATAAAATCCTGGATGAGCTGCAATTTTGTGATGTTAAACTCCTTATTAAATTAAACCCCTTCTTCAAAAGCCCACTCTTGACCCAGGGGTTTTAGCCAACTATAGACCGATCTCTAACCTCCCCTTCCTCTCTAAGATTCTGGAGAAAGTAGTCGCCAAAGAGTTGTGTGACTTTTTACATAACAATAGTTTATTTGAGGATTTTCAGTCAGGATTTAGAGTTCATCACAGCACAGAGACAGCTCTGGTTAAAGTTAATAATGACCTTTTGATTGCTTCAGACAATGGACTTGTCTCTGTACTTGTATTATTAGATCTTAGTGCTGCATTTGACACCATTGACCATAATATTCTTTTACAGACACTTGAGCATCAAATTGGCATTAAAGGAACCGCACTAAGCTGGTTGAAGTCATATTTATCAGATCGTTCGCAGTTTGTATATGTTAACGATGAATCTTCAATAAATACTACAGTCAGTCATGGAGTTCCACAAGGTTCTGTACTTGGACCAATCTATTAACTTTATATATGCTCCCTTTAGGCAACATTATTAGGAATCACTCCATTAACTTTCACTGTTATGCCGATGATACGCAGTTATATCTATCAATCAAGCCCGATGAAATTAATCAATTATCTAAATTACAAACATGTCTTAAGGACATAAAATCCTGGATGAGCTGCAATTTTCTGATGTTAAACTCAGAAAAAACTGAAGTTCTTGTACTTGGCCGTAAACACCTCAGAGACTCACTGTCTAAAGATAAAGTTACTCTAGATTGTATTACCTTGGCCCCCAGCACCACTGTATCTTTGCCAAAAATCTTTGCTTAGATTGAATTGAACTGATTTGAAGGAATGCTTGGCTGTTGTGTGGGCAGTGCAAAAGATAATATTTTTCCACCAGACCATGGCATCATTCCTGTTTTACTTTAATGAAACAAAAACTTTACATAAAGAGAATCCACATTTTAAATTTTTTCCACCAGGAGAAACAACACTGATACTTCCAGCTCAAGTCTTTCACAATAAAAATTCTAAAACTCTGGAGAAAGTAATACATTTGGACAATTACTGATTACACAGATTTCAACATATGTAAAATGCTTCCATAAAACTTTATTAATCAAAACAAATTTACTTTTTATCACAACTAACGTGTGAATGGAAGGTGCAATAAAATCATAAAATTCATATTTATTTTAACAAAAAACAACCCTTGTTGACCAAAGTTGGAACGAAATATAAAAGAGAAAGATTGTGACATTTTGCAGAGATATCGTGGAGCAATGATTTTATTTGTCCTGTGTAATTATATTATTTTTAACACTTATTCATCACATGAATTCAATTCAATTCAATTCAATTTTATTTGTATAATTCATAACAGAAGTTATCTCAGGACACTTTTCAAATAGAGCAGGTCTAGACCGAACTCTTTAAAACATTATTTACAGAGACCCAACAGTACCACCATGAGCAAGACCTTGGAGACAAGGGCAAGGAAACACTGCCTGTTAAAAGGCAGAAACCTAGGACAGATCCTTCGACTCTAGGTGGGTGGTCGTCTGTCTCGACCAGTTGGGGTGTGAGAGAGCGAGAGAGAGAGAGAGAGAGAGAGAAAGAGAGACAGAGACAGAGAGAGAGACAAACAGACAGACAGGTGCACAGCAACAACAGTATTGGCAATACAATCTAGCAGGACCATGGCAGGAGGCTCCACCAGGATCGATAAGAACCTGCGAGACGAGAAAGCACAAGAACTCCGGGGAAGAAGTGAAGTTAGTAACATGCATTAATGGGACATGAATGAGTGCAGCGAGAGAGAGGAAGAGAGGAGCTCAGTGCACCATGGGAAATCCCCCGATAGTCTAGGCCTATAGCAGCATAACTAAGGGATGGTTCAGGACTCACCTGATCCAGCCCTAACTATAAGCTTTATCAAAGAGGAACGTCTTAAGCCTACTCTTGAATGTGGTGAGGGTGTCTGCCTCCTGAACCACAACTGGAAGCTGGTTCCACAGGAGAGGAGCTTGGTAACTGAAGGCTCTGGCTCCTGTTCTACTTTTAGAGACTATAGGAACCACAAGTAGCCCAGCATTCAGAGAACGTAGTGTTCTAGAGGGGTAATAGGGTACTATGAGCTCTTTAAGATATGAAGGGGCCTGACCATGAAGAGCTTTATACGTGTACAGGAGAGATGTGATCTCTTTTTCTAGTTCCTGTCAGTACTCGTGCTGTTTTGAATTAATTGGAGCGTTTTAATGGACTTATTGGGGCAACCTGATAATACAGAGTTGCAGTAATCCAGCCTAGAAGTAACAAATGCATGGATTAGTTTTTCTGCATCTGTCTTTGATAGGATGTGTCTAATTTTTGTAATATTACGTAAATGAAAGAAGGCAGTCCTGGAGGTCTGCTTCATGTGGGAATTAAACGACAAATCCTGATCAAAGATTACTCCAAGATTCCTGACAGTGTTGCTAGAGGCCAAGGTAATGCCATCTAGAGTAACTATATCTTTAGACAGTGAGTCTAAAGTTTTTGTTTCATTAAAGTAAAACAGGAATGATGCCAAGCATTCCTTCAAATCAGTTCAATTCAATCTAAGCAAAGATTTTTGGCAAAGATACAGTGGTGCTGGGGGCCAAGGTAATACAATCTAGAGTAACTTTATCTTTAGACAGTGAGTCTCTGAGGTGTTTACGGCCAAGTACAAGAACTTCAGTTTTTTCTGAGTTTAACATCAGAAAATTGCAGCTCATCCAGGATTTTATGTCCTTAAGACATGTTTGTAATTTAGATAATTGATTAATTTCATCGGGCTTGATTGATAGATATAACTGCGTATCATCGGCATAACAGTGAAAGTTAATGGAGTGATTCCTAATAATGTTGCCTAAAGGGAGCATATATAAAGTTAATAGATTGGTCCAAGTACAGAACCTTGTGGAACTCCATGACTGACTGTAGTATTTATTGAAGATTCATCGTTAACATATACAAACTGCGAACGATCTGATAAATATGACTTCAACCAGCTTAGTGCGGTTCCTTTAATGCCAATTTGATGCTCAAGTCTCTGTAAAAGAATATTATGGTCAATGGTGTCAAATGCAGCACTAAGATCTAATAATACAAGTACAGAGACAAGTCCATTGTCTGAAGCAATCAAAAGGTCATTATTAACTTTAACCAGAGCTGTCTCTGTGCTGTGATGAACTCTAAATCCTGACTGAAAATCCTCAAATAAACTATTGTTATGTAAAAAGTCACACAACTCTTTGGCGACTACTTTCTCCAGAATCTTAGAGAGGAAGGGGAGGTTAGAGATCGGTCTATAGTTGGCTAAAACCCCTGGGTCAAGAGTGGGCTTTTGAAGAGGGGGTTTAATTACAGCTACTTTAAAGGACTGTGGTATATATCCTGATAATAAAGAAAGATTAATCATATCCAGTAAAGAAGTGCCAATTAAGGGTATGACTTCTTTAAGCAGCCTAGTTGGGATCGGGTCTAACAGACGGCTGTTGATGGCTTTGATGTAGAAATTATTGAAGTTAACTGATGAAGATCGATAGCAGAAAAACAGTCTAAATATATATCTGAGTTTACATTAGTTAAAGTTCCTGAACTTGGAGAGCCACCGATAACTGTTGATGGCAGTTGGTGATTAATTTTCTCTCTAATAGTAATAATTTTATTATAAAAGAAGCTCATAAAGTCGTTGCTACTTAAGTTTCTGGGATATGTGGCTCAGCCTGGCTACAGTGCTGAAGAGGAACCTAGGGTTATTCTTATTTTCTTCTATTAGTGCTGAGTAATAGGCTCCTCTGGCATTACGGAGGGCCTTTCTATAGGTTTTAAGATTATCTTGCCAAATTGAGCGATATTCTGATAATTTGGAAGAGCGCCATTTCCTTTCAGATTTCCTAGCTTTTTGCTTTAATTGGCAGGTTTGGTGGTTGTACCACGGTGCTGGTTTCCTATGTTTTAATAATTTCCTTTTTAAAGGAGCGATAGAATCTAATGTTCTTCGTAGTGAGCCTGCAGCACTATCAACTAGATTATCAATTTCGGTGGGACAGAAGTTATTATAGGACTTATTGTTATTATAGGATTTGGACATGGCATTGAATTAAACACTGATGGAATCTCCTCCTTAAATTTATAAGCTACTTGAAGACATTAATAGGAAACTGCAATGACTATTTTTCACTTTGTTGTCGTTTTATAGAGCAAAAGAATCATCGTCAATGAAAATAATTGCTGCATGAATATGTATTTTTTTATGAATCAAATCTATAACTGTCTATGAAATAAATATATTTTATGTTTTAGAAAAACAAAATTCTTTTATGTTCTGTATCATTATAAAAAAGTTATTCTCTTCTTTTAAAATGACAAAATAAACAGAAAAAGATGAAAAGTGAAAAACATAAAGATTATACCAAGAAAATATAAAATAAAAGGACCTCCTCAGTGTCTTAAACTTCCCGTCCCCTGCAGTCTCAGTATAGGATGTCAAATGCAAGTTTAGACTTTCTCTATAATCGTTAACCTGCTCTTCTGTACTGTAATATCGCACTTATTCAGGTTGTGCAGTGGCTTCAGGTACAGAAGAGTGTAAATAATCCATTATTACATTAATTATTTTACATTTTAATAGCAAAAACATGAGTAACTGAATAACTTCAAGAACTGATTTATGATCTGCATTCCCAGAAATGTTCCTATAAAAAGTGAAAAATAGTCAATAGTCAGCAGTAATATTAAGATTAAACAACATGATACACTGTAAAACTAAAATCAACAATAGATCAAAACTAAGCTTGATTAGTTGATTCTCGATTAACGGTCAGAAATTCCATTAAAGAGAATCATTTTGAGATTTGGACAAGAAGGTGTTACCTGAGCTTTTTAATTGTGACTGCAACACAAAAATATTGCTTAAGCATTATTATTACATGCATGAATCATAATAATCATATAATATATAACAGTACATGTCTGATGGTTTAAATTTACCTAAGAAACATGAGACAGAGGTCAAATTTAAAGTACAATTATGGCATTTACTGTTTTCCATACAGGTCAAGATTTTCAATAAGGATAGGACGTGTAGTGTAGTGTAGAGACGGCCGCAGCCAGAAGCAGCAAGCTGAATAACGGACGGGATGTGGGAGCATCTCTTACAGAAAGTAAGGTGAGTTCGGAGGATGAAGGATTTAGAACGGTAAACAGAGAGTTTCACTGGAACTACTCAGTAAGTGTCCTACATCAGGAAATAATGGACATCCAGCAGCCAATCAGAATGCAATATAAAAATATTCAACAAACAACAAACAAAACTGATACATATATGACTTATTGTTGTGTGTCAATCATCCCTCCACTGAACCCAATGAACCATTTAAGCTAATAGACAGTAAATACACTGTGTACGGTCACAACCTTGACATTGTGTGTGACAGTGGAACTGATCTCAGAGCAGACTGGTTCAATGGTTGTGATTCCTCTGTCAGTCACTGCTGGATGAAGCTCTCCTCTCCACTCTACCTCCCTGTAACATGGCCCAGTCAGAGCTGATGCTGCTGCTTCAAACTCTCTGGATCATCAGGACACAGCGGATCCTCCAACACAACCTCCTTTCTCACCACTCACAGTCTGACTGAGATCACCAGTTCCATCTGAGGAGAGAAGGAGACAGACGACAGCAGAGATAAATCAGTGTTTACAGAGACTCCCTCCATCAGCACATCCAGTATAAAGACCAGCAGGGACTTCAGTCCAGTTCAGACCAGTTATTAAAATCAATCCATTGTGTATGCTTAATATTCAAAAAGCTCTGCATTGCATAAAGAAACAAAATTCTGTAATTGAAGCTGTTCCTTAATGTTGTTTTCATTTTTTTTACACTAAATATACTGCAGAATAACAAACCCCCTCTTATCTCTCCATATAGAAAAAGCTCCATTTAGCCGATACCGATCAGTTAAAAAATGCCTTGAATGGCGTTGATATCGATTGCTGAGATCGGATCGGGACATCCCTAATATACACCGATCAGCCACATGGTCACTAAATGTAATGATGGTTGTTTGCTGTGACAAAGACCAACTGATCAGTTGTTTAGTGTAGAAATGAGAGAACAAACAGTGTGAGATCAGACTGGATGAATGAGGACCACTGTCTCTATACATCTTGTAATGCTGTCAGCTGGAATCCAGCTTTATTTCCTGAACACATGAACACAACAACAACAGTCGTCTTCACATTAACTCAAACACATGATCACAACAAGCTTCTGGCTCTCTGATTGGCTGACTGTTCTCTCTCTGTCTGTCTGTCTGTCCAATCCTGAAGCCCGTCCCCATTCTCCTCTCACAGCTTCACTGAGGAAAGTATCAAATACTGGATCTATGTTTAGTCCAAGACTCCTGGAACCAGCATGGACTGACTCAGACCCTCTACTGACCTCAGAGTCTGCAGTCTACAGTGTGGACTCTCCACAAGATCACACAGCGGCTTCACATCTGAATCCTGCAGGTTGTTGGTACTCAGGTCCAGCTCTCTCAGATGGGAGGGGTTGGACTTCAGAGCTGAGACCAGAGAAGAACAGCTGATCTCTGACAAACTGCAGTTCATCAATCTGAAAACAGAATCAGTCAGTCAGTTTAGAAGCAGTTTGTTCCTGCTTGAAATCATTCAGTGTTTAATAATGCACATTTGAGATTAAATCTAGAGCTAAAGAGGTTCAGAGTGAATTATTCAGTGTAGATTCTTGTTATATGAAGGTTTTAAATGTGGAGATCAACATTGCTCTGCCACAGTCAATGGACTAAACCACTGAAGAAGAAAACAGACTTTAGCATTAAGATACTCAGTGTGGATCAGTATAATATCAGCCTTATGTCTGAACTTTACTGTCAGCACAACTTTCACATCAGATTCATCTCAGCACAGAAAGAAAAAATGATGTCTGACCTCAGAGTCTCCAGTCTACAATGTGGACTCTCCAGAAAACCACACAGCAGCTTCACTCCGGAATCATACAGATAGTTGTTACTCAGGTTCAGCTCTCTCAGATGGGAGGGGTTGGACTTCAGAGCTGAGACCAGAGAAGAACAGCTGATCTCTGACAAACTGCAGTTAAGCAATCTGTAAAAGAATAAACAATGTGAATTTAGAAGACAACATTGCTGCTTGAAATCATTCAGTGTTTAATAATCTGCATAAAAGCATTAAAATTAGTAAAAACAACTGTATGATAGCTGATGTGAACACAAACAATACTGAAAGATCAGGTCAATAAAGCTCAATATAGTCTTTTGCTAAATTCAATTTTATTTGTATAGCGCCAATTCATAACAGACGTTATCTCGGGACACTTTTCAAATAGAGCAGGCCTAGACCGAACTCCTTAAACATTAACAGAGACCCAACAGTACCACCATGAGCAAGCACTTGGCGATGGGGGCAAGGAAAAACTGCCTTTTAAGAGGCAGAAACCTTGGACAGATCCTTCGGCTCTAGGTGGGTGGTCATCTGCCTCGACCAGTTGGGGTGAGAGAGAGAAAGAGAGAGAGAGAGAGAGAGAGAGAAATAGCTTAGTGCTTTGATTGGGACCAATATTGATTGTTGAGATCGGATCAGGATATCCCTAAAAACATTAAAAGTACATCTGAATTACTTTGTTTCTCTATTACAAGTTGTCCATATTTACATAATTGCTACTTATATCACACAGATTGATGTTAATAATGAGGTTATCAGGTTTAACTGTAGATATTATGTTCCTACCCAGGGCAATACCATCACACTGTTTACAGGTAGGTTTTGTATCCAGAAGAAGGGGTTTTATAGAACTTTATACAGCCTCATTAAGTGGTGAATCACCATCATGTAGTGTCATACTGAATAACTAATAGCTTTATGCAGTTAGATCATATATAATAATAATAATAATAATAATAATAATAATAATAATAATACATTTTATTTATAAGCGCTTTTCTAAATACTCAAAGACACTTTACATAAAAGCATAAAAGCAGCAAAACAACATCAAATAGTAAAACACTAAAAACACATCAGACTAAGCTAAACATTAAAAGCAATTTTAAAAATTTGAGTTTTTGTCAGAGATTTGAATGTTGGAAGGTCGGTACAGTCATGGATGTGTTTGGGGAGAGAGTTCTAGAGGGAGGGGGCAGCTACAGAGAAGGCTCCGTCGCCCCAGGTTCGGTGCTTGGTCCTGGGTGGTGGAGTCAGGAGGTTTGCATCAGATGAGTGGAGGCTACGGGATGGATTGTGACAATGCATCAGGTCAGTGAGATAGGAAGGGGCCTGGTTATGGAGGGCTTTGTGTGTAAGGAGGAGGATTTTGAACTGAATACGATGTGGAGCCAGTGGAGGTTCTGGACGACAGGGGTAATGTGGTCACGGGTGCGGGTGTGGGTGAGCAGACCAACAGCAGAGTTCTGGATGTACTGGAGTTTATTTAAGGTTTTGGATGGTGTGCTGTAGAGGATGCTGTTGCATTAATCAATTCTGGAGGTGATGAAGGCATGGATGAGGGTTTCTGCAGCGGAGAAGGAGAGTGATGGGCGGAGTCGGGCTATGTTTTTGAGGTGAAAAAAGGCAGTTCTGGTGATTTGGTTTATGTGGTGTTCAAAGGAGAGTTTTTTGTCAAAGATGACTCAGAGGTTGCGACTGTGAGGGGATGGAGACAGGGTGGAGGTGTCGAAAGTGAGGGAGAAACTGTGTCTGGTTTTAGTGATGGATTTGGGGCCGATGATGATCATGTCTGTTTTGTCCCAGTTTGAGGAAGCTTGGTGGAAGTTGGTGTGCATCCAGGATTTAATGTCAGTGAGGCAGTTGGAGAGAGTGGAGTGAGTGGCGCAGGTGATGGATTTGGTGGAGATGTAAAGCTGGACATCATCAGCATAACAGTGAAAGTTGAGACCATGGTGGCGAATGACGTTGCCAAGGGGAAGGAGGTAGAGTATGAAGAGGAGAGGCCCAAGCACCGAGCCCTGGGGGACACCTTGGGACAGCGGAGCGGGGGAAGAGGTGCAGTTGTTGATGTGGATGAACTGTTGTCTGTCGGTGAGATAAGATTGGAGCCAGGAGAGGTGATGCTGAGGGAAGATTTTTGGCGGGAGAGAAGAATGGTGTGGTTGATGGTGTCAAAAGCTGCAGTGAGGTCCAGGAGGATGAGGATGCTGAGGTGACCAGAGTCTGCGGAGAGGAGGATGTCGTTGGTGACTTTGAGGAGGGCTGTTTCAGTGCTGTGTTGTGAACGGAAGCCGGATTGGAATGGTTCGAACAGGTCATTTGAGCAGAGGTGGGTTTTGAATTGTTTTGCGTTCCAGTATTTTAGACAGAAAGGGGAGATTGGAGATGGGCCGGTCAAGTTTGACATGATGTTGGGGTTGAGTTCAGGTTTTTTGAGGATGTGGGTGACAGCAGCCAGTTTGAGTGAATGGGGAATTGAGCCAGAACTGAGAGAGGAGTTGATGATTTCTGTGATGAGTGTGGAGATAGCTGGTGAACAGTCCTTGGTGAGGTGGGATGGGATGGGGTCCAGGACACATGTAGATGTTTTCATCCCTGTCAAGATTTTGGACAGCTCCCCTGGCGACACAGGGGAGAACTGAGACAGGGGCTGAGAGGTGTAGGGGGGAGGAGCAAATGATGGAGTGGGAGTGCAGACAGTGGGGGCAGGACAGGAGGACAGGTTGTTGTAAATGGTGTCAATTTTGGTCTGAAAGAATGAAAGAAAGGAGTTGCATTTATCAATTGTGAATGAGTTGGTGGTATTGTCACTGGGTTTGAGAAATGGGGATTTACTGGGGGAGAAAAGAGCCTTGGGGTTGGTGGAACCAGAGTGTATGAGGTGTGAGTAGAAGGTGGACCGGGTAGTGTTAAGAGCTTCCTTATACTGCTGAAGGTAATCTGTGTAGGCTTGTAGAGTCTTTCAAGCTGACGCTTAGGGGATTTCATTTTGTGCAGATCAGGAGTATACCAGGGAGCAGAGTGAGTGAATGAGACAGTTTTGGTTTTGATCGGAGCCAGTCAGCGGTGGGGGGAGGAAGATATTTTGCTGGCAAGAGAGGCTGAAAGGGCAGAAGGGCAGATGGAGTTGAGATTTCTCAAAGAAATTGTCCGTTTGTCCTTGGTGGTGGAAATGGGTAGATCAATGTCAACGGTGATTGCCAGGTGGTCAGAAATGTTGAGGTTGAGGCTGGAGAGGTGAGGTATGGTGAGACCAGTAGAGCAGACCAGATCCAGGATGTGACCACGGCTGTGGGTGGGAAAGTTGTCGTGTTGGGTGAAGTTTAGCAGTGTAGCAGTTCCAGGAATTCAGTGGCAGATTTGCAGTTAGTGTCGATGTGGATGTTGAAATCTCCCAGGAGCAGAACAGAAGGTGAGATGGCAGATAACTGAGTTAAAAAGATTTGGTTTGGGGGGGCGGTAGATTATGGCAGTGACCAGAGGAGTGGGACCAGAGAGTTTGAAAGTGATGTGTTCAAAGGACTGAGCAGCAGAGATGGAGATGGTGGATGTTTTAACAGTTTCTTCTTCTTGCTCTCCCGCCCGTCTCCCTTATCTTTCCTGCTTTGCTTCTCAAGTCTCGTCCTGTCTTGTCTCTAACTTTGGGAGCCTCTCCCCGCATTGCTCTCCACATTTAAATCATGGAATTGGTCAACTGGTCTCTCAACGCAATTGACAGAATTTTCTCGACGAGAAGCTCGGGTTCGGGGGAACCTGTCTGCCCTGAAGGAATGTTTGCCGCTGGTTACCCGATGGACTCCTGGGAGAAGTGGAGGGTCGTGTGCCTGCCGATTCTTTCCGTAGAGGACATCGAGGATCTCTACATATTCGGAACCATGATAACAGGCTATCTGCTGATTGGATTAGGCATTGCCCTGGTGTATCGGAAAATTCGGAAGACGGTGTCAGCAGTCCAAAGCCCCATGAAGCTGCCCGACATGATTGATGGAGTGAGCAGAGCTGTTTGCGCTCAGACTGTGGGTATAAACCGCAACATGGAAAACACCTTGGAAAGAGCTGTCAGCGCACTGACGGTGGTTATACACCGCAAAATGGAAAACATCTTGGATAGAGCTGTTAGTGCTCAGACTGTGGTCATTAACCGCAACATGGATAACATCTTGGAGAAGCTGTCGGCTTTGCAAAGGAGAATGAATCGATTTGAAGACCAGAATGGACAAACAGAATAAGTTGTGTCTATTGAAATGCGACTACTCGCCCTAACCCAAACAATCATAATCTAATCTGCATTCCGGCCCTCAGTAGCACCAGCCTTGGCCAAGGCCGCTGCTGGAACAACTCCTCCAGGAGATCGCTGCAGGAAGACGCTCTGCCCTATTCCTCCCTCCCTTCCCTCACGGACACCTGGTGATAGTTGACTCTGTTTAGGACCCGATCAGGGATGTCTCCATGTCAACCTGCTGTGTTATCGCGATGACACCATGTGAACTGAGGCACTGATTGAGAGGCTAGACGAAGCGACTCTCCAGGCTTATGTGCACACACGTACACATGGACACTTACACATGCGCATATGCAACACAAAATTAATTTAAAATTAGGCTTTTATTGTTGAGTGAGCGGGTGTTGAGCAAAGCCAGTTTCAGGTGACGTTACTTCGTGCTGGGTTGTGAGGACCAAGGAAGGGGGCGGAGATTAGATAGGTGCACGTGTTGTTGATCTATATATTGAACAGATACTGCGTGGATAATTAGGGCTGCATGCTGTAGCAACAAACCTAATAACAATTAATTCATACAATTACAAACTATTACTGTATTCTTATATTTATTAACTACACTGTATTTACATTTATTAAAATAACTAAAAATCAGGTGTTTAAGTGGTTCAGAGTGAATTATTCAGTGTAGATTCTTCTTGTTATATGAAGGTTTTAAATGTGGAGCTCAACATTGCTCTGCCAGTCAATGGACTAAACCACTGAAGAAGAAAACAGACTTTAGCATTAAGATACTCAGTGTGGATCAGTAATATCAGCCTTATGTCTGCACTTTACTGTCAGCACATATTTCACATCAGATTCATCTCAGCACAGAAATAAAAAATGGTGTCTGACCTCAGAGTCTCCAGTCTACAGTGTGGACTCTCCAGAAAACCACACAGCAGCTTCACTCCTGAATCCTGAAGGTCAATGTTGTTACTCAGGTTCAGCTCTCTCAGATGGGAGGGGTTGGACATCAGAGCTGAGACCAGAGAAGAACAGCTGATCTCTGACAACCAGCAGTCAATCAATCTGAATAAAGAATAAAGGATGTGAGTTTAGAAGACAATGTTCCTGCTTGAAATCATTCAGTGTTTAATAATCTGTTCAGAGCTGAAGAAGGTTTAGAATGTACAAGTTTAGAAAATGGAAACTCCAACCACCTGAACCCAACAGGATGCAGATTGCAAACTGTAAAATACACAGAGAGAAAAAGAGCTATCATTAATATTAATGACAACGTGCTGCTGCTTCAATAAAGACGTAGTGACTTCAGCTCTTAACCTCTGCTAGCTCCACCAGTGGCTCCATCTATTCAAACTCATGTTGTGCAGCCAAACACAAAGAAAAAGCCACAGAAAGTGATTGAAGATTCCACTCAAGATCCAAAGTTTACAAAGATACCAAATATGGCAGGATGGATTTTGGGGAAATTCATCTACTGATTTGATTTGATTTGATTTGATTTGATTCAACTTTATTGTCATTGTAAGTACAGGTACAAAGAACGAAATGCAGTTAGCATCAACCAGAAGTGCAAAGTAGTAAAGTGCAAAGTATTTTACAAATGTACAGAAATATGTAAACAAAAGTAATAATAACATTATAGATATATGAATGAACAATTTACATTATGAACAGTGTTTACAGAATAGGTTCCATTAATGAGGGTGTGCATGCCGCCATTCCTTTTCCCGAAGTCCACAATGATCTCTTTGGTATTCTTGGTGTTGATGGCCAGGTTGTTGTTGGCGCACCATGTCACCAGGTGCCGGACCTCCTCCCTGTAGTCGGACTCATCGTTGTCATTGATGAGGCTAATCACCGTCATCTGCAAACTTGATGGTGTTGGAACCATGTACAGGTGTGCAGTCGTGGGTTAAAGGGACACTTCACCCATTTGCATTAAGCTTTGTATCATTAGAACCCCAGTCATATTTTTGAATGGTCGTGCATCATTCCCTCACTTCCCCTGAGGGGGGAGAAATAAGGATTTCAGTGTTGCACTTCCTGCTTCCAATGATGTAAAAATCGTCATTTTGCGTCATTGGAAGCAGGAAGTCTCATATCTCTGTAGAGGGGGTGAGACTACAAACACTACTTACTCATTTTTCTTTCACTCACGCTACAGACCTATTACAGATCAGTGGGTGGGACTAAAAAATATAACCGCCATCTTGTTTGGAAGCTAAGCGGAGGCGCTGTTGAGCCAGACGTTACGACTATGGTAATCAATCTAATATGGAAGAAATTTCGAAAGTATGATGGTCGAATCAGATGTTCGTGGCTACCTTTATGAGCCGCAATATAGCGAGCAGCGGCTGAGGCTGCTGCAGCCGAGGCAGAGGACCTGCCTGTCGCGGACGAGGAGCCCGGACTGGCTGGAGCTGGGGCGGACTGCTGGTGTCTGTGCTCTCGCTGTGCGCCTACGGACACACGGACGTCTGACTGTAAAGTGAGTGTTTCTATTTTCTGTCTTATAACAACGTGGCATGTATGTACACAATTTGTTCAAGCATTATAACAAAGTTATTCCCGGTTAATACGTAACGTCAGCCAACTGAACTAACGTTAGCTTCTTTACTGCACAAACAGCTTGCAGTTGCATTGCTAACTACTGTGGCACGCTCAACACAAAGACCATGCATCACTAACTGTGTGCTCAATGTCTTGTAGACAATATCGCCTAACAGCCTTTCTGGAATGGGTCCTGCAAGGCGAGAGATTGGGTCGAGGCCATCGTGTCGTTTTACCCGCTTATGAGGCTATCCGACAGAAATATCCAGCTCCAGATGGCCAGTACTGCGGGCACCAAGAAGTTGAGGACGCTCAGGAGGAACTATAACTGTTATTGTTAACATATTTATTTTTGTTGTTGTTGATATATTTCTGTAAATAAATGGTTTACATTCACGTTGTTGTAGTCCTTGATAGTGTTAGTGGGAGCGGCTTGCGGAGCTGTGCATTGTGGGAGTTGTTGTCTTTTATACAAATGCGCCCTAAAGTCACTTTCTGTCTTTTCTCGGTCAAATAGGCACCAAATTCAAAATATATGTTACATTTCGACTACATATATAACCCACCTTCAATAAATATTAATGTTTCCACGGGTGAAATGCTCCTTTAAGAGGAAGCAGAGGAGGGGGCTCAGCACACATTCCTGTGGGACGGCAGTGTTCAGGGTTAGGGTTGAGGAGGTGTGGTTGTCTAACCGAACCGATTGGGGTCTGTTGGTTAGAAAGTCCGGTATCCAATTGCAGAGGGAGGTATTGATGCCAAGGTTGCTGAGTTTGGTGATTAGACTGGAGGGGATGATGGTGTTGAATGCTGAACTGAAGTCAATGAACAGCGTTCTCACATAAGTGTTACTGTTGTCCACTGTTGCGTGTAGCGCTATAGAGATGGCGTCTTGTTCTGGTGGTAGGCGAATTGGAGGGGGTCCAGTGTGGGTGGTAGGGTGGTTTTGATGTGAGCCAGGACCAGCCTCTCGAAGCACTTCATGATGGTAGGGGTGAGTGCAACAGGGCGGAAGTCATTAAGGCTCCCTGCAGTTGAGTGTTTGGGCACCAACACGATGGATGTGGTTTTGAAGCACGTAGGGACAACTGCTTGGACCAGTGATAGGTTGAAGATGTCGGTCAGGACCTCAATCAGCTGTCCAGCACAGGCCCTGAGCACCCGTCCAGGGATGCCATCAGGACAAACAGCCTTACCTGCATTAGTCCTGCTCAGAGCAGCGCACACGGTGATGGTGGAAAGTGTGAGGGGTTGGTGGTCTGCAGGGAGCGCAGCCTTGATCGCCGCCTCCTGGTTCTCCCTGTCAAATCAAGCATAGAAGTTATTGAGCTCATCTGACAAGGAGGCGTCGCCGGTTGGTGTAGTTGTGTTGGTTGGCTTGTAGTCTGTGATGGCCTGGATGCCTTGCCACATGCGCCGGGGGTCGGGTTATTGTTGAAATGCTCCTCTATCCTTAGCTTGTGGCTGTGCTTGGCCTTCCTGATGCCCCTCTTCAGGTTAGCCCTGGATGCACTGTAAGCTAGCGCATTGCCTTCAGCAGGAGGCGGACCTCCAGGTTCATCCATGGCTTCTGATTAGGGAACGCTGTGATCTGCTTATGTGACACTGTCGATGTTGGTGTTTATGTAGTCCAGAACAGAGAAGGCATATGTATCAATGTCAATGTGTGAGTCCAGGGTGGCCTGAGAGGCAAACACACTCCAGTCTGTGTTTTCAAACCGGTGCTGTAGTGTAGAGTCAGCTCCTTCTGGCCACACTTTAACAGTTCTTACAGCAGGTTTCAGACGTATGATGAGTGGTGTGTATTTGGGGAACACGAACAAGGAGAGGTGGTCAGACTGTCCTAGGTGGGGGAAAGGGGGTGACTTTGTAGGCCTCAGCCATGTTGGTGTAAACATCGTCCAAGGTCTTGTCTCCTCTGGTGGGGCAGGAGACATGCTGGTGGAATTTGGGGAGTACAGTCTTCAGGCTGGTGTGGTTGAAATCACCCCCAACAATAAAGGCTGCCTCAGGATGTGAGGTTTGATGTTTGCTAATAGCAGCATGCAGTTCTTTCATGGCAAGTTTAGCATTAGCATCTGGGGGGATATAGGCTGCCGTCACAACGGTAGATGTAAACTCTGGGCAGATAGAAAGGTCTACACTTCACCATGAGAAACTCTAGGTTAGCAGAGCACTGACCCCCGATTGTAGTAGTGTCCGTGCACCAAGCTTTGTTCACATAAATGCACAGACCCCCACATCTGGTCTTACTGGATTCATCAGCTGTTCTGTCTGCCCGGAGGACGCAGCGCCGTCAGCTCGATTGTGCTATCGGGGACGCCGCTGTTGAGCCATGTTTCAGTGAAGATCAGGATGTTACAGTCCTTAATCCAACTGTGTGAGATGAACCGCGGCCGCAGCTCATCCATTTTGTTCGCCAGAGGCCGAACATTGGCGAGAAATACTGGGTAGAGATAGCCGATGAGGAGTTAGCTTTAGCTTAGCTCGCAGCCCTCCTCTCCTCCCCCGCCTTTGTTTACGATCTCGGCACCGCCTGCGAGCACTTCCGGACTTTACAACAGACTTTAGCATCAAGATACTCAGTGTGGATCAGTATAATATCAGCCTTATGTCTGCACTTTACTGTCAGCACAACTTAACATCACATTCATCTCAGCACAGAAATAAAAAATGGTGTCTAACCCCAGAGTCTCCAGTCTACAGTGTGGACTCTCCAGAAAACCACACAGCAGCTTCACTCCTGAATCCTTCAGATTGTTGGCACTCAGGTCCAGCTCTCTCAGATGGGAGGGGTTGGACTTCAGAGCTGAGACCAGATAATCACAGCTGATCTCTGACAAACTGCAGCAAATCACTCTGAATAAAGAATAAAAGATGAAGATAAAATCATTTATAATCCATAGATGTGTTCAGGTTTTAAATGTGGAGATCAACATTACTATGTCCTAATCAATGAGGGTTTCTCTAAAATGAGTAGATTGACTTTGTCATTTGGTTATTGTGGATCATCATAATGTCAGCCTTCTACAGACATCATCCAAATGTCAGCACAACATTCATACACCAATTCATGTCAACACTGATCAATAACATGCTGCTGATCTCAGTGAAGTCTGTAATTAGAGGACAAAAACTATATTGATCCTTTAAACAGCTGCATTTGGAAAAACACATTGGTCTCTCTGTGTTCCTCTATATGTGTGTGTGAGTTCTGAAGGATCAACTAGAAAATGCAGTGTTAATGTTAATAGCTAAAAAAACAAACATTCTCACTTTAAAAGCATCAGGAGTCAAACCACTTCACTGCTTAACACAATGGTAGCCAAGGTAGGGCTGCGTCAGGTGTGTAAGGTGGGTGTGAGACGTGGGTGTATACACGTTTAATAAAATTCATAATGAGTGGAAGATGTGAAACTTTTTAACATTTCAAAGACCTACATGTATGTCAAACTAGACCTAATTTTCTTAAGGTTTTCCATGATCGGGATTTGAACCGTGGACCATGCAGTTCCCACTGAGGGCAGCAACTTGAGCCCTGAATTCTAACCACTGACTTACAATCATCCTGGTAAAACTGAAACCATTAACAGTGGAAAAGGATAAAGGTTCAAACATCTCAAAAACAATCAGACATTGATAAAGATTAAATCAGTCACCAAATCAAACAACTTATCATATGTAGGAGCTGAATCGTATCAGGTTTGGACATTTTTTTCCTTATAGTTATAGGTGAGTATTGAAACAACTCACCATGTAGTTGTGAGCCATTTGTTTTAACCATAGAACAACCTGCTAATGAGATGAGATATTATGTCCAAAGCTAAGCTGTGTACTTTTAGTCAGAATCAGCAGCATTGCTGTCAGCCACCATTTTCTTTGTCTTTTGTTGACTTTAGTTTGCAATAAACCTTGTTTTGTTTTATGACTCCTCTATGTTTCCTCCCTAGAGCACAGGGTCATAATACAGTGAACAGCAGGGAATGTCTGAAATATCTGCTAATGTTCAAAATATCTTAGCAGTGACACACAAATGAAACTGCTGCAGGTGTGATCAATCAAATCAAAGTTAGCTGAGGGTTCTTCTGTATACAGATGTAATCATTCACCAAACTTTATGAAACATTAATTCACTTTCACAACTTACAGTGGACATATTTTTCTTTAGGAAAGAGAGGTCTTTTGAAATATAAAATAGAAAAGTTTATGGATGTAAGTTATGCATGAACATAAATTAGGATGGTGCCTTCTCCCATACAGCCGTCAACCATCAGGCGATCCAGCCTATCTTTACAACTGCTACTGCAGTACACCCACCTCACACTGCACTGTTATTAGCTGTGGGCTACACACCCATCACCCAAAAGCTGACGTCCATAAAAGTCCCAAGCACAGCAAAATAAGAAAATACAGGCAGATGGCAGGGACTCTGCAGATACAGACACTGTCAGACACTTCTAACTGAAGTTTCTATAAGTCTATACATTTTTAGGAAAACCTTACTGACCTAAGAGTCTCCAGTCTACAGTGTGGACTCTCCAGAAAACCACACAGCAGCTTCACTCCTGAATCCTGCAGGTCATTGAGACCCAGGTCCAGCTCTCTCAGATGGGAGGGGTTGGACTTCAGAGCTGAGACCAGATAATCACAGCTGATCTCTGACAACCAGCAGCCCCTCAATCTGAATAAAGAATAAAAGATGTGAGTTTAGAAGACAATGTTCCTGCCTGAAATCATTCAGTGTTTAATAATCTGTTCAGAGCTGAAGAAGGTTTAGAATGTACAAGTTTAGAAAATGGAAACTCCAAACACCTGAACCCAACAGGATGCAGGTGGCAAACTGTAAAATACAAAGAGTGAAAAAGAGCTCTCATTAATATTAATGACAACGTGCTGCTGCTTCAATAAAGACGTAGTGACTTCAGCTCTTAACCTCTACCAGCTCCACCAGTGGCTCCATCTATACAAACTCATGTTGTGCAGCCAAACCCACAGAAACTGAGCTGCACCCATGGAAGCAATCAGTGGATCAGCAGAGAAAATGTTAAAGTCTGTCTGACCTATAAACTCCCAATACATTTGAAAGATAAAGACAGCTTTGTGGCGAGAAAGATTTCATACTCGAGTAATGTCACTCATGTCCAACCCTTGCTACTAGCTATAGAATCCATATGTAATGTACACTGATCAGCCCTTACACACTGCCAGTAACACTGATTATCTGATTATCAGGTTATCTGATTATTATATACCTGTCAGGTGGGGGGGGGGGTATATCAGGCAGACAGTGAACAGAGTTGATGTGTTAGAAGCAGGAAAAATGGGCAGCGTGAGGATTAGAGCGACTTTGACAAGAACCACATTGTGATTCATTTCGATGTGAGTCATAATGCACGTGGGGAGTGAAGGCTGATCCGTATGGTCCGATCCAACAGACAAGCTACTGTAGCTCAAACTGCTGAAACAGTTAATGCTGGTTCTGACAGAAAGGGGTCAGAACACACAGTGCAGAGCAGTCTGCTGCATATCAGGGTGCCCAGGTGATCATAATGTTATGGCTGATCTAGGTATCTACACATGGAGTGGGTCGCCTTCTCTAACCCTAACCCTAAATGTGGAGCTCAACATTGCTCTGCCACAGTCAATGGACTAAACCACTGAAGAAGAAAACAGACTTTAGCATTAAGATACTCAGGGCCCTATCTTGCCGATCTGAAAAGCAAGCATCAAACGCAAAACGCAAGTAGCTTTGTGGATCTCGGCCATCAACGGCAGATTTGCCAGGTGCACGCCAGGAGCGGTTCACAGCCGAGGAGACTGACGTTCTCGTCAGGGCCGTAAAATACAGAGAAGTGACATTATTGACATGAAATAAAGGTAACACAGCCCTACAATAAATCAAAACAATGTAATGTAGCTTCACAGGAAGAAGACCCTGGCCTCGGGAGCAGTGCACACGGGCCGAGCAGTGCGCAAGGGCCAGCTGAGGAGGGAGCAGTGCAAACACCAAGGTGCAGAGGATCCAGACACGCCGGAGGACCACCCGTTCCTGCAGCAAACCGGGTTTGACATGCTGGAGCGGGAGCTGTCCAGGATGCGGCAAAGTATTAATGCCCGTCTTGACCGGGTGGCGATGTTGCTGCTGCCTCTCAGGCGCATCCCCTTAAGTCTGCGCCCTTAAAATAGCATCTGAATAAGCGCCACTGACTTTAGACTATGTTTTTCCTGGTCTGTGGCGGAATTGTTTTCTGAAACAGCAAAGTAGCACCAGGGAACGTTTGCGCTGGAACACGCCTCCTCTTTTCGCTGAACTGCCCCCCGGAGCGCAAGTTCATTCCCTAATTTAAGGACGTGCATCGGTGGAGGGAAAATTCCAATGTGTGTCGAGTGCAAAATAGGAATTATACAAGCGCCAGTGTACAAAGTCAATTGCGCTGAGTGCAAGATTGAGCCCTCAGTGTGGATCAGTATAATATCAGCCTTATGTCTGCACTTTACTGTCAGCACAACTTTCACATCAGATTCATCTCAGCACAGAAATAAAAAATGGTGTCTGACCTCAGAGTCTCCAGTCTACAGTGTGGACTCTCCAGAAAACCACACAGCAGCTTCACTCCTGAATCCTTCAGGTTGTTGTTACTCAGGTCCAGCTCTCTCAGATGGGAGGGGTTGGACTTCAAAGCTGAGACCAGAGAAGAACAGCTGATCTCTGACAAACTGCAGTAACTCAATCTGAATAGATATAAAAAATAAAATCATTTATAATCCAATCAGATGTGTTCAGGTTTTAAATGTGGAGATCAACATCCCTTTTTCCTAATCAATGAGGATTCCTCTAAAATGAGTAGAGTGATTTTGTCATTGGGTTATTGTGGATCATCATAATGTCAGCCTTCTACAGACATCATTCAAATGTCAGCACAACATTCATACACCTATTCATGTCAACACTGATCAGTAACATAATGCTGATCAAATCACACCTGTTGGATTAAAGAGAGTCGGGATATAAGGGGGTTGATTCGATTGATAATATGATTATATCGTCTATCAAAAAAACTGAAAAACTGTACAAACATTTCACTTCTATACTGTTTTTTGTTTCTCTACCAATTGTTCAGACATTTGTAAACAGGAGAGCAATGCTTTTTCCTGATTTTTTGCTCAGGCAAATTCTGAAAATGTATGAACCACAAAAATGAAGACATCAAAGATTTAAATTAAATATACAAAAGACCATGTGAACTGACCTCAGAGACTCCAGACTACAGTTCAGACTCTCCAGTCCAGCACACAGCAGCTTCACTTCTGAATCCTCCAGGTAGATGTTCCAACTCACGTCCAGCTCTCTCAGATGGGAGGGGTTGGACTTCAGAGCTGAGCCCAGAATTTCACAGTGAGTCTCTGAGAGTCCACAGTCAGAAAGTCTGTCATGACACATATATTACAAAATAAATTATAAAAGAGGTAACTTTATAGTTACTTTATGCATTTTGATCAAAAGAGTTTGTTGACATATAAATTAAAGGAAAAACCTAAATGACTGAGTGGAGACACATGACAAATGCAGGACACACGGGTCATTGAAGGCTTCATGAGAATGACAATCATGTTAATCAATTGAACACCGATGGGAGAATGGAGATGGTTCCAGAAACTAGAAGGTTTGGGTGGATTTTTCAGTGATTGAGCTAAACTTATCTCAATGTGTTTGACATGAAGCAATAATTCTTTTTTTTCAACTCAGTGAACAATTTCACTGCAGAAACACGACCTATCTTTGCCAACTACCTGCTGTTGTCAGGTTCATATCTAAATCTATAAGTGGGAAAATTCAGTGACTGCTGCCACTCCCTACAGAAGTAAACTAATTGCAATATTAATTAAATTAGTGTGATTAGTTGTCAACATTATTTTCAGAACATCTGAAAAATCTATTAAGCACACAATTAACAAACCAATAAGGTTGCTTTATTTTCAACATAATGTCACCGGGGAGATTTCATAAGTGTGTCAGCATTAAAAACATCGACCCTTGGTGTCTGAAAATGTCTGATTTCTATTCTATCATTTTGCTCTTATACATATACTCGTCAGACTTCTTTGTATCTGAATCAGTTTGTTCATTATTTTCTACTACAGCTACCAAATCACTGTTATAGCATTCAACATTATCCCATAATTGTTCTTCAGCATTAACATTTTAAATTTTAAAATTGTTTTTATATTTGAAGAACTAAACTACTACTCTTATAAAGTTAATCACATCTGGACTTACAGAGCCTTTCTACAGTTCCTCACAGCTGGAATCAGTCTCAGTCGTCCCTCCTCTGATGTGTTGTACTTCTGCAGGTCCAACTCATCCAGAACCTCCTCAGACATCTGCAGCATGTAGGCCAGAGCTGAGCAGTCGAACACAGAGAGTTCTTTCTCTGATCTGGTCTTTGACTTCAGGAAATCTTGGATCTCCTGATGGACTGAGTGGTCGTTCATCTCCATCAGACAGTGGAAGATGTTGATGCATCTGTCAGGAGAGACTTTATCTCTGTTCATCTCCTTCAGGTTGTTGATGGCTCTCTGGATAGTTTCTGGACTGTTGTCTGTCTGACCCAGCAAGCCTCTTAAGAGTCTCTGGTTGGACTCCATGGAGAGGCCATGAAGGAAGCGAACAAACAGGTCCAGGTGGCCATTTTCACGCCTCAGGGATTTCATCATTGCTTCCCTTAGGAAGTCATCCAGAGATGAATTACCATGTTTTATCCACAGGAAACCCTTCAGTACATCTGTGTTCCTGTTGGTGTAACATTGGAACATGTAGACTGCAGCCAGAAACTCCTGAATGCTCAGATGAACGAAGCAGTAGACAGTTTTCTGGCAGATCACACTCTCTCTTTTGAAGATCTCGGTACAAACTCCTGAGTACACCGAGGCCTCTGTGACATCAAGACCACACTGCTCCAGGTCTTCTTGATAAAACATGATGTTTCCCTTCTCCAGTTGTTCAAACGCCAGCCTCCCCAGCTTCAGAAGAACTTCCCTGTCAGCCTCCATCTGCTCCTGTGGACTCGTCTCATGTCCCTCATCATACTTCTGCTTCTTCCTCTTTGTCTGAACCAGCAGGAAGTGTGAGTACATGTCGGTCAGGGTCTTGGGCAGCTCTCCTCTCTGGTCTGTAGTCAACGTGTGTTCCAGAACTGTAGCAGTGATCCAGCAGAAGACTGGGATTAGACACATGATGTGGAGGCTCCTGGAGGTCTTGATGTGTGAGATGATTCTGTTGGACAGATCTTCATCACTGACTCTCCTCCTGAAGTACTCCTCCTTCTGGGCGTCAGTGAAGCCTCGTACTTCTGTTACCCTGTCAATACATTTAGGAGGGATCTGATTGGCTGCTGCAGGTCTGGAAGTTATCCAGACGAGAGCCGAGGGAAGCAGATTCCCCTTAATGAGGTTTGTCAACAGCACATTGACTGAAGTCTTCTGCCTGACGTCAGACACAACCTCATTGTTCTGGAAATCCAGTGAAAGTCTGCTTTCATCCAGGCCGTCAAAGATGAACAAAAGTTTACAGAAAGCGAGCTGCTCTGCTGGGACCTTCTGTAATGTTGGATGGAAAACATGGAGCAGCCTGAGAAGACTGTACTGCTCATCTTTGATCAGGTTCAGCTCCCTGAACGAAAGCAGAACCACCAGACTGACATCTTGGTTCTCCAAGCCCTCTGCCCAGTCCAGAGTGAACTTCTGCACTGAGAAGGTTTTTCCAACACCAGCAACACCGTTCATCAGAACCACTCTGATGTGTCTCTGTTGGTCAGGTAAGGCTTTAAAGATGTGGGTATTAACCTCTTCACTCTGTCCCTCTGTGAAGTAGAGCTCAGTGTAGATCCTGTTGAGGAGGGTTCCATTTCCTGGTTGATCAGTTCCTTCAGTCACGCATTCACATCTCCTCTTCAGACTGGTCTTATGTTCATCTAAAACCTCCTGCAGACCATCCACTAAAAAAAAAAAGTGTGAGTCAAAACAAAAACATTGCGACAATCTGCTGACCTTCTGTTGGCCTAGGCACCAGCCGCCATGTGGCCATTCCCCAAGAGCTTCCTCGATTCAGAGATGGCGAGAGACATAGTGACCAAATAAAGCCGAAAGGTAGGATGACAATGGTCAGATTAATCAATAACTGAGAAAGCTTAAAGAGCAGCAGGCAGCAATAGCTTACAGAGCAGCAGCAATACGGATGCAGGGCAACAGCAGCATTGACAGAGCAGAGGGAGAGCTGGGAAATTTTGCAGCTTAAATAGAACACCAGATTGGAAGGGTGCTCTTGGTGAGTGATTATGGAGTGAGGCATGTCATGTGTGTATAACAGCGCAGCTCAAGTTGAGTGCCTGAACGAGCTTGCAGGCTTCGCTCCATTTAGAAGCTACAAAAGAACGGACAGGTAGCAGGTTCATTTATTTCTCATTCTACAATACAAGTTGCACAACAAAATGCAAGTTTACAGCCCCAACTGCTACATAAAAAAATAATATTTTTTTTTATGGTGGGGTGAACACAGAGCTTTCTCTCTGGTCACCTGCACAGGAATTGTGTTGATCAGATAAGCTACAACCAGGTTTGTTTAACAAAGGTCTTACCCTTAATTCTTTACTGGATATGATTAATCTTTCTTTATTATCAGGATATGTACCACAGTCCTTTAAAGTAGCTGTAATCAAACCCCTTCTTAAAAAGCCCACTCTCGACCCAGGGGTTTTAGCCAACTATAGACCGATTTCTAACCTCCCCTTCCTCTCTAAGATTCTGGAGAAAGTAGTCGCCAAACGATTGTGTGACTTTCTACATAACAATAGTTTATTTGAGGATTTTCAGTCAGGATTTAGAGTTCATCATAGCACAGAGACAGCTCTGGTTAAAGTTAATAATGACCTTTTAACTGCTTCAAACAATGGACTTGTCTCTGTACTTGTATTATTAGATCTTAGTGATGCATTTGACACCAATCTTCCATAAATACTACAGTTAGTCACGGAGTTCCACAAGGTTCTGTACTTGGACCAATTCTATTCACTTTATATATGCTCCCTTTAGACAATATTATTAGGAATCACTCCATTAACTTTCACTGTTATGTAGATGATACCCAGTTATATCTATCAATCAAACCCGATGAAATTAATCAATTATCTAAGTTACCAACATGTCTTAAGGACAGGACAGGAAAACCTGGATGAGCTGCAATTTTTTGATGTTAAACTCCTCCGAAACTGTCTCACTGTCTAAAGATATAGTTACTCTAGATGGTATTACTATTCATTCTGCATCGTTGTGGATATTGGCAATTATTCTCTCTTTAATACCAGGACACAAAAATATAAAAAGGAAATTGCTCAAAAGAAATACCACCAGAGTAAACAATACAGCATACTCCCCACTGACATCAACAGCAGAAACTCTTCTTGTCTTCAGACTAGGGCTGCACAATTAATCAAATATTAATCCCAATTGTTTTGCCTTGCTAGCATTTTGGCCATAATTGTGCAGCCTTACTTCAGACTAAAAACTCTGTAGCACTTGAAGCTGTTCTGCTTTTTTGATGGATCTGATGTTTTTGCGTGATAATTGCAGTTTTTTGGTGTCCACATGGTTGAATACACTTGATGTCTTGAAATGCAGAAGATTTCATTTTTAAGATGTAGAGATGTTCAGTCTTACTTTGTACAGTGCTGGTCTGACTGTCTGTCTGCAGTCCAGCTGTTCTGGGTCTTTCTCCACACTGGGGACAGGAGGAGTCTCCTGATGAACCAGAGTGGTCCCAGTATCCACAGCTGGTAGAGACTGGATCCTTCAGGTTATCCTGACACAAAACACAGCAGGATGGCTGCTCCTCCACAGGAACATGACTCCTCTTCCTCCGTCGGTGAAAACATTTCTTTATTATTAAAATTATTTGTTGATTGTTGTTGAAAAATATCAAGATTTGGCCGACATTGTGTAGAAACTCTCTTTAAATTCAGCTCTGTGTCTGTAATGAAATTTATTATTTTGTTTTGTTTTTTAGCTCTTCCCTTTTCTTCATCCACTGATAACTTTTACAGAAGTACTGCCCATTAATGTGTATATTAGTAAGAATATACAGTGGAGTGTTAATACAGGTGAGGAAATCTTTTCTAGAAATTATTTTCCTCACATTTGTATCACTTATGATATTAACTGATTTGAGATTCCTCTAGTGAATCATAACAGCTAATCTGAGCTAAATTAATTGCCTCAGAGACTTTGACAGTAAAATCATTTTTAAACTATTAAAAATTATTTTATTATGTTATTAACACTCACCCTGTCGCAGCCTTTAGATTACTCCGTCTGCGTCTGTCGACTCAAAATGGAGTCTGAACTTACTGAACACTTTCACTTTCAAGTCCCCTCCCTGTTCATGTTCAGGAGCTACAGCAAGTCGCCACCAGGTGACAGCAGAGATTCATTATTGATCCCCGGGATGATTGGTTGTGTTACAGTTGATAAACAGACGTTATAAGAAATATAAATAATGTTAAATTATGTGCATTAAATCACAGCAATAGAAAATAAAGGTAAGTCTAAGAAAAATACAAACAGTGTGTGTGTGTGTGTGTGTGTGTGTGTGTGTGTGTGTGTGTGTGTGTGTGTGTGTGTGTGTGTGTGTGTGTGTGTGTGTGTGTGTGTGTGTATGTGTGAGTGTGTCACTGGTTTCATTATAATCTGACTAATGAGCTGGAATAAGCCTATTAATGGTCACAGTGTCACACAGCTGTGTTATATACAGGAAATAATAATAATTATTATTATCATTATTATTATTACTATACTAACTGGTTATAAACTTGAATTGTATATAATTATATGTAAGAAATGTTTTGTTGTGAACGGTGAAAATAAAAATAATATCATAATAAACGGTTTTCTCTGGAATAAATGCACAAGAATACAGTCAGAGGGTTTGTATGGATACAGATTACATTCAGACTTTAACAGGTTTTATTTTTATATGACGTACAGATTTAAAAACATGTTTATTACTGGAAATACTAAATAAATGTTGTTTTTAAAGCAGATTTCTCTTCTTTTTGTTCTTTACTCCTAAAAATGTTTGTGTTTTTAACCCAGTATATAAATACTGTAAATATATATCTCTTATAATACTTAATATGTAAATTACTGTTTACATAATAACTTACTTATCATATTATAAGATTTATATAACTTAAATAATACAAATAATACCAAATGTTTGTATTATATTTATATTCTGTACATTAAATTACATATACATAGGACTATATGTACAGAGATTTTATTATTTTATTATTATTATTATTATTATTATTATATTAAACATATTCACAGTGTTTTTGTAGATTTAAATAAAGTATCTATAAATAAAATGATCTTTGTTTTTTGAGCACTTTTAAAACCAAAGTTATAAAGTGCTTCACAAAAATATATATTATATCTATATTATTACATATTTTCTATAGGTTGGGTTTTATTGGTCATTTATATAATCCATCACAGTTTAATATAAATTCTCTTAATGCAGAATCAATAATAATTAATGACCTTACTGTAAACAGTAAATATAAAATGAATGTGAGACTTTACTCTGCTGCAGTAACGGAGTATTTGTACTCGGTGGTACTTTTACTTCCTCACATGTGGAGCGCAGCAGCAGCGGTGGGCGGGGCTAAACCACATCTGGATGAAAAACATCTGGACTCTCTCTCTCTCTCTCTCTCTCTCTCTCTCTCTCTCTCTCTCTCTCTCTCCATATGAGTGTCTCTCCACTGACACCGGGGCCGAAGACCGACCGACGGACGGACGGACTGAACCACCGACGGACCGACCGCTGAGTGCTGACTTTGCCCGCAGATGATGGCTCGGTACCGGACGCTTTGGACCGGGATCCTCGTCCTCCTGACTGTGTGTGAGTGCTGCTGCTCTGCGGGCTTTTCTCTCTGTTTTCCTCGGAGGGCCGGAGGGATGGAGGGGGGTTTGTTTGGGAGCTCCGCAGAGTTAGAGGAAGACACCAGGTCCGTTATTCAAGTAAATAGTATCTAAAAGTATCAATACATAAGAGTAAAAGTATCTAAAAGTATCAATACATAAGAGTAAAAGTATCTAAAAGTATCAATACATCAGAGTAAAAGTATCAATACATCAGAGTCAAAGTATCAATACATCACAGTCAAAGTATCAATACATCAGAGTCAAAGTATCTAAAAGTATCAATACATCAGAGTAAAAGTATCAATACATCAGAGTCAAAGTATCAATACATCACAGTCAAAGTATCAATACATCAGAGTCAAAGTATCAATACATCACAGTCAAAGTATCAATACATCAGAGTCAAAGTATCTAAAAGTATCAATACATCAGAGTCAAAGTATCAATACATCAGAGTCAAAGTATGCAGTAATCAGAGTAACCAGTATCAGTATCAGGAGTACGGTGCTGTGGGTCGAGGCTAATAACTGTGGCTGATATCTGACTGTGTGACACTTTATTGGATCAGTATTGATCAGTATTGATCAGTATTGATTATCAGTGTCAGAGCAGCACTGAGCTGTTGGAGGAGGATCTGGTTGGAACTACTTTATATACAGTTTAATGCACTGGTTCCAAACATAGGGGTCGGGGGCCCTCCAGAGGGCCACCAGGTCATTCTGAGAGAGGACAGAAGAAAAACCAAAGTTCTGATACACAAATAATTGATTATTGATTGTTGTCCAGAACCAGTCTGAGGTGGTTCTGTGCAGCTTCACTCCTCTGCTCCTCTTCATCAGCGTTAATATTAAACGTCTGACAGCTGCAGTTTCTGTGGGTTGGATCTCCAGATGTGCTGATGTTGACTGTTTGTGATGAAGAGGATAAAGACTTCCTTTATGAGTTGAGAACATGATCCTCCTTCTTAAAGGACCAGTGTGCAGGATTTAGTCCCTCACTTCACCCTCCACCTCTTATAGAAACATGGCTCATTATTATACTATATTATTATATTCCTCTTCAATCAACCTTTAATCTAAATAAACTACAACCCTGTGGACTCTGTGTTGGACTCTGTGTTGGACTCTGTGTTGTGGACTCTGTGTTGGACTCTGTGTTGGACTCTGTGTTGGACTCTGTGTTGTGGACTCTGTGTTGTGGACTTTGTGTTGGACTCTGTGTTGTGGACTCTGTGTTGGACTCTGTGTTGGACTCTGTGTTGTGGACTCTGTGTTGTGGACTTTGTGTTGGACTCTGTGTTGTGGACTCTGTGTTGGACTCTGTGTTGGACTCTGTGTTGGACTCTGTGTTGTGGACTCTGTGTTGGACTCTGTGTTGTGGACTCTGTGGTGGACTCTGTGTTGTGGACTCTGTGTTGGACTCTGTGTTGGACTCTGTGTTGGACTCTGTGTTGTGGACTCTGTGTTGGACTCTGTGTTGTGGACTCTGTGTTGGACTCTGTGTTGTGGACTCTGTGTTGGACTCTGTGTTGGACTCTGTGTTGGACTCTGTTGGATGATCTGGACAATGTCCCAGAGCTGGAAACATACAGTGATCTTATAGAATATGATGCTGTAGATTAGAAAGTTTAAAAAGTAGTTTAATCTCGACTTTAAACATCTAAAGCAGTAAAATAAAACATTAATGCAGCAGGAATATTGATCCAAACACATCACTTAGTGTAGCTCAGTAATTTTACTGGTGATTTGTTTCATAAAGTCACATATCACTACCCTCTGTCCTCAGACTCTCAATATGGGTAAAAAAATCCCCACAAACACTTTTAACAGGAAATAAAAATGTTTACGGCCGTCACTGTCTCATGGGAATCTGCTCCATTATTGTTCAGGGCTAAATCCAGATCTTTAAAGCTCCAGTGTGAAACACTGAGGACGATCTATTGTCAGAAATGTTTATTATTCGTTTTTAATCACCTGAATATAAGAATCTTTGTGTCTTCATTACCTGAAAATGAAACGTTTTTATCTACAGAGCGAGCAAAGAGTGATTATTATAACCTACTGCCGTGCTAGCAGCTCTGTGAGGTTATCTTGAGCTAAATGCATTAATATTAACTGTGTTCACCATCTAAGTTCAGGGTGTAAGCATGCTAACATTGGCTAATAAGGCTAATATGTTTAAGCAGGAAAAAGACTGTAACAATATGAAACTATTGTTTCCATAATTTGACCCACTGCAGAATTAACTCCGCCTCCTGTTTATCTCCATACGCTGTAGCATACGCAAGCTAGGTGCTACTTAGTAGCTACGTCCTAAAGCTACCCTGCTTTATCTATTTCTTTTTGTCTATTTTACACTGAAACTAGAGACTGAGACTATAAACTCATCAGGAAACTGTTTACTGAGCTCATAAATCAACTTCTCCACAAGACTCTGTCCACTAATAATATACGGTCACTTTTCACAGCTAATGTTTGTAGCCATGCTAGCAGTTCTGGGAATGATAGTGACTGATCTATTATATGAACCAAATAGACAATACAGACTTCTGACCTGTATCTACAGCACCGACCTGTGCCCTGTATCTACAGCACCGACCTGTGCCCTGTATCTACAGCACCAACCTGTGCCCTGTATCTACAGCACCGACCTGTGCCCTGTATCTACAGCACCAACCTGTGCCCTGTATCTGCAGCATTGACCTGTGCCCTGTATCTACAGCACCGACCTGTGCCCTGTATCTACAGCACCGACCTGTGCCCTGTATCTATCGTGTTCCCGTCAGGATGTATTGTAATTCTTTGACCGTCATCGTCAGGTCAACTTTTGAATGTGTCTAGTACTTTTTTTAATGACCAAATACGTGCTAACAGCAAAATCAGACAATATGTTCCACTAGCTTAGCAGTAATGTTAGCTTTGACTTTGGACTTTGTGTTGGACTCCATTTATAAGCTAATGTTAGCTAGTGTTGCCCACTGTTGGCACTCGGGAGCATAAAGGTCACAACCTTTGACCCTCATCCTACATAGAGACACATAGAGATCAGTCCACAGGCAGCAGAGGAACAAAGCTACACTACAACCTGTTCACTCTGTGCTCACACACACTGATTATTATAGAAATATAATACAGAAAATGCTTCAGAATCTCATATATATTGTGAATACAGGACAATATTAATATTTTTACTTGAGTTGTCTCTTTATGTTGCTCAACTTATTTTCTTGAATTGTACGGCTGATGTGATTTGAATTAACAGAGAGGAACACAGATTAAAAAGCAACCTATTATCTCACATCTAACAAAGAGCGAGTGTATCTGAAACTTATGAATAGCCCCCCCCCCCCCCACACACACACACACACACACACACACACAGAGGCTTCTTGGCGATGTCTTGAGACACTGGAGAAAAGAGAGACTGGCACTGAAAGAAAGTGTGTTTGAGTGTTTGTGTGTGAGCTTTGTTGATGAGCACAGCGAGGTGACGTGGTGATGGCCTGATGAGTCTCTAGCTGAGGATGTGCTGAAGTTTTTGTTTGGAGGCAAACGTTTTGAGACATTGTGAGTTAATAAACTGTGTAGAAGTTCCTTTAAGTACAACGACTCTAGTACAATTTTGAGTTACTGTGCTGTACTTGAGTATTTCCATTTCAAGCTACTTTAAACTCCACTACACCTCAGAGGGTCGACCAACAGTGACAAACACTGAACGCTGTAAGATAACTGGCAATCATATTTAATGTTACTATCTGCAGTCTTCCTATATTTTATTTGGAGTGTGAGCAAGCAAGCTAAGGTCTAAGCCCGAGGAGTCTGAACAAATATTGCTACGTTATCCAGCTAACAGCAGAATCAGACAATATGTTCCACGAGCTTAGCAGTAATGTTAGCTTTGACTTTGGACTCTATGTTGGACTCTGTTGTGGACTCTGTGTTGGACTCTGTTGTGGACTCTGTGTTGGACTCTGTGTTGGACTCTGTGTTGTGGACTCTGTGTTGTGGACTCTGTGTTGTGGACTCTGTGTTGTGGACTCTGTGTTGGACTCTGTGTTGTGGACTCTGTGTTGTGGACTCTGTGTTGGACTCTGTGTTGTGGACTCTGTGTTGTGGACTCTGTGTTGGACTCTGTGTTGGACTCTGTGTTGGACTCTGTGTTGTGGACTCTGTGTTGGACTCTGTGTTGGACTCTGTGTTGGACTCTGTGTTGTGGACTCTGTGGTGGACTCTGTGTTGGACTCTGTGTTGTGGACTCTGTGTTGGACTCTGTGTTGGACTCTGTGTTGTGGACTCTGTGTTGGACTCTGTGTTGGACTCTGTGTTGGACTCTGTGTTGTGGACTCTGTGTTGTGGACTTTGTGTTGGACTCTGTGTTGTGGACTCTGTGTTGGACTCTGTGTTGGACTCTGTGTTGTGGACTCTGTGTTGTGGACTTTGTGTTGGACTCTGTGTTGTGGACTCTGTGTTGGACTCTGTGTTGGACTCTGTGTTGGACTCTGTGTTGTGGACTCTGTGTTGGACTCTGTGTTGTGGACTCTGTGGTGGACTCTGTGTTGTGGACTCTGTGTTGTGGACTCTGTGTTGGACTCTGTGTTGGACTCTGTGTTGGACTCTGTGTTGTGGACTCTGTGTTGGACTCTGTGTTGGACTCTGTGTTGTGGACTCTGTGGTGGACTCTGTGTTGGACTCTGTGTTGTGGACTCTGTGTTGGACTCTGTGTTGGACTCTGTGTTGTGGACTCTGTGTTGGACTCTGTGTTGGACTCTGTGTTGGACTCTGTGTTGTGGACTCTGTGTTGTGGACTTTGTGTTGGACTCTGTGTTGTGGACTCTGTGTTGGACTCTGTGTTGGACTCTGTGTTGTGGACTCTGTGTTGTGGACTTTGTGTTGGACTCTGTGTTGTGGACTCTGTGTTGGACTCTGTGTTGGACTCTGTGTTGGACTCTGTGTTGTGGACTCTGTGTTGGACTCTGTGTTGTGGACTCTGTGGTGGACTCTGTGTTGTGGACTCTGTGTTGGACTCTGTGTTGGACTCTGTGTTGGACTCTGTGTTGTGGACTCTGTGTTGGACTCTGTGTTGTGGACTCTGTGTTGGACTCTGTGTTGTGGACTCTGTGTTGGACTCTGTGTTGGACTCTGTGTTGGACTCTGTGTTGTGGACTCTGTGTTGTGGACTCTGTGTTGGACTCTGTGTTGGACTCTGTGTTGTGGACTCTGTGTTGGACTCTGTGTTGGACTCTGTGTTGGACTCTGTGTTGTGGACTCTGTGTTGGACTCTGTGTTGTGGACTCTGTGTTGTGGACTCTGTGTTGTGGACTCTGTGTTGGACTCTGTGTTGTGGACTCTGTGTTGTGGACTCTGTGTTGGACTCTGTGTTGGACTCTGTGTTGTGGACTCTGTGTTGTGGACTCTGTGTTGTGGACTCTGTGTTGGACTCTGTGTTGTGGACTCTGTGTTGGACTCTGTGTTGGACTCTGTGTTGTGGACTCTGTGTTGGACTCTGTGTTGGACTATATGTAAGTTATTTATTGTTATTTATGCGAATGTTTGTCATCCCAAAGTTGTTGTTGTTTATACTTTGTTACAGATTACTTAAGTATAAAGTCTAATAGTGAATCAGTGAGCTTTAGAGGAGCTGCTTGGTGTTTACAGTCTTAATGCTAAGCTAAGCTAACTGTACAGACAGCTGTTCTGATCCAGAATGTAAAACTATTCCTTTAACTGTGCAGGAATGATGTACACACACACACACACACCAAGATGTGTGTGTGTGTGTGTGTGTGTGTGTGTGTGTGTGTGTGTGTGTGTGTGTGTGTGTGTGTGTGTGTGTGTGTGTGTGTGTGATAGCGAGGGCCTCCTCCGAGCAGCGTGGAGTGCTTAGATTTCCCATGAGCCTTTTAGGGCGGAGCGCTGGATGCTAACTTGGCTCCGAACTCAGCTTCACTTCTGGCTTCAATTTATTCCTGGAGGCACACACACACACACACACACACACACACACACACACACACACACACACACACACACACACACACACACACACCTCACACAGACACACACACACACACACACAACTGTTACACACGTGCAGAAACTCTATTGTGTTTTACTCTCTAACACACACACACACACACACACACACACACTCACACACACACACACACACACACACACACACACACACACACACACTCACACACACACACACTCACACACACACACTGACTAATTAAAATGAGCTTTTTGCTTCTGCGGCTCTTTTACTTTTTCCTTTGTCTTCAACTCAGTTTGGAAGAAACATCTGGAATAACTTCTGCTGTAAGAGTGTGTGTGTGTGTGTGTGTGTGTGTGTGTGTGTGTGTGTGTGTGTGTGTGAGTGTGTGAGAGTGTGTGACAGAGTTAATGAAGTGTTGTGTGTTTATGTGTACAATCCCTTATGTGTATAAAGTACATATAATTATAATGCAATGTGGTCGAGTTTGTATATTATATGCAACACACTGTGTGTGTGTGTGTGTGTGTGTGTGTGTGTGTGTGTGTGTGTGTGAGTGTGTGTCTGTCTATGTGTGTGTGTGTTGTTTTGATTTAACTGTCATTTCTGTGTCATCTGGGTCTGATCACTGGTGTTGTCATGATGTGGCAGAGCACACACACACACACACATCCACATGCTCTACAAACACAAATAAACACACACACACACACACACACACACACACACACACTCCTCTGGCAGATTCTTGCTGCTTTCTGGGTCGTTAGCTGCATGCTAACATGTTTCAGTCTCTGTTTCCTTTAAGTGTCCTTTATTTTAATGTCAGGCAGGCTCAGGAAGTAATGGATTACACGGAATTACAGAAAGTTGCATTTAGTAAAAATGTGGATTTTAAAGCAGGATTATAATTTTAAATCCACAAATAAAGATAACTTAGTACCAAGCACATGTTACACATTACTGTGTTATAGTGCAGTTTGAACTGGATCTGATGATAACGAGGAATAAAACACAAACACTGAGCATCCAGTTGAATCAATCATCAGTGACGAGCTTCTCTGATATTTTAACTTTTTACACAATTTTCTGTCTTTATTATATTTTTAGTTTTAATAATCATAAAAACTTAATAAGCTGCTTTTTTGACCAGTTCACTGATTTATTGTTCTAATACAGTTTGTGTTCAGCTCATCAAACATTAGATATTAAATGATAAACTGGTAAAAGTTATTTTAACTAAATTGCTGAAAGTATCGTAAAGTTACACAAACTCAATTTTGGAAGTTAAAAACATTTTGATTAAGTCCTTTTCATTTCTTTTTTTATTGACAATACAAATAAAACAACAAGGAAGTAAATCAACAATGTTTTGAGTCAAATTAACCCAAATGTTGAGATATCGGCCGACTAGTTTTCTAGTACGTGTGTGTGTGTGTGTGTGTGTGTGTGTGTGTGCTAATAAAGAGCCTGTGTTCGACCCTGCAGGGCTTCCAATCGTTGTCCAGTCCTTCAGCTACCAGAGCTCCAACGTGTGTAAGTGGTGTGAGGTTTCCAGTCCGGTGTGCAGAGACAGCGTCTGCTCCAGTAACTGCTCCCTGACCTCCTTCTGCGACGCCATCGAGGAGATCTGCATCGCCATATGGTGAGCTCCACCCATCGTCACCCTGTCGCTGTGTTCCTACTAACTGCACAACCCTTCACAACAGTTGCCATGCTAAGCTATGCTAAGCTAACCAGCTGCTGAGTGCAGAGAGGTCTCAGCCAGGAGTGTTGAAGTATTCCTTCAGAACTGGACAAACAACTGTCACCGATAATATTATATTCACTATATCGCTGCAGAACCGCAGTTTGTGTTCATTAATCTACCTTTTTACTACCACAGAAGAAGAAAACAGGAGGGGTTTTATCTCCACTTCCTGTTACTTTCTGCTGTTTACAAGGTTCATTATTAGAAGGTAGGTCAGCTCAGTTTATGGGAATTATTAAGGTTCAAATCCCCTCTGCTCCACACTGTCACACCAAACTCCATTCAAAAAACGGCTGTTTTAAGGAAGTAAAACCTTTATTTCCACCATCAGTGAGACTCTGATTCTCTTCAGTCTACAGACACAATCTGCTCACATTGACTCAGTAACATCATTAACTAACCTGTGAGGAAGAGTTGGACACAGACACACTCACTGACTGTCTGTCATTAACTAACCTGTGAGGAAGAGTTGGACACAGACACACTCACTGACTGTCTGTCATTAACTAACCTGTGAGGAAGAGTTGGACACAGACACACTCACTGACTGTCTGTCATTAACTAACCTGTGAGGAAGAGTTGGACACAGACACACTCACTGACTGTCTGTCATTAACTAACCTGTGAGGAAGAGTTGGACACAGACACACTCACTGACTGTCTGTCATTAACTAACCTGTGAGGAAGAGTTGGACACAGACACACTCACTGACTGTCTGTCATTAACTAACCTGTGAGGAAGAGTTGGACACAGACACACTCACTGACTGTCTGTCATTAACTAACCTGTGAGGAAGAGTTGGACACAGACACACTGACTGACTGTCTGTCATTAACTAACCTGTGAGGAAGAGTTGGACACAGACACACTCACTGACTGTCTGTCATTAACTAACCTGTGAGGAAGAGTTGGACACAGACACACTCACTGACTGTCTGTCATTAACTAACCTGTGAGGAAGAGTTGGACACAGACACACTCACTGACTGTCTCTTACTGTCCTTTATTGATCAGGAATGTAAGAAGATCATAAATGTATAAAATCCGACGCAGCAGTTTTCAGGAACTTTTACAGCTTGTTTCACCCAAAAGAAGTCGTGGTGGTTCTGTGACGTATGGCCGCTCTCGTCTATACACGACACGCCCTGATGACTTCCTGGATTAACGTACTTATTTTAACCCAAAATGATCTTTTCCTAACCCTAACCCAACCGCGACCGGTTCCAGTCTTTAGCACTGTGTGTGTGATTCAGTGCGTCCTCGTATTGTTCTTGTCAGATAAAAGAGAAGAAATAAAAAACAATATGTCCTGAGGCCTTCAGTGTCCCATAAAAAAGCTGAATTTCAACACTCACAATCCCATGAGCCAGCAGAGTTCACCACAGCGCCGCTAAAGCTGCTTCAATATGTTGTTGATCAGCATTATGAGACATCCTGAAGTCATTCCTCTCTACTCGCTACTGTGGCAGCAACCAAAACACACATGCAATATTTTTACTTTTTCACATTTGATCTGAAAGGTTCACACGGTTGTTTTCCAACCGGAGAGAAACTGGCTTCACTTTCCTCACTGCTGGAAAGTTTCTGCTGATTCGTGCTTTTGTTTGGATAACAGCACTACTCCGGGATCCCCCTCGCTGCTCCCCCCTCGCTGCTCCCCCTCTCATTTCCTGTTCATGTGGGCCTGCCCGACCCTCCCAGATAGCTGCAGGAAACCAGAGATAAGAGGGGGAGAGAGGAGAGGAAGACGCTGGTTTATTCTGGTCTGAGTGGACAGGGATCAGCTGCTCAGTGGACTCACTCACCTAAACAACCAGAGCCTGTGGTCGTAAAACACCCTGAGGCTTTTAAAGATGGTTAAAAGATAAAGAGACACATCTATAGTCACATCTTAAGTTAGCTAATGTTAGCAAAATGCTAGTAAAGCGTATCTGTACAGATAATCTATCAGACAAATAAAATGTGTCGATATCCACACTTTTAAAAGTTGTGAAAATAGTTTTCTTACTCTTGCGATTTAAAACGCGACCCTGAAGCTCCGTTCTGAGCTGTTACATAAACAGTTTTTAAATTTAGGAATATTGTAGTTATTTATAGCTAACGATTGATTTAGATCAGCTAGCTAGGTAGCTAGTGCTTTGCCAACCATCATTTCTTTTCATCAACTCGTCTTTTCTTCACCAAATAACAACCGAATATTTACAGTGCAGACACTCCTCCAAAATAAAAGCACCAGCTTTAACGGGACAAATAAGAATTACAGATAATAAACTATAACTATATATTAAAGGTAATTTCCACTGGCTACAAACTGTTTACATTAATATATAAATATAAAAGAATATGAAGCTCAATAAACAATCTAAAGCTGTGATATCTTCAGGAGGAAAACCAACGACACCATGACGGTGCACACGATGTGTCATAACCCCTCGCTGCCACTGGAGGGCGTCGACTCGAGTCTGCTGCTCAACTTCACCTCCAGAGAATGTCACATGGTCCCACAGCCGGCGGAGGACGGCGCCATGATGGTCTGTGGTTGCCATGGAGAACAAGAGTGTAACGACAGACTGATCTTTGATAAGGGAGCCAACGGTGAATATGAATGGATGAATGGATGAACAGATGAACAGATGGATGAACAGATGAATGGATGAACAGATAAATGATGAGTAGATGAGCAAATGAACAGATGAATGGATGAACAGATGATGAACAGATGAATGGATGAACAGATGAATGATGAGTAGATGAACAAATGAATAGATGAATGGATGAACAGATGATGAACAGATGAATGGATGAACAGATGAATGATGAGTAGATTAATGGATGAACAGATGAATGGATGAACAGATGAATGATGAGTAGATGAGCAAATGAACAGATGAATGGATGAACAGATGATGAACAGATGAATGATGAGTAGATGAATGAATAGATGAATGATGAGTAGATGAACAAATTAATAGATGAATGGATGAACAGATGATGAACAGATGAATGGATGAACAGATGAATGATGAGTAGATGAATGGATGAACAGATGAATGGATGAACAGATGAATGATGAGTAGATGAACAAATGAACAGATGAATGGATGAACAGATGATGAACAGATGATGAACAGATGAATGGATGAACAGATGAATGATGAGTAGATGAATGGATGAACAGACGAATGGATGAACAGATGAATGATGAGTAGATGAACAAATGAACAGATGAATGGATGAACAGATGATGAACAGATGATGAACAGATGAATGGATGAACAGATGAATGATGAGTAGATGAATGGATGAACAGATGAATGGATGAACAGATGAATGATGAGTAGATGAACAAATGAATAGATGAATGGATGAACAGATGATGAACAGATGAATGGATGAACAGATGAATGATGAGTAGATGAATGGATGAACAGATGAATGGATGAACAGATGAATGATGAGTAGATGAACAAATGAACAGATGAATGGATGAACAGATGAATAATGAGTAGATGAACAAATGAATAGATGAATGGATGAACAGATGAATGGATGAACAGATGAATGATGAGTAGATGAACAAATGAACAGATGAATGGATGAACAGATGATGAACAGATGAATGATGAGTAGATGAATGGATGAACAGATGAATGATGAGTAGATGAACAAATGAACAGATGAATGGATGAACAGATGAATGATGAGTAGATGAACAAATGAACAGATGAATGGATGAACAGATGATGAACAGATGAATGGATGAACAGATGAATGATGAGTAGATGAACAAATGAATAGATGAATGGATGAACAGATGTTGGTACTGTCTCTCTCCTTCAGGGTTCTCCAAGCTGCAGAGTAAAGACGTGATCCCGGTGGTTGTGGTCAGTTTGGTGCCTCCTGTCCTTGTTGCCATAGTCGCCACCGCCGCCTTCTACTTCTACCGCACACGCCGCCCTGACAAACCGGGCCCTCCTGCGCGCCCTGACTGGCCCACCAAACGCACCCCAGAGCTCTACCAGGCTTTTGACCTGCCATGTGGGGCTCTGGGTGCTTGGGGAGAGGGTGGAGGGGGAGGTGTGATGGGTCCTGGGGGTGAGGGGGAGGAGTCTAATGCCAAACATCCCAACAATGACATCACCGGTACCAGGACCGACCGGCAGGGACAACGGACAGAACCGCTGCCCATCAAGCTGGAGGTCCTGGTGGGGAAGGGGCGCTTCGCAGAGGTGTGGAGGGGCTGCCTGCTGCAGGGGGAGACGGGTGGAGTCAACAGCTATGAAACTGTGGCGGTGAAGGTGTTTCCGGCCATGGAGTATGTCTCCTGGAGGAACGAGTACTCCATCTTCTCGGACCCCAAGATGGAGCACGACAACGTGGTCCGATTCCTCGCAGCGGAGGAGAGGGGTCCGCCTGGCCACGCCCTCCGGAAGTACTGGCTGGTTCTGGCCTATCATGACCTCGGGAATGTGCAGGACTTCCTCACAGCGAACACACTCAGCTGGGAGGAGCTTGTTGCCATGGCGGGTAGCATTGCTAGGGGGTTAGCTCATCTCCATAGCGACACAACGCCCAGTGGGGTACCAAAGGTAAGCTCAGTCCGATCACAGACCTTTTTCACAGCGGCTATTTTGGCAGGAAATGATCTCACCTTCCACGTGTGTTCATTCACTCTTCATGAAGGTTTGGAGCCCAGCTTCATTCTGGTTAGTTAGTTTTAGTTCTAGTTTTGCATTTTAACCAAAGATATATTAGTCCAGAACCCAAACAGTTGGTTCCTAGCTGGCACCAATGGTTGTTGTACAGTGGATCCACTCAAAACCGACTAATCTGGGTGGAAAAACATTAATCAGTCCCTCCAGGATTTTAGAATCATAGTCTTAAAATGTATGATTTCACTGCAAGTTTTCTAGGGGAGTAACATCTGTAAACTGCTCCACAGTTGGCCTGAAATATCACTGAAACCGGCGACATCCAGACAAAGTTCATGGATCAAACTATGATTCTCTCCCAGTTGTGTCCTCGATTGGTTTATTTCTTGTACCCAGTTTCTACGTCAAACCAGTGATACCAAGAAGTTATCAGCTGTTGGCTAATTGTTATGTTAAACATTGGTATCGTTCTGCTTGTTGCCGGTTGCCCGTGTTGCTGCAGGTGCCAGTTGCCCATCGGGACCTAAAGAGCAGTAACATCGTGGTGAAGAGCAGGAAGGAGTGCGCGCTGTGTGACTTTGGTCTGGCGTTAAGACTGGACCTCTCCCTTACTGTTGACGACTACGCCAACAGTGGACAGGTAAACACTGAGCTGTTAAGTGTGTCATGAACCAGAACTTCTGTCTTCATTTGATTGGTCTCACCTGTATTGTCCCGTCCAGGTGGGGACAGCTCGCTATATGGCTCCGGAGGTACTTGAGTCCAGGGTGAACCTGGAGGACCTTGAGGCCTTTAAACAGATGGATGTTTACTCCATGGCTCTGGTGCTGTGGGAGATGGCCTCCCGTTGCCACGCCATCGGAGGTAGGAACTTTCACAGCATTCTCTCTGATAACGACGCAGTGAGAGCGCTGAGAGTGAACCATGATGTGTGTGTTTGTTGGTGCAGAGGTGAAGAGCTACGAGCCAGCGTTCGGCTCCAAGGTCTGTGAGCAACCCTGTGTGGACAGCATGAGGGACCTGGTTCTGAGGGACCGGGGACGGCCGGACATCCCCTCGGCGTGGACGCAACACCAGGTCTGTCAAACCCAGAGAGTTCAGACTCTGAAGTGTGTTTGACTTCCTGCTGTCTAACTCCAGTCTTCTGTCCTCCAGGGGATGAGTGTCTTCTGCTCCACCATCACCGAGTGCTGGGACCACGACCCCGAGGCCCGACTGACGGCGCACTGCGTGGTGGAGCGCCTCAACGCCCTGCAGCAGGAGGAGGAAGAGGAGCAGGAACCGAGGCGAGGAGCCGACGGAGAGACAGAAAAGGACTCAGAGACACCAGATAGTGACCAGACTCCCTCCTTCTCCACCGCTGCTTCCTCACCGCCCTCCTCCCCGAGTCCTCAGCCGGACTCAAAGACAGGCGGTACAGAGGTATCCCATGATTCCCTGGTTCACACTGGTTCTGTGGTGTGAGCGTGGGACATCGTCATCCCATGAGCCCTTCTTCCTCCTGCTGCTGGCTGCGTTCACACTGCTGTTCCTGTCACAGATAGTGGAGGGGCCGATAAGGGACTAAACCTTGGTTCCCATAACCCAACTGATACTGAAATCATCTCTGCGAGTACGTAAAACCATCAGTGTTTGCAAATTTATGGTTTTATGGAGTTTACCGACTTTAGCCACGCTGCCAGGACGATCTATTGGAAATATCTCCAGACATTCATGGTGTAGAAACCTTAAGAAACACTGCTTTAAAGGATTTAGTGGCATCTAGTGGTCTCTTGCCTCACCTTCCCCTTCCAAGCTCGAAGGACGCTGGTTCCCAACCTTTTCTATCAGAGTAAACTGACTTTATTTTATAGATATTTAATATTTTATTTAATAATAATACAAGGAGAGTAGAGAACAGTTGATAAACTGTACAATGAACCCAAACAGTGAACTCAATAACTGCAGAAACTTTGTGTAAAGTTGTGTGAGTGAATTTCCAGATATTTTTAGGAACTTTTTCTATAATTCTCCGTCTGTATTATGTCTTTTTTTTATTTTTAACAGTCATACAGACTTAATAGGCTTCTTTTTAGACAGATTCAGTGTTTTATTATCAGCTCTTTGGTTGTTTTCATATACATGACGAGGCACTGAGGAGGATCTATTGTCAGAGTGTAATAATAATACTCATAGGTATGTTTTCATTGGTTTATAATCACCTGAATATAAGAATTGTTGTGTTTTTTGTTAGCTCCGAACTCCACCGGACACAACCGTTCTGTGGAGGAAGGTTGGGAACCAGTGAGGAAGAGGATGCACGCAGGTACAAGAGAGTACTGTAGACTTTACTCTGCAGTGGTTTAGTGTCGGTATCCTTGACCAGAAGAGCCGAGCCGAGCGGTGTGAATGCAGATCGTTCGGTTATTACGAAGCGAACAGAGAGGACAGAAACAACCAAAGACTGACTTTGTGTCTGGAACGATGAATCAGTCGTAGTTCTGCTGGCGGAGACTCGTAGGAAATGTTCTGTTGGAGCTGGCCTCCATTTAGTCGTTGTATTATTCTTTAATAGCTACTGTGATTATCATGACTATAACCTACTTGTATGAATAAACAGGAGAGAGAGAGAGCGACGAATCAGATCTCAGACGTGCACATAATTATATGTGATATTATTGTTGTTGCCAAGATGTTAAAATGGAAACAATGAAGTTATTATTGTAAATTAAAGGATCCAGTTGCTTTTCCATCCAGAGTGAAACAAACACAGAAACCGCTACAGGATGAAAACATCTCCAAACAATGTTCAGTTTGTAATAAAATTTGGTTTTTGTTATTGATTCTGTCTGTAAATGTGTTTCCGTCCATCACCGCGGTTTACAACGGTAAGTGAACGCATCACAGTGAAGAAATGTTCATACTGCATTTACTGAAACTAATAAAAGTACAAAAGTATTAGCATCAAATGTACTTAAAGGTTCAGTGTGTTGGATTTAGCATATTGTGGTGTAATAAATGAATTAGATTAGATTACAATTGCAATTCCCTCACTTCACCCTCCCCTTCCACGAAAAGACTACAACAAAAAACGCAAAAGGCCGATCTTAACTGAGGCTAAAGCTAACTAGCTGTTTCCCCCAGTCTTTATGCTAAGCTAAGCCAACCATCTCCTACTTGTGGCTTCATATTTAGCACATTTAAGAGAAGAATCTGACTCCCAGTCAGAGTGAATAAGTGTGTTAAACTGTTAAATTATTCCTTATTAAAGTATGAAACATGCGTTCAGGATGAATCTTTGGCCGAACATTTTTCTCCTCAACAATAATTAAAACTTTAAATTTCCAACGTCAGAGAGGAAACACATCAAAGAGAAGTTAAAAACCACCAGAACTTTACAACAATGTCTAAAAGTTTAGGGTCTGGTCTCAGAACGGGGACGAGGGTTCTCGTGGTCGCCCGCCGTTACTCGTTCAGGAACCACAACAGAGCGCCGACTGAGGAGAAACGCCCGTTGTTATGACGACGGAGGCGAGCTGCTCTGAACTGATCACTGAACACAAATCAAACACAGACGCAGGAAACTCTTAAACTGCTGATGCTTTATATCATATTAGTACTTAAAGTGTGGAGGAGTTAGTGGCATCTAGTGGTGACGCTGCAGATTGCAACCCCCTCACTTCACCCTCCTGTTACAGTGTGTAGGAGAAACTACAGCCAGTGTGTATTTTTGTCTTTTTAATGTTTAATTAAAGATAAATTAAACAACAGGAGAGATAAATACAGGAGAACACTTCTATCAGGCTTTAATTTACAATTTAATTGATTGTTATTATTTTAATGTGAATGTTAAAAGTTATAGAAGTGTAGTAAAAGTCATTATCTGTGAGATTACAGTAATTATTGCTGTTTACACTGATAACAACTGTATTTGGACAGTTTACCAATGCTTATACACTGATAAACAACATTTATTCAACATTTCTATTATAGATTTTCAAATATATTTTAGTCTTTTTATGTGACGAAAAGGACATTTTATTTAAAAAAGCAATAATTTTAGGATTATTTAGTCATTTTACATTAAACATGTAAATTCACTGGATATTTTTGTCACTTTATTAATATTTCCAGAAACAATCTGTAAAATAAACCTTAAATAACACTGAAGTCTTCATACAACGTAGAAACAAAGGTAGTAGATTAAAACCCTGAAACACAAACTGTCTGAGAGCAGCAGAACAAGAACGGAGGTGATCAGCCGCCGTTCTTTCATCCTTCAGACGCTGATTCAATAATCAATTATCATTGAATTGGAACTAATCGGCGTCTCCCACTGAATCTAATCGAGTTGTGGTGTCTGGCTGTCACACAGTGTGGGAACCAACCTGAACAACAATCCTCTCTGTGTCTGTTAGCAGGCAGTCACATGATCAGTGTGGACAGGTGAGTCGTCACGTGACTAACAAATCCCATAAAATGTCAATATAAAACAACAATAAACCCTTCCTGCACTGTAACTTTGTTTTTCTTGTTATTTGTGCTGCATAAATAAATAAAATATATAAAAAGTGTAGCTCTTATTTTCTATTTCCATTACATATTGTATTTGTATTTTTTATTTTTATTGTGTATTTTCTGCTGCTGGAGCTTTGTTACCTTATTTAACACCAATCTTCAACATGTGTCAGTCAAATAAAAAACTCTGGTGACAAAATGTAAATGTTTTATGTATTCAAGGAATCAAGGAAATGTTTTTATCATTATACAAAAACAATCTAATTCCTAATATTAAAGTATACAGTAATAAAAATAAAATAATCCTAAATACAATTGTGTTTGTTCCCAGTACTATTTGTTTGCCTCCTGGTGGTTTAATCCAGTGAACAGACACAAAGAAGTTCTCAGTGAACTTTACTGAGTTTCTTTGTCTGTTGAGCTGTCTCATATTTTCTATTTATAGAGATGAGGAGGAGTTTTGTTTTTAAAAAGTATTCTGAACTGAGTCATGTTGGTTTATAAAAAGCTGACTTTTCAGAATGGAACTTTCTTTTCAGTATTTTGGGGGTTTTTTGGTTTGAAAATAAAAAAACTGAAAACGAAAAACGTTGTTTGTTTTGTTCCCTTACTTATATTATTTATTGTTTTATACTCTGAATGTTTGTAGTTTTTACTGTTTTATATTTGTTGTTTGCACTGTAACTCTGGCTTTGAAAAGTGCTTTATAATAAAGTTTATTATTATTATTATTAACTTTAAACTAAAGTCCGTCGGCCACCGAGTACACTGACCAGGAGTGACCCCTCCTGTTTACAGATCTCTGGAGCTCTGAGTCTGGTCACTGACTCCCGCACACAGATCTTCCTCAGAGTGAGTCCTCTCCCGCACAGAGTGAGTCCTCTCCCGCACAGAGATCTTCCT